AGAGGCTTTCTGAGACTGTAGGCTGCGTTATACTGCGCTGGAATTCGTTCAAGAACCACTGCTGGAGTTGTTTTTGAGTTAGCTGAGGGTGTTGTTGTGCATATTGACGAAGGGCCTTCCTTTGAGAGACTGAAAGGCCAGGTGTCTTGCGGTCTGAAGGCATCTTTTTGATACCTGGTTTAGCCAATAAATTGATCAGGTTAAGGCAATATAGGCAGGTAAGAGGTTCACACCGAATTTTAGAAGTTGAAGCTGAAAGTATAGCGTTAAAGAGGTTATGTTCCTACGGAATATTGCGTTATCCAGGTTTGACTGTACGATCTCCTGACACCGCGGCTGTCAGAAGCTGGAAACGCGAATCGTTGGCCACAAAAATCTCACTCAACTACTGTGCAGTGGTGGACCCAATATTGCACCTGTATCATTTTGCAGCAATGCTTGCGGTCCAGACCATCGCACAGGCGTATACGATACCAATCGGGTCGGCTTGTCGGATTGAATGCGTTCAGCGTCGATTGGTTGGCAACGCTGAAGACTTTTTTTTTCGATATCCGACGGATTAATCCGTCCCACGAACCATACCGTTCAGCCACGCAAATTGGGAAGTTCTAAGATCACCAGCATCCTTCGAGCTTCACGTGCGGCCGTTTGTGGGTGCTCTGGTGAGAAGACGCGGGGGGCAATCTCACACGTAATGGAATCCGGCCACCAACGTTGCATATCGCAACCACAATGCCCTACATGCTCCGGGCAATGGTTTCATGGACGTTTTTCTGAATGCTTCCTTCCTGCCAGCCTGTATGGCTGAGTAACAAGTCTTCTCAGTGGGAGTTGGCCTAGTCCTGATGCAGAAGTCGCAGTCCCTTGTTAGTTAGTTCTGTTCGGTGTGAATGCCGCAAGCCACCGTTGTCACGCATTTGAGTTTGAGTACCAACTTGATGCTTCTTGTCTGGATGCATTCGCTGGGGACAAATGTCATCATGTCGAAACGGTTCCGGTGCAATGGAAGGTTTCCTTTACGTACCAAACCACAATTTCAGGAGAGGTCAACTGCCGGCGAGCGGTGGGTGAGAGAGTACCAGAGTCATGTCGACAGTTGTCGTTGGCTGTTCGGTCGAAATCCGAGGTCTACCAAACTTCTGTCTCACGAGAAACCAACCACGCACGAGTCATCCAACGCTCAGGCCGATTGGGATTTGGAATGGCTTCTCCTGCAAGCCTCCATCATCGGTGAGTGGGTGCGGACAGCACAATGGAAGATCCTCGTTTTGTTGCCAACCTCGCCTTCATTCTGCCATGTTGGCGTTGTCGCAGACGCTCGTGGGAAAGGCTTGTTGTTCCTCTGCATGGTGTTGGCGCTAATGTCGCACCCGTCTCAAAGGAACCAACACTCGCCCAATATGCTGGATGTGTCTGTTCCTGACCGTTCTCGCACACAGTCGACACACACCTGGCGGTGGATGACTCGGCTGGTGGTGGTTCCGGCGTAGGAATCTCAACCATGTGCTGGATTTCATCATCGAGTTGACGCTTCTTGCGGTCGGGACATCCGAAGTGATGTTGGATGTGTCCAGGATCAGGCCCTGCATGCATTGCTGCAATGCTACGGGGAATATCTGTGGCTTGATGGGAGCTGCATGGTGTCAATGCAGGCTCGGTCAGGTTCGCAGCAGGGAAGCTGCAATCTCACGCATGTCGCGGCCGTGATCGTGTGTGGAGGCATCGTTATTCTGGTCGTGTTCCACCTTCCACGATGTCGGTTGCCAAGCTTCCGAGGGACGTTTTGCTTGCCGACTGTTCTGGCGCAACGTAATGATCGGCCCGCACACTAGCAACAATAATAACACGCTGCAAGCCACTTCTTCCACATCGCACGGCAAATGCGGGTGGGTATAGACAGGAAATAGCAGCAGTAGTTCGCAACAACAACAACTCTCAGGCCGGACGCGCTTGTGCTGCAAACAGTGTACAGCGTGTGGGAGGATGCGATCATGCACAATTTTCTGCTGCACATGCACACTCTACCTCATCTCCGCGGTGACTTTTGGCCATTCACCCCTGTTGATTCGCCCTCGGCTGTGGCCTCCTCAGCCAGAGAATTCATCTGGGCAAGACTTTTGCCGGGCAGTCGCCAGACTTTGCCGGCCAATTAGCTGCATCGTCAAGGTGCGTCGCCAATGCCGGCTGTGATGAGGTGGTGCGGAGTCGCCAGCAGCAGCAGCATCATCAGGCACGAATGCATCGCTCCACGCTGCGGTTCAAGACTTCCCGCGCAATGCGTCGTCGAAGAGCCCCTGGTCATCGCGATGGTGGTCGCGTCGCAGACGACCGGATCCGGGTCGTCAGACGCAGGAGGATGTGATGGCCGCTGCGTGCGTGCGCTCACATGCTCACACGCGCATTTCAGACATGGTGTCCACTCCATCACAACGCCCAGCCAGGCCGAGAGAGCAGGTCCACGCACGACCAGTCGCCTCCCAGTGCGGAAAAGCCCTCTGCCTGACTCTTCTGTTCGCCGTCGACTGTCGACAGGCTGCGTGTACCCCACCAAAGACAAGACGTCGACATAAGAAACTGCGCGATCTGCCGCTATGCGACGCTACCCGGCCGACCAGCTGTCTTTGGGTCTGGATGTGCACCAGAGGCTTCATCTTGTGCCACCATTCGGACGTTTGCCAAAACTCAGTGTATCTATAGGACTGCCGCATGGTACCGCACGCCTCAATCAGCTCGTCACCGACGAGGCGTCGTACTCACAACCAAGGACCAGGTCAAGGTCCAGCTCTCTCGCCCCTCAGGGTTCTATGCCCGCTCATGTCGTGCTGTTTGCGTGCTCGGCGGGAGAAAGGTTTGTATCGCGGTGTCCAGGCATGTGTCAAAGCCGCCTGTCACTTCGTTCACAGCGCTCGAAGAGTGTTGGTGCAGGCGTCGGTGATCGCCATGTGGAGGGTTGTCCTGCGGCGAATGGGATGTACGCAACGAGCTTTTGCCATGGCCGACGGGCGGTGGCCGCGCCTCCTGTCTCATACTGCAAAGAATTGCGACCGGAGTAATCTCGAATGGAGCAGTGTCTGGCAGCGAGGCGTCTGTTCTCCTCTTCTGCGCAGGTCATGGGACTGGTATGGAATCGCCGTGCCGAACAACTCACACGACCAGGTAGAGGGTCATGTGGAAGCCGGCAGGCCAATAGCAAAAGGCAGCACCGGACTGGAGGAGAAATTGATGAAATTACGTAGCAATGCCTGACCACCTCTCCATATCTCGGCAAATCTTCTTCGTTTGCGGCCGGAATACATGCCTACGCGGATAATGAAGCAGCACATTCGTGTGGTTATTGGCCGTACGGGCTCGCCAGATTCGCGGTGTGTCGAGTAATTAATATACAACGTGCGTCCAGGCCCCCCTGGCAGCTTGACCGCCTATCATGTGCTGCCGTCTCGCTCTTGAATGATGCCTCGGACAGACGCAAGCACAAGCACGCGGGCTGCGCAGGTGTTCGCTGGCCGCTGCGAATGTGTCGTGATTAGACTTTGGGGATGCGCTCATCATCCCGTTTGTTCATCTGCAAAAGCGCCGTGGAGAGCAGGTCGACGAGAGTCGCAGAAGCACTGGCCACCTTCCGGCGGGGCAGACCTCCGGAAGATGTCCACGACTTGTGGCCGGACACTCTCGCTCGGTTACACTTCTTTCTTTCCCAGCTCGCTACACCATCTCGAGCATAGTCGGATCTCAATTGCCATCAGCCTCATCTCGACTGGCGCTTGCCCACGCCAGTAAAGCGTGAATTGACGACACTGCACCAACACACGCCAGCGGCCAGCAGCCAACAGCAGCCCGCGACCACCACCGCCGCCGCCGCACACCCCACGGCGTCGCTCTCCGCTGACTGCAGCGCACCGCCAGCAGCAGCAGCAGCAGCAGCGGCCGTCGTGCAGCGTGGGCGCGACACATCCACCTCGCCGCCCGCCTCCCCTGGGCCATACCGCAGCCCTCTGCTCGCCAGCGTGCCTCGCCAGCAGACACGAACTGCCGTATGGGACCTAGTCGTACTGCCCTAGCGCTCCCGCACACCCCTCTACCCAGTAGGCACGCGCGAAACGGGCCACTTCGTAACGCGGCCGCCAGACGACGGACCTTTGTGCGAAACGAGTCGATTTGAGAGGGTCGCACGCACACGTCCACCAGCAGCAGCCAGCAGAGCAGCAGCCTCCGCCGCGACCCCCGTCTCACGGGATTCACCCGCTGTTTTTCCCTGTTGCCCACGGCGAGGGCGCGGCAGATTACTCGTCGGCCAGCTGCCAAGCCCCAGCTGCCCCGTGCTTTTCCACCTGCCTGCTTGGAAAGCTAATTTGCCTGCGAGAGCGCGCACCGCAACCGAGACTGCAACCTCAGCGGCCACGGGCACAAATCGAGTGGTAGTGGTGGCAAGCATCGCATTTGCAATCATCACTCGCCCTCGGCGTCAGGATCACAGCTGAGCCGGACCCTGTGTTGGTGTGTTGTTGTTGTCGGCGGACCGCCCACTTTTCTGCCCTCCCACTCACAACAGCATTCGGCGACCTGTGCAAAGTTTCCTTGCACGCTTGCCTCAATCACACTCCCGCCGGCAGCTAAGAGCGATCGTCGAGCCCGGCACAATTACCTCACAGCGGTGTCCCGATACCACGCTACGCTCAGGGCACGCGCCACGATACGCTGCTACAAAACGCACTACCCTCCTCCCTGCTAGCACCACCAGCTCTGTACTCCAGTTCGCGCCGGCCTTTCCTCTCCCGTCCTGGCCGCATCTCGTCGAAATCTGCGCGCCGGAAATTCGGTTCGGGCAAAGCTTGAAAGCTTCGACGCCCGCCTCTGCTGTCCTGGACGGGACGCGCTAGAAACAGCGGGTGGAGCTACCCAAGCACACCAGCATCCTGCCATCATCTGCAAGACATCCGTTCTCAAGGTACCGAGGAGCGCGCTACTGTCTTCCTCCCAAAACAACAGCGTTTCTCCGGCCCTCCTTCAGCGGGCACTTAGTACTCGACGGCGCGCTGTCAGCTAGACCCATCGGCTCTGCACGCAGGACGTCGCTCGCATGTCCAGAGCCTACACACACACGCCACCGAATCAGAGGAACACCAACGACGCTTCCCTAAGCGCGATCCTTGCATCGCACTTGAACGACGACAACAACCACCGTCCCCAGTCAATGGATGGTAGACAGCCAGAGTACCCGCAGTCAGGTTTGAGTTCACCATACGCGCCATACAACGGACCACAGTCTGAGGCCTCTTCTGCAGATCAAGCGTCTGCTGTGCAATACCAGGCCGGCCAAGACTACAAGCCCTCCAACTTCTCGTCCTCTGCCACCCCAGACTCAAACTACGGCTTGCCTCAGTCGGCGCGTTCAGGAAGCTTTCCAGAGTACATCCAGCAGCGCTCTTACCCAGACGGTCGCCAGACGCAGTACCCTGCTGGCGCGCAGAGCAACATGGCGCAAACATCAAGTCCGTCCCTTTCTATACCCGATGGGCCCCAAAGTAACGGCCACGCGTCGAACAATGCAAAGTCTGACAGCGAAGTTCCAATAGATCCCTCCATTGCCCAGTCGAGTCCAAGCTACCCACCACCCCACAACTACTCGCCTTACCCGCCGCAACACGACGTTCCTCCCCAATACCCCGGCCAGCCGATGACCTCGTACGGTCGCCCAGAATGGGCAGGACAGTATCAGCAACCCATGGGCTACGGTCACTCCCCAGCGACGACTGGCGGTGCCGCTCCTAACATGATGGCGCACGCCATTCCAAGACCTCCCGCGGTTGGTACCCTGGGTGCGCATCCAGCCGTGTATCCCCATCCTAACGTCATGCAGGGAGGCCATCCACTGTCAACAGTGTATTCTTTTGTGCCAATTCCAGGTGCTCAACAGCACAAGCGTCCTAGGCGACGGTATGAGGAGATTGAGCGCATGTACAAGTGCGGCTGGAATGGCTGCGAAAAGGCGTACGGCACGCTCAATCATTTGAACGCGCACGTGACGATGCAGTCGCACGGCACAAAGCGAACTCCAGAAGGTACGTCTTTTTTTCACGTTTGCTGTTGTTGTTTTAAGCTTCTTTCGGAGCTAAATTCGCGACCTGGTGGAATTGATTGCTGGTGTTACTACCAGCCGTGTGGTTGACGCTGTCGCGCGGGCGCTAAAGGCAAGGCTTATCCATGCTCGAAGTCTTAGCGTGGACTAGCCTTGGCCTACCATCTTGCATTTACCTTGCAATGTGCTGACTAGCCTGTGACATATAGAGTTCAAAGAAATCCGCAAAGAATGGAAGGCCAAGAAGAAGGAGGAAGAGAACCAGCGCAAGGCCGAAGAAGAACGCCAGCGCCAAGAAGCTGCTAGAAGCGGTCAGGACACTTCCCAGACTTCAGGCCAGCCTGGACAATACGGGCAGCCACATATGATGCAGCCACAGATGGGTGGTCCTCAGCTCCCGCCCATTGGATACCAGCCCGCCGGCGGTCAGGCGCCTGGCCAGTATGCGCAACCACAGCAAGTCGACGGAGCGCAGCAATACGGCGGAAGCGGCCAGTTATACGGTGCACAAGGCTACCCTCAAAGCCCATATGGTCAAGGTGGCCTTCCATACCAGCAGCGTGTGTAATACTCCTGCATTGCGTGTGAGTTGGTATTGACCATCGTGTAGCTCATGAAGGCAACGGCCAAGGGTACTCACAGCAATAAATCATCCGCTGTTCTTTCGATTCACCTCTCTGAGATGGACGTCGCTCTCACACCAGTCCATGGTACCGTACGGAGGATTTCATTTTAGTGAAAGCCAAGGTCGATTCTGCATTTGCAAGGAGCACTTCGCATCGCTGAGCGCGGAAAAGCGACCCAATCATGGGAAAAACGGAGACCGGTGTTGTGGTTTTTGCGGCGGGTGTACATTCGCATGCGGTGGTTTCGCACAGCATGCACGAAGCTTGACGTGTTTTACGGCGGAAGCCCTTCTTGGAGGCGTTCCACAATTCTAACGGCCGGTGATACCATACGAAACCCTCTGGTTGCGCGGAGGCAGAAAGTCTTACAAGTTTGCAAGGAACTTCTTCAGCAGCAGCAAGAACGGTGTTGTTTCTCGTGGTCGCTCATTCGATTCGGCGTTCTCCTGTGCAGTGGGAAAGGATGGTTTTGAGAGAGGGGTTTCTTTTGTTGCTTTGCATTCAGCATATGGCATGATTCTCCATTTCTGTTTAGTAGTAGCTGGCGGATTAAGGGCAGCAGTAAATCGAGGGGATGGAGTGAACGACGAGACAAGGAAACTGGGGGCACACAGCTACTTGTACTTGTAGAGAAAGGCTCGAGGAGAGAAAAAAATACACCATAGCACACTATTCAAAGTCAGGCTCTTTCTAAAACAACGCCATCTCCTCGACGATGTCATGGACTATAAGATAGTAGATTGATGGGCTCCGCGGTCGTTCGACGCTTGATGAGAGTGGAGGGCTGCGTTCTAGTGCACGCTTGCGAAAGCGCAAACGCTTGGATGAAACAATGGGTCGGCATTAAAATGGTGCAGAAGACTCTTCCATTGTTTGCCAATCAGTAGTGCTCCCAAGAGCCAGAGACCCTAGAGGACGCCAGCGACCACGCGACAAAGGCAAGCGCCATGGGAAGGGAAAACGACGAACTAGTAGCGGGATCTACTCCGTTATTGTACGCTGCACGGCAAACGAGAAACACCACCACGACGCATCCACCAACGGCAACTAGATATGACGAGCAGGAGGGGATCTTGGAACTAGGCTAACGTCGTGCGATGGTGTTACCACGCTATGCAAGTGCCGAGAGATGCACATATAGATAGATTGGAGGGGCGATTATAGTGCTTACGACGGCGGGATCTGTCGCTCGAGAGGGCATGATGGGCTCTGCTTTAGTGAGGGTTGCACGACGCAAGTGCGTGGCACGGCGCAGGCGACGATGAAGGCTTGATCGGTATTTCCTTCTCACTAGAACTCCTGTGCTTTGGCGAGGGACGACCGCACCGCACCCGCACCGTCTAGGTGGAGTTCGTTAGAACTAGTGTGCTGGTGGTTGACGCCGTTGCGTACATGGCTGGCTGAACTTGGGGAGAGGTGGTGTTTTGTATGTACGTACCTCTTTGCGCTTGCCTGTCCTGTGCCTGATCTTCATGGTTCTTCTTTTGATTTTTGCTTCGTGCCTGGCGCTATTACATCTGCCCGTGACCCTGCGTCTCGGGAAGGGAAGGGATGGAAGGAGGAGACGGAGGAGCAAGCGTCAGTTCTCTCTCGCTTGCGAGTGATGGCGCAAGAAGATGACTTCCTTCGCCCGTTGCGCAGGCGCGACAATTGCCCATATCGCTTCTCGTGTGGAAAGGGTGTGGCCGTCAACTTCCGCTTCGGGGAGGTCGTTGGAGAAGTGCTTCACCGGAGTAGGGAGGGAGCACGCCGCTTCGCTCTGCCGCCGACGAGGAACCTACGCAACCAGCAACGCTGGTCAACCTTACTTTTCGTGCCAGACGCTGTCGTTCACTACCATGCTCTTGTCTAGCCTTGCGTTACCGACCGTCAGGAACCGCGCTCACGACGGTGTCGTTGGACTAGGCTGATGCACTAGCAGAGCATGAGGTGGGGATCCCGCTGACTTGGAGACAGATCTAATGCGAGTCATCTCGAACACTAACTCCCACCCGCAGCGTGGTTGTGAGGGAGTGGGACTACTATAGCGTGGTATGGTGTCATGAGACTACATGCTTCTTGGTGCGGTGGTGGACGGGAACGGAAAGTGCTACTGGAGGCCTGTGGCTGCTTGGCCATGGCGCTATGCGACGCTTGCGAAGCGTATTGCCCTCTCGCAAGGCTAGGGGAGGCACAGCAGCTGCTCACTCGGCAGGCGCCATATTCGGACGGTGTCAGGATTGCCGTCGTGGTGGGAGAAGTCAGAATAGTCTGGGGTGGAAAAGCCAATCTTGCAGGATGGTGCGACAATGAAGACGCCCCTCGTCTGACATGTGCTTATAGGAGTGCTTATATTAGGATGATGGATTAACGCTAGTTGCTTCGCCGCTTATTCCAGCTCAGGGTAAACGTTTCGACTGTCTGCTTCGACAACCTCTCGGTTCGCATCCAGCTCTACAAGCCCCTGATCCGGCCCGCGCGATCTCACAGGAAGTTCAGAGCGACTTGAGGACGATCGTGAACTCCGAGGTATGAGTATCTGGGAGTCCTTCGTGAAAGAAGTATCCGATGCCAGTCTCTTCCAATTCATCTCCAGCAGGTCCCGGGCCTTGGCTTGGATGATGCCGTATCGAAACGCGGCCAAAGGGCTGTTTGCAGGAATCAACTCGGCAATCGCTGCATGGATCGGCTCCGTGTGATCTCGCACGGCTCTGGCTGCCGTCTGGACATCCGAGATATCGGGTTGAGCTCGCCCGCCATACGATGCGACTTGAAACGACTTTGCCAAGACGAGAATTAGGTCGCAAGTCGTGCACAAGAAAAGATGGGCCATGTGAGGAACCATGATTGCTGCAGCCGCTGGGGCGGTTATAGGCGAAGCCATATAGATGCTTCCTGTGCTGAGCAGCGCCAACGCCTCTCCCCAGTACGTTCTTGTCCCTCGGACTGAGGTGCTTTCGGACATCTGATCTTTGATGGCTTGCAATGCCTGCTTCGCTTGCAGCCCTTTGACCCCGAAACACGCCACTATTCTGCGATAGATGTCGTTCTTCATGCCTTGGCGAGTTGCTGTAGGGAGTAGTGGGAACAGTCCGCTGGTGGTTGCTGCACCCACCGCGTGCCTATAACGGCGCATGGCCATAAAAATCGCCATGTTAATCTTGAGGTCCGGCCTTGTCATCTGCGCTTTCACATACATAAGGCGCGTGGCTTCGTCTTTGAAGACAGAGGAACTCCTTTCGGTAAGTTGTTCGATCGATTTCGGGTCGTCTGATGTTCGTAAGCGTTTGTCGGGCACAATAATCAGACTGGGGGCCAGAGACTTACTTCGAGAGACGCACACCCATGCATCCACTCTGCCGCCTTTCAAGCTGGAGATCTCGTCCACCATGAGCTGCGCTCTCTTTTCAAGCTCTTCCTGGGCATATTTTTGGCACTGAGCAAACTGCTCGGGACCTATCTCGACACCCTGGGATTGGAACTCGCTCAATTGCTCACCATATCGCATGTTGATGTACTGGTCTTTCTTCGTTGCAACGAGCACCACTGGAACGTCACCATGACATTCGTGCAAAGCTTCAAAGATGGCATGCGAAGCTGTTTGTGTCGTTCGGGTGGTATTGGCCTCCAAACAAAACCTTTTTCAATGATGCTGTCAGCAATCTCTAACTTGCGTCAAATCACGAAAGTCGCAGACATACCAGATGACGTGAAGCCGATTTGCAAGGCTGGGTTCTGTGGCGCGCTTGCGGATGAATTGTTTGACGTCTTCGAGCTCTTTCACCCCTCCACCTTCAAACCCTTTGGAATCGTGGAGCAAGAGGTCGTCCCGGCCCTCGATCCGGATTTCTTCATGTACGTTGTGAATGCCGCTTCGACGTTCTGAGACGATTCCCTAGGACAGCTATCAGTCGAGCCCTCCCAACTGGAGAGAGTGAGACGCACTAGATCAACACCGAACACCTTCGACACCAGGTTCGACTTTCCAACACCAGGATAGCCGCAGACTAAAATACGCAAAGGCGGTAATGAATCAACGTCAATCTCGAAGTTGTCCGAGCGGCTCCAGAAGCCAGGATTTGGCATTGACTTCGTAATTTTGGTTGTACCATCATCGACGACTTGTTCAGTTTCTCCCAGCATGGTTGAGCTCCACTCCGAGAGATGCTGTACAAGTTGCGCATGTTTGGTTTCCATAACGACGGTCACGTTCTCGTCGATGAGTGAATACACCGATGGGTGGATGATTGTCCCCGCAGGCCCTGCACTGTGTTGTTAACTTTGAGATCGAACATTCGCTGTAGCCGTCGTACCCTGACTGTAATAACCCTGCAGAACGCTTTCAGCTGTGCTGTTCTGTTTCCGAGCAAATGGCTCGCGGGGCTTCTTGAACCAGGAACCATGTGCTCGATTGATTCTGACCTTGTAGCGTGAGCCGTATGCAGGCAAGTCGTGCACTTTCCGAAGGTCCTGCATCGCTGTGCGAATGCCATTCTCGCTCGTACAGTCCCAGGGATCGACACCTTTGCCTTGCTCTATACTGGACGGGAATACTAGGGTGAGAGGATCGTCGATAGCGGGAGCATACTGAGCATTGCCGTGAAACTCCAATACCAAACCAAGTCCCTTGCATTCGAGCAGCATCCACTGCAATGGGTAGAGCGAGAGTCCAGCATGGTCAGCAGACCCACCCACAATGTCATCGTGTGTTCCAGCGAACCACGCTTGAACGAAAGTGCGGTCTTTGACATTCATTTTACACATCATCTCCTGGTCTGGAAAGATATATGCCGGGACGAAGTCTCGCCGGTCTTCGTGCAATGCCACGGCGTGGCGCAGATGCTGGATAGAATCGTTCAACGAAGTATCAAAAGATGGGTCATCGGCTTTGATGGTGTCGAACGCGCCAATATATCGAATGGACGGAGCAGGCAAGGTGTCGAACTGCAGCATGTGATTCATCTACATCGATCTGTCAGTAACAAAGACGACCCGTTTGGTTAGGGGTGCCAACCTGTCCGGCGCCGAGTTCACGCTTGCCCTGCACAGCAGCATATACCTTCAGAGCCCTCTTGTAATCTTGGTGAAAATCGTTTCCCGTCGACTTGAGCCTTCTGATATAGTGCAACAACCCTGCCACGGCACGAACAGCATAAGCACCCCGGCCAGCACCAATCATCCACACCTCATCGTCTTGACTCAATTCGCAACATCTCTTGTACACTCGCTCGATCACCTCCCCCGGCGCCTCTCTCTTAAACCGCGCGATTGTCCCCTGCTCTTTCAATGCCCTGCCGCCTTCGTAATGCCTTTCTTGGATCCACGTGCCTCCATATTGGTCAGTGACCTCTCCCTCCTTGGCGCAGGCCAGGATATTGTACACATTGGTGAGTGGGCCATGAGAACCTAATCGCTCGCCTCCGTCTGGTCCATCAACGCAAAGGATGAGTCGCCTGCGGTGTGGAGGGTTCGCGCCTCGTACAGTGCCAGTGGCAGCCATCGAAGCCGACATCATCTACTGTCAAGAAGCATGAGCGTGAAAGCGGTGGAGCTGAATGCCCGGCGAGGGGCAATCCTCGCTGGACCGTTCAGCGGCCTACATGCCATATAGACACACTTTCATCGCTGGAGGATCGGGGCTAATAATACAGCTGTAGGCGCTTGTCAAATATATCGAAAGCGTCAACCTCCTTCGGCCCTAGTCCTGAGCGTATCTACATGTACCTCTAATAGGACCCGAGATGCCTGAGGCAACAGGGCGCTAAGTCCGAGTATATCCCGCGCGTTGCGGATCCGTGCGCATGCAGGCGGCATGAGAAACAACTTCACCAACCTCTTCTCTTCACGGTCATGAAGTCGTGTTCTGGGCTCCTCGTCATTTCGGCCTCTTCGGATGTAACGCAAGTCAGCACCGCGTTTGCGTTCAGAGTCATGCCATCAACAAGGGAAATGCAAGTTCAAAGTGAAAACTTACGCAGCCTGATCCAAGCTCGATCAAGCCATTACATCCAAAAGTGTATCTGCCACTGCGCCGCAGCTTCGATAAGGGTGGGGAGAGGGCCACTGGTTCATGGAATGGTCTCTTAGTGCAGCTTCGACAAAAAAGATCTGACCGGTAGAACCATTCGTTCGGAACACCAAAGATGACTTGCATGACGCCGTCTCATGCTTCCACGTTGGCCTGCAGGGAACGACAAGATGGTTGATGCCAGCCACATGCACCTTCGGCGAGGTCATAAGTGTCTGTCGGCAGCATGGTCATTTTGACTTGCCACTCGGTGCCGGAAAGACGGGACTATCGGCTCACTCATCATGGCATGGCATATAGCGGCGTCCCGTACGGTGCACGGTCATGATAATGCAGGCCGGAAGGGGATTCAGATGGCTTGTTCTGCTTCATCTTCTGATCATTACATTCTTGTTGGTTCGATGATACCTTGGGAGGTTGTTCTCGCATCACAAGAGGTTCAGACTGGGCCCTTGCGTCTGGGATCCTTCCGGGGAGTACTGCGTGGACTTCCGTCACCTCATGCAGGACCACGAAGGTCTTTGCAAGTACGAAGGCCAACAACTCGTCATTTCATCGTCACTTCTGGATTTCCATGCTGCCAAGGGTGGTCTGGACCAGGCTGCGACAAGACTTGAGGCTCCCTTCGTCCCTGCCATCAACGACAAGGAGCGCCGAAGCTTTTGATGATTGCGACGAGCTTACCAGCAGTCGTCGTCAAGAGGAAGCGCTTGTGGGTACTGTCTTCACAGCATCAGCATCTCAAAGACTGACCGTAGAGAGACATTCACTGCTAACCAGACTAACAACAGCTAAGCCTCGATCGATACCTCCCTGCCCGACACCATCGACGCCAGCAAGCCTCGCTACCGAAGATCATACCTGCCTCAGCCGCTCTCGTTAAACGACGATACTCGCCCACTTGTACACTTGTACAGATTTCCATGCCAGGAGAACTGTGCTTGCTGGACGATAGCAAAGTGCACCTGCTTCGCCGCGACCTCTCCGGTCGTTCTCGAGAATTGCGACAGAACACCGCCCACGAACCCTGAGACGATCGTGAGCATGAGCGTCGCCATAGACTACTGTCAGGCTGCGGCCTTTCTTCGGTTGCCACCCAACAGCATATCATGAACAGAATATCAGACTTCCAACGTAGCCTGTTCCTACGGTCGGAAAACTGGCGGTCAAGCAAGAAATAGACAACGAGACCAAGAGATTTCAGGGATCGTATGAGCTCGCGACCACAATGAAGCATGTGCCTCTAAGTGGTCGAAGAAGACATCAATTCTTGACATAGTGCGTGCGCGGCCAGCCTGAGGAGAATAATGGACAGGAACAGCCGTGAAGAAACAGATCTAATTCCAGCGAACACACCTGGTATCGCTTGCACCGGACTGAACGCTTGACTATCGCCGACGTTTATTGCGTCCTGGAAAGTCGCTTTGGACGTCTTCGTTCCCAATAGTGGCCCAGTCGTCGACGACGAACTGGTCTCCACAGAAGCATCCAGCGGCGATGGTCCTATGTCACACGTAGACAAATTGGTCAAGAGCAGTGTAAGGCATGAGAGGATATTGAAGAGTTGAATCCACTTTGGAAAGGGTCCACCAGAAAACTTCGCTTTCTATCATACCCTACCCCTACGACAGGGAGATGAGGAACAGTTACCAGATCGGCTTTCCATTGGAAGGTACGATGAAGGTGAGTGGGTTGACATTAATACTAGAGGAATGTTGCTTAGCAGGAGAGCATACGACCAGGCTATGGCAGCTTTGCCAGTCGGCCCCCAAAAGATAGCCCTATCCTCTCTTCAGCCCATTACCACTAGACGGCACTACTCGTACAAAACAACATCCACCTAATCGACCTCAACTACAACACCGACGTACTCAACTTATTTCCCGCCTTGATGAACATCGTAAACAACATAACCAACCCACCAATGTAGGACCCCCCTCGAAGGCCCGCGAGCAACTGCGTCTCGTTGTTGATGTACACATACGTATACACCGCCCTCGAGGCCAGATACGCCAGACTCAGGCCGTTCAGCCAGATCGGATCCAGCCTCGCCGCATTGCCTGCCGCGAGAGCCGCGCAGAAAGGTCCGAAGTTCTCGAAGCCGTTGTAGCAGGCTGCTTCTGCTCGCAGGATACGGGCTCGCGTGGCGGAGTCGAGGGCTTGGTCGTTTTCGACGGCGGTGAGGAAGGCTCGGGGGTGGCGGTTGTCGAAGTCTTTGTTTGTGGCTTTTTTGTAGAGGCTTTTGCTGTGCTCTCTTGGGAGCATGCTGAGGATCTGTGTGGAGAGGGGAAGTTAGGGTGAGGTTGGGAGGTTTGGATGGTAGGTTGAGGTGAGTTTTTGGTTCTTGAGATTTCGTTTTCTGGGGTTTGGACGTACCCAGAATGCTGGAATGGTCCACATGGAGATATTGGTTGTTCGCAGATCTGGGATGTAGGACGACATCGTGCTATCTGGGGGGTGATGTTCGGGTCGTCGATGTAGTGTGAGTAGGCTCTCTGCTGTCAAGGCAAGTCCTCTGGACCTTCTACTTGGAGTCTTATAACCCACCAGCTTTGATGTTGTACGGGTGTGATGTCAATTGATGGAATCAGATCGCTTAGATAGCTCTTCGATAAGCAATGCCACGCCGTCTTATAGCAACCCCTTCACGTTGTGGACAAGTCAATGCCTGTCTCGGGAACAACGCGTACAACCCTGTTTCCAGGGTACTAATGACTAAAAGCAGGTCGGGAGCGGAGGTGTCAAGCTGAATTGTTGCGAAAGTCTCACCGTCATAGCTTGAAACTTGGTCCTTGTGCAGTGAAAGTGAGGAGGTTCGACGCCTGAGGCACGAAATGGCATGTGAATTCCTCTGCCCCCGACGGAAGAACCCCACGCGCCCCAACGCGTCCTCCGCGACAAGCTCGTGCAACTTCAACATCACCTCGATCAACATTTGCCAACGCAATGTCCGACGACGAAGATACCGCTGCGTCCTACAACAACACCCAACGCGCCTTCCTCCAAGCCCTTTTGACCCGCCAAACCATCACCTTCGAAGAAGCCAAACCCCTCCTCGCAACCATCCTAACCGCCAACGACCCCAACCGTCCAACCCTCGAAGGCGACGTCACGCAGGAAGACTTCGAGAACTACATCCACACCATCAATGACACGATCTCGCCGTTCGACTATGAGATTCGAAGTTCACTCGACCAGGTCACGAGAGAGAGGATCTATGCGCTGGTGAACACGACTTCTGATGCACTCACGCAAATGGCCACCGTGCACACTCCGGACGAAATAGCATTTGTCAAGAGGGTGATCGATGCCATGTTTGATACGAACAATACGCAGCGCGCGGAGGTGTTTGCTGTGAGGAGCATGGATGCGGTCAAGCTTTCGAAAGTGCCCAACAGCGAGCGGAGAGATTCGGGACAGACGCAAGGGAGGACGCAGGGCGAGGGTGCTGTGGCGTCCTTGACGATGAGCCAGGCAGAGGAAGTTCTGAGCAGTATGGTGGAGGAGGGGTGGTTTGATCTGAGCCAGAAGGGGTACTACAGTCTGACGGAGAGGAGTTTGATGGAGCTGAGGAATTGGTTGCTGGATATGTATAACGAGGATGCGGAGGATGCGGAGGATGATGAGGAGCCGCATTTGAGGATCAAGATGTGTGCTGCTTGCCGGCAGATTGTGACCAAGGGTCAGAGGTGTCCGAATTTGCCTTGCAATGTCAGATTGCATGAGCAGTGCGTGAACAACATGTTCCGCGCGCAGGGAGGGCAACGGCAGTGTCGTGAGTGCAAGACGGAGTGGACGGAGGCACCACCCGTGGGAGAGAAGGCTGCGAGGAACACTGGTGGGAGGAGACCCAACGATCGAAGAAGCACGACGAACGGCACTCATGATGAGTCGGACGCAGGAGCCGGCGCAGACGACTGAGTCTGAATGGCCATTGTATGATATTGCATTCCGACACAGCGAGGCGTCTGGCGTTGAAGAAGCCGCTAAATCAGCAGGCTGGGACGGGAAGGCGTATAGATATCTTGGACGAGTGAAATCTTCGATTTGCTTCAGCTCAATACCATGAGCCTGACGCGTAAGCTATGATCACATGCGCATTCCACACGCACACGTAGCAGCGTCTCCATATGCGCCCAAAGCCATGCTGCAAACCAGAACCCACATTCTGCTCCATTCGCTTTTCCTTGTCGTGAATCTACCGGTAAGACTTCTGGTAACGGGCGCGGGCACCTGGACCCCCGAACTTCTTGGGCTCGCAGCGTCTGTTGTCGGCCACGAGGAGGGTACGGTCGTATGCGACGAGGGCCTGCTTGAGCTGGTTCTTGCTGTGCTCGTCGATGTACTTCTGATAGTAGGCGATCTGCGTATCAAGATCAGCGTCTCATTCTACAGTATGTGTTGCGAGCAGCCGCGGCTCGGCGCACGGTGTGTACTTACGATGGACTTGGCAATGGCTTGTCGGATGGCGTAGACCTGGGAAGTGTGACCACCACCACGGACTCGGACGCGAATGTCAACATCGGCTACAGCAAATCGTCAGCAGTTTTCCTTGTGACATGATCCGCCTTGTTTTCAGTCTTCTCTCCATCCCAGAATCCCATGCATCTTCCCAAAAACCCTGTGCCAATCTCTTCCCAATTCCATATCCCATGCTACTTCATGTTCCATCCCAAACAGAATATCACGTACCGAACTTGTCAAGGCCGAGGATGAGGACAGGCTCGTAGACCTTGAATCGGAGGATCTGGGGCTCGACGAGCGAGAGAGGGCGGCCGTTGACCTTGATCAGGCCCTTGCCCTGCTTGCAGTGTGCGACGGCGGTGGCAGTCTTCTTCTTGCCGAAGCACTGGACGCTCTGGACGGTCGACATGATGGGCGGTATTGACGCGGTGTCGTCGACTCGTTGGGCGTTTGGGGGTGGTGGGCGTGCGTGCTGTTGTCGTCGTCTGCGCTGCGGCGGTAGGCTGCGCTTGCCAGACTTCTGAGGTTCGATTCGAATTTCGTGTGGCGGAACTTGCCGGGCTTGGCTTGGCGGTTTTGAAGTTTTTGTGCACGCTTGTGCAAGTTGTGCTGAGGTTGTGCAGCTTCTCACCCTTCAGCTTCACTTCACCACTTCCATGAACCACAAGTTTTCTAGCTATGGTTGAGCCAGACATGTGATGACGATATATTCTTGACAAAACTTGCTCTGGATTGAAAATGGAGGAGCTCATGACCAGCCTGACCCCGGCAGGTCTCCATTCAGAAGCCATCGAACCAAAGAAAACTGATGATCCAAGATACTCGATCAACAGACTCTACGCATTTGGCTCCAACGGATCGGGCCAACTCGGTATAGGCAGTACATCCGATGCCGCAACACCGCATCCAGTCAACGGTTCTCCAGGAGTGTCAGCAGCCCCAGTCAAGCACGTCGCATGCGGTGGCAACCACACAGTCATCCTCTTCACGAACCGCAACTTCGCAGCAGCTGGCCACAATAGCGATGGGCGATGTCCAACGACGGGGAAGACCAGATCGGCGTCTCTCACAAACGTTCAGGTGCCACCTGACACGATCGACAGTGACTGTGCGGAGGTCATGATCACGGCTACTTGGTCTGCTACTCTGCTTATATGTAAAAGCGGCATGCTCATGGCTTGCGGCACTGGCAATTCAGGTGAACTGGGACTCGGACCAGATGTCACGACTGCGAAGCATCCAACGCCTGTCGAGGGATTTCCACCGAGAAACACCAGCATCGTCAAGCTTGCTTCATGCATGGGGCACGCAGTCGCAGTCCTGTCAACTGGTGAAGTCTACGGCTGGGGCAAAGGTCGCAAAGGACAGCTTGGAGAACCTGCTGAGAACAGCTGGACGCCGCGAAAGATCGAGGGCATTCCTTTCTGTGCTGTAAGTGCTATCTGTGGGAAGGACTTTACATGCATCTTCGGCGAACCGTCCAAGGGTGAGCTATTTCTGCTGGGTCCAAATGGAAACGATCGTTTCGGCGTCAAAGCGGACGCTCCCAAAGCAGTACCGGGATGGAAGCAAGTCGCAGCATCTTGGGGCAGCATTTACGTGCTCTTCGAATCTGGCAAGCTCATAGGATGGGGCAGGAATGACCACGGACAACTTCCTCCTCCTGGAATGCCTCACCTTGAGTCATTTGCTGCTGGTAGCGAACACTGCCTTGGTCTCACATCTTCTGGTAAAGTCTTAGCCTGGGGTTGGGGAGAGCACGGAAATTGTGGGCAACGTACCGCTGAGAATGGCGACGTGAAAGACCGATGGAACTGCATCGAGTTGCTTCGTGCAGCATCTGCCGTATTCGCCGGTTGCGCGACCAGCTTCGTCGTCACGAACGACAGGCGTATATACGAGGATGACAGCCCCAAAGCCCACAGCATCATGAACACCTAGTCGAACATGCCACGCAACTGCCGAGGAGTCAGCGGTCTCTCACATACGAGCAATTATTCATATCATACTCACCTGAGAGAGGCGCTGTGTTGGTTCTAGGCCTTCATCTTGGCTGCTCACAGTGTCTCGGACGTTCCTCGGCGGCGGTCGCGCCTTATTCACGTCCCGAATGGTCGGACGGAAACTGCCCAGGTTCTCGTTGCTTGCATCCCAGCCGAGCATCTCGTCCTCCTCTTCCTGCTCGTAATTTGGCGGGTCCCAAGTCTGGTCGTCATCGCCACCGTTTTTCGGAAGGAACAAGCTGTCAGGATCAGGATCATCATCGTCCTGGGCTGCTGATGTCGGCCGGACTTGCTCTCTGAGTGAAGGGCGTTGGCTTTGGCTAGAGAATGGTTTACCAGCGCTTGGCCTCGCCGGAGGTGGCATCTCAGATGCAGCTCTGCTGTTACCCTGCAGTGAAACGACAGACGGCTGTCTTGAGATGCTCCTGGTAGAGACGAATTTCGGATTCGGCGTCGACGATGTGCCACGGTGATCGCCAGTTGTCATCAGTGTGAACTCGGAATGGATGCCGAAGTTCTGGTAGCTGAACTGCAGAGGTCGGGTTGGATAGGAGAACGAGGCCGTGATGGGATTTTTGAGTGTCTCGGCATGGGTGACAATGGCGCGGAAGTCCTTGACGCTGATGACAATATGCATGCCCTCTTGCATGTGGAAGTCTTCAAAGTCTTCAGTGTGGATGGAAATGGCCGTCTCGAGTGGCTGCTTGAGGACTTCTGCGGGAACAGTTAGCACAAAGTTGAGGTCCGTCAGATATGATGCTTCACCTTTGCCGTCCTGAATCTTCTGCGTGAAGCTTGTAAACACGGCTTTCCCGTCTTGCGCCACGAGATCAAGCTGCTCCGTCTTGGGACCAAAGTACTCGATGTACTCTCGAAGCACTCGGGAGGATACTCGCCACCCTTGAGTAGCAGCTGTCTTGTCGAAGAGTGCATGCATGACCTCCACAGATTCGTATGTCAAGCGGTATGTCTTGGTCATACCTGCATGAATATCAGCTCGATTCTTGCAGAACGACTTTATAAGATCTCACCATGCTTAGATAGCATCTTAACGATAAGCCGGCATGCTGTCTTGTCCGGCTGGTCTTGGATGGAGACATCACACTGCTCGACCGCGGTTTCTCTACCTCGCTCGTTCGTCCGGCCTTTGAATACTGACTGCAGAGCCTGATGGATCTGTCAGAGCCGCTCTACTTTGATCTATCACGTTCCAAACCTTGTTGTAGAGCTGGCATGTGAATCTGTCACCAGCGCTCGCAGCATTGTTGGCATTGAAGTCGTAGCTGATGAAGAATTGCCTCGCATCCAGAGAGAAAGATGCGTACGCCGTCCTCGACAGGTTCAGTGCGGTAAGAGTTAGCTGTCCGCTAAGTTAGTGAATCTTCAGTGCAAACATTCTCTCTATCGCCTGCAGAACCGACCTTTTCGCTCCTCGCTTCCAAAGAGACTGTTTCGCCGAACTTGGCCAGGCAGATCAACAGCTCATACACTCGCCCAGTGGCCTCGGGAGTGAGCGAGAAGCTCAGTACCGCCATTGTGCGATGCTTGGGCTGCCGATCGCATTCTTCTTGATGGCTCAGGAATTGTTGATGCTGGTCGCGTATGGGCGCGTCATGAAGGCGAGAGCGAAGCGCGGGGACTTCCAGTCAGCAACACAACCGCGTCCTTGACCCTCGACATCACTCCATCAACATCAAGACTTGGCATTGTTGCAACGGCATCGGAGGGAGCACTATCGAGGTTATTCATTGCTTGATGGCGACGACGACACAAGGGCTACAGGCGCTGCCGGCAGACCTCTTCCATCTCCTTTCCGCCGAGTTATCCGAGCGATTGGACTTCCCTACGTTGTATAGCTGCATTGTCGCCAGCAAGCAGCTTGCGAATGCTGGTGCGATCAATGCGCTGTATCGGTGAGTTCGGTCACACTACTTCCATTGATCTTGATTGACCATTTGCAGTATCAGCCATTATGCCCCCGTCAAGGGAGGCGGAGAAGGTTTACCATTAGCCGAACAAGAACTCACAGTCCAAAGATGGTCGATCCTCTGGAGGACGATAACGCTGTCCGCTTTCGGCAGGACAATCAATCCATACTGTCGGCATTTGCGGTTCCTGGATCTTCGTGACCTTGGCGATTTACTCGACGATGACAAGTTTCGAGGACAGATCGCGAAGCAGTTCTTCAAGGGCGAGCTTGCGAAGTTTCACTTCGTGATGCAAACGCCCAGCAAGGTTGGTACAATACACATTGTCACGTCCTCTGCTGACTGGTCACAGTATGGCCGCGCCAATCGATTAGATACTAAGAAGATCATCAGCGCGATTGGAAATGAGATCACGCAGCAAGCACCTCTTCTCGAAGCCTTATCTGAGCCGACGAGTTCGAACATCCTCTCGACCGCATTACTAGACTGGGCTCCAAGGCTACCTCACTTGAAGTCTCTTGACTTGTGGGATGGACGGGCGCTTGCTGATGAAACGATCCGCAACCTACTGCACGCTCACTGTCCCAATCTGACGAACCTACGAATCTACTATTCCGCGAACGAGGATGCCGACCACCAACTTGCTACCTTCATCAGTGGTAGGTGTTCACGTTCCCATTGCTGATCGGCCATTTCTCTGGGTGAATCCCAGAAGGATCAGATGTCGCCTGTGCTTAAAAGCCTGTCAAGAAATCCCACTGATAACGGAATAGGGATGCAAGAAAACACACTCAGCTCATTCGAGAACATCAGTGCATGTCGCATTGGTCCAGAGACTTGCTTGGCTTTGAGTAGTCATGGCAAGAGCCTCCAGTCGCTCAAGCTTGGGCTGTCAGATGAAGGTATTGAACCTCGCACGATTGCTATTGCAACCTATCTGACCATCCGCAGGCGTACAAGCTCTTGCCCTTCTTCAGGGATGCACAGCTGTAGAGACTTTGGCGCTTGCCTCGTTCACTCCGTCTCCAGATCTAAAGGCCACTCATAACGACGTGTTCCTCGAAATCGTGGAATGGCTGAAGAATTGTCGATCGTTGGTAGACGTCAGCTTCACCAATTTCGTCTCGGCGCCAGACCTACTTCTGCCAGTATTGCTAAACAAAGACATATCGCTGCAAAAGCTGCAGGTCAATGCTACAGAAGGAGCTATGTAAGGTTCTCAGCATCCTACACCAAAGCTGAGTATTGACATGCAATCTACAGGTACGTGGTCAAGGATCACCACGACTTTCACCAGGCGTTGAGCCAACAGAAGCGGCTTCGAAGTCTTCTGCTTCGCGCGGATCCAGACCCTGTTACACGAGACGATCTTGAGACTCTCATGGACGCATTCTGCTCCCTGAAGGTAAGTGGTGCCTCCTTCAAATCTTTCCCATCGTGGAGCAACTTTCATTGGAGACTTCGTTATTGTCTAGTATAGGACTAACACATAGCCGCAGGACCTTCGCGAATTGAGACTCACACGTATATCCGACTACTTCAGCGATGAGCATATCGGCCTCATAGCTCAACAGCTTCCTAACCTCGAAGACCTATACATTGGTGGCTACGGGGTCTCTGATGCAGTGTTCACTCACCTCACGAACCTGCAGAATCTGAAGGTGATCACTTTTAGCGGCGTGACTTCCTTCACGGAAAGTGGCATAATCGATTTCGTGAGCCAGCTGGGAGAGGTGAGTTGAATCCTCCTCTGTGAATCCGAAGGAATATCTGCCACATGCAGCCTGTTTTCCATTACACGATGATCTATGATATGCATTTGCTGACATGGGCTGGGCAGGGCAACTACGGCTTGACGCTCTCAGTCGACAACGCAGACCCAGAATCAGCGATTTCGCCGGAGAGTCAAGACCTGATTCGTGACGTGATGGCAAAACAGCTGGACGGCAGATTCGAATATCAGCTTCTTCGAGGTATGGGTGCCTTTCGCCAGCGCCTGTGGAGATTGCTGACGGCTTGATGAAGACCCCGAGATGTTGGAGTTCGATTCGGACGATTCGGACTGATGAGTAGGACTTGTCAAATGCACTGTCGTTGTCTGTTGCACTCTGCTGTGTGTGAGCGACTTCTTTTGCTGCTTTGTTTGCTGTGCCACTGATTGTTGCGGCAATCGCAGCCACAAAAAACTACGTAGTGGAGATATCAAACATGAGCAACAGCCCCAATTGGACGGATCATCAGTAGGGCTTGCTTGCGTGCAGAAACTTTGTGAACGGTTACACAAAGAAATCTCCTTTTGTTACGCCTCGCGACGACGTTGAAACTCGTTTCCAACTCGTACCAGCGGGCAAGGGCTGACGTAACGGCGCGCTTGGTACTCAGAAATTGGACCCCAAACGCGACCTGCGTCCTCGGTTTTCCAGGAGTGTCAGACCGCGACGCTCGCTCATCACACACAAGATGAAACGAATCCTGGTGGTCGCTGGATCTGACAGCAGCGGCGGAGCGGGCTTGGAGGCGGATCAGAAAGTAAGCGACCATACCAATGACAGTAGTTCGCAAAGCTAACGTCTCGACATGTGATTGCCGCTCATGGCGTGTATGCGATGACCGCGACGGCCGCTCTGACGGCTCAGAACACTCAAGGCGTGTATGGCATCCAGGAGACGCCGTCGAATTTCGTGCAGAAGCAGATCGATGCGTGCATAGAAGACATTGGCGTCGATGTGCTCAAGACAGGTACCCAGGCCAAACCTTATTCGTACGATTCGAGACCGGATATGGAAGTGCTAACATCTTAGAGGTATGCTGGCTTCGGCGCAGACCGTCATGGTCGTGGCGAATGCCATCAAGGAGCATAAAGTGCCGATATCAGTGGTCGATCCCGTAGGACTATCACGACGCCTACTTGCTCACCGCCAATGCTGACATGATTGTGCGAAGGTCATGGTGGCCACGAGTGGCGCCCAACTATTGCCTGAGAAGGCCGTCAAGACCCTTGTTCAAGAACTACTTCCAGTGACGACAATCCTCACCCCAAACATCCCCGAGGCCAATCTCATGCTACGAAAAGCCGACAAGGACCCAGTTGAGATTCGAAACGTGGAAGACCTCAAGCGCCTCGCCTCTGAGATCCAAGCACTAGGTCCCAAGTTCGTTCTCTTGAAAGGTGGACATCTCCCGCTCACGAACGACTACCAAGTCGCGCGGACTGAAGAAGACAAGAAGATTGTGGCGAACATCCTCTTCGGTGGCGATTCAGTGGATGTGATCGAGTTTCCCTTCCAAAAGTCACAGAACCTCCACGGCACCGGCTGCTCGTTAGCTTCAGCTCTTGCTTGCAACCTCGCTCTCGGCCTTGATCTCGTCCAAGCCGTCCTGGCTGCTTCTCGATACGTCGACGCCGGGATTAAGACTGCCGTCAAGCTCGGTTACGGTCAAGGTCCTATCAACCATTTCCACTCGCTCCAAGTCCAGCCTTTCCCTCCAGGCGGCTTCATCGACTACCTCCTGGACCGCTACGATGTGCAACCTTCCTGGTTCGAATACACGCATCACGAATTCGTCGAGCGAATGGGAGACGGCACTCTACCACCGGAAGCTTTCAAGTTTTACATGATCCAGGATTACCTCTACCTCACCCACTTTGCCCGAGCCAACGCCCTTGCTGGATACAAGAGCAAACACATCGACGACATCGCTGGTGCGGCACAAATCGTTCTCCACATCAATAATGAAATGCAGCTGCACATCAAAGAGTGCAAGGACTTCGGTCTCACACAGGAGATGATGGACAAGTACGAAGAGAGCCAGGCGTGTACGGCTTACAGTCGCTACGTGCTTGATATCGGCCAGTCCGAAGATTGGCTGGCACTGCAGATCAGCTTGTTGCCTTGTCTGCTCGGATATGGTATGATTGCGCGGAGACTGAAGGAGCTGCAGAGGACGAATCCGCCTAAGACGCCGAATCGTTATGTGACGTGGATCAATAACTATGTTGCAGCGGATTATACCGAGGCTGTGAAGAAGGGGTGTGGTGAGTTGAGTTCCAAAGTGCTGGTTGATTGTGTGCTAATGTCTGAAAGCACTGGTCGAGAAGCATGCCTTCAAGCAGTCACCTACCAGGATTGAGGAGCTGGTCAAGATCTTCATTCACGCCACCAAGGTAAGCTGCAATGCCCCCAACAGACCTCGCCAAAGCTGACCCAGCATAGATGGAGACTGGATTCTGGACCATGGCATCGTTAGCAGAGAGACGTAGTGCGTCGAGCACCAGGACAGACGCTCCCAGCAGGCAATAGATGGGGACCCGGGGTCGCAAAAGCATACACTTCGCATTTGTTTTCGCGGACACATGATCGAACCGCAGCGCTTCTATTATGACTTTATCATGAGTATCATGCCAGCGTACCACATCCATTCTGCGAGCCTCGAGTTGCGTCTTTCGCTCTTTCGAAGCCCCATTCGTTCATGTCCGTACACACAAACTCCTTTTGAACGCCATGCAAATGCCCTTCAATCGCTTCGTTGGTTACATGATGGTGCAGCAGCTGTTCTGCTTCTTGGCCTGGGTATAGAACATCTTGCTTTGGGCGCTCAAGCCGTCAGACTTGGCGACGAGACTGTCAATCTTCTCGCCACGCTCGAGAACGGATTCGATGGTTTTGTGGAGGACGATCTTGGTTTCGTCGAGTTCTTTTTGGATCTACGCGCAAAGAGGTTGTGTCAGCCCCCGACCATCTCTCCTGGTTCCCGCAGATTTGTTGTAGGCCTCACCTTCATAATACTATCCGCCGCCTGCGGGTCCTGATACTTCTGAATATACTCCTTCAACTGCGGAAACGGCACCTCGCCATTGCTATTCTCCCACGTACTCCGCGGGTACCTCGTGGTGAACTCATCCAAAATCTTACTGAGCAACTGATGCGCCACCAACGCCGGGTACTCGTGGTCGCTGATGATGATCCCCGCGACGCCCTCGCTGCGGGCGTAGGCGTGGAAGGTGTAGGACTGCTCTTCGACGTCTTGTCGTTGGCCCGCGCGGGTGCGCTCTGCGACGGTTTTGCTGAAGACGGACATGAATTCTCCTACGCTGCCGCGGGTGAAGCGGGAGAAGGAGGAGAGTTCGCGTTCGGCGCAGAGTTCGACGGCGGGTTTGTCTTCGTTTTTGAGGATCTGTGGGGAGGTGTTAGATGTTGGGTTGGAGGGGGATGGGCGTGGTGGTTGCGTACGCCGATGTAGAGGAGCTTCATGGTTGCGGTGGTCGTTCCGATAGGTGAGGTTGTCTTTGGTATTGAGGTGGATGTGATCGTCGAGGTACTGTGTTTTATTCGAGTGCCTGGATGTCTGGAGGGAGTGGCACGCGTGAACGAACAGCTGCGGTGTGCCATCACTTTTGTGGGGTCCGCTGTCTCTCTCGTGCAGCTTGCCCGTGCATGCATAGTGTACATGCACGTCGACAGCAACTCCGTGCGGAATACAACACTCTCTCACCTTCAAGCCTGTTCAACACGACATCATGGCGCCCATCACCACCGCCTCCAACGATGAGACGCACGCCGCCCTGCTGGACACGCTCGACATGTACAAGATCCACAAGCCCTTCCGCAACCCCAACTGGAAGCCTCCCCAGCGCCGCAACAAAAACCTCAAGCAGATCCTCTCAGAAGCTCAGCGCGCGCAGCAGAGCATGCTCAACACGCAGCAGAACTCCGGGGCCAGCACACCCACGCCTGCGACCGACGGCACGAACACTCCCTCACTCAACCCCAACCCGGAGAAGATGAGCCAAGATCTGGGGAGGCTGGTATTGGAGAAGAACGCGAAGCAGAGCAATGGCATCTCGACACCGATGCCAGGAACAGGCTTCACTGGACCGAGTGTCACATACACCAGTATAGCAGCTGCACCCAGCCTGAAGCCCAAGAAGAAGTACTGCGATATTACAGGTCTGCCTGCGAAGTACAAGGACCCAAAGTCGGGACTCTACTATTTCAACGCAGAGATATATGCCGTTGTGAAAGGCTTGAGTACAACGCAGGTGCAGGAATATCTTGCCGCAAGAGGCGCAAACACCGTACTCAAGTGAGGTGGACTTCGAAGGATTTTCCCATTGCCAACAAGAAAACTCGCTGCAGAATCGGTGAACATGTGGATGGATCATGGCTTTCGGCTGTTGTATTACTTGTGGATCGCAAGTACAGAACTACTTGGAATCGCGTACGGCACGAAAGACGCAAGCGCGCCCGAAGACCGAAAAGGCTCCTAACCGGGGAACGACCGAGGAAAGAAGGGTCTTTTCAGAGCCACGCCTGACCCACTCATCGTCTCCTGGACCGGCCCTGCCGTACCGGGTAAAGATGGATTGCGCACGAGATATAGGTGCCGTCTCTTCACGCACTGCAATCTTCGATCACAACTTCCTGCTCGATCACAGTGTCGCCATCGATCCTAAACCGCATCTACGATCACATCATCAGCATGGCTCTCCTCAATGGCGAAATAGCACCATGCTCCAATCACGACTCAGTACGATCTGTTTACCTCGTAGCGCAGTGGACTTTCACTGACAGACCCTGAGACATCAATCCCCGCACATCTCTCCGCTGCAGCAAAGGTCTTGCGCATCACTGAACTGCTCGAAAACATTCTGTTACACGTTGGAGACCTCGATGGATCGTCATGGATGAGCCTCTTCACCGTGCAAAGAGTCAGCAAACGGTTTCATGCTGTAATCCACAAATCGCCATCATTACGAAGAGCCATGTTTCTCGAATCGCCCAAGCCATCGATACAGCCTAAGCCTGATCTTCCGGCAATGCTGGACAGCTACCGAATGTTCTTCGCCGCGATCCAAAGTGTGCTATATCCTTTCTGGTGTCACCTACGGCCGAGCTCAGGACCCGAAGCGCTGATTCTGGCATTAAACATATCGCTCTTCTGGTCTGAGGAGACGCCCGGCGTCATGGTCGGTAGGGCGCCATGTACTCTGGACGGCAGCAAGAAGATCGAGCAAAAGGGAAACTCATGGCGGAATTTGATTGTCCCTTACCACCCAGAACATCAGATGGAACTGCACTGCTGCGGCTTTCCGGTCATTGGTACTTTCAGTGAAGGACAGACGCTGGGCGAGCTCGCGGACAAAGCGGTCAGTGCAGGCCGAGGACATTTGGGGAATTTGACGCCGGTCATGTACTATGGTTGAGGCGGACTGCGATTGTTCCAGGATAAGGTAGCGGGCTTACAGTACGGCCACCCTGATGAAATGGGACTTTCTTAAGGTGCACAATCCGTCACCTAGACCTGCTGATGCCACTGGATTCCTTGTATGTGTGTTGCAAAGTGCCATGCTCTTCTAACATGCACTGACTGCCCAGAGCAGATCTGAATGGTGGAACCGTTTCTCCCTAGCGTAACCCAAAACTGACCCCAGGTGGCTCCAGTCGAACATTGAAGCACGTGCTTGAAAGCCTGTGGCGTACGACTTCTTCCCTCGGGCTACCTGATTCCGGCAAAACATCATTACATGCCATGCTCACCTCGAACCACTTCATTCCTGCCTGCAAAGGAAAACGTGTCATGAGACGGCTTTGTCAGGCTCTGTGGACGAGCCAGCGTCCTGCCATGTTTGAGAGAACATGGCTCACGCTGGATTCATGGCGACAATCGTCTGGTATACCAAACCATGGCATTTAAGTGCTCAATGTATTTGATTTCATGGGCAATGGCTTGATATCAAGATTCGACATTGGAGACGCTTCTTACTGTTCCTTTGCGGACATCGCACGTGGTCAAGTCCAGTGTGATGCACAGAACCTTTCGGCAAGTTTTCCTTTGCTACTTTCAATGGTTATCATAACCCGAAGCCGAAAAATCGCCTGCATTGCAGAAGAATGGAATCGATGACATAGCCCGCCGCACCCTGGACGAACGACTACTTTCACGTCGAACAGTGGATGAGATGCGGCTGATGGTAAGATCTTCCTGTGAAGTATCTGGAAGTGAAAGTTGCGCGTTTGTTGGAGGTTGAGGAAAGAGAGGGTTTGGAGGTATGTGAAGGTATGTGAAGGTTTTTTGGGTCGAGGAGGAGGTCAGAATGGTGGGGTTGTGAGCACGCCGATGGAGTGCTCATTTTTGAATCGGGATGGTGATGAGGGTTGGGGTAGTGGGAAATGGGGAGGTAGATTTCGTGGCTTTTCGTCAAAGGGGAGTGAGGTGAGCTGGACTTTGCCTTGGTGATGGGGCATCTCGTGACTTTCACATGCAAACGAGCTAGCCTTCTTTCGAAACTTCGCGGCTTCCAGTGCAGCTTCCTCAAATTCCACATGTTTGCCTCATGTCGGCGAACTTCCTCCACACTTACAACACCTCAACATCTTCGACCTGACACCTGCACGGCAACACACTCGCGATCATGGCGGACATCTCAGACCAGGTATGCTCACACCACCGAAACCCGCTTCTTTGTCCCACAACTAATCTCCATAACAACAGAAGCCGCACCCTCTCATCATCAAGCCCACAGAGAAAGTCTTCGCCCTCCCCGAACTCGTCGAAAACATCCTCAAATTCTTGCCGATCGACGACCTCTTCATATTCCAGCGTGTCAACTCCACTTTCCACGACACCATCAAGGACTTCAAGGCAATCCGTCAAGCCATGCACCTCGAACTTGGGGAGGGGATGACGCCTCTGACTCGACCACCGACTTTTTCGCCAGAACCAGACATGATGACTACACCTTCGCCTCCCGTCCGCTCGAGTCCGCAATCGAGCCTCTGCAACTGGGCTACCGCGGCATAGACGATGGTCACGTCCATCTCCATTGTGACACGACCCGCGACTGGTACAATGACAGGCAAAAGAAGCACAAGAATCGGTTCCTGTCCAAGACTCCCACCGTGAGGTCAACCGGCTCTTGGCGCCAGATCAAGATCGGCTGGAAGGACTTGCCGATCTCTGTCACGACGCGCTATCCGCCTGTCGTTGAACTGAATTTGGGTCCTATGGCCACACTTGGAGAGCTTGTGGATGCGTTCTCGAGGGAGTGGGCTGTGGTTCGGACGAACGAATCGATCAGAAGGCAGGCAGAGCAAAGTGATTATTGGTCCATTTGGTAATGGCATGCACATGGGATTGGGGTCTCAGGGCCGTTTCTTTTCGATGAGCGTTCCATGCATATGATCAAGGAGGCGGAGGTGAGGAGAGCAAAGCACCGAGGAGGCCTTCTATGGAGATCAAATATCAGAAGGCACGGGAAAACGTCTCGTGGTAGCCTCATTTGCTCAAGGGTGCTTTCAGTGCCGCACACATATTTGATACTTCCAATCACCATCCCCTGCAACCTGCCCTGTCTTCAAAAATCACACAGAGGTCGACGACTCCGTCCCAGAATCCTGAAGCGGTTATGCAGCGCTTTGATCATAAGGCTCTCATGCGGATGAGTCTCGAATGAGTTGGAGAGTGGGCCTGTGTATTGCTACGATCACATGCGAAGAAGCCACATTGAACGTCACTTCAGGGGTTCAACTCGCCATCGTCTAGACTCCCCTTCTTTGCTTCACAGTATCTGGACAACTCCCCCCGCAAACACCATCCATACAACTCATTTTCAACATTGGCATCCATACTCTTACGAGCCGCAATCATGGCAAAGGTATACCCTGACCCCGAACCACAAATTGCCGATCATCCACCCACTGACCTCCTCCATTTAGAAGCCCGCCAAAGCCAGAAAGATAGCAGCACGAAAAGTCCTCGCCCTCCCAGAACTAGTCTCGGCCATCGCAACCCACCTACCGAGCGAGGACCTCTTCGTCGTCCAGCGAGTCAACACCACTTTCCACGACATCATCACCAAGACCAAACACCTCCAGGAAACCATGTACCACGCCAACCTCCCCCAGGACCCCTTAGCACACACACTTGGAACGATCTTGACCTCCCCCGCCCTCAAGAAAGCAATGGCGCCCCTACTCCTCCGCCACGCCAAAACGACTCGAAGGAAAGCCATCCTCACGGCCGAATACACGCCCAAACCGTACTACTACCGGCCCAACTCCACCGAATCCTGGCGACGGATCAAACTCGACTGCGGAGACTTGCCTGTGCTGCTTCGCTCGGATGGATGGGACGATCTCAACTGCCTGCCGAGGTGACGCTCGGGGAGATTTACGATCAGTTCTTTGAGAGGGAGGCAGATGTTGAGAGGATGATGTGGAATAGCCGGAACCCGCTGTCCAGGGGGCGGTGGGCATTTGGCAGCGGTTTGGGGGGAAGGGTGGACGTCTATGATGAAGATGTGAGTTTGAGGGGTTCGACGATGTTGAGGATTACACCTATTGGGGATGAGGGTTTGAGTTATTAGTGTCGAGACGAGAGCGGCTTGAGTTGGGAGGTCAAGGACTCAGGGACAGGAGGATATGTGGAACGCCGGCACTCAAAATGATGTGAACGAGGCATTAGAAGTGTATTAATGTGAGTCCTCAATGAGAGGCATTACTTGTTTGTCCTGTCATTGCCGTACACGTCCTTCCAATCATCATCATTCCTCGCATTCTCCAATGTCTACAATCAAACAGAATCGATGAATCCGTGCCAGAAACGCCTCTCCCCACAATCACGCTCTCCAACGCTCTTTAGCCGTCCTAAACCCAAGAAATGGCACCAGGAATCGGCCAAAAGCTCCCTAAACATCTCCTTCCCCGTTGCCATCATCGCCTTCCTCAGCAGCCTGCCCCGACGCAGCAGCGCGATCATCAACACCATCCTGCATCTCAACGTCCTCTCGAGCATCGACAACAGGCCCCGACGGCTCCTCTTCCGCTGTCTCGAAGCTGTCCCTGGAATCGGGGTTCGACGATGCGAGGCCAGGGAAAATCGGTCTTGGGATCGAGTCGTCGTGTTCCTTCTCTGCGCCCTCTTCAGGCTCGGCCTCATCGTCGGCTTCTTCCAGTTCGCTGAGCTCGCTCTCATCATCTGCGCTGTCGTGGATGCTGCCAGGCGCACTGTTATCGAAAGAAGCTTCACCTGAAAGCGACGGACGGTCTCGTTCTATGAGGACCTGCAATCTCGGCGCTGAGGCGATCTTCTGGGCTGTAGCGTCACTGCTGGATTGTGACTTGGCCTTCTCCTTCTGCACACACAGCTCTGCGCAGGCTCGGATCTCCCTTCGTCCCACACCAATCTTACGGCGTGCTGGAGCAGCTTCAGTTGGCGGCGGCAGACCCAATGCTGGGTTTGCGGGCGGGACTGGGGGTGCGTTAGGCGGGGCGTCGCTACTTCCATCAACATTCATCAGATGCGTGAGACTCATCATGGGATTCCGTGGCGGGCTAAGGACTTGAGGAGGCTTCTCTGCTTCGCGACTGGCATCTTCTTCTCGCTTTGCGCGACGCTCGTCCTCCAATAGAACCTTGCCGACTGTGTTGAATAACTGAGCATACGAGTCGCCAATGAGGTCGTCGATCGCTCCTGGCTTCATGATTCCCTGGTTGATCTTCTTCAACTCCTGCACTTCTCGCAAGACGTCCAGCGCAGGCACTGCCCCAGGATCTTGCGTTTGCATCCACTTCTCTAGAGGCTCTTTGCGGGCTAGGAAGTCTTCATGCGCAAGGTTACTGAATGTCGAAGTCTCCAGACCTTCGCGCAAATCGGCATATTCGCGCAGAAGCTGAAGATACGCAGTGCAAATGTCTTGCCAGAGTTGAAGGTGTTCGAAAAGGTCGTGAGCGCGGCGTCGCACACGCCTGGCTAGTTGCTCCAGGTTGGCGCGGTCCTTTAGCTGTCTCAGAAGTTCCATGTAGAATCGAGTGTAGATGGTGGTATAGACGAAGTGTCGGCCTGGCCTCTCGCTTTCCGGTTTCCACACCTGGAGTGTCATGGTCTTGGTAAAAATTTGTTGGATCTCGTGATGGGCTCCCATGACTCCCAAGTTCTTGCCGCCCATAATCTCGTCTTTCGCATCGTTATATATGATCTGCGCAGAGCGGAAAATCATGCGGTGGTACCAGTTTGACTTGTCAGCTGCCCTCAAGTTCTTCAACACGGCAAGGATGTACGGGGTCCACTCTTCCATACTCTCCGGGAATGTATCCTTAGTTGCGTAGTGCGTGTGTCTCAGGGTTTCCTTCGCTTCTTCTAAAGTGACCGTCTTCGACTGTGTCAGCAGTTTGTGGACTGTGGTGATCAGCTTGTAGTGCGGCTCCAGGATGGGCTCTTTCTTGCCATCTCCTTTCCTGTCTTTCTCGGGCAACAACTCAAGAGTGCGCACAAGAGCCTGCAGCACCTGCGATGCGGGTTCACGCTTGCTCGAACGTCGGGCGGTGTCTGGGGCATTGTGAAGCTTCCACAGACATTTGCCAATCATGCAGTGGATCATCCAGCTGTCAGGCTTTCCAGGAAGTGCTCGTTTGTACAAGACATTGACGAGCTTGATAGCTTGGTATACCGTCAGAGACTCGAACGACTTGTCTGTCCCGACTCCAGTAGGACGGCTCACGAATCTCTCCTTGTCCTCGACCTCGAATGCCTTCATTCCAAATGGTTCGCGAGCCGAGCTATAGATACGATTGGCGAATTCGTAGCACATCTCGGTAATCTTCGAGGAGGTCTCGAAGCCCAGATCAGCAGACCGATAGGCCAGCGCCATGCCCATAATATAGCAGTGAAGAGCAGTTCGTTGCAAACCGACGATGTCTTGCATGTTGTTGTTGAGCTTCTCCGCAGACCAGACCACATTCTCCTCTACTTTGGTATCGTGGGCTTGAGCTAGTCTGAACCAAGTCTCCCAGTTTTCTCCTGTGTATTCCAGATCTTGGTTGAAGAAAGCAATAGCAATGTCAACATCCTCTGTCGCAGTTGCACCGGTTCGCTTCACCGAGCGGAATCTGGTAAGAGCAATCTGACCCATCAGAAAGTACCATCCTTTCGAAGCCAGCAAAGCATCGTCCTTGGGGACGGGGGTGACTGGCAGCTGATTTCTTCGGCCGGAGAGGCAATCATACAGGTCCAATGGATTGATTGGAGATCGGAGATATGATTTGATAACTTCGCGGTTCCGCAGAATGGCTTCAGTTGGCTTCTTTCTGGGAAGTGCACCGTGGACCTTTTCGATGGTGTCCTTGATCGGGTGCTTGATCAAATCCTTGACGGAGAGCTTGGAGGCTTGTGAGAGAAGCAAGTCGACGGCCTGCAAAGCCACGTTGCGGTCCAGGAAGGCATCAGCGGTACATTTGTGCTCAATTAGCTCGTACGTCGGGTCGAGGAAGCAGTTCAATCTGTGCAGATCGTAAAGAACCTGAGCTTGTTCGCTTTCGCAACCGTCGATTTGCGTCATGTTGAGGAACTCCTCCTTTAACATGCGGACAAAGGCACGATTGCAGCTGCCGCAGATCCCTCGAAGGCCCAGGCTACGGTGAACGGTACGCAGGAAGTCGAAACGATCTTCAAGCGCCGTGGGATATTGATCTGGGTTCTGAGAAAGCGCCTCCTGAAACAAAGAATAGAGCATCATCCATATCTTCGTCTGAGTCTCCTGACCAAGTTTGGTGACTGCAATGTACGAGGGCACAGGCAACCCGTTCGATAGAGACGGCGCCTGAGTCTGCCCAATACGCACGGAATCCTCAGCTACGTTGAAGACCTGCAAGAGCTGAAGAATCTCGCCAAAGCCGTTGACGGCAAGTTTGAGACCTGTATCGTCCAGGCATTCCAGGGCATCCGCGGAGCTGTGTATGATTTCGTACAGCTTATTGACAACGTCATGCAACAAGCGTACACACTTGAGCACCGTGGTCTGGCGCTCTGTTTGAGCTGTCGTGGTGACATCTGAAGATTTGAGCTCGTCCAACACCATCCGGATCATGCGGAAGTAACAATACACGACCATGGGGCTGTACTGAATGGCGACATAAGCATCACGTAACCGCTGCCACAAGAGCAACCGCACGGAAACATTGCTATTCTCGAGGAATCTGAGGAGCTCAGGCGGAACGTTGTGCAAGGACTCATCTCCGTCGAGCTGGGAATTCTCACTAGGACTCGTCCTGGCAGCCTCGAGCGCTTCCAGCAACGGTTCCAAGTTCTCAATGACCGATGCTGCATCCTGGGCGTTGTGGCTGGTGACCTTGAGAAAGAAGTCTTTGGTTGTGAGCTTCGAGATCTCGCGCTCCAACGTCGTTAAAGACAGCTCGGGCATGATTGCGTTGTTTGGTAGGTGGATGGTGGGCTCGTTTGCCGCCGTGAAGACTGTTCGAAGGTCGTTCATGCATTCGATAACATGATCTTGGGATACATCGTTAGCAGTGCCGATAGTGGACGTCGTAGCCCAGAGAAAACGAATGTTGAGATGGTCTTCAAGGCGAGGTGAGTCTGTGGAGACTGCCCGGAAGTGCATCGCCTCTCGAGCAAGGTCGAACCATCGCTGTAGACGGTCGCCTTGCGTCACAATAATATCTGCCTCAACTCCACTGTTGGGTTGCTTGATGAGGCTGTAGATGTCTAGGTGAAGCTCAAAGATTGTCTGCACCATTTCCGGAAGTCCTAAGTCGGCAACATCTTTGACGTCTGGATTGAGTGTACCCTTCCAAGCTTCGAGCTCAGCGCTTGCTTTCTTGTAGATGAACTCATCAAAGTTGACGAGAGTCCGCACAACCATTGTTTTGAGGTTCTCTGGCCACACATAGGCGGCATAGCTATTCGATTCAGCAGTGAGCTTGCCCGGTCGTAGCAGGGCTTCCGCAAATACCCAGCCAGCCTCCTGAGTGAGGTAATGGTGCTCATTCATGGACTCGAGAAGTTGATGGAGCCCATCATTCGGCATTGGTGGAAGCTTGGAACCTCCCTTCGATCCTCCTCCACCAGCGAACATGCCACCAGCACCGGCCAAGCTCTGGCTTTGGCCAAGGTCCAGGTTTTCTCCACCATGCAAGAGAAGATGCGCGAGCTGTTCGTTGAATTTGTCGAGGAAAGCTTGTATATCAGATCTGGCAACTCGCAGGTCCTGTATGCCTTTGGGTGGCTCCGCAGACGGCGTGCTGTCTGCTGAGGCTGCCATGTCTTGTCGAATATGGCGTGTGGCGTCGAAACCGACGATTCCAATCCTCTCGAACAGGTTACCCACCGTCTCAAACATCCAGTCATCAGCAGCTTGGAACTCGTGAAGCTGCTGTTCGAACTCCCAGCGCGTGTTAGCGTCAATGATAGCTTGACGACTGTCTGCAGTGTCCAAGTTGGACTCGCGCGCGCGAGTACGACGACTCTTTGCACGGCCTTCTTCTGCTCCATCATTTAAGCCAGCCGCATCTCCAGAGCGTTTGCGTGAGGGTAAGGTAATAGTCGGGGAGTCCATCATGGTCACGTCTTCGTCCGTCGGATTATTGGCAACATGCATGCTTCCATCCGCAGAAGCTATCTGCGGCTGCGCTGTTGGCAGTCCATGATCCAGGCCGGGAAACTGCTCGTTGACAGACTTCGGCAGTATCGGGTTGCTTGCTGGTGCCGGCAAGGCCTGAGGAGAAGGAGCTGATTCTAGGGCGGCCACAGGTGGCGATGTAGAACTCAAGTCAAAAGCCACAGCAAGAGCAGGGAAAGCAGAGGAAGTGCCGTGCTGCTCGGCCATGAGCTGCCGCAGTAGCCCATCTCCCAGCTCCGCCCAGGATTCCGGTGTTTTTAGAAGAGTTCGCTCTGGTCTTTCGATAGCGGGCAATGCATCGCCCTGCGCTTTTAGATTGTTCTCCTGGCGAAGAATGTCCTCGTATGGGTGTAGCTGTTCTTTAAGCAACCTCGAGAAAACTTTTCGCTTGCTCGTTGACAACGGGCTCTGCAATAGCGAGAGTTGATCTTGCAACTCGGAAACGAGATCTCGAAGTTGCTCACCAGCCAGACTTTCCTCTAACCCCGGAAGCGAGAGAATTCCACCCAATGCATCATCGTCGCCATCCATGACAGATTCCAGACAATAACGAGCCACTCGCTTGCTGTCGAGCAGCTGTCCCACAGACGCTGTACGCCGCCATAGTTCAAGGTCGCTATCATCTTTGTCCAAAGCGTGCACAAAGTGGTCGAGAGCATCCTTCGCATCGGCCAGAATCTGATTCAGCGTGAAGTTGAACTGCTCGAATCTGGCTGAAAGTGCCTCTAGTTTGAATTGAGCATAGTTCTTGTGTGAAAGATGCAATATCTGTGGCAAGGTGCTCGGTCCTCCTTCCAGTCCGACGGGGCCTGTCACAGTGCCAGGCTCCAGATCGTACCAGATCTCGTCCGACTCAGGGAGAGGGCCATACAGCTCGATTCTTTGGAGCTCTATTTGCGACTCTGGATATTTGAAGATTTCTGAATCGAAGAGTTGTTGATACGCCGCGGCGGCTTTGTCGAAAGATCCAGGACCCTCGGCATGATACTTCAAAGCATTTTGGTACAATTTCAGGGCCTCCTCGATCTGAATCTCCTTAGTGTCGTCGACCTCGATGTCGGACTCGTCATCGGACTCGATATTCAGCGCCTTGAAGCCGGACATGGTTGCGTAATCTCGTTCACATCAGCGATGGCCAGCCCGCCGCCGTGATGGCGATATGGTGGTTGTAAGGGTGGGCGTGGTGCAAGCGTGAGGCGGAGTGTCGCGCCTCAGCCAAATGCACGCGTTTGATTGAGTCGGCGGAACGAGCCGCCGGGGCAGTTGACAGCTCTCAGGAACGAGCACCACCACGACCGCCAGATATCCCTTCCAATTGCCCTCACCACACCCCTCGCATCGACTCTTGCACGGGCCGTAACCACGAATACAATCACGCGACCACTGTGCTCACTAGCGACCGACAGGAGCAGCGGAGATGGTGGCCACAGGCGTGCCGGAGTAAGAGCATTCGTGGATAAGCACATGTGAAGGTCACGCTGAATAGGAATTGCAGGCTCTTCGAGGATGAATCGCATTCAGTGATCGAGATTCGAACAGACAGCCTCCAGACGCTTAGGGAGCTTGGTCCGCCTGATCTTGTGCATCTCATCAAGCAACCCACCAAATCGTCAACCGCGAAGCAGGTAATCCTCTCAATAGCAACGAGGCGTGTGTAAAGTGCAATCAAGGGGACAAGAATACTGAGCGATGCATTAGGTCGGCGTGTATCACCATGTTACCGGAATCGATGCCTCCTCCTCCGCCAGCTTGGCCGCGTACACCAACACCCTAACCTACGCTCCCAGCAATGCGCCAATGAAAGTTACATCTGGACTGTATTGGTACGCTCGCCCGGACGACCCTCCCAACATCTGCGACTGACTGACCTCAACAGTTGCTACAATGCCTTTTCGAGAGTCGATATGCGAGTACAGGTCCAGATTCCCGGCACTGTGGAAAGCTATTGCGTAGATGAGCGAGGTAATAAGCTTGAAGCAACGGAAGAGCATTGGCTAGAGACATATCTTTGCAGCGTGTTGAGGGCATACTCGTACGCGGACACCGGCTCAGGAGATGTGATCAAGCGCATAATAGGTGTGAGGAGGTTCAATCCCATCACGAGCACAGAGCAAGAGCAGAAGTTCCTGGATGCAGCAGAGAAGCTGTTCTTCAGCGGTAGGATAGGGGAAACGTTCAAGGCAAAGAGAAGCACTGACAAGATAACAGGCTGGCAATTGGGCTCAGATCCAGAGATTCAGGTACCGAACCTCGTCTCGAATCACCTCACATCCGGCTTGCTCCACTATATCAAGACCACGGGGCGGTTCGCGTCTGGCATCAACTTGTTCGAGAAGCTGAGAATGCGCGATCCAGAAATTTCATCACTCCTAGCCCGCGTATATATCGCAGCAGACGAGGAAGTCAAAGCGGTCCGTCTACTTCATGAAGTCGTCCAGGAGCTGCCGATGGACTATTCCATACTCGACTGCCAGGCCGAGTTCTGCAACAAGAAGGGTAGGGGTGATTTGGCGCTCGAAATCGCCAAACGTGGCGTGGTGTCTGCGCCTAGCGAGTTCTGTACCTGGGCCCGGCTAGCTGAGGTTTATGTCGGAATGGAGCAATGGGATATGGCACTTCTGACGCTCAACTCATGCCCAATGTTCACTTACCAGGATAAGGACGCACCAAGGTTGCCCGAGCCGGTTCGGATATCTCTTCCTCTTGCACCAGAAACGATGTGCGACGAAATCGACGATGCCGGTGCGACTCCAGACGCCGATGTGGTACACCCAACGCTGAGAAGGTTGTCTGCTGGTAACTACAAAGGCACGTTCCTAAAGGCATACATTCTGCTCACGGAGATCACGAAGAAGATTGGCTGGGATCAATTACTAAAGATTCGAAGTCAAGTCTTTGTGATGGAGGAGGAATATCGCACCGAAAAGCAGACGACTGGCCGTACTAGCAGGAATGCCAGCACTGTTGCTCTCAGAGGCACGGACACACCTCAGCCAAACGGCCATGGACTGGCAGAAGAAACACCATCAGAAGCTGGAACCGAAGACATGATCAATGGCGAAAGCGAACCCTCAATTGCCTCATCACACCTTGACCCCGACGTATCCAAACCGTCGACTTCAGTCACCGTCCGCACGAATTCCGAGACACCTCAACCCCAACCACCCAACACCGACCCAGCGCACCAGTCATACACGCAATTCCAACACAAGCGTCTTTGCGAGCGTTGGCTCGACAACCTCTTCATGGTGCTGTACGAAGACCTTCGCATATATACCATATGGCGAACAGAAGCGTCACAGTACAAGCAACAGCAGTTGGCTTACAAGAAGAGCGCTGAAGAGTGGGAGATTTTGGGTGACTTGGCCGAACGGCTTCACCATCCTGACGAAGCGATCGAAGCGTGGCAGGCATGTCTGGCTACGCGGTACAGCCCCAAGGCGATGAGAGGCGTGCTGAACTTGTACGAGCGGAATGGTGACGGGAGAGGCATGTTGGGTGCGCTGATACGGCTGATCGCCTGGCAATACCGGTGGTATTCAGAGGTAAGAAGTCTTGTCAAAACACGCGTGGTAAATGTACTGACACTTCATACAGTTCTCCCCCGACCTCCTCCTCACCATCCGAAAACTCATCGAAGAAGAAGGCGCGGTCAAAGTCCGGAGCATCATCCAAGCAACAAGCTTACCGCAGCACATCCTTGACTTGACTCATCAATATGCGGCGCTTTGTGCAGCGTTCAGGAGCAGTGGCAGTGATGGATAGAGGGTTGAGTGAGTAAGCGGGTTCGTTCGATCCAGGTCAGATTAGCGGCGGCGTCGAGAGAGATGGGAAATCCAGGGCGGGCGCATTTGTGATGCATGGGTTGTGAGGCAAAAGGGCATTTCTTTCATCGAGCTTTGAGAGGGCCTCGCGATAACCAGCTAAAATAACGGAAAGACCTTTTTGCGAGAGGCAGGCTTCCACTCTTTCTGCATATCACTTCGACTTTCAGTAAAGTGAGAGCGTGGACGGCTCACATGATTTGGAGGCGACAACCGTTCGCAAACTAGATCTGCTCTGCAAACATGATCGTACAAACTCAACTGTTTGCCCGAAGAGGAAATCGTGAGGCCTCACGTATGGTCTTGCGCATTCTAGAAACGTTTCCGCACGTGCGCAGAGGGTGTTTGTACAATCAGCAAAGAAGCTGCGGGGCTTTCGCTGGCATTTGTTTGAGGCTAGATACAAGAGCTGCGGACACCGTGGTGAGATGAAGAAATCGCAGAGTTCAGACTACTCTGTCGCTTCGCTCGTTTTCTCACCAATCTACTCACAATCCACTGCTGGTCCAACTTCCTCCATCTTCCAGCAATGGCACACTGGTGGCACCCCGAGCCATACGCCGAAGACTACCAGCAAGCAGCCTACAATGGCTTCCCTTTCCTCCCCGAATTCGGCCATCGCCGCACTGCACCTCGCGAAGAACCCTTCGTCCACTGGCGTCCATCAGGTGCCGGTGGTCGTGGCTGGTATCAAGGAGGTCGTAAGCTTCATGGATTCAAGTCGAAGAAGTACTGGGCTCGGCCAGTCGATGGCGCTCGTCGTGGTACTCTGGGTCGCATCAAAGACGGCCTGACAGGTGAAGGACCCGACATCTTCGTCGTCGCAAACGGAGACCGCCGCACCCTCCACCGCGACATGCCGTCTCGCAACCACTGGAGCCACTGGGACAGCACCGGGCTGCGCTGGCTTGACGATGGAAGAGATGCAAACTGGCGCAGTCCAGTCGAGGATATGGATTGGTATCCGCCAGGTAACTTGGGGTCGACGCCGTGGGCGCGGAGAGATCGTGATGAGGTGTACAATTTCCGGACGAGGAGGTATGATGATCTTCGGCCGGGCAACCAGTGGAAGTTTTGGAGTGATGCGCATTGGCCCAAGGGGCAGAGGAAGAGGTATGGTGTGCCGACTGCGTGGAGGGAGTGGGATGGGCATTGGAATACGACGGTTGATGGGAGTGCTGGACGGTGGCCTGGTGGTAGGCCTTTGCGGTGTTGATGTGGAGGTGGTGCGGGGTTGCTGGTGGTGGCGATCGAGGTCGTTCGAATCGATGTCGTGAGGCGGTCCGGTTGAGCTGCGGTGCTGGCAAACAGCTCACCTGCCATCAATCCACCCATACCGCGGCACTGTGACCGCCTTGCTGAAGTCGCCATCTTTCTGCTTGCTTTCGTCGGCTCTGGCAAGCAAGCTCTGTGTTTGCTCGGATGTCCAGTTTTCGCGGAAGTCCTTCAGATCGGTGGAGGCAGTTACGGCAGCGTCCTTGATGTCGGCAAACAGGCGCGGCTTGGTGGCACTTTTATACTTCAGAGGTGCGACTATCGATGGAATCGCGGCGCGAAGAGCGTCCAGCTGTAGAATATCGTTAGCAATCGTGTAGGTTGGAAAGATGATTGTTCACAAACGCACCTGATCCTGCAGCTTCTCAAAGTGCGCCAGCGCCGCTTCGTGTTTGGCGATGTCCCAGGCCTGCTGGTCCTCGTTGGTGGTTTTGTCGGTCTCGGCCATTGTTGGTGTTGTTGTAGTTGTGTGGTTGTAGTAGTGGTGATAGAGAGCAAGTCGACTGTCGGCTGCTCAGACGTCCAACCCCAGCCACACGAATAATAAGGTTTACGCCAGTCCATATTAGATATAGCGCACAAAGTCACTTCTACATCACCCAGTGCACTTCACGTTCAACTTTCTTGGGCAACAGGAAAACTCTTGACCTGAAGTCTCAAGTTTGACGCTCCCAACAACGAACGTTGCAAGAAAATCTTCATGAGTCCTATTGACTTGCAGGTTGTACGCCGTCATGCCGCTTGACAGCTTGTCCGCAGGAGTGAAGAGGGAATGCAACGGTATCTAATGTTTGGCCATCTGGCAACGGTGCTGTTGCAATTGCACGAGCGTGAGATTGTACACATTTCCGAGTCATGTTGCTCAAGATATAGCAACGGGCAGAGCCAGGAAAGGGTTCTCTCAAGATCTAGCAGACAGCACTCTCCTGCTCCGGCCATCGAGCTTCATTGGGAAGATCTTCCCGTCACTTACCGCCGCCATGACAGACTTGGTAAGAATGGAACGCCTGATCTACTACACGATACCGGACCTATAACGACCAGCCGCAGGTCACTTACGTCACTCATTTGGCTTCATTTGCGGGTTGTTCATACTTCAACATTGTCTCCGTCAAGCCCAAAGTTCTCAATACATTGCTATTGCCACGAGAAGACGTCTTTACAATGCCCGCACTTCTTACATCACACGAAGAGCTACGTACTCGGATGGAAGCAACAGGAATTTCGGAGGACCAGATCGCCACCGTCTTGAAAGGGTTAAACCCTCCTCCAGGCGAGGCCGACGCCAATCCGCCTCCATATGACCAGCAAGATCGATTCGGCAAACGAGGAGCTCCCGCGCCTCTCCAACTAGCAGAAATACCCACATTTGAAGCCCTTCACCACCGCGGACGCCAAACGACCTTCAAAGTTCATTTCGTCACGAGCGCCGACAACAAAAAAACCTGCCAGAAGATTGTGCTGGATGGCCTTCCCAAATCGCAGGCGGCATGGACTGTGGACTTTTTGCAGAAGACAGGTTTCAGCAAGGAGCCCAATCTCCGCATGTTTCGACAAACCGACAACGGTGAACGGGGCCATCAGATTTGCGAATGTGTCTTCCACCATCGAGTGAACCAGAACGTCGAGATTAAACATCCGTGGTACACCTGGGAAGGATGGAACCCAAACACTGAAGTGTGGAGCTCCGACACCGGTTTCTTGGACGAGACCTGGATGAAATGGCATTACGATCTCTCGGATCCGAGATATCCCGATAGAGCGGTCGTAGTGTGCAAGACGGTGGAGAAGGTTGGGAAACATAGAACGACCAACGAGCCAGCCGTCCTGGAGGTCTGTCGAGTGATTCTCAACAATGATGTGACCCCTGCGGTGATCGAGCTTCCCGAGGAGCCGTGGAAGCATGCCACGGAGGAGCAGATGGACGAGATGATGAGCAATGCCATGATTAATTATTGGCGGCGGCAGATGGGATGGTGGACAAAGCCTTCGTCAGGTGGAGGATCGAGGTCGACGGATACCTCTGGCATTGCTTCGGTGACTGCGTCGGTGTCATCTGTTTGCTAGTGCGAGCTGATGGCGGCATCAATATTGTCCTGGGTCTCTGTGTGCGGCTATGACTTTGATTCCCCCTACCTCTGTTCTTACTATCAGCCATGCAAAACGAGCCAATAGCATGGTGAGGTAGGGCAACTTTCTATCCGTGTAAAGGAGCCCCCGCAGAAGGACAGGCGGACGAATCAAAACATAAATGAACCTGGTAAAGTTCTTACTCCGCGTAACTTCCTGAGCTTAAATTCAACCTCAAATGTCAATCTCAGCCTCTTTCGCTATCGCACGCGGGCACCGTGCCTCAATATTTGTGCAGAGACACAGCTCCATTGAATCACTCGGTCTGGCTGTCCGTGAAAGGCATGCGCTTCGCAGTCGTGGAGGCTCGTTGCTATTGCCCATTCTCTCCTCGAACCCTTCACAAGGCCAACTCAGGGGCAAACCGCTCCATTACGGTTGTAGAGGTGCCTGCGTTCGTCCACGGAAGATGACCGCAGGAAGATCAACAGGTGCAGCTGCAGCTCCATGCTCTACAGTCGCGGGCCTGCTCAATCCAATCAAAAAGATCGTCCGAGGCGGTCGTGGAGATGTGGATCGTACCTATTGAGTTCCGAAAGGTTTGTTCCTTCCCACTTCGCATAAATTCTATGCCACTACCTCGAAAGCACACAAGCCATCAGTCGACTTTTGCTCCACCATCCGCGGGTTATATTTTTCATCCCCCGAAGAGGCCCCCAGGAAGCCACGTTAACAATGGCGATCAAATCGAGCTCGGTGCACAGCGTGCAACAAATCGACGCCAATAACATGGCTCGAGTGGGCCGGAAACAAGAACTGAAGCGTCAGTTCAGTCCTTTGGCTATGATTGGCTTCTCGATGGTCATGGCCGTCACCTGGCAAGCTACTCTGTTCGTAACGACCTTCAGCCTCCCCAACGGCGGGCCTGCTGGCGCCGTTATCATGTATCTTTTCACCGCTGTCGGCCTCACATTCACCAGCCTTTCACTCGCCGAGATGGCATCCATTGCTCCAACTGCAGGCGGACAGTACCACTGGGTGTCGGAACTAGCACCTCCATCGATTCAAAAGCAGCTGAGCTTCATCATTGGTTGGGCCGCCAACTACGCTTGGCAGAGCTTCCTGTCATCAGCCACGCACGGTGCCGTTTCTATCATCCAAGGCCTCATCACGCTCTACCATCCCGAGTTTCTGCTTACACCCTGGCAGCAGGCACTAGTTGTGATATTGCTGGTCACAATCATGGCTGCCGTCAATGTCGGTTTACTGGACCGTCTACCAGACTTGGAGTTTATCGTACTCGGAGTCAATACCCTAGCTTTCATCGCCTTCGAGGTTACTATGCTGGTCATGGGCCCCAGGGTGTCGGCTGCCCAGGTCTTCCAGAACTTTGAGAACTTTTATAACTGGCCGACGATGGGCGGTGCTGTCCTGGCTGGTCTCTTCGCAGCAATCTCGTCCCTGACATATGCCGACAGTGTCGCCCACATGGGCGAGGAACTCGAAAACGCTGCCGTTTGGTTGCCCCGTACGATCATCTTAGGCGGCCTCCTGAATTACTTGTTTGGATTCATCATGCTCCTGACATTCTTGTTCCGAGCCGAAAATATACCACAAGCCCTCCAGGCTAATCCGACGACTCCATTTCTTGCCATCCTCGAGAATATAACCGGCAGTAAAACTGCGGACTGCATCATGGGCGTATACATTGCTGTAGCATTCTTCTTTGGCGCTCTGAACATGGTCTCAACTGCTTCAAGGCAGCTCTAGGCTTTCTCTCGGGATGGTGGCGTGCCATTCAGTACGCAGCTCCGAAAAGTCACGGCTTCCGGGGTCCCTTTCAACGCTATCGTTGTGACCTGGGCCTTCAACGTCATCCTTGCTCTCATTGTCATAAGCCCCACCATTGCCTTCCGGATCATCGGAGGTCTCGCTGAGACCATGGTCTTGTCAAGCTATATGATGAGCATCTGCACCGTGTTCTGTCGCCGACTGAAAGGCCCATTGCCCAAGGCACCTTTCTCCTTGGGACTGTGGGGGATTCCAATTAACATCTGCGCCGTCTTATTCACGCTGTTCAGCTTGATCATGGTATGTGTGACACTGGCTCTTATCAAAACAACGCTCGCTGACGGATCTTCACAGGCCTTCTTCCCTACTGTTCCGAACCCAACGTTGGTCAGCATGAACTGGTCGTCTGTGGTTTACGTCGGTCTGGCCATTCTGCCGTTCGTTTTGTATGCAGCTCACCAGCGTCACGTCTACATTCCACCCGTGGAGCTTGTGCGTGATCCCGATGAGGTCAACATCGAATCGGAGAGGAAATGAGAGAAGAGGTCTCGTAAATTGCTATAGATAGCGTTAAGGTGATTCCAAGTTCGATGTATATTCGAATATTGATGTTCCGGCGAATTCGTCTCGAGCATCAAACCTTGGATTCGACCATCTTGGCTGCTTCAACAGCATTACCTGGCCCATTTGATCAAGTGAATGACACTAGGTGAAGTTCTTAGCGAGAACAGAGCTGACCGAGCTGTAGTTTATGACAACAGATATTCGTTAAAAAGTCGACAGAAACTCATTGCGTTCATTGCGGTGTCAGCACCTGTAAAGACATTCCTCGAGGATCATATTCGACTAGATCGACTCGCTTCAGGCCGGCTGACGTGAACAAGGCGCTCCACTCATGATCTGTGCGCTCTTTCGCCGCGAAGCCCATAGCCATGGATATATCGAAACTCGTCGAATAGTGGCGTGTGTCGACATCTCGGATGACCATCTCGTTGACTATAATGACGGAATCGTTTTCCATGACCGCTCGCAGGTGAGTCAAGATCGTCCGGCCTTGCTCGTCTGGCCAATCGTGGAGGATGTGTCGCAGATAGTACACTCGCGCTCCTTTGGTAGGGTTCGGTTGGAACAGGTCAAAAGAAACATGTTCTACCCCGGTGTGCTGCGTGAAAGTCATATCTGGGCGGTCCTGCACCACGACTCTGCCTTCCAGCGTGGGATACTTCTGGACAACATTTAACGCCTGATGGCCATTGCCACCAGCGACGTCACAGAATTGCACCCGCCTGTCTTCGGTCTTGTTGACGTCCATGTACTGCTCAAGAGGGAAATTGTGAAGCCACGGGACTGTGTTCTCTTGAAGAAAGGTCATGTGGCGATTGAAGGCGTCAGCATACAATGGCCGAGCGGCCATATACGCAAACATATCCTGCCCCTTGCCAATCGAGAAGGTCCATGCCGTGTTGTTCGGGTCGTCAGGCTCCGCGCGTTTAATTGATTCTAGATAAGCAGGGAATGAGAGAGCCATTGGAGCTAGCATATCGACCCTACGACAGTCAGACTAGCACTGGAGGAGTTGACCTTGACAAAAGTGGGCGCCTTACGAGACGAGAATGGCGTCCTTGACGCTTGGCTTAGCGAGTCGCTCGGTACCCTTGCTGGCTCGAAACGTAGTCCGATCTACCTGCTTGACCATGTCGTGGGCCGCCCCGTAACGCAGAAGTCGCAGCATCAGGGCACCATCTACTCCTGCCGTGGCAGCAAGAGCATCCGCCTCGACGGCAGTCGGAGCTTGTATGACCAAAGTAGTCCATATGTTCAGCTGGCACCCAATATGAGCAATAGCGAGATCGAACCCCGTAGTTGCCAAGCTCTCCGAGATGCTACCTGCCCCTTGGAGGCGCAGATTTGCTCTTCTTAAAGCCTCTTCAACCCGGTGTCGAAGCTGTGCATCCGCAACGAGACCTTCATGAAGGCGGTCGCAGAGCCCATCGTCGTGGACGATCTGCTCCAGATGAGCCACTGTGGCAGTCAGCTTTGCCAGCTCGGCCATGGTGTGTGTGCGAATGTTGGTTCAAGGTCCTGTTCAATGAATGCCATCGGAATCTAACCTTCACACGTCGTTTTATACTGCGGGCTCTGCAAGGTTCTCGTTTACGTTTGTGCATGCGCATGCGGTAGTTATTTGCATGCCGTCGAGATCTCTCGCTCTAGCGTCAAACTCTGTTGCCCACTGGCCCTCTTGGCGAAGTATAGGGTTACACATATATACGCGGTTTGTCGGAAAAGTGGTAAGCTGCTCTCTTGCCCAAAGCCTGTCCTTGAACCGAGTGCTTCTCACACATGTTTCTATACACAGCCTGCAAAGTTCTTAGCTGCTGAAAGACACGCTCTCTTGTGGTGTACTCTTCTGTACATGCCAAATCTGACGCGAAGTCCGGATGATTGTCTTCATCGCTCTTAGTAGGTCCTTAAGCGGCGAGGAGTTCGATACCGCATGCTGTTCATTGCACTCTGCCCCAATGGTTCTGGCGATTGCAGCAACTTAATGAGAGGAAGCCAAAGGGCACGGTACTCTGCAAATAATACATAGTGCCTAGGTCCAGCCTGGGTTGGATTTCAAACCATGCTCACAAGATGCTGCTCTTGACGCATTTGCTCGCAAGCGTACTCGTCGCCCTTGCCTTAGTGGATGCGAGGCAAAATCTCAGCTGCAAAGTCACGCTGTCCGATCGCACATGGCCTTCAAAAGAGAATTGACAGGACTTGAACGATACAGTCGGCGGACAGTCGATCAAATCCACTCCACCTAGCGCTGTGTCCATAGTCCAAGTGTCGGGCGCGAGTCTCTACTGTCGGTCTTGCAGAGGCATTGGCGGCATGCCCAAAATACAGATGCTGGGCTTCCCGCATTGTGTCGAATTCTTTGGTGCCGTCTCAACTACGCTCTTACAATACGCAAATCCTGGGACTATCATGGCAAGCAGTGATCGTCAGCATCACTCACTTCGCCGGTGACCGTATCGAGAACTTGACCTTACCCACAATTGCCAGGCGCAGCGATCGAATGTCTTACCTATCTAGGACTTCCCGAGTCTTCATCTTGGCGTCGTTGAACTTGGAGACCCCTCGCGGTCCAGTCCGAGGCTCGTCTTCTTCCCATCGCCCTGTGTTGTACTTAAAGTCCCTGAAACCAACCCTGCTGTCCGGGTGGAAGAGAGCCAAGTGTGCGACGTCCAACGTACTTGCAGGCCACAGATGGCCACGACCGCGTGTGCACGCGCCTGGTCGATCGCCGAGATCCGCGACCAGATCCTCCTGGAGCTCCCTTTACATGAAATCTTACGCAATCTCTGTGTCTGCCGAGACTGGGCCAACTCCAGCAAAATCCTAGAAGTTGTCTTCCTCCGGCCGACGAACACTCGCATTCATGAGCAGTATACCTGGCCTAACGGACTGCCGGTCTTGCCAATTGAGCCATACAAGAACGAGTACGAATTGGAAAAGGACAAAAAAAACACTCCGTATCTTGACTATAGTACCCACTTTGAACCCGTTTCTTAGTACATTCTACCGGGGATGGGACTCTAACCAGCGGGGCTATCTCGAACGTGGGCTCATCGATGGCCAGCAAAGCGCACTAGGAATAGAGTGGACTCTGTGCAGAGGGCCAGAGGTCTTTCATCGTGAGATATCATCATGGCGGAGAATGCAGGTGATGCAACCTGCCGCGACAATCTTAAAGTTTCAGTGTTTCGGCATGGAGGTCGCTGAAAATGGCAACGACCTCGCCGTACGGCCACCGGATGAAATCGACGAGAATGGTACTGGCGACCGCCCGATCAAGGTTCCTACTTTTGGCACTGTATACGAAGTTAGTAATCCAGGTGGCGTGACACTCGGCGATTTGATCGACGCTTTTCGGAGGCACTGGAAGGTGTGTCCGGACTGTGGACACTTTCCGGATGTATATGATGCTGCCGGGAATGTCTTGAAAGTATGGTGGTTCGACGGCATGCGGCATATGCGTGTGGTAGGTCGAGAGTCCACAGGTATTGAGATTGCGGAAGCGATCACCGTAGAGGAAAGGGTCTTGAGGCTCGACTGGAAGGGGTGGTTCAAGTGGAAGGAAGACGGATTTCCGTGAGGATGAGCCGTGTCTCTTACTAGTCTCGACAGTAAACTTCATCTTGTTGTTTTCGGATGCACATCTCGTCTAGGCGCTACGTTCGGGGCATACTGCAACATAGCTAGAAAACGTACAGACCCGGCTATCCTATATACATTTTTGAGCCCTTGCAGTAGTGCGTAGTACAATTGCTGCAGCATGATTACGGCATTCAGAAAGTAGACTCACTTATACCAAGACAATTTCTCCGATTTCATAGTCGCTCCCACATCTCGCAGCATCGAGTAGCTCCCCTTTCATCATCCCTGGAACATAGCTAGAAGTCCAGGGTCAGCATGGATTTCAAAAGTGTGGCATCCCGTTACATACCATTCCCCAATGAAGCGGTACAGATTCTGCTCTTCGCGCTGACTGTGGCTGCTTAGGTCTCGCCTGGACACTTTGTTCCGCGACAAGCGATCCACGACTCTACCAAATCTGTCCTGGAAACCTGAGGATCGAGTGTCCGTGATACCTTGGTACTGATCAGGAGGTCTGAGTGCTCGGAGGACATATGGGGTCTTCCCGCCCTCAAGTATGACAATGCTGTCTCCAGCTCTTGCCGCGGATGGCACTAATCCTTCGAAGCCGTTCCCTGTACTGCACCACTGCCGACGATAGGCCAAGTCAATATCGAGTCCGGCAAGAAGTCTGCTTTTGCGCCTGGCTTTGTCCGAGGTGTCGACGATGGTGCTCACAACAAAACCTTGGAGATGAAGTCGGCGGAAATCACGAACTTCTTCAATGCCCCTTAACACGTCGCCGCCTGCACGAAAGCCTGAGCCCCCGCCAGACGTCAGGTTCTCGTACAGTAAGGGCCTCCGTTCGCGTTGAGTTTCATCTGAAATGAATGTGCTCGTCCAGGACGGGAGCTCCGTATCCACTTCATTGGCCTCAAGCATGGAGAAGACGTCCAAGTTCTTCGCACTGCTGATGGCATGGGTGATGAAATCCGCACAAACTTCCGGCAATGCCTTCGCATAATCCGCCACGATGGCCAGATTTGGCACAATAGGCAGCAAGGCATAAAATCGATCGACGGGAAACGTCACACGGTGCAATCGAGTGGCATAAAGCGTCTGTGTGAGCGACAGCTCTTGCTTCGCCTTAATGTGCTGCCGTAATTTCAGCATGCCGGAGATACGCTGCCACCCTGGAGAAGTCAGGACTGTTGTTTCGTCCAGCCCACGAATACAGCTTTTGATGTGCTGGACCATCGAATCGCATTGCGTTATCAAGACTTGGATAATCTGGAGTGGCAAGGCGTGATCTCCATAAATCATAACAGTGTCTCGACCGAGAGCAGCTTCTTGGATGCTCCACATTCTGCTGTACCAGGTGTGCTCGAACAATTGGCGAATGCATACGAAGGGATCATGCCCGCCTTCTGGTGCAAGCATAGCTCTGACATCTTCGTACAGAGCCTCTTCAGGCGTCTGTAAAAGTTGGCCCAGGGTATTTGCGAGCTGTATCGACCAAGCCGTATCCGGGTGTTCGAGGCCAAGGCACACGGCGACCTGCTCGGATTGCCCAAAAATTTGACTTATTATCGAGACCTGCTGTGTTTTTTCGTGTGCGTCGACTTGATTGATACACAAACAGTCGATCCATAGGTCTCCTGCTTTCGACTGGCCCTTACGTAGAAGCTGCAGATTGACAAGTGCATTTCGAGGTAACTCGATCAGATTTCCATTGATCCAGACGTGACAGTCGTTGCTAGGCGGACCACCCCAAACCCACGACATAGCCTTGTAGGGCACATGAGTGTTCAGAGGTACAGTGCGCAGGCTGCACCGCGGGATTGTGAAGCGGTGCAAGCTCGGCTGTAGTTGAAGAACACGAAACTCGAGTCCTGCCAATGGCTGATATATCTCGTCCGGAGTTGAGGTGAACTCTTCGAAGAAGTAAGGCGTAGCAAGCGACTTAATGATGGCAAACTTCCGAACTGGACTGTAGTCCGAAGGACAGTCGAAAAGGCTCCAGAATGAATCGAAAGGCTCAGTCATTTGTGGAGAAGGACGAGGCTGTCGAAACGCGCTGTCCCAGGTATGCCGACTTCTACAAGCGTTTTGCACTCCGGCTGCCAAGAGAACGCTGTTAACCAGTTGTCTCGCAAACTCCTCGGCGTCGCTTATCCCGGTATTGCCAAGTGCTATGTGTAGAGACCACAGTTCCCAAGCATAAGTCAGCAATGCATGTTTGTGTGCCCGCTCATTCAAACTGTTGGTCTCGGACAAATAGAGAATACAGGCGGTCGCTATTGCTCTGTGAGATCCCAGTGGCTCGAGGTTGAAATGCGTTTCGAGTGTGGGTGGTATGCGTTGGAGTAGGTACTCTTTCACAGAGAAGTGAGCAAAGACGACGTACGGTTCGTCAGCGCCTTGCCCTCCTGCCACAGCATCTTCTGGTTTCAAAAGCTCGAGAGAGATCAGATTCGGCAGCAGCGCAAGCACCTGTTCATTGCTGAGTTGTTGATCCGTTCTAAGAATGGCACCTCCGCTGGTGGATATCATGCAAGCCTCGATGAGCTCTTTCATGAGCAAGGGCTGTTGACAGTAGACAAGCCAGCGAAGTGCTTTGAGTGCGATGTCTCGATGGAAGGGGCTGATCTCATTCAAAATCGCGCTGTAAGTTTCTTCCAACGTTGGCGGCAAGTTCAGCAGTATTTGCGGAATGTCGTTTCGTAGCAGCAGGCCAGAGTCTAGCAATCGCTCCAACTGCAAGTAAGCATATCGGAACCTGTAGTAAATCAGTATGAAGTCTTGGTTGGTTGCGATGGTGCCTTACATTGACTGCTCGGGTCCGGCGAGCTTATCGACGATTTGTTGGTTGGCTTCCTCATCGAGTACGGTAAGATCTCGACACTCCGATAGCCGCCTTCTTACGTAGAGCTCGATATCGTCTCTCACTCTACCTGCTGGAATAGGAACCTGCATCCATCCAGGCAGTAGCGATGTGACGATCTCTGCTGGCCGCGAAGTTGCGAGCACACGCAATTTCGAAGGCCGGCGAGCTGATAAGATGTTCAGGTAGTCGAGAACGTCTCTACGTCTCGATTTGGGATTGATCTCATCCAGTCCATCAATCAGTAAGTAGACTGGGGTTACTTCCCTCGTGGAAGACTGTGGTGTCGTCAAAAGCTGCTCCACAAGATCCTGTAGCTCACGGTCATCGTCTGGGGGTTCGGGAGGAAAAACTCTGTGGTGCTTCTCATATGCGATCTGCAGCTCTTTTGGAATCTCGTCTTCATTGAAGAGCTGTGCCACAACATATCGTAAGAGTGCATTGAGTCCATGACGCTCGTTGCTGGTTGATGAGAAGTAGAAAGCCACTACTCGAGCCTCCTTGAGCTCTTGCGCATCCGCGATTGTTTTATTGAGCGTTGTCTTGCCGCAGCCAACAGCGCCGTGAACGAAAACATAGGAATTTCTGCCGTCAATCCAGGACCTGAAGGTATCGCTTTCTAGGAACCACAGATTCGTGCCAGGCTCTCGCCTAGCGTTCACGGGAGGCCTGGATGTAGGCGGGTTCAACCAGGCGAGAATCTTCTGGCGCTGCTCCTTGTTCGTACGATCCTCATCAGCACTAGACAATCATATTAGCCGATAATTCTGATGTCCCCCAATATCGTTACCCACTTCACCAGCCGTCGAACATCTTGCTGGACGTGATCGACTTTGGAATTGACTTGGACTTTGTCAACAACAGCCTCCTCAACAGGCGATCGAATTTGAGGGCTACTGACTATTCTCAAGAACTTCTGCAATCTTCGGGGTTATTTCAACTTCTTCAGTGTCGACGTATTGCAAGAGCTCCTTTGCGAACGCTGCTGCTGTAGCGGCTGCATACCGCTGCCAATCATCGTTCTTGTGCTCGTTCGCATAATCGCAGATGCCTCTTATGACAACACATGGAAAGCTATTCATAAGGCCAGCAGCCTCCATCTCGTAGCAAAGAGGATGCACGTTCTCCCTCCCAAGCCATTCGATAATGGAGTCTCTTTGCTCTGCATCTTTGATCAGGACGTTTCCAGATGCAATAGTGCCGTAGTGTATCTCAGGAGTGTCTCGAGATTCCGGCTGGCGCAAGGGGTCCTTGTCGGAACCTGGATACCCGTACGGAACCTTCATTTTGGCGTTCTGCTCAAAAGCCTGTAGGAATTCAGGAATCTGCGAGTCTTCCATTTCGTGCTCGGCTCGAAGAGCACCGAGCGCAATGCGCAGGGCCCGAGGGGGACTGTTAAGGAATCCCTTGCGCTCCCGTACAGATGCCCCGGCTTCCACCTTGGCCTTGTACAGATCATACTGGACGACGCCTCCATTTGTGCCGTCTGGGTTGCTCACCACCACGTCGCCGAGTAAGATCTCCCGCTTCAAAGTAAAATTGCCATCAGGAGCTACTTTCTCGCCAGGAAGACCAGCTCCAATCCCAACAAGGAGTCCAATTCGAATATGAGGTAGTGAGGCACGCATGCCACTTGCTGTATCTGCCGCCGACACTGTGCCATATTCTCCAGTAGGCAACGATGCAATGACAACATGGTGCTCTCCGATTCGACCCCAGTCATAGCTGTTGGGATCGCTTGGGTTTTTCTTGAAGTCTTGCGGCTTATCGTGTCTTTCGTCCAAGACTGTTGACGCTGCGGCTCTCTCATGCGGTAGAGCTGCAATCCAGCCGACGGTGTATTGTGATGCATGAGGGAGGGCTTTGCGCTTGGGTGGCATGATGGATTACTATGCTTTTATTCAAGACTGAATTTTCGAGAGGGCCGTTCAACGGAAGGTAGATCTTCCTGCCATGCCACTTCTCAGACAGAGCTTTCAGCTTTCAGCCAGCCTCTAGCTCTGCCTCATGTGCGGATGATCGTTCGCTCGCTTGCATGCATGCAAGCAGCCACGCGCTGCATGGGTTGGTAGCCGCTGAAGCTGCAGCCACATTTTCTTGAAACTATTGTTGCTGTTATATTCACTCATTACGCTGAACGTCTGGTTTCGCGCGAATTATTTGCAACCGAGGTGTTCGAACATGTGGAGGTGGACCTCTTCTCTGAGGGTCGAGCTGGTACTGTGAAAGGCGCCATGTTTTCGCGAAGAGCAAATCTTGATAGTCGTGGTATGTATAGGTGGCCTGAGTGGTTGAATAAGTGCGTGAAGTTCTGGAGTGTGCTGACGGCGCAGTTGCTGAGGAAGTCGCAAAGCCTGGCCCCTGACGCACAGACCACTTCGCCCGAACGTCACCTGTCGCCCAAAAACTACCGCTGATCGAAAACAGAATCAGATGTCGAACAGTCGCAAAGAGGACACGAACACGTTAGAGAACTTCAAGGACGTCGATGTTTACAGTCAAAAATTGCTGGGTCAACGGTCAAAATTCGGCCTGATCGGCTAAACTCGACAAACTCGTTGGTTAACGGATCGAATTCGTCTAGGACTCGATGGAATATGAATCTGGTTGAGAGTGATTGTCCAGAGTACGCTGTTGCAACGTTCAACAACAAAAGTCTTCCTCTTTCACAAGGCTGATGCAGATATCGTTGCAAGGGCGATTCCTCGGTCCAGTACCCTCTCCCACAGACGGCTAAGGTTCGGAGTGACCTCATTGCCGTGCTGGAATGAACGCAGGCGTTCTCGAGAACAGTCACAGGCCTGAGCACGGGCACGGACCACTTCGAGGCATAAAACTCCACGAAATTTCTCTCCGGCTTCCTCTTCTCTTCCTTCTTCTCCAGCTCTCTGTACGTCCACCCCTTCGACCCCTACCCTTTGCAACACTTGCTGACCTTCATTACAGTTGCCTTTTGGCTTAGATCAAGTGTAGTAGAACTTAGCGGAACGTGAAGTAAACCAAAAGGCAGCGTTAGCGTTTGAACTAGGCTTGAAATCGTAATCGTGCTTTCGGAGTAAGAATTTTCCGTACGCTAGCCGGGCTAAGCCACACATAGCCTCGCCGTGCGCAGTCTCGAGACCGAGCTCATTCTTGATCACGCTAAGCGCACGGGCCACCTCCTGGGCATAAAACTCCGCGAAATCTCTCTCCGCAACCTTTTCTCTTTCCTCCTTAGCTCTCTGCAAGTCTATCCATCTGACCTCTACACTTTGACCTCTTGCTAATACCCTTTATAGTTGCCTTTTGGGTATGTCAACACACCTTCTACCTTTATCCGAGTCACCGCTAACAATCTCACAGCTTAGATCAAGTGTAGTATCTGTTCTTTTCAGTTTAATCTCTGAAACGAGTCTACGGACTCATTCAAGATTATTCTTATTTTTGGCACTGGTTCTGTGGCCGCTGGGCTTGCCCATGTCACAGGGCACCGTGTCGCCTGTATTGCACTACCGCAGGCAGACGCGACTCCTTATTTTCAGCATCGTCGCAGTCTTTGACTGGGCGCTGCAGAAGAGTGGTTGAATGACTTAAGCGACGGCGGCGACTCACATACGACGACTTCGGATTTCGACCTCGAGCTCCTTGTGTGCGTTTCTTCCGACGAATGGCCGCGGGAATACATGCCTGTCCCTTCTGGAGAAATGGCCCGGTCACAGCATATGGATGGCTTACTGCGTCGGTCCAACATCGAAGTGACTATCAGAGGACGTGTCTTACACTCATCTTCAGGCCTTGAACTGACATCAATGCCACCAGATTTGCTCCTCCGCCACTAAGAACATGTGATGTTGTGATATCCGCGAGTTGCGGTCGACAATATGCACGGTTCACCACGGCGCGTCGCGTCCTCAGACTTCACCTCAGATGCGAGCAACACTCCCTAGAATCACATCCATAGTATTTGGAGACAATGGCAATGGCTCCACCAGCCAAGCGACGACACGAAGAGGAGGCGGACATTGCATACGCTCAAGATTCGAATAACAATGGCTATCCCACCGCACTCTACGCGCCACCGCCACCACCAACATATTATCCCTCACTCCCCTGCCCAACTCCAACAGGCCAACCACCTCCAATCGCCGACATGATCTCCCTCCTCCGCGAACAAGACCTCCACGACCTTCTCACCCAAATCGTCCAAACCGAGCCTTCGCACTTCGCCCACGCCCTCCTTACCGACACCTACACAACCCACATCCTCGCCCAACGCGCCAAAGTCATCGACTTCGACCACTACAGCAAGTCCGCCTGGTACACATTGAACAAATCCCACTACACCAAACTAAGCGGCTCAAAGCAATACGATGCCTCCTGGGATGCCATGGCGGAGGTGACGGGGTGCATACATGCGATTGCGGAGAGGGCGACGCCGGAGACATCATACGGAACGAAGTTGAACGCTTTGGAGACGTTGCGGTGAACGCTTTGGAGACGTTGCGGAAGATTGGGAAGACGGTCTTACTCTTCAGCGGCGACTGTCTAACCTCAGAAGTGAGGAAGCAGTTTGCGAGTGATCATTGCTTGGAGGATACAGTCAACTCCATCTTGGAGGGCATGACTGTGGAGGAAAGGATTCAGGCGGGACAGAACATCTCAGAGATTGGAAAGCCGAATCTTTTGGAGAAGATGAGGTGGGTGCATAATGATGGGGATGGGTATTGTATCTTTGAAGAGATTGGGTATGCAGTTGAGGTCTTGGAGTTTGGGGAGACGGAGGAAGAGCAGGATGGTGAGGAAGAAGAGAATGAAGAGGAGGATTATAGTCTGGTGGTCTTGAACCCGATAATTGCGGCTGCGCAGCCTTTGAACGGATTGAACCATGTAATTACCATTGACTGATCTCATAGGCGATACTCACAACCATGGCAACATGCTGGAGGATAGAACGCTAGACAGCAGATGTACATTGGAGAGAGACATCGCAATGGACTAGCGGCGCATGGTGTATGATTTAAACTCAAGATGTGGCGTACCAACTCGCCTACTTCTCGAATAGCTGCATGGAAGGCGGGATGGTGGCGGCCTCGCATGAGAGGGCGCAGTCTCGCCATGGCCCCGAGTCACAACCTCACAGCGTCGCCAGCCTTGCGCATTTCTCCTCTCTTCAACAGCAACTTCACGGTAACTGGCCATCCAAAATCTCGTCTGATATGCGTTGTCAAACGCAATGCGGCTCCTCAACACATCCACCCTAGAGTTCCGATCGTTCGCGGACAATGATCGACCGCCATACGCGATCGCCTCGCACCGATGGCGCGCAGACGAATCGACCTTCAAGGACTTTCAACAAAAGCGCAACGTCCTCACTGCTGGGCATACCAAGGTCCTCGGATTCTGTCAGCTCGTCGACCGAATGAACACCCGTGCAGGACCGTCAAGAGCGCTTAACGACCTCGGGCTACGGCACCGCTGCGACTGGCTCTGGATCGATTCGTGCTGCATCAACAAGGAGGATGGAGCGGAGCTGTCTGAGTCAATCAACTCCATGTTCCGCTGGTATGGTGATGCTGCTGTCTGCTATGCGTACCTCGCGGACGTCCAACCGAACCAGAAGTTCAGAGCGTCGGCCTTGGACCTCGCTCGCAGTGAATGGTTCAAGAGAGGATGGACTCTTCAGGAGCTGATCGCCCCGCGCACCGTCGTGTTCCTTGCGAACGACTGGGACATCCTGGGACACAAGTGCGCGTACAGTGAGCAGGTCTGTGGAAAGGTCTGTCGGGGCTATGGCGACCGCTTGAATAAGCTCCTTGCACAGATTACAGGCATACCAATAGATGTCATTGGAATGCCGTCCATCAGCCACCTCAGGAATATCTCCGTCGAGCAGAAGATGTCGTGGACCGAACGAAGAAGCACGACTCGCATCGAAGATCAAGCTTACTGCCTGCTGGGTCTGCTCGACGTCTTCATATCGCCGATATATGGAGAAGGCGAGTATGCGTGGACGAGGCTGATGCAACAACTCGAGTACAATCAGTCAGCAAAGTTCCCTGGTCCAGGGGCGAAATCGGCAAAGAAGAGCCAGATGTGGTTTCGACTTAAGCAAGTCAAGAAGAACATTGTCGAAAAGGGCCGCTTCGCCACCCAGACCACGGTTAGTGCTGAGATCAGTGGACACGGGGCAACGTCAATACCAGCGCCAGGTAAAGGCGCCTGGTCACTGTCGACTTTGAGCACTAGAGCAAGCGGACCAGAGCCCCCTCGAGGCCAGTGGTCGTTGTCAGCATTGGACTCCAGAGCAAGCGGACCAGATCCCTCTCGGGGGCAGATTTCGATGCCGGCAATGGAATTCAGAGCACATAGCGGACCGTCACATGCTCCTCGAGTGCCAATCTCCATTCCACAGCGGGATACTCCGGCGCTGTACACATTACCGACTCATGCGACTTATCGCAGCAACGGAACAGACCCACTGCAGTACATCGCAGGATTCGCTTCTCTGAAAGGGCCTCCGAGGTTTCTGGACTCTCAAAAGGAAGCTGTGATGGTACAGCCTAAGGGATTGCCGGTGCCGTTGGAGTACTCGCAAGAGACCATCAAGGCGACACAGGGTAGCTCCGTCTTGCGAGGCCTGGAAGATCTGTCTTTACCACCTCCCGCAGCGGAGCTCAAACACCGCTATGGCAGCGGCTGGTCGTTTCACAATGCAGATGGGTACCAGTCAGTGTGGTACCACGAGCTTCCTGCGGCTGTTTCAGATCTGGGTAACGACGAGAGGCTCGAGAAGGCACGCAAGGTCAAGGCTCGTTTCAATTTCAAACCTTCAGCTCCCGGCCAACTTGCCTTCGAGAAGGGTGATATCTTAGTCGTGCTAGAGTCTTTCCATGAGCATTGGTGGAGAGGCTCACTGCACGGAAGAACGGGCATTTTCCCCCGATCATGTGTTGATGAGTTGGACACCCCAGGTGAAGAAGAGAGGGTTCAGAGAAAACAGCAGTCGAATGCCAAAGCCAACGTCTCGACGCTTGCTTCAGGCGAGGAGCCTGGCCTGGACGACTGGGAAAGACACGATGCAAGATCACCTGGCGCATGGTCGGACGTGCAATCTCAGCTGGTTTCGGACAAGGTTGATAAAGCGGTCTCTGAAGAAGGGCAATTGAGGTCGCAGTCTGGCAAATTTGAAGCTGGCGAACGTCGAGGAGGGCCCGTCAAAACGTCGAGTACTTTGGTCCGGAACTCTGTGCGGAGGAAACCCGTGAGAAGGGCAACACCTTTCCGCAAAGAAGACGTCGATGATGAGAAAGAAGATGACCAAGTGCGAGGATCTGTCGATCCACCACATTGGACGCCGGATTTGACTGAAGAGCAGCTCAACGCGCTTCCTGACGGTCTGAGGCAAGCATTCGTCAGCCATACACGTACGAGCCAGATCTACACAGAGCTTTCGACGCTGATGTACAAGTCATCTTCCCCAACCAAGGCCATGCCAGCAGAGCTGGAGGAGCAGACTGTGGGGCCGGTCGGATTCATCGAGAGCGACCAGAGTGTACTCGAGAAAGACGCTAGCAGTATTCAGTCGGAACACTTCGAAAGCCCACATTGGCGGGAGTCTGTCGAAGTCGTGCAGCCCGAGAAACCGGCGGCGGCAGAAGTGACAAAAGAGGTCTGGCCCAATGATCCTCAAACGCTCGAGATCAGTCATGAAGAAAAGGCGGGCGTCTTTGTGAAGTCCACTGATGTTCTGACTGCATCAGAGGAGGACCAGAACATCACCATACCACGGGTCGTGCTCAGGGCGCTCCTTGATCCAGCAGCGTTCGCCAATAACGCTGATACGTCCGACCAGACCGCGCAGCTTGCCAGCACCGCCGTGGAGTATATTCGATCCTTGCTCCTGTCACAGTCTGGCGCAGATCTGCCGCCGGTGCAGCAGACTACCAGCACGGTAGAGGCATATCGTCTCGAGACCTCCAAGTTCCAGCAGCATGTGTCTGTGGCGGAGACGGTGTCCACGATGGTTGGAGACTCGTCGTCAAGTCTGGACGGTTCGGAGGAGTTTGGTAGCATTAGGAGACAGGGCACGGCGGAGTCGTGGCATTTGCATGGGGTGTGGGCGGAGTCTGGATGAGGTGTAGCTGCCGTATCGATGAGGTGAAGCCACCACCGAACGTGGAATTTTGTTAACTGTAGCGAACTGATGAAGCTTGTTTGAGTGATACCCATATGGAAAGCGTATCGTGATAGTCAGGACACTTCGATTTGAAAGGAGGACTTAGTTCGACAACCTTCAAGCGTCACTTGTCTTCTTCACTGGGAACAGCAGTGAGTACCCCCTTCAGTCTGGTCAAAGTGGAGCGTATCGAACTGCTGTCTCTCCGCCTTTTCGTGAGCGACTATGCTGCTGATTGTACTCCATGCTGCTTAGACAGCGTAGGAGTAACGGTGATAGATGTTCCACTGTGAGCGGAAACCCGAGGGTAGAGGTTTTGATGATATCTGGTCGCAATTGAGAGCAGAAGAGAAGAAGAATGCGTGCAAGGAGGGGCGAGGAAGGATTGCACGGCGCCAACACAACACAACACAACACAACACAACACAACACAACACAACACAACACAACACAACACAACACAACACAACTAAAGACACGAGTGATGAAAGAAGTGAAGCTTTGTTCAGAAGAGAATTTCATTTCAGCATGACAACTCAGTCTGAGGAGACGAGATACCCGACCCATTGCCCATTCCCCTCCAGTCGTCAGATCCTGGACGGGCTCATGTGTGTCCGCCCTCCGAAACAGTCTTGTCATGTGAACTTGCGCCGTACCCAACGCGCAGTCGTGCGCTCATGCTATGCATTATTCGTATTTGGAAAAGAAAAAAAAGTCCCCCAAACGCCATGCTGGCAACGCCCACAATCCCATCCACGCTATGCAACTGATGATGATAACAATCATGCATCAGCCATCTCAACGTCAGCTGGTGAAGTGAGGACGCTGAACTGGCCACCGGTGGTGGCTCCGTTCAGCTTCTGATCGCGAACAGCAGTGTTGTCGATCAGGGTGGCGACAGGAACGTCGTCGTCCGTGCCGAGACCGGTTTGGTAGTTGGCGGAGAAGCCCCAAGACCACGCCTTGCCATCCTTGGTGATGACGATGTTGTGATCGGAGTTGGTAGTGACCTTGATCACTTCTCCTTGGATGGCGCTGACCTTGGTTGGCTCAGCCAGAATGCGTGGACGATCGGTCTCGTCCTTGATGAGGGCATCTGCTGGCAGCTTGGAGAGTTGGTCAGCGGCGATGCCGGTCTGTGCGCCATCGATGCGACCCCAGATGAGGCAGTCGCCGTCTTCGGTGGCAGCGAGACTGTGGTGACCGCCTCCCTTAATGCTGCTGATGTTCTTCCCCTTGAGCGACTTGACCACGGTTGGGTTCATGACGACCGCATCGTCTTGGCCAGCATTGTCCATGATGCCAGTCTCGCCGAAGTTGTTGAGGCCCCACGCGTAGACTTCTCCATTCTTGGAAATGGCGAAGCTGTGATAGCTGCCAGTCTCGATGGAAGTGATACGGTTCTTCGCGCCCTTTGGAAGACCGAACTCGCATGGAATGAGACCCTTCTCCTTGGTGCGCTCGATGATGCGGCGACCGAGCTGGTTCTGCTGACCCGAGCCCCAGGCGTAGACGGCGCCCTTGGTGTTCATGGCAAGGGCGTGGTTTGCGCCAGCTTTGATGCTGGCAATGTCCTTCAGACCAGGAACAAGCACTGGGCGGTTGGCGATCTTGACCTCTGGCGTGAAGCCGAAGATGCCGTCGTTGCTGCGGAACGTGCCCCAGCCATAGACCTTGCCGTCATCCGTGAGGACGAATGAGCTAGAGTCACCTGCAGCGACCTGCACGAAGCGCGTGCCCTCTGCAATCTCCGTCTCAGACCAGTCGACCTCTCCTGGAGTGCTCTCCTTAGGGTTGAGACCGTTGTCGTCTTTCTCATCATCATCGCTGTCATCTGAAGCAGCGTCATCCATATCCTTCAATCCTCCCTCCCACTCGGTGTCACGCCCAAGAGTTCCTTGGTCGTTCACGCCCCACGTAAGGATCTTGTTGTCATGCGTGAGCGCGACGCAGTGCATGCCACCAGCTTCGATCTGCACAACACCGATGTCCTTCGCGCTGAGGTTTGGGTTGAGACGTGGACGCTTGACGTCGACTGCCTTCTTGGCGGTACCGAGTCCGAGTTCACCGGCAGTGCCCTCGCCGAATACGTAGACGTTCAGACGATTGGTGGGTGGCTCGCTGATGACCTTGCCTTTGGTGATGACCTTGACCTTCTTCGCTGGTGCAGCTGGTGCCTCATCGGCGGCCTTGCGCTTGCGCGACGGCTTGGTGGTTGCCTGCTCGGTGTCCTCTGCAGCATCCTTCTTTGCTGGCGCTTTCTTGGTGGTAGGAGCTAGAGAGGAATGTAAGCGTCTGTCCAGGTCAAGAAAGCAGAGCGTGAAGGGCTCGAAGGAGGCCATGTCTGCAGGTATGTAGCGACGACACGACAGCGTGCGTGCATATGATATAGGGGATGGTGTACTTACCCTTGGACTTGGTAGCGGCCTTCTTTGTCTCAGTCGTCTCTCCCTCAGTCTCAGGTTTTGTCTTCTTGGGCCGGCCACGAGCGGCGGGCTTCGCGGTGCCATTGGCCTTTGCGGCGGTGGTCTTCTTCGTGGCGGTGGTCTTGGTCTTAGACTTGTCGGCTGCGGCGGTCTTGTCCTTTGCTGATGGAGCGGGTTTGGTGACCTTGGCTTTGGTGTTGGCCTTTGGCTTGAGAACGGTCGACTCAGACGCGTTCTTGGCCTTGCTGTTGCTCTTCACGTATTTGATCTGCGCCATCTCGTCCCCTGTCTCACTCGCGAGTGTTTGTTTGATGTATTCGCTTGCGCTTCGAGTGTGGGATGTGTGGTTGCGCGTGCGTGTTGATGGAGAAGTTCGATGCGGTTGCGCGTGTTGTTAGCACGAAGCTGGAGGTCTTCCAAACAAAAAGCCCGAGTCAACTGAAGGGGGAAGGTTTAGCGAGCAAGATTTCGCGCTAGTAAGATTTAGAGTTTGCGCCTCACGACACCGCATTCACAACACCTGGATGCGCACCTTCACATTTCCTAGGCGCCCGCAGGCATTCGCTCAACACCATTTACTACGTCTTGACGAGGGACGTACGTGTGGTAATACAGTCATGTGATTCTTGGGATCGCCCATCGATCTGAAAGGTAGGTATCTACGGAATGTACTGCAAGTATCCACTGAAGCGCCTTATCTCCTAATCCCAAGAAACAGCCCAGAAAAGACATCGAGAAAGACATCGTACGCCCGCTGCTCCATATGCATAGCGGCAGTCTCAGAACGCTAATCGTGCAGCAGAAAGAGTCATAGGAAAGCAGTGAGGCACCAGCCTTCTCGGTCTGAGTCAGCCTACCAGGCCGTGAAGCCCCCTGTTCATATGTTAGCACGTTCACCACGATGCCAGTTGGAAAATCATACCGTCGACGAGCATGCAACTACCGGTCATGAATGACGACTTGGGACTCAACATGCAAACGACCGCCTCCTGGAACTCCTCAGGATCCGAGATGCGACCCAGCATGTTGCTCGACTCCCAAAGCTCCTTAAGATGAGGCTCGTCTTCGAAGTTCTTCTGGACCATCTGCACTATCAATCAACATCTCATCCGATTCTACCCGCAAGCTGGACCTGACTTACAGGGGTGTTGATGTTGCCTGGACAGAGGACGTTGACACGGATCGGCTTGCCATCGATCGCCTGGCCCCACTCCATAGCCAGACTGCGTCCAAGCTGCTCAACTGCGGCCTTGGAAGCGTTGTAGACGGAGCAGTACAGGCCCCTATTGGCAACCTTGCCACTCATCGACCCGACCAGAACCATAGCGCCAGGCGTCTTGTACTTGATCATCTGCCTAGCACAAGCTTGCGCGCTCAGGTAGACTCCGCCGAAGTTGATATTCATCATCTGGAGAATAGAAAATCAGCGGTCATTACGATACATCACAGGACCATGCCTACCTCGGTGATCTTCTCTGGTGGGTAGTCGAGGGCCTTCGTGACTCGTTGCACGCCGGCAGCCGCAACGAGGCCATCGAGTCGAGAGTGCTTGCCTGCAATCTCTGCGACGACATCGTTGAGGTCAGAGGCATGCTGGACGTCGACCTTGCGGTAGTGGAGACTGTCGCCGAACTTCTGGGCAAGCTGATCCCTCTTCTCATAGAAAGCTTTGTCGGGCTCTTCGAGACGGTCGAGGCAGTAGACTGAAGTGTTAGCTGGCAGTCTTGGATCTTGTCTCATTCACATGCAACTTACCCTGGCCTCCCTCCTCTACCAAACCCTCAGCAAGCGTCAGACCGAGACCACGTGCACCTCCGGTAACGATGAAGACTCGACCTATGAACTGGCACGCAGCGTTAGCACCTTGCGACGACGAATTCGAGGCATCGCTGAACGAACCTTCAACTCGCGGAACCTGTGGCATAGGTTGATACTGTCCGGGTCGGACAGTCTCTGCGCGATTGAAGAGGAGGTGTTGTCGGTATCGGTGCTGGACTTCCTCGTGGACATGCAAGGAAGGCGCTGCGTGCATGGTCCTGCAGCGAATCGGCTAGCTTGCAGCGTGAAACCGGCACGCAGGGTCAAGGTGGGTCTAATGCGGGAAAGCATGCTTGTGTATGCAGGTGTTGTATTGAAGTATCTGGTGTGGTGTTGTTGCGTCAAAAGAATTCAAGATCGGTAGAAGTGTTCTAAAAGTACTTCGGCCGCAGACGAACGCATGTGAGTGGCTTCAAGGTTCATTCCACGTGCTGCGTCAGCGCCACGTGTGAAGAGACGGTCGCGGGCACGGGGAAGGGGCTTTGGGGTGAATATGTACATTCCACTGACCAAGCCACTGTCACACGTCGCAGGAGCACAGGCGGGGTTATGTCTTGACGACAACTTGGTTTACCAAACACTTGTGCTGGCGAACACGACCGGCGGCACAGCTCCCCGACCAGAGGTACCTGGAGTGACAAGAGTGACAAGACTTCAGCTCCGCACCGGAGGCTCACGCGACAAGAAGCCCAGATTCCATCTGAGGCACCCGCCACGTACCGACCTTGGTGCCACGAGGAAGAGAACACGAACTCGTTTTGGATTAAGATTCGAATACGATTGTTGACCATGTCGAGTATCCGCGTACCATCCGCCGCACGATCATCCCTCGAGTCTGACGGTACAGAATGACAAAGCCAGGAACGGCAAAAGGGTATGTCATACCATTGGTAAGGCTGGAAAGACGTGTAGCAAATTGGGAGGAATGCGAAACCTTATACATAATGCAGGGCTGAAGAGCTGACGAGATGCTGATCTTATACCCAGGCCTGCTGGTGTCCTAGAGGGTTGTCACATGCGACGGCTCCTTCGTACCTGGGTGCAGGAGCTTGACGATCAACGCTGCCATGATACAGCATTTGCTCAAGAAGCACCCTAATTGCGCTACAGCGGTACTCCTTCCCAAAAGCTAGCTGCGAGACACTGCAACAGACGCCAGCATCACAGATTTCGATCGAAGAGAAGCGAGAGAGACGGTCGCCCTTCTCCTCGACACCACAGAATATCCTCACCAGGACGAACTTGGGGAAAATGTAAAAAGCTGTGGAGACAACATTGTTACAATTCGAACGCCCCAACGCCACGCTCCTAACGACAGCGGACCTATGCCTCCTTTTGAACTTGCAGAAAGACCATCAGCACGGCTGCGTATGCCGCTGTTCCAGCAAGGATCTCGAATGCTCGTGGACCTGCCGCCATCCACAACCATGTTGCGAAGAGAGAGACAAAGCCTGTGATGATGCTTAGTCGATATCGATCGTCCGACACATAGTTGAGCCACCACATTGGTCCGAAAAGCAGGCCCAGGCCGACTACGATAATGACAACGCTGCTAGCAATCTCTACTCCTGTCGCGCTGTGATAGCGTGTCTCTTCTGCCTCCACTCGATCCGGCCGTTTCCTCAGTCCAAATGGCAATCGGAAAAAACGAACCTTCTCCAGCCAGACTGCAAGCGGCGGCTTTTGTTTCGACACAATCGGGAAGAGATCGCCTCTACGAGCTGGATCCATGAAGAGCTTCTCCTCATCATCAATCGCATTCGGATGATTGATGAACCAATTTATCAAGTTGTTGCGTTGGTCATCGCTGGCAGTCGGTCTGGTCTTGATGGGTGCGTAAGCGTTCACGAGGTTGTCTATGCAAAGACCATCAGTAGGAGTTCGTCGGTTTCAGGCGCTCGAAACTGACAGTAATCCCTCAACAGCGGAATACTTTCAATCAGCAGGTGACTCCGAGCCCTGGTGAGTTGGCTAGCTTGGTCTTTTCTGAAGCTTCCACATCCCCCTTCTCCCGGGGGGCACTGCATGGTAAAATGATCCCATTCTTCAATCATTCGTTCTTTCTGCGAGATCTCATTCTGCAGGTACAACAACGCTCTGGCGTTCAAGGCGGAAAATTTTCTGAGCAGGAAGAAGTCGTTGGAAGACCCCATCCATTGCGAAAGGCCTGGATAGCCGTAGTACTGCCATGCCCAGTCTTGCTTCTCCTCGTCGTCGAGCTTCGAGTATCTTGGATCGGGGTTGGGATGAGGACTCGGAGGCTTCGATGGTCAGTACTTCCTCTTCGTCAACGGACAATGTGTAATTGACCTTTAGAGACAATGCCGGCACATAGTGGTTCTGCCCATGGGCCATTGAAAGCGGAAGAACATAAGCCAAGAAACAATATCAAGGGAGGACAAAAATGTATGAACGAAGTGCTTACCTACTAACACACTGGAATTTCAACACTATAAGAGTAAATTCTGGTTGAGGCTTCGCGTATGCAGCCTAGCTGACATGCGTGACTTCGTCGTGCTGCAGCCACCCCATGTGACACACCTCCAGCCCACCGGTGAACCGAAGCGGCACCCTCTACCGAAGCTCCACGAAGGAAGGCTACGAACCCGAAACACCATGTCCGCAGCCCAAGGCTCTTATTGGTGACGTGGTGCCTACCGAGCGCCTTACGAACAGCACAGAACGACGCCCACCTGCATGTCGAAATTGCAAGCTGAGAAGCACGAGGGCGCGTGAACTGGCAAGGCGACGACACAAGGCGACGGGAAGGAGCTTCGTACTTATCTTCGAGCCTCTCGAAAGGTCTGCGACCTCTTCTCTTCGTCACAACCAGCTGCTGCGCCCCCACCGATTGCATTGGCATTTTTGTCTCTTGCTCAGCTGGACAAGGTTTCTCCCAAGACGTGTACAGCCACCTCTGGACGACCTCACTTCCTGTCGGCGTCCTCGGGCCGCACCTACAGCACTCCTATATCCGGCTTTCCGGTACCACCTTGTCGGGATGGACCGTGTGAGGACAAGAGATCTCGTTCGTAAAGGTGTCACTGCGAGTACCGCGAAGCAAGCTTTCGAAGACAATCTGGATCAAGATGGATCTTCTCGTGGGGGCGGCAGGGAGTACAAGAAGAGGAACCCAAGGACTGGCCATCCTCAACCTCAGTCGTATAGCTTTGATCAGCCTTCGACTTCTCAACCTCAGGCAGCATCATATCAGACGCAGGGCCCGGGGTACTATGCTCCACCAAGCAATTATGGACAAACGAACTACGGCTACGGTCAAGCAGCTTCAGGGGCGCCACAATATCCTGCATATCCCCCGACTCCCCAACAATCTCCTCCGCCCACATCATGCACCTGTACGCTATGTCAGCACTGTCTTCCTCATTTTGCGGATTGCTACCATGCACAGTCGCAAATTTACTACTGTCGATACCATCATGGACAAATCATGAAGTGGGTCAATCCTGGACGGGGCTTCCACAACTGTCCCTCTAATCAATCGCCCCCTCCCAACCAACAGTCTTACTCGGGCTACCAACAGCACAACTCCACGTCAAGTCCATCTTACACCCAGTGCTATGGCCAGGCGTCTGGAGGCGCCCCGCGGGACCTTTACTCGAATGGCTCACCAACCTCTCCTGGTCCACAGTCCTATCAAGGCTCTCCACAGTCCAACTACACGCTAGGTGGGCCCTGGACGCAGGAACCCGCTCAACTTCCCGACCAAGCCGGCGTGGGCGAGGCGAGCAGTTACTACTATCCAAGTGAATATCCTACATGGCCAAGGGTAAGAAGTAGAATGTATTTTCGAGCCATCAAGAAGCTAACGCGTGAAAACAGTGAACAGTCTTGCAATGACCTTGACACTATTTTCAGCAAACCAGAGATCATACAAGTTGCTAATCGGACACTTGACACTTTCACTAAGGAATTCAGCTTGCCGAAGACTCGGTGCTGCAGATCATCATCACCCAGGCCACCGGCGGTATATCCATGGAGCCATACCACTCTACCGCCATGCGAGAACGACAACATCACCAGAGACTGAAACAGTCAGCAAGCTCCTTCAAGATCTACACGCTACTTATACAGCAACAGTCTCGGCTGGACCTCCCAAAGCGAGAGCTGCTGTAGCTCAGAGCTCCCTGATCATTGGACGCAACATCAGCAAAGCTACCATGTTAGGGCTCAATACAGACCCTCCGCCCTGTACATTACACCAGGCGCACCGGCTCTCCATCATGTCATGTTCTTGACGCAGCTGCCGTGTGCGAGAACGATGATTGATGTGGCTGCTGCCTGGTTTTGATTTGAAAGTCGATGCATAAAGTCTTCGGGAAGCCTCAAGGGAATTTGCAGCTTGTCACTGGCATCAAACCATCAAAAAACAACAAAATGGCCTTCGCCCACCGCAACGCCCTAGCCAAAACCCTCCGCAGCCTACACATCCCCGGGCAACCCCTCCTCCTAACCAACGTATGGGACGGCAGCACCGCCAAAGCCGTAACCACCCACCCAGCAACCAAAGCCGTAGCAACAGCCAGCTACGCCATAGCCGAAACCACCGGCGTGACCGACGGCTCCCTCTCCCTCTCCGATAACCTCTTCGGGATCCGTCGAGTCGCCAACATCGTCGACAAAGCCGGCCTGCCCCTAACCGCCGACCTGCAAGACGGCTACGAAGACATCAGAACGAATATCAAGAAAGTCATCGAGGCGGGCGCGGTGGGATGCAACATCGAAGATGAGAACCACGCGACGTCTCAACTGCGGCCGTTCGATGAGGCTGTGACGAGGATCAGGACCGCCGTTGCAGCCGCGAAGGAAGTGGGTGTGCCGGATTTCTGCATCAACGCCCGAACCGACACGCTCGTGTACGGCGGGACGATCGACGAAGCCATCCAACGTGGCAAAGCGTTCCTCGAAGCTGGCGCTCTGACGGTGTTCGTCTGGGGTGGTCCTAGCGGGAGGGGATTGAGGGATGCCGAGATTAAGCAGTTGGTGGAGGCTTTTGGGGGAATGTTGAATGTGAAGATGAATTTGAGGGAGGGGCAATTAAATGCGAGGGAGTTGGGGGAGTTGGGGGTTGCGAGGATTAGTATTGGGCCGGAGCTTTGGGGGAAGGCGATGGCGAGGTTTAGGGAAGTTTTGGAGGAGACGATTGCCGCGAAGGAGTAGGAGTGGATGGTGGGTGGTGAGGGTGTAGTCGGGCATATGCTGTTAGACCGGTCCCGAGTTGTCCGGAGCATGAAACGAGCCTGTACACCTATCAAAAGCCGGATCAGAATTCTGCTCTATCATATATCATTCAAGTCATCAGATCAATCTATCAACCATAAACCCCTCGCACACCTCTATACTCTATCTCCCTCCTCACCACCCAAACTTCTCCACCGCAACCTCAACATCCACGCCCCTCCTCCCCAGCCCCGCACAACAATTCTGCACCATCCGATTCAACCCATCCGGCCCCGAAACAATAACCCCAACCCTCTCATCCGCACCCCTCAGCTCCTCGACCTTCTCTTCCAACAGCCCCTTAACATCCGGCCGACCATACTTCCGACTCGCGGGCGGTACGATCAGGTGCAGACCAAGTTCCTTCAATTCCTCGAGCCGCTCGGCGCCGATCCAGGAGATGTGGGAGGCGTCTTGAATGATCCAGATGAGGCAGGCTTGCTGTTTGCGGGGAAGGGGTGGCTCGGGCCCGTCGTCTAGGGGGGAGTTGTGGTGGAGGAGAGACCAAAGGAGAGGGTAGGCGACTGCGATTCCGGAGCCGCCTGCGACGATAATGGAGATGTCGCTGTCGTGGAGCATTTCCAGGGCATGGAGGGAGCCATAAGGACCGTCGAGGCGGATCCGCGTTGTTGAGGTTGTTTGGGCGTAGTGTAGAAGATCTCTCGAGAATCCGCCTTTTGCGCGTATGATCAGGTTGAACCACGCATGTGTCTGTCCAGGTGCCGGGGCCGCTGAAGCGATCGTCATCGGGTGGAATTGGTACTTGTACTTCCTTCCCATGCCCGGCACGCTGATGAAGACGTGCTCAGAAGGATTCCAGCCATATCTCATGTCCCACCCGAACACACGTCTCCACCAGACTGCAGCACGTCGTTTCGTCAAGACAGGCCAGTCCGCAGAAACAAGCACCGTCTCGCCATCCTCGAGGACTTTCAACTCCGCCTGCACAACACACCCCTTAACCCCTAACCTCCACGCAAACCGATCCAGCACAAATATAACCGCGCAAACGAACACAAAAGGCCTCGCCCGGAAATGATGCAACCAGAGCAGGACCAACCCGCCCGCCTGCAATAGCACATGACTCCCAAGAAACACCTCATACCACCACTCCCGAAAACTCCCCAAACTCATCACATATAGCACCTCATACGCAACCCACGCCCCACAACCCCAGAGAATATAGGGAATCGTCAAGAACGCCACCAGGCTGAGGTTCTGCTGCAGGAAATCGTACCAGCCCCATATCATGCCCGCCAGGTGTAAAAAGGCGAGCAAACACATCCATTCGCCTAGCCGGCGGTGGAGCATGTTGAGATTCTCATACGAATCGCCTGTGAGGAGTTTGAGAGGTTGCGTTTTCGCGGCGAGGACGTACAGCCATGGAAGGTTCGCGGTGAAGAGGAGGCCGGCGCGGTCGGCGAGGATGTCTTGGGTAGAGCGGGAGATGCCGATGTTGAAGAGGAGGTAGAAGATGTTGAGGATGAAGAGGGTGGTGATCCAGAGGGAGGTTGTGTTGGGTGGGAGGATCTTGCGAACGATAGGTATAGGTGCGGGTTGGTATGTCAGCCAGTATTTCGTCCAGCGGATTACTGCTTGCCATAGGCCGGTCTTGTCCTCTGCTAGGTCGTTGCGTTCTTCCTCTAGCAGCCTTGTCCATTCGTCTGATGTCTTGTCCTTATCCGCAGTTGGCGGAGTTGCATTGCCCTCTCGTGTGCTACTCGACGAACTCGACGACGACGACGCTTCTCCATTCTCAGCGGCAACCTCATCTTTCCTTGGTCTCGGCGTTTCATTTCCTTCTCTTTTCCACGATTTCTCATCCGTCCTCCTCTTCCCTCTCCTGCGCGATCGTGCTTTTCTGCTCTGCCATCTCCATACCACTACCACCAGAACCACGCCGATGACGACCGGCTGGTACGTCAGATAGAACCATCGGCTGAAGTGAAAGGCCTCTGCGAGTCGGTGAAAGTGCTCTTCTGTCTCAGGCGAGAGGTTGGGGCGTGTGGAGTTGCTGTGGTTGTTTGGCGGATGATGATCTGATAAGATTAGATGCGGGTGTATCTTAGAAACGCTTCTCGGATCCTGGCCGTACATGGCCGGTTATAAAAAAGGCCTCTATCTTGGAATTGTCTATTGTGTATGCGAGTAGGAGATCGAGTATATGCGACCTGGTGATGAGAGCATGCGCCGTCTATCGCGTGGGATTCATCCCTCACCACGTGACGTTGGAGATAGCGAGATCATATCGCTTCTTGGCACATGGACTCAACAGTATATCAAAGGAAGTCATACATGTAGGTGAAGGACAGGGATTTGAAAGCGAATTTGAAGATAGTAAATTCGTGACTGAGACGACATTGACATTGACCGATCCTTTTGGGTAGTAGCTACCGACGCCATTCGCCTTGCGCTGCGTTCATCCATCCTTTGACACGCAGGGTATCAGCGCCCTATGTCAACTGCATCATCCACCAATCTAGTTCATCTGGCGGATGAGGGCGTTGATGTACTCCTCCCGGTTGCCGAGGTCACCACCCTCAACGAAGTGCTTGAACTTGCGAGGACGGAAGCCACCAGTTGGGTTGCTGAGCTTGAATGGCCAGAGGAAGTTGGCGGCCTGCTTGAAGTTGGGGCCAACGGTGTAGATCTCGTGGATCAGGTCCTCCATGCAGACAATGCCGTACTTGCCGAGGTGCTCCTCGATGATGGCGTTGTCGGTGAGAGGGATGCGCTGCTTCTGGCTGGTCTTGGCGTATCCGCGCTTGTAGATGAGCTCACGGACGGACTTGAGGTTGGGGTAGCCGTAGGCAACAAATGGCTCGACGATCTTGAGCATCTCCGAGGTGGCCTTGGTCAGACGGACGAAGATTCCATTGTTGATCTGGAGGAGACGGAGGAGCTGGAGAGTCTTGCGCTTCTTTGGGTCGATCTTGTTGATACCCTTGATGCGGACGACGAAGACGAGCTTGGGCTCGGCTGGGACGTAGTAGCTGCCCTCGGACTTGGCGACACGAGAGAGGCGGATCTTCTCGCGCTCTGCGTCACGGTACTCCTTGACGTAGGACTCGGCGCGCTTGAAGATCTGCTCACGCTTCTGCTTGCTCTCCTGGAATGAATAGTCAGTAGTGATTCATCAAAGACTGACGATTGATTCGAGTAAAGGACATTGCACGATCAGTCCCGAAAGATGGTTAACAAAACGACAACATTGCCCGAAGGCTAGTCGTAAAGTGGGTAGATATCATCACTGTACGGTGGGACAGGGTATGGTATCTCTTACCTTCTTGCGAGCCTCGCGTTGCTCAGCCTTCTCGGCGCGCTCCTTCTCCTGGCTCTTGCGCTTCTTGAGCAGAGTCTCTGGCACCAGGATCTGGTCCTGGGTTGGGACGCTCCTGCATGGGTATGTTAGTCGGTCCGCATGGGTTGTTTGCTCAAGGCGAAGAATTGCGGCACAGTGGTCTGCTGGCTCTCATGCATTCTCCGCTGAGCACTCATGTTGTGTTTGATTGGTGAGGCGGACCCCATCCAACAAGACCTCGCTGGGCGAGAGCGCCGTGTCTCTTTCGAGATGGCAATGGCAGAACTCAGACTTTCGTCGATATTTTTCATGCCGTCCGCCTCACATTCTGACGTGCCAAAGTTTGACGACGTGCAGGACTGAGGCAGATGAAGAGTGTATGAAATTGCTGCGTTGGAGCGAGCATTTTCGAGCGTGCGGACCGACTGTGCTGCAATTCTTCAGGTGCTCACATACAGCTTGACGTTGGCTGCGTGCTTGGTAGGCATGTCGGCGGTATTGTCGTCGTCAAGAAGGGCGTTTGGTGATGGTCGGCTTCTGCGAGTCCTGGACGAGCAGGATAGAAGAGAGATTTCGCTGGAGCTTCAAGTGCGCCGACCGTGGGTCTTGGCACGCTAATTTCCTTAGCGCTGTTTCTGCCTGAGGCCTTCAGTCCGATGTCAACATCGAGACCTCAAGCTATGCATCTCTCACTTTACTAGATATTGACAATGGCGTCCAACCGCCGCGGCGTCGGCCTCAGCGCCTTCTCCAATGCCGCCATCTCGTCAGACAAATATGCAGCCCACGGTGCTGCCCTTCGATCCACCCACGCCGACGCCCTCGCGAACCAACTCTCAGTCTTCCAGGCCGCTCTGCACAACTTCTCCCTCACCCACGCCAAGGACATTCGCAGCAACCCTACCTTTCGCGCCGAGTTTGCACGGATGTGCCATGCGATAGGAGTAGATCCTTTGGCTGGCAGCAACATCAAAGCGAAAGATGCGAGCGGAAAGGGAGGGAGTGTCTGGGCGAAGATGCTGGGAACGAGTGTCAACGACTTCTACTTTGAGCTGGGAGTGAGACTTGTCGAAGTCTGTAGAGAATCGAGGAGTGAGAACGGAGGCATGATTGCACTTTCAGAAGCAAGGAAGAGAATCGCCAAGGGCAGAGGTCTTGTAGGCGGTGGCATGGAAGTCACTGACGACGATGTCGAACGTGCTTTGGAAAGTCTGGAGCCGCTGGGAGGTCAGTTCAAGATCGCTACTCTCGGTTCTACAAAGTTTATCCGCAGCGTGCCAAAAGAGTTGAATCCAGATCAGTCAACGGTGCTGGAAGTTATTCAAATCATGGGCTTCATTACTGTCTCGATGCTTCAAGCCAACCTTGACTGGGAACGAGCGAGAGCAGTCGCAGTCATTGACGACTTGGTCGCCGACAGTCTAGTCTGGGTTGACGAGCAGGCCGAAGAGACCGAGTACTGGAGTCCGGCTTCGATGCACGAAGGTGGATGAAAGAACGTCGGACTGAGAAAGCTCCATCGTTCACCACAGCAATCGTCGAAGCAACAGACTCCATTCGCGTCCGCAATGCTGCTCGTTCACAGTCGCGTCCGATCGGGCTCTTCGAGCTCGCACACTCAGGCAGCGCAGAGAGTCCGTTGTCAGCGGCTTTAGTTCGCTGGTCAAATCCCGGGCCCGACCCTCTCGACGTGAGTCTAACCAATATTCTGGATTGTTGAAGCCGCGATCAAACCGGGCTTCTGTCAAGGGCGCGGCCGAGCATAGCAATCGATACCTTGTACATGTGGCTACTACCATATTGTGCAGTCGCTCGCGTCACAGCACCACGGATCAGGACACTCATCCGGCGCCGGGAACATAACCATCGCATATCCTATCCACGATCATAGAATCTCCCGATCCCTCCTCCGCACGCGAACATCCCAACATAGACCCGTCCGCGTGCGAGGACATTCGGCCGCGAAATCCCAAGGACCCTCCAGAATCCAGATCTCATCCCGGAGCCGCAATCTCATCTTCGTCCGAAACACATCTGACCCAAAGAGAGCCAACCACAATTCACCGACAGTGATGCCAAAGAATCCACGAACCCGTCCGAGACATACGTTCATCCTCCTCATTGGCAATCCCACGACCGACGCCAGTGGATTGTCAAAAATCTCGGGCCCGGTCGCAGATTTTCGCGTCCGTAGGTCGTGGCGATGTGTTCCGTCCGTTGTTAGTGGGATTTGTCCGGATTCTCGGGCTCGCTGCATCGCGCGCAAATGGTATGTTGTTTGCCACATGGACTCGCGTTGAAGTGCCTGTCCGAAGCGCTTAGATGCGAAGGACTGGACTTCATTGGAATCAAAGTTGGCGGACCCCAGTGGGTGCGTGAATCGGCTCGGTGCGTGCGGTGCGGTCCTTTGGAAACGCCCGGAGACATCAACTTCAAAACTTCCAAGGTTGCCAAGATTAAAGGGACGGAGTGTAGTTCAACTTTCTTCAGACCATAGTAGTAGGTAATCTACGTACACTGCGCTCAAAGACGTGCAGCGTTATTGCTTTCTTCTCATGCCATGACACATGACCTCTCATGCGATAGCTTCCAAACCCACAGTGCCAACGCCAGTTAGTATCCATGCATGCCTTCTACTGCGCCCTGATTGCATTACCAAGCGCACCGCCCGTGAACCCAGTGCCACCACCTCTCCGTGGCATACCCCGACCGCCGCGACCACCACCACCTCTGCCACCACGACCGCCGCGCTGTGCACCTTGACGCTCGAAGGCGTTTGCGGTGCCTTGCGTTCGCTGCTCCAGTACTCTCTCGTTGGCCTCGATGAGACCTTGTGCCTTGTCGCTGAGGGTAAGGGAGAGACTCTGCAGTCTGCTGAGCTCGACACCCTTGCGGAAGATGATGGCGCTGTTGACCTGGTCGAGAGCCGCGGCGAGGTCCTCGTGGTGGATCATCTTCGAGACTATCGCAGCGACCTTGCGAGGCTCCAAGTCGAACATGCCGGCCAGGTTGTCGATGCTGAGGGTGTCGTAGAAGGGGGCGTAGGTAAAGAGGTAGGTTCGCAGACCCTCTTCTTGGATCTGCACTTCGAGCATCTTCTTGATCTCGGCAGCCTTTGGCAGAAGGTCCCAGATCTTGATGGTGGTGATGAAGTCGGCGGCCTTTTTCCACTCGCCTGCTGCGAGGGCTTTCGAAGCCTGCATGACGTGGTCGCGGGTGTTCTCAGGAGGGCCGGTGAAGATCTGGCGCTCGTGGTACTCGAGCATGCGGCGGTAAGACTTGGAGATGACACGCTTCTTAAGATCGGGCGAGCTGCCAGACTGGGCGAGCGTTGGAATTTCAAGCAACATGGAGCAGGTCAGGTAGACGCACTCCAGCAGCTCGAGATTGATGTGCATGTGGAATGGCAGTTGTCTCTGTCTCTCGAGACGCTCTTGCTCTGGGGTGATTTGAGAGTAGCGTTGCATTTGCAGGCCTTGTGCAAGCAGTTCCTTTTGCCTCTGGCTACCGCAAATATCTTGCAGAGCAGTCTGGCACTCGTAGACGAGACCAGCACGGAAGGCGCACAGGCCGACTTGGGTGAGGGTTCGGTTGTAGAGGATTTGGGTGTTGACGTCGAAGCTTCCGATCGTCTCTTGGAGATGTGACATGAGCATCATGTCCCTAGACTTGTAGTATTGGTCGTGCAGGGCCAGGAAATAGATCTCGCAAAGCAAGGCACGACCCTTGATGATGCCCTCAGCATGTTGGAAGAGGTATGAGGCGAGTGTTCGGACGAGGGTGGTGATGTCCTTGGCTTGTGTTCGCGGCGTGATCTTGGAGTCATACTTTTCGTGAATGTCTTTCCAGGTGTTCTCCTCGAGAATGCCGACAACTTGGGACGGCTTGAAGTAGACGTGCTCGAGTCGACGCATGACGATGCGGTTGATGTTGTCTTGGGATGCGTCCAGCTTGGGCTCCGATTTGAGGCGCTCGGCGTAGATCATGGCGCGGACGATGTTGGTGTACAGAATGCCTTCATCCGTCAGGCGCTCGACATACTCAGCAGTGTGTGGATCGATGTGTTGGAGGACTCTGGTCAGCTCGTCGTCAAGGCGCTCAGCGAAGGAGATGAGGTTGCCAGGAATCTTGAAAACCTCGCCGGGAGTGATAGTAGGCTGCTTCTCATCGTCTTCCCAGTCCTCGGCGTTCTCGATGACAACAATTCCGCGGTTCTCTTCCAGAATGGACAGGAGGCGCGCAATTTCCTGCGATGCCAGCTTCCACTGCTCTTGTGTCATCTGCGATCCAGTGCCGGAAGTAAGGTCGAAACGGGTGGCGATCAAAGTGAGGAGTACTCGAATGCGCTGGTAGTCGCTGACCGCAACGTCCGAAAGCTTCTCCATGATTTTGATCTGCTCCAAGCGGTCGGTATTCTTCCTACCTCTCGACTCGACAATGGTACGAAGGTGTTTGAGAATACTCTCTGGGGTGTAGACCATAGCCTTGCCACCTGCACCAACCATAGTGAACCCATCGTCTCCGGCATCGAGGGACTCTTGGGCGGCGAGAAGAGACTTCTTGGCCTTCTTCGGTGCAGGTGCAACCTCCTCTACAACCTCCTCCTTCATGTAGTCATCTGGGTCTTTCCGGAACGTCTCGATTTCTGTGGCATAATCGCGGTTGTTCTTCCTGATCTTCTGTCGCAGAGCGTTCAGGCCCTTCTGTGCAATCGGGTTCATCTTCTTTCCGGGCGTGACCTTTTGCTTCTCGAAAGCCTCGGCGACCTGGGTCTCGAGATCTGCGATGGTCTTGATGTACATCTTCGGTGGCTTGCCGTCAAGGTCGCGAATGAGGGTAGGGAGTTGCCGGTTCATCTTGTCGTACTGTTCGTTGATAGCGTTCCAGTCGCTGATTTTCTCGGCATTCTCGATCAGTCGGGTAGTACCCTCGAGTTCGTCGAATCGCTTGTCCTTGGCGGATTTGACGACTGTGACTTTCTCCTCGTCGCTTTCTTCTGACTCGTCGGATGCCTCTCGCAAGAATCTGCTGGCACCCGTGCGGCCTCCCTCTTCGTCGCTGCTGGAGTCATCATCGTATCCCTCCTCTTCTTCCTCGCTGCTTTCATCTTCGCTGTCCTCTGCGTTCTCTTGCTCCTCCTCAGAGTACAATTCCTCCTCGTCGGAGCTGCTCTCGCTGGAGCTATCGCCGTGAAAGAATCGAGACATGTTGGCGGTGTGTTATGGCACGCAGAGACTCGAACGGCGCGTGCCTGTGATATAGCCGAGCGAGGGCGGTTGGGTGCGTGAGTCAGAACGTGACTTTTTGGATGTCGCTGTCGATGGATTTGCCCTCAAAGTGGGCGAAGTGGGCTGGGATTTAAGGTTTGCCAAGCTCGGCCCGTGTTGATGCCTGAATGCCTGAAAACGTCGCCCTTCTCGTCTCAAGCTCGACGACATGTCTTCACAAGTCTCCTACCGAACTGCGACTCAACCTTCCCGTCAGCTTCACAGTCATCACAAGCGTCATGCTACATGTTCTGAACTCAGATGGACTCGACCAACCATATGGCCAGTACGTGCCACAAGAGCGTTGTGGCCCTCCTCTTCTTCGACATGTGATAGACAATATCATTCTTTCATCGAGTCACAAGCTGTGACTGTGAAAAGGCTCTAGTGCTATTGCTCTCGACGGAGCGAAGAATCTGGTCACTGCATAGCCTCAACGCGGCATCGGTACACCGTGACTCTATGACCACGAAAAGCCGATCCCGTATCGAATAATACAATAATCCAAGGCTGACCTCTTGCAACGGAGCGGATGTCGATTTTGCGAATATGACAAAATGGAAATCAAACCACCATGGGATTCGGGCGGTACCGGCGAGCCTTGAATTTCAAGAAGACTAAATGGTTATTGCTCGACTCCAAGAACTTTGCACTACGTGGAACGAGTGCCCTAATGCCAAGCTAACGTGTCCTAGAATACGTCAAGGCGGTGGACATAGAGTCTTCGACATGCTCTCCGTCCTCCACACCTAGGCGTACCTTTCAAGGCGCTTTAGCTCTGGCAGGCCATCTAGCTTTCGAATCTGTGCCCGGAAAGCCAGTGCTCACCTCAACACCGAGGACGTTAGATTGCTCAGCGGATAGCTATAGCCCTTTCGACGGATTGCACTAGCCATCGCAGAATGCGTCCCTTAAGCAGTAGTCAGATTGGTCTCTTGGAAGGCGCGGTGTCGTGGAAATGCAGAACGAACGATTCGAGCACAAGTTGGGGCTTCAGCTGCCTTGATAATCAAAAAGACCTCCCCACATCAATCACATCTTGTTCAATCTAATGTCCAATCTACAATGATGTCGTCTTGATGGTCACGTGTAGCGCGCTTCAAAGTTCGCGCTAGCAACAGCTTCAAGTGAAGTTTGGACAGCTCGACTTCGAAGCCATCCAACCTCTCGACACGCACCATGATCATTCCACACCAGCAATAACTACGACTTCCACCCACAATGTCGTCCCCAGGTGACCGCCGCAGTGTCTCACGTGGCCGCTCACGCACACCGACCCGCCCAGCAACAGCAGCCTCCGAAGATGCGCGACGCAGCCAAACCCCCTCCATGAACGGCGCCCAACGCGACCGCAGCAGAACCCGCACCCCCTCACGCACCCCATCCCGCTCTCGCGACCGCAGCTACAGCAGAAGTCGCTCCCACAGCGCCTCGCGCTCCCGCTCCCCCAACGCCCCCCGCAGCGCCAAAATCGTCATCGAAAAACTCACCAAGAACGTCAACGCCTCCCACCTGCGCGAGATCTTCAGCACCTACGGCGAGATTCAAGATTTGGAGATGCCGATGAACAAGCACTTCATGACGAATCGTGGGATTGCGTATGTGCTGTATTCGCAGCCGACGTATGCGGAGAGTGCGATCAGTCACATGCACGAGGCGCAGTTGGACGGCGCGTTGATTAGTGTGAGCATTGTGTTGCCGAGACGGAGGTTCAGTCGGAGTCCGCCGCCTATGAGGCCTCCGCCAAATCGGTTTGGTGAGCCGCATCGGCATAGGGATGGTGGACCGCCTGCGAGGGGTCCGCCTCCGCCTGGGGATCGGTATGGACGGCCGCCACCGCCGGGGAGGGGGTCGCCGAGTTATGGTGGGGGAAGAGGTGGAAGACGCGGTAGTCCTGGTCCCAGGTTCGGTGGACGAGGAGGTGGAGGTGGATACCGGGATCGCTATGATGATAGGGACTACTATCGACCGCGGAGCTATTCGAGGAGCCCGCCACCGAGACGAGCGAGTCCAGGCCGGAGGTCGAGAAGCCCGCGGTACTCTAGTCGTAGCCGGAGCCCAACGCCCAAACGAGATCGCAGTCCACCTAGAGGTGGAGGAGGGGGTGGCGGAGGAGGTCGGCGGCGGAGAAGCTACTCAAGCTATAGCAGCCGGAGTCGAAGCTACAGCAGAGATAGGGGAGGACGAGGAAGACGGTGAAGTGGGTTTGATGCTTGGAAAGGGAGCGATTGAACTACATAGCGTGAAGGCTATTGGTATTGGGCCAATTACGCAAAGGGACGGGCAATACCACTGTACGATGAGGAGAGGTGGACACATGATTCAAGCGACTGTAGCAATAGCCACGAAAAGTCTGGAGGGAAGTCATTTCAGGATCAGCCGAGACGGATCCTTCAGGAAAGCTTTGCGCTTTGCGCTCTCACAGCTAATGACGAAGGTGAACTGTGGTCTCATTTCCATCGCTACTATGCTACCATGCTGCATATGCAAAGCGGCGCCCTCCCCCTGTCGCGTGACTAGAGCCGGAAGAAAGCCGAAGAAGTAACAAAAAAGAGAAAAACGTGAGTCTTTCAAAATAGAAAAACGCCTCAGTCCAGGGATATGATGTATCTGTGACTTTTTCTTTCTTTCTTCTTTTTTCGTGATTCACATATGCACACGGCGAATTCGTCCTTCCTGTCTCCAACTCCAGGTCGTGCGCGCGGCTCCAGGATCATCATCTTCCTCTCCTCCAACACCTAGTCCGCCGTTTCATGCTTCGTAAGAGGATGTTGTGATCTAGTAGCCGACCTTGATAAGGTAGTCGGCGAGTTGCTCGACGGTGTTGGCGGCGGCGCCGGGCTGGACGGACTCGGGGTAGTGTGCGACGAGGATGGCTTGTGTGGTCTTGACGATGACAACGCCTTCCCGGCCCTGGGTATCAAATCAGCAACCACATCCTTCAAACCGCTTATCACATCCCCGATGAACAACTCCTCCTTCTCGTCATTCAGAACGCACCTTCTTGCCATAGACACTCCGATCATCAGCCTTGAGCACGACAAACTTCTCGCCGGCGATATGCAGACCGCTGCTCTGGACCTGCTTGACGTCTGACTTGTCGTTGTATGCGGCCACCACCTCCTTCATCTCCTCGGGCTTGACGGTGAAGCCGGCCGACGTCGCCCAGACGCTGGTGCCTTCGTTGTTGAAGATGGCGGCCTTGTCGACATTGCCGGTGCCGACGAGGCTATGCGGTGTGGAATCAGTATCGTGATAAGGGATCAGCGTGGAGGTGAGCGATGGTGATGTACCTCGTGTCAACGTATGCTGTTCGTCACGCCGTTAGCACGCGCCTCCGTCAATACCATGGACGAGATGAGACATGGATGCTCGCTGGTTGAGTTCACTGACCTTGCCAAGACATGACTGCTGAAGTGTGCGCGGAGGGTGTGTCGTAGGTGTGTAGTTGTGCGACGGGATGGAGTAGTGCAGGACAGAGGTGGAGAGGTGGTTGTGAGAGAGAGTTTTGGGTTTTTGTTGGAGTGTTCCTGAATAGTTTGAGTGACAGGACGACCGGACCCTCTTTTCACACATGACAGCAGCGGCGGCGGAGGGGCACAGATGTGGGGGCCGACCTCACTCGTCACTGCTTGCTGTGCTTCGCCCCAACCACAACATTCACTTCATCGACTATCATGTGACAGATCGTTCGTCTGTCTCCAAAGTCCCTTCATCTTATCCCCAGTGCAGGCTTTCTATCTGCGATACTCGTCAACAGTCCCAGAGACAGCTCTGCCCCCGTTGCTTGCAGCAGCGATTCGTGGCGGTGAAGAGCCTTTCCAGCCCCAGTCTAGCTCAATGGCATCGTTCAACACCCGTCAATCGATCGTCAGGAACTAGACGTCGACTCATGCGAGGGCTTTGTCCGCTCGTAACTCATCTACTGGCGGCAATCATGTACAAAGCATCCCACTGCATTGGCGTAGAGCCCTTGACTGAGACGGTAAGGCACAGGAAGTACGCACGAAATGATACAAGATTTCCTAGACTGCTCGCAACTACAAGAACAGTTCTTACATTCCTTATGTGTCTTCTACTGAACAATATGCCCAGACATGCTTTTCATTGACAAATGCAATGCTCGCTTGAACGCTCCAAACTCATCTGAAAGACCTCATCTTTGCTTCTCAAAAACCCACCCTCCACACAAGAGTACGACAGGAATCGCAGTCACACCACTCAACAGTCCCAACGTCCAGGTCATCGTCTTCCAGCCGGCGTACTCAATAATAAAACCCGCCCACAAAGGACCAACAGTGTTACCTCCTGCCCACGCCATATTGAACAGAGCATACGCCTGTCCGTACGATCCTGCAGTAATTGCGCCAGACTTCGCAATCTCTGTGTCCGGTCGCGTGGCTCCCCCCGGGAATCTCTGTTAGCAGAGGCTCCAGAGCAAGTGTCATACAACTCCCAATCAGCACCAGCAGAACACAAAGCAGAGCTTTCTGATCCGCGCAGTCCTTTTCCACCAGGTGGAGGATCGAAGGGATTGGAGGGTCTTGAGTGCGGTGTCCATGGCACGGTGCTAGTAGGAACGGGATAGGGAGAGTTAGTGATGAATGAGACGAATGCTTATTTGAGGAAGAAGTGGACCTGAAAGGCGATGATATCTTACACGCAGCAGAAGGGGGGCGTATATGGCCTACAACAAACACCAAAGTGCCCAGCACAACGACGACGAAGCCATCACGAGCAAAACAAAGCTTGTATCAAGAAAGTGTATTGCTCCAGCACTCACTCACCGACGAACAGACTATTCTTCTCCGGCATCCTAGCTCCAACGACGACATGGAACCCAAACGCACGACCTCAGCATCAACACCGTAGGCCCAGCAGTCGACAAAGCTCCATCGACGCCAGACGCCATCCATACACTGATCATACATAGCCACACCTCACAACCTCCCCATACCCCCAAAACACAACCCTATCCCAAACCCCCATGGCCCAAGCTCTCATCAATCGAAATCGAAAAGAGATCTCGCCTCAACCGATGGCTGGCTACCTGAGCCAACAAACCTACCTCCGCATAAACCCCCCCAATGGGGTGCAAACGCAAGGAGTTCATACGCCCAAAGGCTGGCTGAAGTCCAAGGCGGTGATTCGTCTGGACTGCGCTCCGGGCGGGAATGTGGCTTTTGGCAGTCGGAGCTGGCAGTCCTGCGAGCTTTTCTATTTGGCTGGCTGCTGGGTGTGGCATGATGCGGTTTTGCGGTGGCGGTGTACATGTACTGGAGCTGTTTATGTTTGTTCGTTGCTAGGTGTGCTGGAGCTGTTTGAACGGGGTTGTTTTCGGAGGGGTTGTTCGCTGGCTCTGTGGTTGTTGGTGGTTCGTGGAGTTTGATGGCGGCGAACCAGCACTTGTGATCTCGAAGTCAATCTGGCGGTGGATCTATTCTGATGCTTCATGGCTTTCTGTCGATGTCACAACATTCATTGCCTACGTGGTCCCATCGATCGATTTTATAATGGACTCGGGAATCTGGAGAAGGAGTAGAATCGAGCTAAAAACCGGTCCCATTTTGCTTTTGATTCCATGCCCCTTTTTGAATGCAAGCCAGAGCGCTGACGGCCTGGCTTCTCAATCGTACTCATTACACATACTACACGCACTCTTTCGAATGATCAGGTTGGTCTCTCAGACTCGACCTACTATGGCCGCCAGCTCTGTCCACCACCACCACGTCCCATTCGATCAGAGTACATGCGCCCCTCATCTCGGTATCTGCCGCGGCCATACCGATTACCCTCGAAACCGTACCGTCCATCCTGGTATGCTGGCTCTGCGCGTCGTGGACCTCGATAGTAGTCGTCCTCGTACGGGCGGTCGTTCTTTGGTCCGGTTGGGAAGCTTTCTCTTGGGTCACGGTCAGATCTGCCACGACGCTCCTCGCGCAGGCGGTTCTCTGCCTCGCGTGACTCTGCGTTCTGGTCGACTTCCATGCTGTCGTCGATAACATCGGCTTGTGGTGGTGGTTGTTGCTGGCCTCGTGGTCCGGTGCCTGTGGCCTTCCAGTAAACGTGAAGCGTGCGACCATCCGCCTTGACCATCATCAGCCCACCTCCCTTTAAAAATCTAGGAGTTTATCCACATACCTTCTTGTTGTTGAAAGTGTTGATCACCGTCTCTGCCCCCGACTTCTCCACAAAGGTCATCTCCGCCATGACGGTCGGGGTTGTTGCCACCAGACGGCATTCTGTCATCTGTCCACCCACGTCCAACATGACGCTCTCAATGTCTGCTGCAGTTGTGCCTGGAGCAAAGTTGGAGGCTATGACCACATGCGGGCCAGCAGCTGCGCCTCTAATGCTCACACCAGGTCCACCTCCATTCGCCGCCGGTGCGTCGTATCCTCCATAGCCATTGCTTCTAGCATCGCTTACGGGGTCGGACGAGATTTGCGTGAATGCGGAGGGTTTGCTGGCGCGGTGGTTGTCGTTGGATGGGCGATTGAAACTGGGCGGGTTGCGGGCGTTTCGCGTGGGTGCAGTGTTGGAGCGTGAGAGGGAAGAGGTTCGCTAGAGACTCGTCAGTCTTGGTATGCTCGAGTCCAGCCGTGAAGCATGGTATACCTTGGTGACGCCGACTCGGCTGGCCAGACTGGCTGGTTGGGCAGGTTTTGCGCCTCTGGTCGCGGGCGTCTTGGAGCGCCGGCCGAAGATCTCCTGGGCCAGGTCCTGGGCTTTGCGCTTCTCGCGGCCTGGCCACCGTCAGTATGGAGCGCGTGTCACCTCCTTGCGCCAGGCTACTCACTCTCCCGGAGCATGTCGTCCAGCGAGCGCGGCGGCTGGTCTTTGGTGGCCGCCATTTTCGGGGATTGGAAGGGTGTGAGGGCGGTACGACGCGCGGGCAGCGAAGTGAAGTATGAATGAGGGAGTAGCAGCAAATGCCGGCGGCGTGGTGGTATGCGGCGGGTTCGTGTGTCGCGTCTCGAGCAAGTCGCACAGCGGAGAGTCTAGCCCGTGCAAGCTTTCTGTGAAGATCACGTGTCAGAAAGTGTGGTTGGCTGCCGCTCCCCTGGAACTTCATCAAACAATTCACAATTGATAAGAAGTGACGACTTCTGTGGTTCACCAGGCGTGGAATGCGCCTGAAACAGTCAAGCTCTTGCCTGTGTCACCGCCTGCGCTCGCTCCAATTTTCCAAACGATTGTCACTCGCGCAAGGCTCCGATTCACTCACGAGTACGCCACCCAGTTGAGCAGTAAGGCTGAATGGCATATCCAAGACCATCACAAGACAGCGACAAGGTGTAGTATGAGGGGGAAGCTTCAGGACATCAGCTGGTCGCGACTCCCTCCATCACTTCACCCTCTCCCCACTTCCGCTTTCTGTCACGGCAGGTGTCTCTCCACGTTGCCATTGCCATGTCTACCATGCCGTTTACCCATGTGTCCGCACGATTGCTTCCTTTCCGTCGTCCTAAGGTACCAAACTACCTTGAACGAGTAACACATTGCACCAATCCCGCAGATCATCCTGACCACAACTCATACAATGTCTCGACGTCGAGACACCACAACCCCCTCACAGCTTGAACGAGGGAGTGCAGTGTCGCCTTCACCCGCACGCGATGCACTGCAAGGAAATCTAGAGAGCGGCCTCACTTTAAATAGGAAGAAGTCGTGGTTTGGCAGCGCTCGCGATATCCTCTCCAAGGCTTTGAAGGGAGATGGATCATCGAAAGTAGATGAGTATGTCGGTGAACCACATCATCACTCGGGCAGTATGGCTGATCTGTATCCAGGACTGAAGACCGAACGATATCGATCCAGACTGAAGAGTCCGAAGTTGGCCAACATGACGATTCTTCGACCACACCGCTAAGGCCTCGCCCAGAACGCCAGCGAACGTTCACCCCAAGAAACGCGATATCCTCGCTACGTCAGCATATATCCAGCTCCAATCATCGTCACAAGAGACCAGCTCTGGCAAACATCACTGGCAATGAGATACGTACGAGTACACCAATTGGACCCGACAGCATAGTCATCTCCCCGGCGCCCGAGGACGAAGAGGAGCAAGACGCGCTCGAGACCCATGCCAGGAAGAACAGCCTGGGAAAGAGCCTTGTGGGGAGCATTCGGACTTTTGGCAGAAAGAGTATGTCCGGGAATGCTTCGCCCACTAAAAGCATCAAGGAGGATCAATTCTCGCCAACGAAGCACGCCGCCGCTGTTCCCTTGCCATCATCGCCTATTGACATCCCCCCACCACCTACTCTACATGTCGACCTAGGACCCGCAGCTCTCATGCCTACATCGCCACAGCAAGACGACGAAAGTGAACTCATGAGAATCACCAATCCTGCAAACTTGATCGGCGAAAGACCAGTGCCCACTTACTACACACGTTTGCCCGGGGAAGGGCCCAGCGATCAGCAACACTTATTGGGCAAGAAGCAGTCTTTGACCCCAAGTGATCTTCTCCAGCTACCGACGGACGACTTCGGATTCAGCGTACCAGAAGGCCCGACCACTCCATCCAGAAAGTCAGGCTTTCAACTCGACGGAGCAAACGACGAGATTGAACTTTTCGAGCGCAGTGTCGAGTACAAGGACAAGGCCTACAAGAAGGAGAACCGAAGCCTCAAGAAGATGGTGTCACTTGACGCTATGGCTGAGGAGTGCGCAAGCTCGCCAACAGCCAAATCGCCAAGCAAGTTGTTGATGGGTGATCCCAGGAGGTCCAGAGATCATATGTCACTCACGACGATCCAGTCCTTTCCTGAGGACATGCCAGAGATCACACGCCAGCTGGCTCACCTGCAAACACCAAGCGCCGGCCATCGTGACCCCACAAGCGGCGAGTGGAAGAGTGGAGATCCATTTGCTCCTAGCAATACCATTGGGGACCTTGCATCGTCTGGACCACCGTCGCCAACTCGAAGCGTCAAGCTGCCCCTTCGCCCTAAGATCACTGTGCAGTCGGCTGGGTCTACTGACCCAAAGACTTTTGATGAAAGTGACCTGCAGACGCCTGAATGTGTGAAGGACGACGGTGTCGAATGTAAAGAAGAGGTTCGCAGAGACTCCCTGATATTTGATGGCGTGACAATACAGAACAATCAGGTCAACTTCGCCACCAAGGACGCTGCTGCAACCACCTTCAAAGCGAGCAATGAAGCTGTGATCGGGGACGGAGCCAAGAGTCGCGAATCACTGGCGAGTACCGTCGACTCTGGTGAATACGGAGAGTTCAAGACTCAACAACTCTTCGGCGATTTGAGTGCACCAGAATTACCGGAGTATGTCGACGCTGACGGCAGTGGAAGGGCCAGTCTTGAGACGTCTCCGCAGAGGAGACGATCAGTTGCACAGCTCTACCACCGTATCTCCAACTCGAAGACACCAAGTCCACCACGCTGTCGCCCAGGCACGACGCACCAAGCAGATGTGAGCGACATCTTTTGGAAGTATGATTTCAAGGACTGGCCGCGGCTCTCCAAAGACGCTGGAGAGGACACACCACACGAGTCGATCGGCAGCAGCAATGAGTCGGTTGCAGGATCAGATGATATTCCTACAAACGCATCCCCAAACCGAACTCCAAGCATGGGAGACCGCCTTGAGTTTGGTATCAAGCGGTCTGCCAGGAACATGCGCTACAATGCTTTGCGTGACATGGAAGACACTCCAGAGCATGAAGACTCTGCGAAGCTACCAGAGTTCTTGCAGCCCGCACCACACCGTCCGACTTTGAAGATCGATACATCAAGCGACTTCAAGACCAGAAACAGTTCTGACCTATCTCTGGCCAACTTCGATGAAGCCTACTCCAGCTCCCGTCAAGTCTCGCCGCTCAAACCCAGCACCAGACAATCGAGAGTGGGCATGAGCTCCGACAGCATCGATCACGAGCTCAAGCATGCCATATCCCAGCATTACGTCTTCCAAGCAGCAGTCGCTGGACTGGGCATCACAGAACCATATTCCTCCTCAACAGCCACCGCCACACCCTCCGAAAACCACCCCATGTTCAGCAACGAGTCGAAGACCACTCCCAATGATCACCACCCAATCTCCCCCTCAAGCAGCGCCATCTGGCAAGACATCCAACAAGGCCCCTTCGACACGCCCCCCGGCCCCTCAAACAAATCCGACCAAGAAGGCGAACTTCACGCCTACGAATTCAAAACCCCCTTCGCAGACTCCTCCGCTTCCGCAGACGACGATACCCTCGACGACTGCCTCGAGATGTTTCACAACTTCAACAAGTCCCAGGAGATGCTCTCGTCGGATAGTGTGCAGCCGGCGGAGAAGATTGAGAATCCTTTCGCTTCTTCTTCTTCTTCTTCTTCGCCGGGAGGGGAGGGGAGGGGTAGTTCGACGACGACGAGTCCGAGGAAGCCGTTGCCGGCGAGGTATCGGAATAGTTTGAGGGGGAGGAGGTGAGCTGAGATGGGGGATGATGGGTAATGGGGGTTAATGGTGGAGATGGGGATGAGGAGGCGTTATTGATAGGATGTGTGTATTGTTTGTGAGGCTGTAATGCTTGGATGGGTGTTGGAGGGGGTGTTATCAATAGGAGATTGAGCTGCTAGTCGTTTTATGAATAGGTTGTTGTCCTAGGAAGTGTAGAGTACACTGTACACAGCATGCAGGGGCGGGCTCCTGTCCGTTTCTCAAATAACTCCTTTTTGCACTCTTAGGTTCTATATAAGGCTCGCCGTTGGTGTGTCTGGTCTGATCGCCACTTCACGTCCGACAAGTCCATTTCCGCCTGATCGGTAGCGAGCGTGGAAACCTGCATATCGCCGCACAGGGGTGAGGTTTTGCAGTGATGGATAACCCAGGCAGAGGAGATGTGTTGCATAGCAACATAGGAAGACCGTTCGATGTTGGCATTAGGTAGTGAGACCGAACATTATGGGTGGTCGTCGTTTGTTACGAATGTTTCGCCCTCGATACACTCATTGAGCAAGGCTGCAAGGAATCGACACGTCAAAGCGGCGGCCCTGGGCGTTTGCAAATCTGCTGAGTCTTCCGCTCGTTGAGGTCATGGAGCGGAAGAGCTTTCGTTTGGTGGTGGTCGTTTGATATATTCTCTGGTCTTCTTCTCCACCAATCTCCTCTTCTCCCCAACCCACCCAGCCTCGTCTCAGATTCTTCAACCCATCTGTCTCCAGCTAGACGACAGCGCCAGCACTTCCATTTCCCAGCCATGGCGTCGGACACCAACAACGACGGAGCCCAAGCCCAACCTCTCGAGCCTAATAACTGCTCCCCCTCGCCAACAGCAGAGCGCAACCCGGAAACTCCAGACGAAGTCCAGAAGAAGAAATCCTCCTCCTCCAAAGCCCCTGCCCCCATGACCAGCGTCATCGCCCTCCTCACCGCCACCTCCATCGCAACCTACATCCAATGCGAGCTGCCCATGGTGAACAGACGCCTCACGCCCTCCGACCACGACGCCCGCAACGCCTTCATCGCGAACCACATGACGCTCGTAGCGGGCGGGGACTCGAAACTCGTCCACGAGGAGATGAACTTCCTCTCCACCCACGCCATCTCCGTCGCGAAGAAACTCTTCCTCGAGAAATTGGAGACGCTGTACGATGGGCCCGTGCCTGCTGTCGAGCACGCGCCGTTCAGCTATCATATCGGACGGATGAAGGGGGCGAGGGATTTGGAGGTTTTGTGCCGGGAGCGGGAGGTGGAGAGGGCGGATGAGGCGAGGGTGAAGAAGGAGACTGCTGAGAAGCGGGAGCAGGAGCGGAGGTTGGGTGGGATTGGGGTGCTTGATGGGAAGGCCGTGTTTGGCCCTGTTACGCCTTGGGATGGCAAGGAGGAGGGGGAGGTTCCGGTTGCGCAGCCGTTGTTTGTGAGCAAGGCGGCGATTGAGGGGATTATGGGGTCTAGGAAGCAGTTCGGTTGAGCGGTCACTGGGTTTGGGTCGTCGTACGGGTGGTGAACTGCAGGGCAGCCTGTATCGTCTGGGAGGTAGTGATATTCAAATGCATAGCGGTTCAGGGACTGTGATCGAAGGTGTTTTCTCGAACGAGCTTCGAACCTCATCTCCAAGAACTTCCTCTAACTTGACGCAAACCTGCCCAAGCATTGAGTCGACCCGTCGATCATTCCATGAAGGAGAAACGGTTCGCGGGGCGAGATATCCGCATCTTGACCGGTCCATGGCATACCACAGACCTCAAGAGCGGGAACGGACGCGGTGTTGTTTTGCACTCACGGATTCCCTTATCACATGGTAGGCGATGTCGGTGAAGAGAGCGGTATGATGGCCGATATTGCTCAAGGTATGTATGATCGTAGAGTGAGTTCTGGTCGTAGCGAATACTCGTTTCGATGCATTGATGCCATGTGCGTACGCCGTGAGCTAAACGCCTTCGGTTCGTGCTCTCATACGTCGCTCCGGGAAGAGAACATTCCCCGAGCATCGCACGCAGCCTGGTGCCAGATTCCATTCTTCGGCACCCGCACCTTGTATGGACTTTTGATGGGTTTAAGACTGCATGATGTCTTCACTGGTGTCGAAGGGTAGTCCATCCCAGGAGATCGGCGACCATGGACAACTCACGCGCGATGTCTCCTGGACCTGATCTCGATACTGAACCAAATGCGAATCCAGCATCCGATGACAACGATTCATCCATTGGAGATGAAGACAATGGTGCCTCAGTCGTGTTACCGCCCTACACACCTCCGTACTCTTCATTCGAAGGACGTACAAGAGCCGCCATCATGATCGCAGCATGTTCCTCATCAGCAGTATCGCCCTTCTCGACAAGCATATACTATCCAGCAGTGCCAGCTCTAAGCCAAAAACTCGGTGTCCCAGTGACGCTGATCAACTTGACGATCAGCTCGTATCAGGTATGTCTGTCAAAGACGAATGCCTCAGGAGCAAACAATCGCTGATCTCGCGAGATATCAGATATTCCAAGGCATCGCGCCGTCGTTCACTGCCGCATTTTCCGAGTCGTATGGGAGACGACCGGCGTATTTACTGGGCTTCGTCGTGTGGCTCGGTGCGAACTTGGGTCTTGCCTTGCAGAATGAATATGCAGCACTGCTGGTCCTACGCTGTCTGCAGTCGTGCGGGAGCAGTGGCTCTTTGGCGCTCGCGGCAGCAGTATGTGCCGATCTGGCTCCGCGATCCGAGCGCGGGAAATACACTGGCTACACGACCATCGGGGTGGTGTTCGGTTCCTCGATCGCTCCTGTTGTCGGAGGACTGTTGTCTTATTATCTCGGGCCGCAATCGATCTTCTGGTTTCTGGTGATATTCTCGGGTATCTTGTGTGTCGTTGTGGCTGTTGTGTTCCCAGAAACTTGTCGGTCTGTAGTCGGGAATGGATCTGTCCCTCCACAAAGACGGAATCGATCCCTGATTCAGCTCACTCGGCCGTCCCCTGGTCCCGGTGACATAGAGACAGTCTCCAAGAAGAAGCGCCGACTGAACCCTCTGACGGCTTTGTTCCTGTTAAGAGACCTCGAGAATTTTCTCCTGGCACTGTACGTCGGAATCCTGTACTCCGGGTCTGCCAGCGTCACCAGAGTATTGGCTTCGCAACTCGCACGCCGCTACCACTTTAATGAGATCCAGACAGGCCTGTGTTACATACCTCTTGGTGTCGGCGCCATGACGTCCCGCTGGACTATGGCAAATCTCATTGACTGGCGATTCAAACGCGAAGCTGGCAAACAGGGTCTCGGCGTCGAGAAGAACAGACGGCAAGATATCAGCAAGTTCAACATTGAGATGGCCCGTCTGCCCTTATGTTTGCCCGTCGTTTTCGCGTCTTGCTGTTGCTTCATCACCTACGGCTGGGTGATGGAATACCATACTCCTCTTGCTGTTATAATTGTAAGCAGATCCCAAAACACAACGTGACGAGGCTGTGATATGCTGAGAATGAAATCTTAGGTCGTCCTTTTCCTGATGGGAAACATCACAACAAGCCCAATGATACCCATGGCCACACTCATGGTGGATCTGAATCCGGACAACACCGCTTCAGCTTCCGCATCGCTCAATTTGGTCCGGATGTTGATGAGTGCGGGCTTTGTTGCCGTGTATACGCCTCTCATTGATGCCATTGGCATTGGATGGACCTGTACGATGACTGCGGGGATTTTTGTGCTCTTTGCACCCTGCGTGTTGGTTGTCATGAGTTATGGGTATAGCTGGAGGCTTCGGAAAGCTGAGAAAGAGACGAGTGAAACAGGGTCAACGAATGGTCGCGAGGCCTCGGGAAAAGTGTGACACCTATGGACGTCCAATGATGAGATCTGAACAGGGGACGCTAAAAGCTCGGAGAAGGAGGCAAAGCCGTTTGGGAGTGATGCGCACCCAGACGAGCTTTTAGCGTCCTCAAGCGAGAGGGAACATGGGATTTCTTGAGAGCAGTGGTCTTGTCGTTTCGCGCAAAGTGGAGCGCATAGAGCTGGCTTTTCTTCCATTAATGCGAAAGCGACCATGCTTCTATTCGCACCTTAGGCCAGCTTGATGGCTTACGAGTAATGGGGACCAGTCTCGTTCAAGGGTACGCTCGTAAATGATCTAATTTAGGCGTTACCAGCCGGTGAATTGAGTAAACTTCGATCTTGCTTAAGAGCAAGTAGAAGCACTTGGAAAGTGACTCCTCAAGGATCGATGCAACTATGGTGCCAGAGTTATTGATGTAGTGTGAGAGAAGGAAGTGAGGTCAGGTCGGAGAAATGTCGGATGGGACGCGGAAAAGCTCCGACGCTAGCGCGAACGACAAGCGAGCTTTTAGCGTCCTCTAGTGAGCTATCAATGAACCTCTCTCGACTCCTTCTACATCTCATCTACTCACTGACAATGTGATGCTACGGCCGCGGTGTCTCTGGCAGAAGACGAGCAGTCTCTACAAGAGACAATTCTCCTACAATGTGATTCAAAGATCGACAGCAGCGGCGACAGCCACGGAAGCAGAAGTTCACGATGGAGGTATATCACTACAACTTCCATTGACAGAATTGCATTGACTAACCTCATCGCACAGACAAGCCACTCCAAGGGAAATTCGTCGCCCTGAAAGCCAACATAGCCACCAAGACGAACGTCGTCCCAACCACCGCAGCCTCGAAAACCCTCGCGAACTACCACTCTCCCTTCCACGCTACCGTCTCCTCTCTCCTCCTGCAACATGGCGCCTCCCTCCTCCCCAATGCCAACATGGATGAGTTCGGCATGGGCTCACACTCGCAATTCTCGCCTCTCCTCGGTCCTTTGACTTCGGCCTTCAGTCGCAATGGCAAACCTCTCTCCCCAGGCGGGAGTAGCGGTGGAAGCGCTCTCTGGGTCGCGAATGAGCTTTGCTGGGCGGCTATTGGGACAGATACAGGCGGGAGTGTGAGATTGCCTGGGGCTTATTGTGGGGTTGTGGGCTTCAAACCGAGTTATGGGAGGATCAGTCGGTGGGGGGTCGTGCAGTATGCGAATTCGCTGGATACTGTCGGTGTTCTCGCGAAGGAGGTACAAAGAGCGAGGGAGGTGTTCCAGTGTTTGGATCAAGAGGACTGGAGAGACATGACGTGCATGGGACCAAGCTTAAGGAGCAGGATCGCGAAAACGTCGAGACAACACGACAGGAAGTCCCTGAGAATCGGCATTCCATTGGAATACAACATCGCCGAACTCTCCCCACCCGTCAAAGCCACCTACACCGCCACTCTCCGCGCCCTGCACGCATCAGGCCACACGCTCCACCCCGTCTCCCTCCCCACAACCCGCCTCGCCCTCTCAGCCTACTACATCCTCGCCCCAGCCGAAGCCTCCTCGAACCTCGCCAAATACGACGGCATCCGCTACGGCCACCGCACACCCACCACCGACGCAGCCCCCAACGCGGACCCGCCTCTCCCCTTGTACGCGCAAACCCGCGCCGAGGCCTTCGGCCCCGAAGTCCAGCGCCGGATTCTGCTGGGCGCGTACACGCTAAGCTCGGACGCGATGGAGAATTATTTCCTGCAGGCGCAGAGGGTGAGGCGGTTGGTGCAGCGGGATTTCGATCGGGTTTTCGCGGCGGGGAATCCTTTGCTTGATCCTGGGAGTGGAAGTGGGGAGAAAGTGGACGTTCTCCTGACGCCCACGGCCCCGACGCTTCCCCCGACGGTGGAGGAGCTGGAGGGACAGTCGCCTGTGGAGAGTTATATGAATGATGTGTTCACTGTCCCGGCGAGTCTGGCGGGTCTGCCTGCCATCTCCGTGCCTGTGCCTCTTTCTGCTGAGCAGAGAAAGGGCATGGATGAGAAGGACGTGACGAGCGTAGGCATGCAGCTCATCGGGCAATTCGGGAACGACAAGTTGGTGTTGGATGCAGCTGAGATGTTAGAATCAATCAACAATACTGCCTGAACCCCTCCGTATCAACTTTCTTATTCTTCGCGGAGACGAATGTCACATCGTGAATTTGTCTCAGTAGAACATTCAAATTTTTCGAAGAAACTGTGGTATCTCTAGTTTGGCTGCTCTCAAAGCGCCCAAAACAAATCAAAAAACAAAAGTGCCTCCGTCCGCCCGGGCCCGAACCACCTCCCTCCACGATGAAGCGTTGCGAGAATGTGTCTTCCCGAGTCAATTCAATTTCAAGTTCAAGTCCAGTCTCTTCGTAGCACCATAACACCATGCTCAATCTTTCGTTTCCCATTCCATTCCAGAGAACTCAGTAACAAAAGAAAACGGTTGTAGTCATCCAGTGAGCGGCTTTCCTCCTAAAGACCACGTCCAACGCCAACACTACTAGCGCTCTCGCCGACTCGAACCTCATCATCAGTCGTGCCCAGACCTCTCCGACTGCTCGCCGTCGTGCTCTGGCTCTCGCTCCGCTCCCGTGGTCCCGCCACGCCTCCTACACCACCTGCCCACGCCGCAACACCCAGACCGGCTGATGGAGGTGGGCTAGTCATGGATGGGACACGCTCATTCATGGAGCTTTCACGCGTGGGACGAGTGCTGTTCCCGACGTCTGGTCGCTGGGCATCGGATTGACTCGAGTCTCGTCGACGGGCACGCAGAGCTCGCTCGAGGGCTCGCACTCGTTGGCGGAGGGCGTCGTTCTCTGCTTTGACGATTTCCATTTCTGTTCGGTAGGCGGCTGTGTCGGCGTAGTGCTGCATGGCGATTTGGACACCGCCAGATTGATTGGGAGATTGAGCTGGAGATGGGAGAGGTTGTGGGAAGGGGGCTGGCGTGCCGGCTTGAGCGTGGGTTGAGGAGACTGTGTTTGCGGAGGGGTCCCGTGAGACGGAGGGGCGGTGTGGGAGTGTATAGAGCGTGCCGACGTGACGGGGTACTTCCATTGACTGGCGAGCGGGGGTGGAGTTTCCTGACGCTCCAACGGATGGTTGTCTGCTTAGAGAGGATCCAGTCGCTGCAGCGGCACGATCAGCTGATGCTTGTGATATGCCATGGACGGGGACGTTGGTCGTGCTGGTCCCGGCTTGTGCCTGGATGGAGGCGTTGGTGATGCTGCTGCCTGCTTGTGAGGCGCTGGTCGACGGCGTTGGTATGCTCCTCGTGCTGACCGACGAAGAGGATCTGTGTCTGCGGGACGGGGTGGGATGTGTCGCACCGGTCATCTGATGGGTCGGGTTTGGGTCTGAGATATCAACCGGCAGCAAGGACACGCCCGTCGAAGTCGACGAGACCGAAGCATTGCTGGCGACAGACGCCGACTGAGCGCGCAGAGCAGTGAGCTCGCGGGTCAGGCGATTGACCTACATTATCCATTAGTGCTAGTCTCAAGCACTTGTGTACATTATCTCCATACCACTGCCTCCTGCTCTTTCTCACACTCAGCATACAGCTCTGCTGCAGTGAGTGGCCTGGGGTGACGCATAGGCACTTGGTCACTGCTCGAAATTATGGGGCTTCGAGGGTATGCGTGGTGAGTGTGTAGCGGCGCGGTCGCGGAGGCAGGGTGTGCTGGAGGGCCCATGGCGGAGGTGCGTCTTGAAGCCGCCGTGGAAGTTGGTTGCGAGTTGGGTTGCGACATGTTGTCGGGTCGAGGGGAAGTGGGGAGGCTGTTTACGTCCGGCGCCATTGTGAGTGTCTAGAGGGGTCGTGAAGAAGGAGGTGAAGTGAGCATTATTGTGTTTGAGGTTCGAGGTGGAAGTGAATGAAGTGGGGGATGCTCCAGGGGTAAGTGCAGGCAGCACGCGACGGCGACGACGACGACGGACAGTGACGGCAATGACGATGTTGTGCGCTGCTGTTATACACGGACGTGTTTCATGATTATTGCGCTCATCAACAAGAGGAATGGAAATGCCAAAGTGTCGATCGCTTGGGTATGTGCGGTGGCTCAGACGCTGCAAACGTCAGGGTCTACCCAGCATTGATTGACATTGAAGGTTGAATGAGAGAGCGGTCGTTAGTCAGACATTACTGTATAGACAGATACATCTTTGAGACAACTACATCATTCCTTTCCCCGACTCTAAGCCTTCCTACTGCTTTAGTCGTGCACTCTGGAGATCTGCCTGAGCGTCCTTGACCAGGAAGCTATCCCATGTTGTCAGTAGTTGCACTGCCTGTCAAGGCCGGGTCATGGACTCACTTGTACCACCAAATCGTTGGCCCAACCGTTCCCAAATGCCACAACGCGTGTGCATCCACCATCCCCCACCACGGCGGGAAATCAAACAATTCCAAACTCATCGCGAAGATGATCCAAAATACAATCAACCCCGGCCACGCTGCCCACAACCTTCCAACTTTCCTGAACCGCTGGATGGAGAACCATGTCCACATTACGTTTTGAACCAGTCCCACTACCACATTCGCAGCCATATTGTATGTATAGTCGAATCGTACAAACGTCAAGTACCCAATGTGCATCAGGTACGCGCTTGCGCATATCAACGTCCACAACCTCAGGACAGTCCCTGTCTTGCCGTTGAAGCTGTCCGGACGATCGAGCCGAAAGATCCTGATGGGCGTGTAGAACATCCCATACATGACGCTCGCGCCTGCAGCGAAGTAATCCAGCTTCTCCGTCACGTTGAAGTCCCTGGTGTGGAACATCATACTAAATATCCAGCTCATCATGCCAAAGTATCCAAAGAGCAAGTAGTATTTCCGCAGCGCATATCTCGCGGGTATGTTCTCTTTGATCTGTTTGATTCCATGATCATGCGCCAAGAAGTTGAAGAGGGAGAAGAGGACACTGGCGGGCTCCTGCATTCCGAGGAAGCGGTAAAAGGGCCATTTGCCGTGGAATTGGACGACTGGTTCGAGGTAGGGCGGTTCGCGTGCGAGTCGCTGTTCGGTTATGATGTGCTGGCACACATAATCGCATTCTTGGGGGCAGTCCCACAAGAGGAGACGGTGTTGGAGTGCTACAGTATTGCTTAGCCATTGTTACTGCTAGAGATGAAGGTGTTGTCGCATGCATACGTATTGATAGCCCTTTCTCCCCACAGCTTGTGTCCGTGCAGTCCTACGAGATCAGAACCAAGTCGCAATTCCTCCGTGCGATCAGGCTCACTCACTTTCAAACACTCCCTAAACTCAGGCAGCCGGTCGCCGATGGACGCGCTCGCGATGCCGCCAAAGGAGAGAACGAACCAGATGACGGGAAAGAGGCAGAGCCTCTGAAGGTCGCGGTGCAGCATCACGCATGTCTGGGTCGAGAATGGGAAGGGAATCACATCGTCGGGCGACTTGACGGCGCGGTCGGTGGTCGCGAAGCTTGGAGCGCTCAGGGAGAAGTTGCTAGCGATCCGCGGGGGTCTGCCCAGCCACGACGGCGACATCACACGACGACTTCTTTTTCTACCCTCGACAACAACATCGTCGCCAACTCGCACCACGAGAGCAGGCAGACCGTCTGCATGATGTAGCCTGTGCCAAGACACCTGCCACAGCCGCCATCCTTCACCAGCGTCTGCGGTGTCACTGGTGTAGGACGATCCTGAAGTGTGGCCACCTTTGCGTGTCACTTTCGCGACTTTCCATTGGAGCTTGAACAGCAGCTTTCATGCCACACGCTTCTGCACTACCGACGAATAGGTCAAGTACTGCTCTATCAATCTGTTTCTTTGTCACGTGCCAATGGCTTCGCTAAGATCGTCGACACGCACAACGCCGCGGAAGACGTATACCGTTGATGCTTTTGAAGGCATCCGGGATTTGATACAGCACAGCTCGGAATCTGATGATGGAGCGCAGCAGGGTGAACAGGAAGAAGGGGACGAAATGCAGGAAGAGGAGGATGAGAGTGAAGAAGACGAATTCAAGTCCGTTGCAGCTGAAAGTGGACCCGACGATGAATCAATGTCTGGACTGGACGAGCTCGGACCTGTCGAAGAAGCTGACGATCGAGCAAGCGACGCTGGAGAAGCCGATCTGGACGACAGCATGTCAATCGTCGAAGACATTGGGCCCTCGAACCGGACTACCACCATGAAGCGAAACCGAGTGAAGAAAGTCCTACCACCCGAGGGCGAACGCACGTATGTTCGAGGAATACCGACTGATCTCCACAGTCACGTCAACAAGGCTGAGAGGTACAAGTGGTTGTTTGGACCTACCAAGGACGACCAGCAACCGGTGATCAAGGCTCGAAACAAGTGGACGAACAAACGAGGTTTGCCCAGTCGGACGCCGTATTACGATGACCGCGGCGGCTTTGCTTACAGAAAGACATATCGCACCGAGACCGAGAATGCAGAGAGCAATTGGAAGTGGTACCGCGAAGGTGGCGGTCGCGAAGCCTTCGAGCGACGTCAAGTGATGAAGGCTCTCACTTTCAATGAGGTGTTGCCTTACCTCCCGACTGATTTCAAACTGCGAACGTTCGTGATGGGACCAGTCAGCCGCCGAAAGTTTTACAGCATGAAGGTTCGACAATGGGTGTCATTGTCAGCAGCTTTTGCAAAAGAGCGGCAGACGCAGAGCAATGGAGAGGCCAGCAAGTCATCATCGAGTAGCAAGAAAGGCTTCATTCTCAACCTTGGCGCCAAAGTACAGAGCCTTGACTGGGCTCCAAATCAAGGAGGACCGAAGCAGTATCTCGCAGCTACTGTGTTACCCTTCAATAGAGCAGACAATCCTTCTGATGCTCGCAGTGCGCCATCATTCACGCCTCAGCGGCCACATCGATCAAGCATACAAATCTGGGAAATTAGTGCAACCTCAGACGACTTGGTCGACGATACTGTACCACCTCGACTCAGTATTGTTCTTTGCACGGCCATTGGGGAACTCAAGGCTATCAAGTGGTGCCCGGTCCCTCATAAAGATTCAGAACGGCTTGGCTTGCTGGCTTGCGTGTCTTCAGACGGCGCTATCCGAGTATTGGACGTACCACCACCGGGCAAAGACGCACGAACGTCCAACCTTCTCGTCGAAGACTTCGCGTTTGAATGCAGGCCTCCAGACACAGTCTGCACTGCGCTCACATGGATCAGCTCTTCAAGGTTAGCAGCTGCCTGTGCCAACGGATTTGTGGCCATCTGGGATCTTAACGAAGCACTACAATCAGGGAAAACGAACTCCAGACCCACTACCTACACCGGTATCAGTACATCCTACATCATGAGCATCACGTCCTGCTACCCGTCATTCCCACACATGATCGCCACGACATCGATGAACGGCTTCGTGACGTTGATGGATTCGAGGCAACCTCATCCAAATTCCCGCGCAGCCACCACTCAAACCAATCGGACTCGTATCGGTCAGTCCTTGATCATGTGGCACGACTTCGCTCATGCTGGCGTGAGTGTCGAAGACAATCAAACAGTCCGTTGCTATCCTCTTCGAAAGTGGTTCACCGGCCTTGCTACTGCAAAGCTGAAAGGTCACGTCACGTCGATGGCAGTAAGCTTATGCCACCCATACGTCTTGACAGGGTCCGCTGCCGGAGAAGTTGCAGGCCATAATCCTGTTCGGAGACTCGTCGATGGCGCCAAATCACTCCTCTATCAACAGCGGTGGTTCACGCATGAATGGAGGCGACCGACTGAAGACGAACGGGAAGCTGCCGAGATGGCTGAGATCGAACCCGCGAGCGGCAACTCCAACGAAGTGGATGTGCAAAGCATCATTGGCAAGGACGGACTCAGTCGAATCACCGATGGCTTCAAGCCGCAGGTCGCGGTCCTGAACAACTATGGAGCGGCGAACGTCAAGGATGGTGCTCTGTTTTCTACGATTTATGAGGAGAAGAGTGCAGTCACGGCTTTGGCGTGGAACCCAAATCTTCATGTCGGGGGATGGGCTGCTGCTGGTATGGCGGATGGGTTGTTGAAGGTGGAGGATGTTGCGTTTTGATTGGGAAAGTCGCGAAGGGTGGGCACCAAATGAACACCAGACTGGGCTGCCGATGCAACTCAACCACCTGCCTCTTCCAATACGCAGTCTAATATCTGGCATGCCTGCCAATTTGGGCACATTGGTGGGTCAAAAACTCTAATAGAGCTTCGACTAACTCTGTTGGCTTCTTCATCCGGGCTGGTGACGAGGCTAAAGTACGTTAGACGATCAGCTCTGTACATCAACTCCGAGCATCTCGCCTCCGTCTGAGCTCTTGCAACCTCCTCCATCGACTCAACATCCCTACAACCACATCGAAGTCGAAATGAAAATCCAATTCGTAACCGCTATAGCCTCTTGGGCACTCTCAGTGGCAGCCCTCAACCCCAAATGTGCCCCCGGTGGCAACTTCGACCTGAGCCCATGGCAGCTCCAACTCCCGACGGGCAGCTCAGGCAAACCCACCACAATCCCCAGCTCCCAACTCACCGGCTGCGACGGCTATGAAGACTTCTCCACCTTCTTCACCGAAACCAAGGACGGCGCCCTCGTGATGAAAGTCTGCGGTTCTCCCTCCTCCTGCGGATGCGTGACCACTCCTAACAGCAAACACTGCCGTACCGAACTCCGCGAGAATGATTCTTGGTCTCCGGATGATGATACGAATCGATTGCGTGTGACGCTGTCCGTGCCGACGCCGGATGATAGCAAGTATGGCACTGTCATCGGACAGATCCACATTGACGACTCGATCTCGAGCAAACCAGTCGCTGAGCTGTACTACAGCCAATCCGGGGACTTGCACATGGGAGTGGAGCAGACACGATCCGGCGGGAACGAGGTCTTCACGAAAGTCGGGAATGTAGGCGTTGGGAAGCAGTTCCCCTACGAGATTCGTTACGAGGGCGGGAGATTGAGTGTGAGCGTTAATGGAGGGGCGCAGCAGGGGCTTTCGACGTACTCTTTGAATTCTCCGGAGAGCTACTTCAAGGTGGGGAATAATAATCAGGGGGATGATGCTTCTGATGTGCATTTCTTGGCTGTTGAGGTGCAGCATTAGGTTGCTGGGGTGGAGTGTTGAATTGTGTGCGAGATGAGAGTGTCGTGTCTGATGGTGGAGGGGAGTCTGGACAAGGGAACTGAATAGTATGAGTGGAGAGTTGCCAATGGGACAAGAAATGATTCTTATATCCTTCGTTTCCGAATTCAATTACACATTCTTCCCCGTCCCAGTGCTGGAGACATGGTGTTGTTGCGCCAGCCGTAGAGTCATGTGTTCACTCTTCACAGTCACTTCTGGTATTGCAGAATCTTTAATGCGGTTCCTGGACGAGTTCGGAAAATTCGAGTGACTGTTGACAATAGCAAGACGTGAATGGCAGCATGTGAAGTGTTTCGCGAAAATGGTCTGTGCTCTCGTCCGAGCTTCACGCCAGACGCGCTTCAACCCTGGACTATTTGTTTTCCATCTCCACCTCAACACACACATTCGTCGCACCCATCCCACCACCGACAATGTCCACCCAGGCACCGTCGCAAGCGGCACCGGCCTACTTCCAAGCCCTCCTCGACCGCGGCCAGAAACGACCCAACAACAGCCACGAACCGCAACTCCAACTCGGCCTGGGCGACATTGCACGCAAGGTCAGAAACCTAGGCAAAGGCTTCACCGATGCTCGCGCACAATACCTCCTCTCCGCCTCGGGCGTCAACACAACCGAAGCACTGCGCGACTTGGAAGAGCTGGCCGGGACGAGGCCCACTACACTACAACCCACAGAAACAGCACTGCCGGCAGTGAAGGAGACACTGGCAGACCAACATCAGAATGACTTTCAGAAAATGGTCAACTCGCACATTCAGCAGTCTCGGAATGACTTCGACAGCATGGTGGCGGAGCGCCTGCATGGCGTGGATTGGGATTATCAGCGCGAGCGCATTTTCCAGCATTTTGGGTTGAAGAAGCCGGAGAAGCTGAGTGCGTCGACATCGAACAACATGAGCACGGGTGGTGTTAGCAGTTTTGGGAGGTCTTCGAGACGAGGCGGGGCTTCGGTGGTTGGCAATTCTCAGTATGGGATTCGAGGCATGAGCAGGTCGATTATTGGGTCGGTGGGACCGAGGACAATGCGGACCAGCGCGTTTGGCGATATTGCTGAGAAGCTTGTGGATGGAATACGTCCCGCACCAGAGGATAGCGCGCAGCGGAGGAAGCAAGATCAGTATGCTGAGAGAGTCAAGGATCTGAACGTGGCACGTTTGCAGGAGAAGGTATATCCCGTTCTTACTAAGTTCGCGGAGGTTGAGGCGGAGCCATCGCATGAGGATACATCGATGCTTGTTGATTCTTTCAACTTGTTGATCGAGATCATTGGCGAGGATGCCAGCAAGGAGAACATCACGGATCCAGGTGTCATAAGAGAGCGCCAATACGCCAAGGCTTATCTGGACGACAATGCGACCTCACCCAGTCAGATCTCCATCCGCAAACGAATCATCAATGGCTCTCGCAAGTTTCTGGAGAAGAAGGCCTGGGCCCAGATTGAGGCGATGATTGCGAGAAGCCCACGCGAGGCACAAGTTGGAGGCCAGCCTTCTGCCCTCAACAAAGTGCGAGGCTCTGTCCGTGTGCGAGCAGCACGTAAGGAGCTGGGCCCGGACATCGACAATCTCATCTCGTTCGACGATGGTGACTATCCTTGGGCTGTTGTCTTCTACTTGCTACGGACTGGGTTGTTTGATGAGGCTCTGGCATATGTCCACGAGCGCAGACGGGCCTTCAGCTCGGGCGACTCGCAGTTCCTCAAGTACCTCACCGCGTACGTCAACAACAATGATCACAGACTGCCTGCAGATTTACAAACCGCCATCAACAACGAATACTCCACCCGCCACCGCATCGGACCAGAGGACCAAAAGGATCCCTACCGGATGCTGTGCTACAAGATCATTGGTCGCTGCGATCTGGTCCGTCGCAATCTGGATAATATCTCGAATGACATGATGGACTGGATGTGGCTGCAATTCGCTCTCGGACGTGAGTTCAACCGGGTTGATGAGTTCGCTCACGAGTCATTTGGACTGGATGAGATTCGTCAAGGCTTTAAGGAAGTTGGCGAACGCTTCTTCGGCCCTGGAAACGACATCGCGAACGGACAGACGACGTGGTTCTTCATGCAGACTCTTGCTGGCTTGTTCGAGAAGGCTGTCGCTGATTTGTATCCACACAACTACGTGTCGGCGGTGCACTTTGCGATCGCACTCGACTTCTACGGATTGCTCAGAGTCAGCGACATCGCCAACAGTGACGACCTGCTCAGCCACAGCACCCGCCAGCAGCCACAAATCGCATTTGGCGCCATGGTCGCTCTATACACGCGCGACTTCCGGACTGCCAACGCCACGGCTGCGATCGACTACATCACCCTCATCTGTTTAAACGCAGACCTCACGGGCGAGACTGGCAAAGCCCAGAAGAAGATCTGCCACCAAGCCCTGAACGAGGTGATTCTTGAGACTCGGGAGTATGCTCAGCTGCTTGGTGATGTCCGTTCTGATGGGCAACGCATTAAGGGCGCCATCGAGCAGCGTCTTAAGCTCATTGGGTTGGACAGCGAAGAAGAGTTCTTGCAACAAATTACCCGTGATGCGGCCAGATCCGCCGAAGAGCAGAATCGCACTACAGATGCTGCGCTGCTCTTCCACTTGTGTGAGGACTACGACAAGGTCTACGAGGTCGTGAATGACGCCCTGTCTCAATATCTTGTCCGAGAGCTTGGCGAAGAAGCTTCGAGACTGGCTCCATTGAAGCCACGGAATGTCGCAAACCAGGATCCCAGCCAGGTCCAAGCCAGTCTGAGTCTCACTGCCATTGATGATCCTGTGCAGCTTGCGGATGGCATTCGACAGCTGTACAACAGCCAGGGCATGTACCTTCAGAATTCCAGCCGGAAGCATCGAGATACATGCAATGTACTCCTACAGCTGGCCAAAGCCCGGCAAAAGCTCGAGGAGGGATCGTGGGCAGAAGCAGTCGATGTAAGTCCAAACACTCCCTCGTTGAAATTACGTTTACTAACACACGCCCCTCACAGGAAATCACCAACTCCCAAGTCATCCCCATGGACGCCAACGGCCAAGTCACGGCGATCCGCAGCAAAGCGCAAGCCTTCGAAATCATGCCCCAGTCCGTCGCCCGCACCATCGGCCACGTCATGGTCTGGGCGGTCGTCGGCCTCAGCAACCAGGCCGAGTACCTGCGGTCGCTGGGCTATGAGACGGGGCACATGGACGATACGATTCGGCGGTGCGTGCAGACGGCCAAGGATGTGATGGTGTTTGCGGGGTTGATAAGGTATAAATTGCCGGGGAGGGTGTGGGAGACGCTTGCGAAGGCGGGGCAGGATTTGGGGGCTTATTAGATGTTTGGAGGGTTTGATGGGAGGGGAGGGGAGGGGTGGAAGTGTACTTGTACGCGTAGTTGTTGTGATGCATTGAAGACAGGGCATGTAAAGATACGGAAAAACACCGTGCCAAATGTCCCACAAAAGCTCTAATCTAACTCCTCAAAAACTCCACCACCCTCTCCCTCCACACCACGCCCCTCTTATAAAACTCCATCTCCGGCACATTCCCCTTGCCCAACCCCTCCATCGCCTCCGCCAACCGCTCCGCGTACCCGTCCCCAAACTCCTTGACCTCCTCGAGGCGGTACTGGTACGTCTTGAAGGCGAAGACGAGGGCTTGCGTCTGCGGAAGGCGGAAGAGCGTTTGCCGCTCCGAGCGCAGGCGGCAGGAGGGGATGTGCACGGAGGCTTTTTGGCGAAGGATCTGTTCTTCTGTACTGAGGTTCTGCTTCGCGTCGTCGTTGTCGTTCGGATGTGGAGCATCGTAATCCGTGCTCCCATTCTCGTAAAGATGATTCCCCCCCTCACTAAACAACAAATCATTCGTCGTCAACGACCAATTACTCCTCTTCACACACCGTCCACACTCAATCCTCGCGAAGAACCTATCCATCGACTTCTCCAGCTTGGCCGTATACCCCGGCACGGGCGCGTGGATCTCCGCCAGAGGACAGGAGAGTTTCGCCCGCGTGGAGAAGCCTGAGGGGAAGCAGGTGACGAAGGCTTCGAGGTGGTAGATTGGAGAACCGTCTTTTGCGGACTGCGAGGAGGGGAGGAGCAGGAGGAAGTCGGTGTCGATGTGGCTGCCTAGGACCTTTAAAGCTTGGGTAGGGTCCGGGGGTGGGACGGAGGGAATGATTTCGGAGGAGGCGGTGTTGAGGATGTCGCCGCCGGTGGGGGTGGGGATGTAGATGGTGGGGAAGCGTTTGGGGAGGTAGGTTTTTATCAGCCAGGTGTAGAGTTCGTTGACGGCGGGGACGCAGGGCGTGCAGGCGATTGTGGCGGTGGGGTGCGTGGTCATGATTTCGCGCCGGGTGTGGAGACGCGTGAGGTAGGTGTTGTCCATGTCGATTAGGGAGGAGAGGGGGATGTTCTCCAGGGCTGTAGGCGGGTTTGTCAGTTATCAGCCTCACGGGGAGGGAAGGGGTTGGGACTTACCCATTGTGAGGTGATAGACGGGTTTTAGCGGTGCATTTTTGATCGGGGGTGTTGTTTTCCAGTCGAAATCGGGGAGAGGCTCGATGTCTTGGTAGGGGTCTATTTCGTCGAGGACGCCTTTCTCGTTGCTATCGTGTTGTTTGGACGATCTGCTTTGGGATGTAATATACCGCCATCCTAAGAATGCCGCCAAAGATACGAATGGTAAGACGAAAAGTAGTATCGACTCCATGATCCTCGTTGAACAGAACGTAGCAAGCCACAGGAGAGAAGTGGGCGCAAACGTCGTCTTTTCAACGGCGAGTCGTTACGGAAAAACCGGTGTCGAATGCCATTCTGATCGTCGAGCCGTCCTTGATATCTATATCTCGATTTCCAGGTGAGGTACGTTGCCCGGGTGGATCCATACCGGGCCGGGCGTCCAATGACGAGAGCTCCCAGGTGCTGGTCAGTGCGGCAGGTACCTTCCGTATTGGGAAAGAATGTCCCATCACGTGCAAGGGGCGGGTGGCCAGCTTGTCGATCGTGTTCGAGATGAGACGCAACGCCAATTCTCAGGGCAAATGTTGACGTTTATTCCCATTGCCAGCGAGCTGGTCTTGCGATTCAGGCCGTGATCATGGGGCCTGGTTGCTTCGGAAGTTCGAGAGAGATGTCGTTCTCGCAACCAAATCTCTTCTGAGCAGTGATGCTTCCTTCTCGACGTGAAGAACTAGCAGTTAATCATGTGGCGCTGTTATGATTAGTATCCCATCAAGGGAACGCCATAACGAGGAAGCCCCAACGGAAGTCCAGGCCGACGAAGTCGAAGTTGTTCAGCAAGCCTATACGCTCCGAGGTATTCGAGGAGAGTAATCAATCTCGACATCCGTCGAGGGCCATTGCACCCATAGCCATATCTCGCAGATATGAAATCGCCATGTAGCCCTCGATCAAGCCATGAGCCTGCAGATGCCAGCTCGTAAGCCATCATGATCCTTTCGAGCTGGCCTTCGCCCATTTCGAGAAAGTCTTCGAGCGGTCGTGGGGTGTTGAAGTCAGTTGGGTAGCCGCCGTCTGCGCACATCATGGGGTGGATCAAGGCGTAGCGGGAGGGACGCATGATGGAGCTGTTGGCCATTGCGGATTCGAGGTTGGATCTTTGTTCGATCAGCGAGTCGATCGATGTTCGTTCGTAGGTGTAATTACCTCCGTATAAGTTCACTATTGTCGTAATAGCGTCCCAGTTGATCATCGAAGTATGAAGAATATTGCCCGTAGGAGCTCTCCAGAGGCAGATTGAAATAATCTGTTGCAAAGCTCTCTTCGTAATCGTCAGGCGAGATCGTCCGTGGACTACGCAGGTCTCTCGCATGCACGGAATACGATCTCAGTGAAGTTGGGGACGATCGATAGACCGTATCGTCCATGAAGAGCTGTCGTCGGTAGGGGTAGTCCATCGCGAGGGAAAGGACGAGTTTGCGAGCAAACCAGTCTCAGGGCGCATGACTGCTATTTGAGACGCTCTCATTGCTGGTGTAACATCCTGTTGTGTCACCATCGTGAGAGCGCTGTCGGGGCACGATGCTCGGCGTCGAAGGTGGAGCGACTTTCGAGAAGTGTCAGCTGGCAAGAAGATCGACAAAGGCAGTAACATGCGGCCAAACAATGCGTTCGATGCTCTGCGTGCAAACGTAGATGGGTCTCTTTTATGCAGCGGGGGTGTAACCTCATCTGAGCCGGTATCACAGGATGTGGAGCCGTAATTTTGAGGCAAAGCAATGGTCTGTACTATTAGCCGCGATGAGGTGGCCAAGTAGGTTGGTATCATGACTGTGCAAAGAAGGGACCTTCCGTTCGTGCTTCCCTGGCAGCTGAAAGGCTGACGATGCAACGTCGATGGGCTATTCTCGATACCGAGCCTATGTACTGTGGTGCCGCGTGGTACATTCGCCTGTTTGTACACAGACCGAAAAGGGGGTGTGCACGAGACCGCTGTTCGATGCGCGTGACTGTTTGCATGGGCATTCTCGGTCGTGCAACTCCTGTGTTCGCAGCGTTCTCGGCGAAGAAAAAGCCAGTCTATATCGCAACAGTGGCGTTGATGCTGACATATCTCGTCGTACAACCCGTATGGTTGTAAGAGCCCCCAAGCACAGAGCTCAAGAAGCTGAAGGCACCTTCCTCTCCACCAGCTGTCTCATCCAGATGTTTCCCAAGCGTGTTCTTCTCATACTGGATGTTAACGCCGACGTTGCAGTATCGGGCCACGAGCTCATCTGTCTCATTGATAGGGCCAACATCGTCGTGGACTGCTTTGTAGATGTACATCGGAACTTGCGGAGTCCCATGGTAACCGGCAATCGTTTCCGCGTAGAAAATCGTTTGCAATCGTGGGTCCTGCAATATCGCGCTGCCGTCTTTGAAGTATTTGAAGATGTCCTGGAAGGCGTAGAAAGGTATGGCTTCGTATTGGCTCAGGTTCAACGCTTTCAGGAAGGTAGATGCGTTGTATTGGCCGGAGGGACTCAATTGGGACAGTAGGTACAGGCGTGCTTCCGGATTTTGTGTTGTGATCCCGAGTAAACCTCCAGGGAGCAGGGCAGCATATAGTGTGCCCGATGCGGTGTACTTGGCAACGGTGTAGAGATTGTTGGGGAGTCCACCAAGAGCAGCGCCAGCTATCTTGAGCTCAGGTGCATATTGGACCTGGAGTTCGAGAGCGAACTCACTGGTCTGCGCGCCGTTGCTGTAACCCCATAGAGCAACTTTCGGGTTCCTGCTCAGACCCCAGCCTTCCAACAAAGTGAGTGAAGCGCGAATGGAATCCAATGTGGCGTGGCCTTCCGTGACACCAAGGGCAAATGATGCTAGAGGTCCTTCATAGTCCGGGACGCCCACATACCAGCCTTTCGAGAGACTGGTCTGAATCTCGAAGCCAATGGAGCCGGGACTGACAGATGTATAGTCCGAGCCATACAGCGCATAGCTTGGGCTTGCATCGAGGTCCGCAGTGTCGTAAGGAGTCTGGTAGGAAAGAAACTGACTGCTGTTGAAAGTTTTCGGAACGAAGACCGTAGTCACCGCCCAAGCAGGTTGATAATGGCTGTTGGTTGTCCGAAAAAGGATGTTGTACGCCGCGGAAGAATTGGAGTAGAGGTCTGTCAGATTGCCAATAGCATTGCGGACTCGAAGGATCTGGCCTGGGTGTGCAGATTCGAAGCCTGTAGGAGCCGTGTACCATGGGTCCTTGCTTGGTGGAACAGGAGCAGATTGATCGATAGCTGCAGCCCACACGAGACGTGTAAGCAGCGCCAGCGCCCAGGGGAATGAAGGAGTCATGGATCCTTTTATGGAAATGCTGATGTATCTGGTAATGGGTCGCGAGTAGTCTTCGCAGAACACTCCATTTCGTGAGTGGCTGGGTGTATATATACTCAGGAGCCCTCGACTCATTACAGCATCAATTGACCAGTCCAGCACAGAGTACTTCCAGGAAATACGGCAGCCTCAGACCGGCGGAACCCAGGGCTTGTTGTCGCAACGATGGGCCGTTCAAAGCCAGGGCTTGCACTGCACCCGACATGCAGCGGCGGCGCTACACTATGAACGATCGAAGTTAGCTTCTTGCAGCGACAAGATCGACATGATGGACATTTGAAAAAGCACATAAAACAAGCTTTTATCTCTTAAAGTCGGCCAGCTTTCGACATCTTCTTCGCTAGAGAATGACCTTGGAACGATTGATAGACGGCGAGAAGAGAGCATCGATCAAGCAGAGTTCCAACGAATGCGATGGGATTTCCAGCATGGATTGCAGGCAAAGGTGCTTCCGATCACATTTCCCCAAACCGACGTGCCTGAGATGCGCACGGGGGAAAATCTCCGGCATGCCCTACCATGGAGCGGCTCGTACTCATTGATGAACAAGATGCGAAAAAAGTATGACACCACTTCGTGGAACAGGTCCACGGTCATCTTCCACCGCCGCCATTGTACATGCAACGGCGGGCGGTGATGGTTCATTGTCTAGGAAGCAAAATCTGTCGCGAGCTTCTAGGCCATTGCAGGCTCAAACCGATACGAAGTCTTCTGGCCCCGTTCTCGATGTAAAAGCTAGTTGTTGCTCGTTCAGAATCACTAGGAGATTGGTCCTTCCGCGCAACTGACCAAGTATCCATTGTCGAAGGTCCTCCAGCTTCCGGCAGGTTGTGAGAATGAGACGGGCGGACGTCCAGGCTTCTTGAGCGTCGCACAGCCGCAGTCACACGCCGACGATAGAGTTGCTGGTGGCTAGCAGTATGCGGCTGTCGCATAAATCCATCATTGGCGAAGCTTCTCATCTCAGTCATGCTCGTCCCTCAATTTGGAAGGCGTTCGTGGAACAGTGCTGCTAGAACTGCGTGATTGCCTTGTGGACGTGGTTGCCGCGGTCTCATGACTACCTGGGCGCTGGGAGAGACCTGGCAGGCTGATCCGGCGTCTGTGACCGCTGGGGCGTTCTGTGAGACTGGGAGCTCGAGGCCTTTGCCGTCCTCGGGCTCGGCCGCCAACGAAGGGAAGTTCATATGTGGCTGCACGCCAGATGTATAAGAGAACGTCATAGAGAAGGATCAAGACCCAAGGCCCGCCGATGAGGAAGGCGAACAGCAGCTAGCATTGACTTCAGCATGTCGTGTTGTGTAATGGTTCACAAGAAGTTGGTGGGCGGTGGCTTACGAAGACACGAACCAGCCATGTCTCGAACGATTGGTATTGTTCAGGCAGAATTGACAGGCGACCCATTGCAGCAATTGTTGTGTTTCTCGAGAGGCTGGCTGCCTCAAGGTGATGGGGAGGCAGTGAACGTGGGCTTGGTATCCTCAACTGCATCGGAGACGACAGGGGTCCATGTCGTTAGAGTTTCGGGTGGGCCGGCAACGGGTGGCTGGTGCGAGATTGGCCTGAGTGCCTGACGTCGGCACCTCACCTTCGACTTTCACACCATCGCCATCTTCTTCAGTTCAACATTTGTCGCAGCAATGGCCTTTTCAGTGCAGACGAGCTTAGGCCGTGCCAATGCGAAACGCAAAAGACCGACTACTGCACTGCCGCCACATGACGGCCTCGCCGCCAGCTTGTACTGCCGGCGTGCGTCTCCCATTCTGCCTGACTCACCAGCTGCGCACACTCATTTGTTCCCTGCCCTCTCACCGGAATGTAGCTGGCTTCTGCAGCGCAGAGCAGACGCGGTGGCTCAGACGGGCACTGCGCCAATGAGAGGCATGCTCGTAGATCTGTCTTCAGCTCCGCGCGGTGGTGTAGAGGGGCACGTACGTCGTTGCTCGTGACTCCAGACTCCAGGCAGCCTTGCCTTGTGGGCACAGCTGCGGCCTCAGAACCAACGACCATGACACTTTTGCACCTCGCCGATGACTTCTACTCATACTCTGTGACTGGGACAAGCTCTGAATCATTCTCAAACTGACTCCCAGAACACGATATCCTGCAGTGAGCAGACGTCCAAACGCCGTGCGCGCCTGTAGCAGCGGTTCATCATGTCGGACTTCGACTTCGACTTTCGGTTCCCTTCAACTCCGCGCACATTCGACAGGATGCCGAGGCCTTACGGGTATGGATTGCGAGCGCCGCCAGGCTCATTCGCGCGAGACGAATGGCACAACCTGAACGAAGAGTTGACCCAGAACGTGGAACGCGAGTTTCCGCCGTACGCCGAGGACGAAGGCTCTGTATTCGAGGAGGATGTCTTTCAAAGCACGACTTCGCTATTACCCAAACAGGAGCCATCCGACAGGAAGGTCAAGACCGAAGACGAGAAGATGGACTTCCCCTCTGAGATTGCGACGCCTGTGCCACCAAAGAACGATTACATGGGCCGTGAAAGTCCATTTGCATTGGACTTTCCTCCACACTCAGAGATGTCCTTTATTGAGTATTACCCCCAAGGTGACGCCACCATTACTTTTCCCAACGAGGCCGGCGAGATGGATTCAATTTCCGGGCTGCATCCGTGGATCATGGAAGAACGCTGCCCGTTACTGGCGCAGTCGTTCGAAGACACCCGCTCTGGTCCACGACTTCACCTGGAGGTCCTCTCTCCAAGAACAGCAAGACCATTCTTGCGATATCTCTACACCGGCTCATACGCCTTGCCAGGCCGATCCGGGGATGTGTACGAAGACGTTCCCACTTCGGTCCTACTGCACTGTGAGCTGTACCGCCTTGGAGATATCTACGATCTCGTGGACTTGAGGCAGCAAGCCAACGTTAATGTGACCCGCCAGTGTGAGTTTGGATGTTCATCTCCAGACAAGCCCATCGACCTTTGCGCGGCAATCGAGTACGTTTACCAGCATCTGCGCGACCACACCGCCCTTCTGGAGACGATCATCTGCTACTGCGTGACCTGCTTCTTGCGCCACAATCTCGATGACGACGTGGTATTCCAGGCCCTCGCATACCGGCTGAGGGAGTTTAACCAGGACTTGTGCCGTGAGAGCATGAAGAGAGATTTTGAGGACGAAGGTAAGTCACACCCATCATTGACTAAGAAGAAACTTACCAACGCTGTGAAGCCGCCGCTGCAATCATCCGCATGCCATTCGAACCTTACATCCCCGAGACGTACGCCTCACGAGAAGACGTCGGCACCAATCGACTCAGTGATGTTGTCTATCACTTCCACAGCAACGACGACAACGACGAGCCACCGAAGAAGAGAAAGAAGCCTGAGATGTCGCAAGGACCAGGGATCAGTGGTATCTCCCTTGCTCTGCGATTTCACCAAGAAAAGAAGAGGCGCGAGGCAAAAGAGGGCGAAAATGCTTCTCTGAGTGAAGAGCCTGACCCTAAGAGGAGAGCATCTGTGGTATCGGAAAGCTCAAATACTGTGGGAGAGACAGGTTCAGAGTCGGAGTATGAGGTCGTGGCTGGACCCGCGCCTGTTGAAGAGCTATCGTCGGACAGCGAATCTGATGCAGACACCTTGGTGATTGTGGAGCATTTGGAAGCTATTCCAAGCTCTACGAATCGCACACTGCCGATCAGAAACCGCAGTGCTGCCAGCTCGATGACACTGGGCGAGCGGGAGACGACGCAAGAAGCCGACAGCGGATCAGAATCGGACTGGACCGTCGTGTGAGAGCGGCGGCCTCCATCGATATAACCCGAGAAGCATGCTTCTAGGAATGACGAACGACATGCAGTAACGAACCAAGACTACAGCAAGAAATGGGCTGGCACGATTAATAATGGCATTGGTATAAGCGAGGAGTTTGAGAGGGCAGCAAACACAAAATCAACAGATTGTTTGAAGAGTGTGGTTACGGATTCGATTGGGTCGCGAAAAAGCAATGTAAGCAGTGTATCTTATCTGCATCGATTTCGTGCAATTCTACCTCATCTCCTCTTTGACTTTCTTCACTGATGGCTTCACTTATAGACGCTTTACCCGAGGGTTTAGTTTGAGAGGCTTCACTTGTGCCTTCATTCAACGCCCAACTTCAGAAGTTTTTTGAATGGCACTCAATGCTCTAGGTCAAAAGTTCTCATCGCACCCCACAATCTTGTCTCGAAGGAATGATCTCTGACTTTGATCTGATCAAATCGTAAACCTTCCTCAAAACGGGGTTGCATGTCGGCAACCGGCCAACACTCGGCGTCGTTGAGACTTTGTGCCGACGATGGACGTTGCATTGGGAGAAACGGCTCGCCACCTCATATCTCCTAGCTCCGTATGCAATGGACCGCCTAAGTGATCGCCGGTCTCTTTCTTGTCATTGAAGTCCAAGTTTTGTCATCACTTTTCAGGCATGTTGTTTCTTTGATATATACACTCTTTGTAGTAGGGAAGATGCCTGACTCGAAACCCGGTCATGATCCTGGCCATCGAGGCTCGGCTGTCAATGGCGGAGAAGCAGACGAGAAACATCCGACTTCGAGCGAGGTCACCGCTCATCAACAACAATCCTCATCACCATCATCGCCATCAACCTCGCCGTCAACCGAAGAAGAGAAACCACCACCACCACCACCATCAAGATGGCACCGCCTCTACAACACAATCTACTGGGTCCCGCCCAACTGCCGCTGGAACCCCTCCTCCCCACCGCAATTCTCCATGGCGCACAACGTAATGTTCGGCTTCGCAGGGGCCTTCACGGTCGCGAACCTCTACTACAACCACCCAATCCTGAACATTCTGGCTGAAGATTTCGGCGTGGATTATGTCGAGGTGTCGCAGATCCCGACGCTCGCCCAGGCGGGGTATGCGACGGGCTTGTTGCTGCTGTGTCCCCTGGGGGATTTGCTCAAGCGGAGGCCGTTTGTGTTGACGTTGGTTTTCTTTACGGCGACGATGTGGTGAGTTTGTTTGATTGGGGATTTTGTCGAGCTAGGTTTGAAGGAGCCGTGTTGCTGATCGATTGCTATAGTATTGGGCTTTGCGTGACGAATAGTGTGTCGGTTTTTTGTGCGATTCAGTATATCACGGCTGTTACGACGGTCACGCCGCAGTTGATGATGCCTCTCGTGGGAGATCTGGCGCCCCCGAAGAAGAGAGCGGCGGCTCTGTCGATCGTCACGAGTGGTTTGATGCTGGGGATCCTTCTTGCTCGACTGCTCTCTGGTGTGGTAACGCAGTACACTTCTTGGAGAACGATCTACTGGATGTCCGTCGGCCTACAATACCTCATCTTCATCCTGCTCTGGCTCTTCATGCCTGATTATCCATCGGTCAATCCTGGCGGGCTTAATTACTTCAAGATGCTCTGGTCGATCGTCGTGATGATGACCAAGCATCCGGTCTTGGTGCAGGCTTGTCTGGTGTCGTTCTTCGTGTCGTCGACGTTTACGAACTTCTGGACGACGTTGACGTTTCTTCTAGCGGGCGAGCCTTACAATTATACCCCACTTGTGATTGGGTTGTTCGCTCTGATTGGGATAGCGAGTATGTGTTGTGGACCTTTCTACGCCAAGTACGTTACGGATCGATTCGTGCCGCTGTTCACGGTGATTTTGGGAATGATCTGGTGCGAGCTTGGAGTCTGCATTGGAACGTATACTGGCACGTTCACCGTGGCGGGGCCGGTCATCCAGGCCATCTTCAACGACTTTGGGATGCAGACTTCGCAGATTGCGAATCGATCTGCGATCTTTACCGTGGAGCCAAAGGGTCGGAATCGGGTTAATACTGCCTTCATGATCTTCACGTTTGCGGGACAATTGACTGGAACATCGGTGGGTGCGCGTTTGTACACCCAAAGCGGATGGATCGCGAGTGGAAGCTACAGTGTGGGTGCCATAGGAGTAGCAGCACTCATAACCCTCGCCCGGGGACCATGGGAAGAAGGCTGGATAGGCTGGCACGGAGGCTGGAGCATTCTCAAGAAGAGCCGAGACAGCGCAGACGGAAAGATTGAGGACAAGCCGGCGTACGGAGCGACAGAACCATCGACAGAACAGAACGACATCGAGAAAGGAGCGCATCATGATATGCACGAACATCATCACGGACATGACGATCAGGAGGCGGTGAACAGGACGACGGCTGAAAAGAGTTTAGAAATGAGAGCTGCGGAAGACACGACAGATCAGATTGACGATGAGAAGGATTCGACCAAGTCGGTCGTTAGGGACGAGATTTCGCCTGTTGTTGGGAAGGAGGTGAGATGATATACATTTTGTTCTAGCGTGGCGTTTGGGGGTGGGAAATGTCGAGCAGCGTGGTGTAAATGCCACTATAGACGACAGCAGATCAAGTGTTCTCCAGCACTCATGTTCCTCAAGTCGACGTCTACACATATCCGCACGGAAAAAGAGCTCGATATCCGCTTGGCGCTATCCTCGGTTGTACTTCACCCGCTCTTCTCTCCACATCTCCTCCTCACACGCGACATCGCAGCTACCACGAGGGGTATACCACGAGAGCCAGCTCATAGCAAGGAATCAGTAGTCAGCTTATCCAAGAGCCAGTATATCACGGTAGGCTTGCCATCAAGGTTGCTTCTTTCTACAGTCTATACCGAAACATGTCTTCTCCAATCCCCAAGTTCTCTGACCTTCCTCTGGACAAGAATGGCCCACACCACAACGCCTGGGGGCTGTAAGTCAACAATGCCTTCATATCTATACATTCGAACGACCTCAATACTCACGACTACACCCCCAACAGCTACGGCAAAGACGACCAACTCGGCACCCTAAACCGCCTCACAGACGACATCGTCAAAGCCGCCGCCAGCGAAATCCAAACCGGCACACGCATCAACCTCGACTGGCCGCTCGACGCCCAAGCCGACGTCCCCTTCTTCGGCCGACAAGCCTTCGAGAAAAACGTCTACCAAAAACCACCTCGAATCGTCAACGACGACGTCTGGACCTTCAACACCCAATCCAGCTCCCAATGGGACGGCCTCCGACACTTCGGGTACCAGAAAGAGGCGAAGTTCTACAACGGAGTCACACTCGACGAGATCCACGGCCGCAACGGCGTGGAGAAGACGAACCGGAACGGCATCGGCGCCTGGGCGGAGCAGGGCATCGTCGGCCGCGGCATCCTCCTCGACTACCACGCGTGGAGGATCAAGAATAACATCCCGCACGACGCCTTCGAAACCGCGTCCATCAGCGCGGAGACGCTCCAAAAAGTCGCCGCGGACCAAGGCACGGAAATCCACTTCGGCGACATCCTCCTCCTTCGCAGCGGCTACCTCGACGCGTACAACAAGCTCTCCCGGGCGGACGTCGAAGCCATGCGTCAGAAACAGCCCCTGACCTTCACGGGCGTCGAGCAGAGCGAGGAGACGATGGAGTTCCTCTGGAGCAACTTTAGCGCTTGTGGCGCGGACCATCCGAGCTGGGAGGCGTGGCCGACGCGGAAGGAGTGGTCGTTGCATGAGGTTATGCTGGCGGGGTGGGGGATGCCGATCGGGGAGTTGTTTGATTTGGAGGGGTTGGCGAGGCAGTGTCGGGAGGTGGGGAGGTGGAGTTTTTTCGTGTGCAGTAAGCCGGTTTATGTAAGTGAATGTGATGTTTTTCTTGGGTGGGAGAGTTTGTTTGGGAGGTGGATGCTAATGTTTGTTGTTGCGATAGGTTCCTGGGGGTGTTGCTAGTCCGCCGAATATTTTGGCGATCTTTTGAAGGAGGGGTGGTGGAAGGTGTGGTGAGAAAGGGCCAAGGGGAATAAACGTTGGCTCTGGATCTTCACATGTCAAGCTAGCAAGGTGCAGAGCACATTGTCGAAGTCCGACCGTGAGGGGCAGGATCTCGAGCGAAAAAGGTAATCAGAGCTTTCTTGATGGGACGGTGTCTTCAGATCTCTCTGTTCCTATTTTTCCGTGCACGAGCAGCAGCGAGCCAGCTGTTAAGTCTCGTCAGAGCGGGTCGAGGAAGGTCTCGATACCTCTCCACGTCATACGTCGTCTCAATAGCCCTGACAAGATTCTCTGCTTTGCGAATGACCAATCCGCTCGCCCCTCTTGGATTCTCTCTTTCGATAAAAGCGTTCGCCCTCTCCTCCAAATCTCGCCGTCGTGCGCGTACTTCGACCCCATCCTCCCTCCCAGTACGACATCTCGGACATGCGCACACAAACCCCCAAGTCCTCATCAATGACTCCGCTCGCACGTCCACGTCACTGGAGTCGTCGTATATGTGCGTAATCTCATCCCCAGCTTTGATATCCCTGCTTGCACGAACGACCATGAGATCGCCCACGAACTCCCGCGTCGTGTTCGGTACGCACGAATGATTCATATATGATGCCCGGATCCACAGTCCAGCACTCGCGCGCCGCACGTCTTCCTCACCGAACTGAGGCCCGGGACTAAAGGCGTTCCGGCACATGATGTCGTGGAGTTGGAAGGTGTCGATGATGGGTTTGCCATCGCTCATTATTAGGTGTTTGAGGCCTTTGTGGTCGCTGAAGAGGGATTGGATTTTTCCTATCTGGGAGGGGTTGTTAAGGAGTTTTTGGACTAGGGATTTGGCGAGACCGGCTGGGAATGCTCGGATGCGGTTGTCGCGGATGTCGAGGGTCATTGTTGTCCAGGCGGTGGCTTCGTGGCTCCAGACGGTGCAGAATGCTTTCTCGCAGAGGACGATGTCGCCGCTTGCGATGTCGTTCGTAGCGGACAGGCCTTGACCGTGGATGGGAGTTTGGGAGATTGCTGTGTTGCCCGTATATGTGGCGGCGTCAACCCTTGGCTGACTCCGCGACAAACTCGCCTTCAACTTCTGAAAGTTGTACCCAAGTCCATTCTGTTCACGAAGGCGAGCTTCCGTCTTGCGTAGGTAGAGTTTGGCATCTCGGTCCTCTGGCGTCAACTCCTGTTGGTTGCTGAAGTACTCTTTCGCCTTGTGCCAATCTTCGAGTCGATAGGCAGCGCATCCAGCCCGGAAGTAAGCTTTGGCATCGAGGCTTTTGGATCTGTCGTCAGTTCTGTGGTTCACAGATGACAGTGCATCCGTGAGGGCTTCGTCAAAACGGTAAAGAAGGAGATTGACGTGTGATCTATTCCGATAGATATCGCTTGCGAGTTCGTGGGTCTCGTCGTCTTCTACGGGACGATCCTTGAGTGCGATGTCGAGACCTTGGGTGTAGCATGAATGAGCCGCCGAGAGGTCGCCCTGTCGGAGCGCAAGGTTGCCTTTTGTCTTGTACTTTGCGGCATGTGTAAACCCAAGCTCATCGTTCCCGTCGACGCCTGATGACCGAGTGAGAAGATCAGAAGGATGGTCAATACGTAACGTCGGCTCGCCGCCGTCACTCAGCGTGAAGAACGGCTCTTTGATAATCATATTTGTGCAAGATTCCAGTATCCTTTCACCTCTAGACTCATCGTGTAACACAATTTCTAAGCGTTCCGCATCTCCTTTCTCTTCGGCATCTTCAACGACAGTCCAAGACGATGCTTTCTGAAGCACTACAGGCCCGATTCGTTTCAGATTGAGCGATCGGCCTCGATGATGGGTGTTTAACAGGAGCTCGGAGAGTCGCATCGATTTTAGATCTTGTAGTTGTGAGGTCGAAGGCATGTACGTGCGGCCGACTTCCAGGGCAGGCATTCTGTCGGTGTTATTTTCTTGGCCACAGGTGGCCTCAGCCATGTCTGACAACAGAGCAGCGGCAATCGCCTGCGAGACGAGGCTTTTCGGGTCTCTATGCTCACGTTGGCGATCTTGAGCTTCGTCCCATCGCTGCTGTCTTGTTTGAATCTTTGCTCGCAGTTCTTTGTCCTGCTCCTGCGTCATGTAAATCGTAGTTAGAGGGGAAGCCATATCGATTGATTGGAGACTTCTATCGTGAGATTGACATCAAATGCAGGAAACAATGCACTTTTCTAATCTTCATGTTCATGGCGTCCCAGTCATGGTTTGGCACAACACATGGAGCACAGGCGCCATGGTACCCACACATCTGCCCCAGCTTGACCAATCACAAGCCGGAGTTTGCGAGGTTTGGAGCTATGAGTGAATGTTCAGCCCCGGGGGAAACGACTTCTCCTCGCACAGTGACCGATTCGAGTGCGATGCAGATGGCTGTCGAATTGAATGCACAGATGGCCAGCCCACACGCTGATGAGGTCCATGATTGCAAGAAAGCTCTTCGAGTGATAGTCCGGGTCTTCGACTACAGTCTGGACGATGATGCAGTCTACGATGGATGCACGATCTCTCCATGGCGAGTCTCAGGAAGTCTTGAAGACCTAGTTTCCTGATGGTAGTAGCACATTGAAGGACTCTAGTGTCGTTGTCTTGCGGCCGCATCGGAAAAGGACCTCGTCTATGGCGGTAGTAGTCCGCCTTCCTTCAGCTCAAGATCCTGGACCCGCCATTGAAGAGTGTTGTGAAGTCAAGCAAATGAACCCAACCGATCCTAAATTCGATATCAAGAGTAATCTCGAGAGTGATGTTAGAAGCCATCTTCCGCCTCTTGTCTCCCCAGTGAAACAAATGCGAACAGGCGGTCCAGCCGCAGGTACCAAGACTCACGGCTGACTCCTCGCCTATACGTGTGAGAACGCCTCTGACGCGACGCCTGCTCCTGTGCTCTCTAGCAGTTCGTGATGGAGGGCGAGTCTGCGGTTGATGACTGTCGCTTGCCGTCGACACGGTCCCTGCATTGGCTCATTCGCATCCCTACCGTCCACGCGGTGGCGGTCCCTGCGAAGCGAGCTGTGCAGGATGGAGATGTTGTGGAATACGATGGTGTCATCAGCAGTAGCACGCTGAGACGGTAGGTAAGACGGTATCAGATGTCTTTGTGGGTGTAGAAGGGGACAAGTTGGAAATGCAACGCCTGGATTGGGCGTTTGCTGCGTCAAAGCGTCCCGCGTCAAAGTTGCGCTGCGCTGCGCTTGACTGGGGCCAGGGTCACGGTGGGCTTTGCTCGAAAAACGTCCAACTTCATTCTTCTTCTGCTGCTGGCGACCCGGGTGAGGCAGCTCTGATTTTGGTGTCTTGCATTCACATCACCCAAGAACGACGCCCCTCCCGCCATCCGCCATCCTGTCTGGCGCCGCCGACAGCAGCTCCCAACTTATTCGACACGCTCGGCACGGGGCCGCGTGAAGCACCCTCCACCTCCATCCCCAACCCTGACCACGCCCGCGTTGGCTGATCAGTGCACATCATGGACGCCGCCGGCCTCAGGCACTGCATTCAGAAGACGCTCGATGCCAACACCGACGTCCGGCGGCAGGCTGAGGGCGAGCTCAAGGCGGTTCGTAACAACCCGCCCTGACATGTGACGGAAGACTCGCGTGGGCGATGAACGAGCGAGGGCTGACCCGGTGAGACAACAGGCAGAGGAGTCCGCGGGCTTTCTCGACGCGCTGCTGAACATCCTCGAGCAAGAGCAAGACACGGGCATCCGTCTATCAAGTACGTGGTTCACATGGGGAGAGGTTTGGGTATAAGAGCACGTGGAGCATACTAACGTGGCTACAGCTGCTGTTTACTTCAAGAACCGCGTCCACAAGGGCTGGACCAAGGTCGAAGATGTCCAGCCAAGCTCCACTACCATCAGCGACCAGGAGAAGGCTCTCGTCCGATCGCGACTCGTCCCCGTCATAGCCACCGCCCCGCAGAACGTCCGGCCCCAACTCATCATCGCCCTCCAGAAGATCCTCCACAACGACTTCCCCAAGCAGTGGCCCGACTTCGTGGATGTGACCTACAAGCTGCTGAACGCCCAAGATGTGCCTTCAGTCTTTGCCGGTTTGCAGTGCTTGCTCGCAGTGTGCAGGACGTACCGGTTCAAGCTGGGAGACAACAGATGGGACTTTGACAAGATTGTGGAGGCTACATTCCCGCAGCTGCTGAGCATCGGCAACAGCTTGGTGAATGAAGACAACTTGGAGGCAGGAGAGATGTTGAGGACTGTGTTGAAGGCATACAAGCACGCCATCTACTTCGAGCTGCCCGTGCAGCTCAGGTCACAACAGGCGATGGTGGACTGGTGTACACTGTTCCTCAAGGTCGTAGCCAAGGAACCGCCGGCAAACTCGATGATGGAAGATCTGGACGAACGTGAGCTGAACCACTGGTGGAAGTGCAAGAAGTGGGCATACGTCAACCTTAACAGGCTTTTCGTACGATACGGAAACCCGGCAAGCTTGCAAAAGGGCAACGGGGAGGACTACTCAGCTGTGGCTAAGACCTTCATCACGAACTTTGCGCCAGAGATTCTCAAGGGTTACCTTGGGCAGATCGAAAAGTGGGTCCAGAAGCAGGTTTGGCTGAGCAAGCCATGCTTGTCCTACACTCTTGGTTTCATGGACGAATGCGTCAAGCCAAAGGCAATGTGGGACCACCTGCGGCCACACATGCCCATTCTTATCGAACACCTGCTGTTCCCAGTGCTTTGCCAGACGGACGAGGATCTGATGCAATTCGAGGAGGAGCCAGCGGAGTATTTGCACCGGAAATTGAACTTCTACGAAGAGGTCTCAGCACCTGACGTTGCCGCCACCAACTTCTTGGTCACCCTGACCAAGGCCAGGAGGAAGCAGACGTTTGAAGTCCTCACATTCATCAACAACATCGTCAACAAGTACGAGGCCGCACCGGATGACCAGAAGAACCCACGAGAGAAGGAGGGTGCTTTGAGGATGATTGGGACCCTTGCGAACGTGATTCTTGGCAAGAAGAGCCCCATCGCAGACCAAGTCGAATACTTCTTCGTGCGCCACGTCTTCCCGGAGTTCCGAAGTCAGCATGGCTTTTTGCGTGCTCGTGCGTGCGACACGCTTGAGAAGTTCGAATCACTCGACTTCAAGGACCCCAACAACCTGACGATCATCTACCGAAACATTCTCGAATCGATGGCAGACCCTGACTTGCCCGTGCGAGTGGAGGCAGCCCTTGCCCTCCAACCACTCATTCGCCACGATCCTATCCGCACGATGATGCAGCAAAACATTCCCCAAATCATGCAGCAACTCCTCAAGCTCGCCAACGAGGTCGATGTTGATGCTCTTGCGAATGTCATGGAAGACTTTGTTGAGGTCTTCGCTGCTGAGCTCACTCCCTTTGCAGTCGCGCTCAGTGAACAACTGCGTGATACATACGTTCGGATTGTGCGCGAGCTCATCGAACGCAACAGCTCAAAGGAGGGCGACGATGGCTACGGCGACTTCCTCGATGACAAGAGCATAACTGCGCTTGGTGTCTTGCAGACTATTGGCACGCTCATCCTTACACTCGAAAGCACGCCGGATGTTCTTACTCACCTCGAACAGATCCTCATGCCCGTCATCACCATCACCCTCGAGCACAAGCTGTACGACCTGTACAATGAAGTCTTCGAGATCATCGACAGCTGTACATTCGCCGCCAAGGTCATTTCGCCAACAATGTGGCAGGCATTCGAGCTCATCCATCGAACCTTCAAGTCAGGTGCCGAGCTTTATCTGGAAGACATGCTGCCAGCGCTCGAGAACTTTGTTAACTACGGTTGGAGGACACTCCTCGAGAACCAAGCATACCTCGACGCCATTGTCGACATGGTGCGCACTATCTTCAAGGACGACAAGGTCGGCGGCGTTGACCGCATCTGCGGCTGCAAGCTTGCTGAGATCTTGATGCTCAACCTCAAGTCTGGCATCGATAACTACGTGCCAGAGTTCATCCAGCTGGCAATGAACGTGCTCAACAATGATGAGCTCAAAGTGAAGTCGTATAAGATACACCTCATGGAGATGGTCATCAACGCGATCTACTACAACCCACGGCTCTCACTCGACGTGCTCGAGGCCAACGGATGGACGAACAAGTTCTTCAGCTTGTGGTTTTCGGGCATTGACAGCTTCACCCGTGTGCACGACAAGAAGCTTTCGATTGGTGCTATTGCGGCGCTCCTGACTCTGCGGGCCGATGAGGTCCCTCAGAGCGTACAGCAAGGGTGGCCACGGCTGCTGCAGGGCATTGTTCGTCTGTTCCAGACCTTGCCCGCTGCGCTCAAGAACAGAGAAGAGGCGCAACGTGAGGAGGACTTTGGCCTGAGCGGAGATTATGATGACGACGAAGAGGTACGTTGAGAAAGGTGATTTGGAATGTGCAATGACTGACCCCAAAACAGGAAGACGCCGAGTGGGAAGCCGAGGACTGGGAGGCTGAGGAGACAGAAGAGACGACCGACATCAAGGACGAGAGCACGGCCTACCTTGATTTCCTCAGTCAACAAGCGAGCAAGTTCAATGCTGCAGTTGGCGAGGATGAGGGCGATGACGAGCTCGAGGAGGAGAGCTTACTCGAGACTCCACTGGACGCGATGGAGCCGTATGGTCTGTTCAAGGAGACACTGTCAAGTAAGTACCATCTCATAATGTCCATCGCAGACAAGACTAACCATCCCACAGACATGTCCCAACACCAACCTCAATTCTACAACCAGCTTGCCGGCATGCTCACTCCCGAGGAGCAACAAGTCATCAAATCAGCACTGGAGCAAGCTGAAAAGATCCAACAGCAGCAGCAGATGGCCGGCGCTCAAGCTGCAGCTGCGGGTCCCAGCCAGTCGAATGGTGCAAGCTAAATGCCCAACAATCGGCTACTACCATCCCTAGACGAAAGTGTCATCGGCAAAGCAGTCTGACTGCCTTTTGTTACCCCTGCCCTTTGCATAGATTGATACCCCTCAGCCGACATGATTTCCCCTGCACACCACCAGCGATGGAGGCTCCTGTCACCGCCCTTGGAGGCCATGAAGAAGATGTCTGAAGGAAGGACAGTTGAAGTTGAGCATGATGATCATGGAAGACGAATTGGGACTTTGGCATGGACAAACGGTGAGGCAAATCATGACCTGGGCAGGAACGCAAAGCATGAGCATGGCCATTGATGTGATACCTTTATGGAGCGGCAAGACCTGCTCTACCTAGTTCGAAATGAGTCAAGTTGTTCATGTCCAGATTTTGCATCGTTCCTGTCTTTGGAGTCTTCGGTGCCTTTCTTGATGAGGCTTGGGAAAGGCGCCACGTTCCCTTCGTACCTAGCCTTGTCATTTTCGCCCCCTTATTCTAACCCACCATCTTGCACCCCTCTGAATCGTCCGACATTCCTGCTTTCCGTCTCCGAATCCAGCAGCCTGACGAATCCGTCCATTAGTAGTTTATAGCGCTGTGAGGTTGCGGTAACGGTGAGTGAAAATGTCGACTTGTTCGGGACATCTAGGCTTGTTCCTTAGCCACCGAGATACGCGATCCACACGCAACAGAGTCAGTCACTGCCGCATTCTTGGCATAGCTACATCCAGAAGATATTCTGCAATCCTTCAGTCGCTCCACAAGGCAGTGCTCGACGTCTCAACTTCGGGAGGATTGGCATCGTTGCTGTGCTTTCATCATATGCTTTTTCGGTCGTCGAGTGGGGTAAACACTGCTCATGGATGTGTCGATGGTACTTGGCATCATTATACATATGGCTATCGTGACATGTCAAAGACGCCTCAACTCATGAAGTGAAGTTGCACCATCGACCTACCGGCACGGATACACGAAGCCAACCAACCCGAGCGGACATCCGACATCCGATCCCGGCCGAACCTAAACTCTACTCACGCCCCCACGTGTGATTGGCGCGCAAGCACAGAAGCTCGAGGATCAAACATCTCAACACCACCGACCACCATGGCCAACGTGGTCCTTGACAGCGTCAATCAAGTCACCAGCGAGGAGATCAATCGCAAGGTGCAGCACAAGATGGACCAGCTCAACAAAGATTGGACGAATCTCCCCAAGGAGCATAATTTGTCCAAGTTTTCGGCTGCGTTGAAGGATATTATTGAGAAGGTTGGGTACAGTGAGATGTATGGCGTGGAGCTTGTGGCTCCCTCTACGGAAGAGTAAGTTGTTCTTTGAAAGACTTATTCGAATTGTGCTGACTTTCTGCAAAGCAAACCCGCACCGCACACAACCCTCATCGTCCTCCAGAAATTCCTCCGAGCGAACGTCGACGATCTCGAGAAGGCGAAAGAGCAGCTTACGTCTGCATTGAAATGGAGGAAGGAGTACCAGCCGTTGAAAGTGAGGGACGAAGTATACGACAAGGACAAGTTTGGTGGGCTTGGCTTCGTGACGAAAGTCAAGGGAGCCACTGAGACCAAGAATGAGGAGGATGTTGTGTCGTGGAACATCTATGGGGCTGCGGCGAAGGATGTTAAGAAGACGTTTGGGGATACTGATGCGTGAGTTCATTTGTTCGATCTGTGGAGTTACCGGGCACTGACATCACTCACAGCTTCGTTCGATGGCGAGTCGCACTACAAGAAATCACGATTCAACAACTCAAGCTCAACGAAGCAACCGAGACCATCCCCGACTACGGCAAAGGCCCCGATCCATACAAAGCGATCAACGTCCACGACTACTTATCCGTCTCCTTCTTCAGGCGGCCACAAGAGATCAAGGACTCCTCGTCCAAGATCATCGACATGTTCCAGCGATACTACCCTGAGACCGTCAGCTACAAGTACTTCGTCAACGTGCCCCTCGTCATGCAGTGGATGATGGGCGCCATGAAGGCTCTCATGTCGAAGGACAGCATCCAGACCATGACCTGGATGACTTACGGCTCGGAATTGCACAAGTATCTGGGCAGCGAGGTGCCGAAGGAATATGGTGGTAGCGGCGCGCCTCTGGCTGAGCATGCTCTCACGCCGAACTACGGGGCTGGAGCGGCGGCTGCTCCTGTTGAGTCCAAGATAGCGGAGCCAGTTCCTACTACAGCAGAACCTGTCGAGCCCAAAGCTGCAGAGCCAGTCCCGATCGTGAACGGTAGCGAGACCACTGCTGAGGTGACGGGCAAGCCTGCTGACAAGGCCGATGTGGCATAGGAGCCGTGTCGTTGTTGTTTGATTTTCGCACTATACCCTATGTTTAGACTGCTTTCAAACTACTCACACAGCTTAATACAGACCCTGTCATCTGCTGAGTCCGAGACAATTTCGACCCTGTCGATTCTACTCTATTCGTCTTTATTCTCTTGTTCAAATATGAACGACCTGAGCTCCATTCCCAATCCTCCCAGTATTGCAAAACACCATAGCCGCATTAACCATCCTCGTACTCTTCACCTCCCAATCAAAAACAACCTCTCTCACCATCTCCAAAACCCCACTCACAACCATCATTCCCAAATAATACACCCTCACCGGCCCATCGAGCACACCCCCAGGGGCACCATACCGCAACGTCTCCTCCAAATACCGCTCACTCGCATCCCACCTCACAACCTCCTGCCCACCCCTCAGCAACCCCAAAAAGTCACTCTTCCCCGCATGGATATGTCCAAAGACGTGCAGCAGGGGTTTCACCCGCCGTACTTCCTGCAGCAGGAACTCGTCGCCCATGGCTCGTACGCTGGGTAAGTCGAGATGGTACGCCGGCGGAGAATGCGTGACGAGGATATCCGTGTCGTCCGGGATGGCGTCGCTCCAGACGTCCGTGCCGCGGGGATATTGGAAGGCGTGTTGCGGGCCGAGTTTGTCGGGCGTGTGTGGCGCGCCGAAGAGGGTGATTTTGCCGGCGTTGAGGGATGTTCGGTTGGGGAAGTCTAGCGTTACGGAGGTGTTTTGGAGGTAGTGGATTCCCTTCCAATCGACCTTGCCCTCCCTCTCCTTCGCATCACTCAATGTCTTCCGGGACTCTGGATCCAGCCACGTATCGTGATTCCCAGCCACGACGACTTTATGTTGATGCGGCAAACCGGCGAGCCAGTCGATTTGTGCTTGGAGTTCCGATGGCGTGCCGGCGTTCGTGAGGTCGCCCGCGTGGATGAGGATGTCGCCATAAGGGAGGGGGGCTTTGGGGATTAGGCAGTGGGTGTCGGAGATGCAGACGACGGTTATGTTTCGGCGCGCGTGGCGGTCTGGGTAAAGGAGGGAGAGGAGGTAGTGCAGGAGGCGGGCGAGGAGTTTTAGGGGGTGTTGGAGTTGGAGGTGGAGTGGGGGGATGTCGTAGGGAGAGGCCATGATGGTTTTGGGGTTGGGGTTGGGTGGTTGTGAATTGTTGTTGGAAGTTGTGGAAGGGGAGGGTAGAGGTGAGGTTAGGTCAAGCTGGCCCACGTGGGTTTCCTTCCAAGCGATCGTAGTCTGGCATCGAAAGCACCTCTATCGGCAGTGTCGATTCCGAAGTTATGAGATTATTATTCCGGATCGATTCGATTGGTCTCAGTTGAGTATTGAGAGCACAGATTGGTAAATCGAAATAATGCGGCTGAGTAAGCAGTTTCGTAGTCCTATATAGTAGGTAGTCCTGTATAGTCGTTGGTAACATTCTCTGTCTACAGCAGAGACCTGGGCATCTACTTGACGTGTTCATGAGTCTCAACATCCCCACGAACGCCAATAGCCTTCTCAGCATCAACCACATCATCGCCAGACCGATCCCCAGAAGCAGTCTGGCCGAGCTTCGCCGCAACCTTCTCATCTGTTATATCGACATCTTCCCGGTACATCGCTGCCTCGTCTTCGTCCCCAAAGATCTTGCCGACTTGCTCGAGGGAAAGACCTTTTGTTTCTGGTAGGATGAACCATAGGATGACGAAACCTACGGCGGAGATTGAGATGAAGACCTGAAGACGAGTCAGTCGTGATTCAATGACAATTCATGGTTGTACTTACCAAGAAGAACTTGTAACCGATATTTGAGAACGCTATCGGAGTGACTTCCAGGTAGACCAAGTCCGTGAGGGCAAGCACCGCGTTCGTAATGGACACGCCCATATGGCGAATGTGGTTGGTAAAGGCCTCGGCGTAGAAGACGTTTCCTCCGACATCGACGCCGACGTTGTAGCAGACGTTGAAGAGGTACAGTGCTGCAACACCGAGCTTGCCGTAGCTCAGCTTTGTTGGGTCGGCGGTGAAGACTGCTGTTGCTGCTGCTTCTAAGGATAGACAAATGCAGCATCCACCGATGCCGATTAGGAGGAGTGGACGACGACCAAGATCTGTGATGTAGTTAGCTATCATTGTTCAAATCTTGGTGGATCGATAACGAAACTCACTGTCCATCAGCAAGGCACCCAACAAGCAAAACGGAGGCGCCAGAGCAACCCAACCAAGCTGGAAATCAATCTGCTCGATCGTGCCGTATCCAAGCCCTTTGTAGAACGTTGGCCCGTAATTGTTGATGACCAACACCGCCGTCGACTGGCCAATAAAGCAATAGAACATGCAGATCGGTGTGCGCTTTCGGTACGAAGGCTTTCGGAACATCGATATCTGCATCACTACGTTAGCCCTGTCGTCCTGTGCGTCTTCTCTGTACATACCCAAGAGCTCTCGAGCGTGACATCAATGGCAATCTGCTTCTTCATCTCATTCAGCTCTTTCTCTGCAAAGTCCGTGTTGCCCTTCACCGTGTGCATTCGATAGATGATTTTCTCTGCCTCCTCTGTCCTGCCCTTCAGAAACAGCCATCGCGGCGACTCTGGCGAGAATAGCATGATGACGATCATCAGCAACGGGAAGAACAGATAGATCCCCAATGGTCCTCGCCATACGGCTTCAGGCTCGCTCGCTACCAGCCACGCCCGTCCCATGGCGGCAGCGAGGAAGTACCCCAATCCGATGTGGACGCCATTGAGACCAGTATAGAAGCCGCGGAGGTCAGGCGGTGATAGCTCAGCGGTATAGACAGGAGTCAAGATGAGGAAATCCCAAGCGCTCATGCCAGTGAACCAGCGCCCTGCGAGGAACATGCCAATATTGCGGGAGCCAGCGAGGAGAGCTCCACCAAGCAGACCGATGACGGCGTTGTAGTAGACTGTGTTCTTGCGCCCGATCTTTTCGAGAGCGTAGCAGGTTATAAAGGTATTGACGAAGGCTCCAGCTTGATAGAGTCCATTAGTGGTTCCAGTGATGGTTTCTTGGCTTTGTGTTGCCTCCCCGTTGTCATTGACCAAGCCCCTGTCAAGTGGTCAGCGTGGTCCCATAGCTGTCGCAGTAGCCAGATTACTGGAGGTGGAGAATGAGTAGACGCACATATATCTCAAGAAGTCTGGAGAACCCAGTGTGGTGCTGATAATCGAAGACGGGTAACCGAATGCCAATTGGCCATAGCTGATGGAATATGTGACGAAGAAGTTCCTTCAATTCGTGAGTAACAACGCATCGATGTGCTCTGTCAGGCTTTGCCTACCTCCAGTTGAAATGTCTTTCCTTGGTGCTAGGCCGGGTGACCGTACGAAACAATTGACCAACCATCGTCAGCAAAAACAAACGAAACCTTTACGATGTGAAGAGAGAAGGGCAGAAGACCATCGGCAACGCGAAGCCTTTAAATCGACAGTGTCGATTGTGGCACGCACGTGCGGCGTGCACCGCATATTCAACCAAAAGACCCGTCGAGTTATTGCCGGCTCAGAAACGGAGACAACGAGACTTGCACGCGTTCCCATAGGACGGAGACAGCAGACGTCGCATCTGCAGTACATTTTGAGTTTGTGCCTCCAAGCGCCCTCCACATGCTCATAGGGTGGGCGACACGTGAAGGAATGGCACTTGCGGGGAAGCGAGAAGTTTGGTAGTTGCTTGCTTTTGGTCTTTGCCGCGTGGCGATGCTTGAGGTGATCGGATCCCGACTTGGTGTGTCTCGCCCAGCAACTAGCATGCGGTGCGGCGAAAGCTAGATGAAACTTCCTTACAGTGGGCGAGACGTGCAGCCTCTTGACTTGCAGGTCACCGTGGGCAAAATTCGCATGGGCCTCAAGTATAAGGTGTTGAGGAGTTATGCCCGGTAATTCGGAAGGATGTTAGGCCATGTCTCACCTCGTGGCGTAGGTGACAAGACGCCATACCCTCGGTATCCCACTCACTCGAAGTGGAGCATGCATCCCCATTGCTGGCTTATGAGGCAATCACCTCGAGCGGCAATTGCTAGCCTGGTCGCTTGCAAGATGCATGCATTCCACTCCGAGCGGAACGATGAGGGTCGGTAAATCGAAGCTCTTCCACGGTTGCTTCCTGCTGATGGCCATAGCATGATCGATTTCATACACTCATGTTGAAGCCGGTCACTTTCCAGACTGGGAATCCGAAGTCTTCAACAGGAGGAGTTTGCAGCATGTCGGTGCCACGTGCGTAGGTCCTCTCCACGCTTTCGTACATGTCCTGGCCATTGGGCAGAATTTCCTGCCCGAGATGGCCTCAAGAAGGAGAGCTTCATGCTGTGTTCACGATTCTCACTTGTATGACTCCAGGCGCTTGCCGTCGACTGTGACATGGTACGCGCCCATGTTGGCAAACACTACGTCCTGGACGATCCACATGCGTACATGTTAGGCTAATGCGTGGTCTTTGGTCTCTCTCCGTCCAGACGCGTTCGACTGTGCTCAGCAGTCAGTGTCCGAACCCATTGCCAGAGCTCAGTCTTCGGGACCCATATGAGTCAAGAAACTTAGACGCATTGTCACAACACGCCGGCTTCAAGCCTGAAAAACATTTTGTCGAAGATGGTGTAGAACAGTGAAATAATGGTGAAGGCGTGGAAGCGTGGAGCAGACGCGAGACGGAAAGAAGTGACTGGGTCCAAGCTTTGTCGCTAGCGGCAACTTTAAGCGAGAGATCTTGAACGTCACGCTTTTCGAACCGCGATGCATCCAACAAACAAACACATCCAGCGTGAAATCACGAGGATGGAGACGCTGTCAGATGCTATCAGCGGTCTGTCATCGGCTTGTGATGGCCTCGATAACGATATCGATGATCTGCTCGATCAAGCAAAACCTCGCAAGCGAATCCGCAAATCGCCCGACGAAGTGAAGGCGAAATTGGAGAGCGACTTCCTGACGCCTTCGACGTCTTTCAGCGCTGAATGGCTTGATAGACTGCAGCAAAGATGGGATGTCTCTACCAACTATAACGAGCTCTTCGCCCTTGGCCCCACACAGACGAGGACCATCATCAGGTTCACGCGGGAAGGCTTGGAAGGCAGGGTGACTGGCTACAAGGAAGTGACCGTACCGGCCAACAGTGCGACCGCCAAGAACTCGACGTCTCTTTTGAGGAAGCCTGCAAACAGAGCCGACTTTGTGAGAGGCGCTGCTGGCTTTTATCCATTTGCTCCTGGTGGTCTTGATGCAGTCGAGGCAACGGCTGCCTACGAAGAAGAGCTCCTTCAGAAACAGAAACCCGATGCTGATAAGAAGTCCAATAAATTGAACAGAGTCATCGACTTCGCAGCAGAAGGTGGCTTGCTGGAAGTCCCGCCTGGTTTTGCTCGCGGCTTGCGAGAGAGCGAGAAACCCAAGCAAGATGATGATGGCGCGAAGGAAGTTGAGGCTGTTCTTGAAGAAGAGTCCGATGTCCCAGAAGCATTTGCAGATGGTGGAGTCCCGCTACCGAACGAGAACGGGCACGTTGAGGAAGATGTCGAAGGTGGCGAAGAAGACATTGACGACCTCTTGCCCGTAGAGTTTCCCGCGCTCGCTGCCCATGGACCGTTGACCGTGGCTCGCAATAGGCAAGGTGGGCGCGAGTGGGCCCATATGGTTGATGTCAATCGCGATATCACCAACTTCAGAGAACTCGTGCCGGAAATGGCACGTGAATGGCCTTTCGAGCTGGATACCTTCCAGAAAGAGGCGGTCTATCATCTCGAAAACGGAGATTCAGTCTTTGTCGCAGCTCATACGTCTGCTGGAAAGACAGTCGTGGCTGAATATGCCATTGCTTTGGCAGCGAAGCACATGACGAAGGCCATCTACACCTCGCCAATCAAAGCACTGAGCAATCAAAAATTCCGAGACTTTCGCACCACCTTCGACGATGTCGGTATCCTCACAGGAGATGTTCAAATCCGGCCAGAGGCTAGCTGTCTCATTATGACCACCGAGATTCTTCGCAGTATGCTATACCGTGGAGCTGACTTGATCCGCGATGTCGAGTTTGTCATCTTCGACGAAGTGCATTATGTCAATGATCTTGAGAGAGGTGTTGTCTGGGAGGAGGTCATCATCATGCTGCCCGAGCATGTAACACTCATTCTGCTGTCTGCTACGGTGCCGAACACTCACGAATTCGCATCCTGGGTTGGCCGTACCAAGAAGAAGGACATCTACGTTATTTCGACCCCCAAGCGACCCGTGCCGCTCGAACACTACCTGTGGGCAGACAAGAAGATGTTCAAAATCGTTGATGCCAACAAAAGCTTTATCGAGAAGGGGTGGAAGGATGCAAATGATGCAATGAGTGGGCGCGATAAGGTCATTGCAGCAGAGGCGAAAGCAAAAGAAAAGGAAGAAGCAGCTGTTGCCGCTGGCCGGGGCGGTAGAGGAGGGCGCGGTCAGAATGCTCGTGGAGGCCAACGTGGCGGTGGCAATCAACGAGGCGGTCCCCAACAGCGAGGTCGAGGTCAACCTGCTGCCCGTGGTCAGGGCAACATTGCTCGCACTGGCCGCGGTGGAGGGAGGACGACTGCCGCACAGGACCGAAACATTTGGGTCCATCTCGTTCAACACTTGCGCAAGGAGGAGCTCTTGCCATGTTGTATCTTCGTCTTCTCGAAGAAGCGATGCGAGGAGAATGCCGACGCTTTGTCTAATCTCGACTTCTGCACTGCGACTGAGAAGAGCGCGATACATATGATTCTGGAGAAATCGCTAGCACGCCTCAAGCCAGACGATCGACAACTGCCCCAAATCCGTCGCATTCGCGAGCTTCTCAGCAGAGGCATTGCAGTCCATCACGGCGGGCTTCTGCCAATCGTGAAAGAGTGCGTTGAAATTCTCTTTTCGAAGACCTTGGTCAAGGTACTTTTTGCGACAGAAACATTTGCCATGGGCCTAAATCTACCCACCAGAACTGTCGTCTTCTCCGGATTCCGCAAGTACGACAACAAAGCATTTCGAGATCTATTGCCTGGAGAGTACACGCAAATGGCTGGACGAGCTGGTCGTAGAGGTCTTGACTCTGTTGGCTCTGTCATCATCGTTGCTCCCGGCGCCGATGAGGCACCACCTGCTGCCCGGCTGCGACAGATGATGCTTGGGGATCCCACCAAGCTGCGGTCGCAGTTCCGGTTGACTTACAACATGATCCTCAATCTGCTACGAGTCGAAGCGTTGAAGATTGAAGAGATGATCAAGCGGTCGTTTTCCGAGAATGCCACTCAGGCGCTGTTACCGGAGCACGAAAAGCAGATCAAAGTGTCTGAAGCAGACCTCGCAAAGGTCGTGCGCGATGCTTGCGAGACATGCGACAAGGACATCGACAGATGCCACCAAGCGAGTGTTGATTTCCAGAGGTTGACTGTTGACCTGCATCTTTCTATGCTTACCACCGCTGTAGGGCGACGTATGTTCCACCCCAAGAGAATCATTGTCTTCCGCGGCAAGAATGATGTCAGAACTGCTGGTGTACTGCTCCGCGACGGCATCAATAAAGGTGCATCGCCGAACGTGCAGGTCCTCGAAGTGGTCTACCGCAACAACAGAAAGCGCCAGGACCCAGACTTCTTGCCATACCTTCCACGCTTCCGACAACACTTTGTTCCGTTACCGCAGACAGATGGGGAGATTCAGCTTCAAAATGTCAATATTCCACTGGAAAACATCGAGGCTTTGACCGGTGCACATCTGCAAATCGACGTCGCTGCAATCCAGCAGAGAGATCAAGAAGCCTTCGCCAATGCTAAGAAAGAGATGCTGGCAGCGTGCTCGTCCTGGACATCGCAAAGTTGGCGAGAACTTGATTATGACAAGTTTTTGAAGGATATGACGATTCGCAATTTGATGGAGGCTAGAAAGCACGCCGCTGATACTGCTCAAGCCTGCGAGTGTATCCACTGCCCCAGCTTTCCAAAGCACTTTGCCATGGCTCACGATCAGTGGGTCATCAAAGATAAGATCGAGTCGATCCGACAGCTCATGTCAGACCAAAACCTTCAACTGCTTCCAGACTACGAGCAGCGGGTCAACGTGCTGAAAGATCTCGGCTTTGTGGATGAGCATTCGCGAGTCGAACTGAAAGGCAAGGTTGCTTGCGAGATCCATTCCGCAGACGAGCTGGTTCTTACTGAGTTGGTTCTGGAGAATGTCTTGGCAGACTACGAACCAGAAGAGATTGTCGCGCTCTTGTCGTCGTTCGTCTTCCAGGAAAAAACCGATTCAACGCCGAACATGACACCTGCGCTCGAGCGAGGCCAAGAGACAATCATCAAAATCTCCGAGAAGGTCAACCACTACCAGACACTGCACCAGGTCATTCTTTCCTCCGACGACTCGAACGACTTTGTCAGCAAGCCTCGCTTCGGTTTGGTCGAAGTAGTTTACGAATGGGCACGAGGAATGCCATTCAGCCGCATTACGGACTTGACCGACGTCCTAGAGGGCACGATTGTAAGAGTCATCACACGTTTGGATGAGACGTGCAGAGAAGTCAAGAATGCTGCGAGGATCATCGGTGACCCTACGCTCTTCACCAAGATGCAGACTTGCCAGGAGCTCATCAAGCGTGATATTTGCGCGACTGCGTCTTTGTACATGTAGATGACGGCATACACATAGACAAAAGAAATTCATGTCCTGCGACACTCCGTGAGACTGTCGCCTTTCGCGTGCTATGAGACTGTAGCGGCGGCATCACTTGCCCGAGCAATTGGTTCCGGAATGGCCTTCATTGCTCGGTTTTCGCAGATATCAGACATCCGAATCGTCTGCAGTACTGACACCGGAATTCCGCCTTCGATCCGCGGGAAACAATGGGATGCGGTCAAGCAAGAATTCCCCTGCCGAGCAGTGCACTCAAGGTCCTGTCTGGGCTGCAAGGGAAAGCATCGTGCTAAGGGATCAACGAAGAATCCATCCATTTCGCAAGCGCTTCCGCGCCCTACTCTTCCTACTTCAACCCACCCGAAATCAAAATACTCTGACCGGTCATATACCCCGTCTTACACAACATCGTCACCACATTCGCACACTCCTGCGTCGAACCAGCCCTCCCAACAGGGATATTCTTCACATCACCCGGCGTGCCCTTCAAGAACTCCTCGTCCGGAATCATGCCCGTGCCGGTGATCATAGCCGGCGCCACATCGTTGCAGGTGATGCCGTGCTTGGCCAGCTTGATGGCGAGGTTCTTGGAGAGGCCCTGCACGCCGGCTTTGGAGGCCGAGTAGTGGCAGCCGTTGATCGAGGTGCCCCCCGCCGCGATGGAGGAGATGTAGATGATGCGGCCCCAGTTCTGCTCGATCATGTGGGCGACGGCGAGTTTGGTTAGGAGGAAGCTCGCGCGGAGGTTGCAGTTGATTGTGTAGTCCTGGACATGGTGGTCAGCTCAGGGAAACAGGGTGGTTTTTTGTGGCTGATGCAAAAGGCTCACCCATTCTTCGATATCGATGTCTAAGATATCCGACGTCCGTTTGCCATACCCTGCATTGGCAATGAGAATATCCGGGCCTTGTCTACGAACGGACGAATGAAACACGTTAGTAAGTGCTCCGGCCTAATCTCCCACTCGTACGGTACTATACCCATGCTCAGATTTGATATCATCATAGAGTTTCTTCAGATCTTCGTCCGAGGTCATGTCCGCTTTGTGCGCGGTCAACTTTCGTCCATTGGCGCTGGGGCGGAGTTCTTCGATGAGCTCGTCGACGGGTGTCTTGTTGGAGGAGTATGTCAAGGCTAGGGAGGCCCCCTGAGCGAAGAGGTCTCGAGCACATGCTGCTCCGATGCTTTATTGGCACGGTCATCAGCGATGTCGCTTCTGGAGACCTAGTACACTTGCTCACCCGCCTGAGGCCCCTGTCACGAGGGCCAATCTTCCGCTTATTTCATTGTCGATGGTCATTTTTAGAAGTAGCTTGATATCTGATGCGTAAGACGACGACGAGGATGATGATGATCGTTCCCGCACGGTTCATTCACTCACATGCCGAAGTTGCCGAAAAAAGAGGAGGCTCATCGGCGTTTGATCGGCCACTGCTACTACGCCACGACTTGAGCTTCGGACTGAGCCCATTCTCGGACAAAACACGTACAGTGATCTTGTCGAACAGCAACACGGTCCCGTCCAATGGAGTCGGTGATTTGTTGCGCACCCGACTAGGTACTCCCTCACGGTTCACCTCTCGTTACATGTTTAACGTCCTTTCCAAAGCGATGTCTTATTCCGCCGAAACAGATTCCATTGGGCTGCCTACAGCTATAACGCCAAGCCATAAGTATTCACATCGACACGTCTTTGGTCTGCCCACCTGGTTAGAAGTTTCTGCAAGCTGCTCTGGATGGGCCATTTTGTCTCATCGTGGAAGCGGCGAAGGAACTGCTCTAGGGAATTCTGTTCCTCTGCGTTGTCAAGAAACTGACCACACCAGGCCATCATATGACTGCCGTTCAACATCAAACCCGTGTTGCTGGTAGATGACATGCACAGGCCGCACAAAACCCGAGTGGGCGTGACGAGCTTGTCCTGATGAGATATTCGTTAGTACTAGGCGGCGCTGAAATCACTCTCGGCAAGGCCTTGCCTTACCTTTACACGGCGTCTCATTTCTTGCAAATCGTTCGTGCTTGCCTGGTCATCTGCACCGTAGACTGATAACATCACCGTTGTGGTGTAGTAGAACTGCCACGCTACCGCTATGGAGGTTCAGCACAATACTACACCAAACAGTGTACAACGCCTAGCTTACCGTGCCAGGGCTGGAAATGTTGTACCCGGGGAAAAGGCATCGAGCTTGTCTCCGACACACACCAGGGTCGAAATGACGGAGGCAGAGCTGCTCTCCACTCCTCGATCCAGCGTTGTAGTTCTCTCAGCGACATACCAGATTTACTGGGGTCGCCCCAACATAGATGGATAGTGTGGAGCAAGAGGTATGTGACTTGATTCGTCCAAGCCTCATCGCAAGCCTCGCCCGAGGGGATCGAAGGTATAATTCTGTCCAGCAAGGTGGCAAGGTCTAGCTCACCAGGATTTTCGTAGATGAAACAGACGCGGATCGATTCGCGAATATGAGTCCAGAAAGATGCAGTGGCCAAGTCGGTTTCCCGGAGACCCCACTGTCTGCCATCGCTGAACAACGAGGCCGCCCCTTTGATATGCCGACGAAAATCTCCGTCCACCTCCAGAAATTGCTCAGACATACGCAGAATTACTGTAGTCGCTAAAAGAGCCTCGTTCCGCGAGGTGGCTTGCTCGGAAGACAATAACGGGATGAGGAGTTCCAGAACTTTACAACTGTACCTTTCTTCCAGCGATAGGTCGATCTCACCTCGGAGCACCAGGATTTGAGAGGCACATGCAACACAGGCGAAGAACAACAACGAAGTGCTCATGGCGAGTTGTGGGACCTGGCATTGGAAGTAGCGGTTCGGGGAGCCAATATCCAACTGTTGCAGGTTATTCTCTCGGTGCACAGTCGAATGACAGTACAAAGACATACCCAGAGCCCTAGGCTAGCAATGTAGAAATCGAATATGTTGCACTCGTCAGGCTCGGACAGAATTTGAGCGGGACGAGGGCTGGACCATTGCCAGGAAATGGCACGGGATGCTGGTCCATCTGGAAGTGCTGCAGGTGAATAACGCAGGACAGTCGAAGCTTGGGTATTTTCTACCAGAATTGTAGTAGCATCAGACGTGTTGAAATGCGAAGGAGCGAGGGGTGTGCGTTCCTCAGTTGTTTCGCCCGGCGGCGACACATGGTGCGGTTGGGAGGAATTTGGTAGCCACGTCGTCGCCAGCACACCGCGCGTTTCCCCCGTCTCCAGTCGGTTGACTGTATGGTGGCGAAACTGTACCGGGCGCTTCGAAGTATTGTAGGAGCACTGACGAAGGTCACTGGCCCGTCGACAGTTGGCACAGGCTGGGCGCTCTTTGCTGCACTTCAAGTGGCGTTCCCTGCAGGGCTTACAGTTTGGCTGGCGCTTTCGTGTCCTCGAGCCTGGTGCGGTGAGTGCTTCTTGGTCGGCCGGCGAAGACATGCGTTGTGCTTGGGTGCAGAGAGGAGAGGAGCAGGAGAACGGAGCAGGAGAAGGGGTAAGGTAGGAGCGCGGTGTTCTTTCGCCAAGATCAGTAACTTTTCGCCGACATCCTTCCTAAAATAGATTAGCGTACAATGCTAGCTCGAGACCAACAACCTGAGTAGACTGGGTCTCGTCAAGGACATCAACTTGGCACGTCTTATGGTATATAGTCCAGCGAGAATGGAACTCTGTCCGCGAAGGCAGATAATGCATTCAGTGCTAGTCCAGCATGATATTCAGCTCCCAGGTGCCATCAATGGTTCCTCTTTGGACGCCTTTCGGTAAGTGAGAAAATCGAACCTACAAGCCCAACCATGTACAGCTATCTAACCTGCCTTTCTGTGTAAGAATGGGCACTGGCCATGATACTCATCGCCTTCTTGCTGTGTTTTGCAGCTGTTATTTGGGGGTATTTGGCTGACCCCAAGTCACTTCGCCGCTTTCCATCGCCCTCCGTCGCGGCATTCACCCCTTTTTGGGCCATCTGGAAAAACGCCAGGGGAAGACGATACCTCGCCGTAGAAGCCGGCCACCGGAAACTCGGCCCTGTTGTTCGTATTGGACCCAACAGCATCTCATTCTCCGATCCCCATGCGTACAAGGCCATCTACGGTCATGGCTCGCCTATCATCAAGGACGGCTTCTACGACAATCTAGCAGGATCGACTCCGGCTATGGCAGACGCGTCCGATCGCCATCTCCATGCTACAAAACGCAAGAATGTGTCGAGCATCTTCTCGGCCAAACACGTTGCCTTAATGGAACCCAAAATCGTCGATGCTGTCCACAGCCTGCTTCGAGCCATCCAGATAAAGTCAAGGGGTGGAACTGTCTCTGCGGCAGATGGGTATCCAGTGTCTTCCAATGGTGAGTTCGATCTCCGCCCCTGGCTCAACATGTTTTCCTTTGATGCCTTCTGGAGTGTGCTATGGTCCTCATCATACCACTTCTTGGAGCGCGGCAACGACGAGTGCAAGTCCATGGACACCAGTGGCAGAGTCACGACCGTTCATGCCATGGACAGCTTTCAAACTGGTGTGCATTTCAACAGCCTCTGCGCTCAGCTTGGCCCTTTCCAGTATCGTTTTGCAAGATGGGTGTCGAAATGGACAAGACAGGGTCGGGCAATTGGCGAATTCTCTGGCATGGCACGGCATGGGACTGTCACACGTCTGAAGCGAACAGTGGAGAGCGTCGACTTCTTTTCCTTTTTCCCAGTCGAGATAACCCCCAAGACTCCATGCCCATTGACTATTCCCGATCTTGTGGCCGAGTGTGCTAGCTTCCTGAACGCCGGTGAGCCTTCATGATGCTTTCTCCCAGCCGTTCCTACAGAGCTGATCAAGTCCCAGGAAATGACACCACGCAAATCACCCTTACCAACGTCATGTTCCAACTTGCCGCACATCCGAAACATCAGGACAAGCTTTACAGCGCCCTCACTGCGTCGCTCCCCAAAACAGCGCAGCGGGTAGCGTCTTTCGCAGAGCTTAGCCAGATCCCGTACCTGGCTGCATGTATCGATGAGACTCTAAGACTAATGCCACCCGTCCGTTTCGGGCTGCCACGGCGCACGGTGGGCAAAGGGTCAATGATATCGGGGCATCACATTCCAGCTGGCGTGACAGTCTCAGCTTCAGTCCATACCATGCACCGAGACGAGAGTCTGTTCCACGATGCCGAAGACTGGATTCCGGAGCGCTGGATCCCCGACTCGCCCGATTCTTCTGAGGAGGAACTCAAGCGACTGAAGGAGTTCGTTCTACCGTTCACGACCGGGGGAAGAGCATGCATCGGGCGAAATCTCGCCTACATGGAACTGTCCATCTGCCTGGCGGCATTGGTAATGGCGTTTGAGTGGCACATATCGGACACAGCTCGTCAGAGTTTCACGCATTTCGAGCGCTTCAATACCGGCCCTGTGTCCTTGATGATCTCTGCGACGCTCCGTTAGTTACGTGGGTAGATTATGAGAATGTAGAGTGTTTTATTTGCATAGCTCGCGACTAGTGTTATGGAGCATCGCGAAAACGCATGGACATAAACATCTGGTCGAGACTCTTTGATGGGATGGAAGGACATTGCACCATATTGCCAGCCGCCGAATTATTTCCCTTTTTATCAACTCGGCTCCACGCCTCCTCGTTCTGTGGGGTGCATTGCTTCCTTCGTCTGGGGGACTAATGGGTCTTCGGGGACATGAGCAAAAGGGTCTTGTTGGCGTCTGTACCGTCTCTATATAATCCATGTGCCAATCCAACATCCCGGTAGACGTCTCGTCTTTGCATACTCTTCTTCTCACAGGTTGTTCTACAAATCGTTCTACAAATTATCTGTTCCGGCGTGTTCAAGATGATGGATTCAAATGTGAAGCTGTCTGCTACGAATGCAACACCAACGTTCCCCCTTCAAGCCTTCAGTGATCCAATGAAACAAAGCGAGACTCAGCAGGTTGAGAATGAAGCCGCTAATATCGTCACGGACGACACCTGGCGGATCGAAGCGTTGATTAAGGAGATGGAGCATGAAGACCAAGCAAACCCGCAGAGGCCAGGAAGGTTCGAATTCTCCCCTAAAAGCTCCTCGCACATGACCTGGTTCATAGCCGCGTGCTCCTCCATGGGTGGCCTTCTCTTCGGCTTGGATCAATCTTTGATCAGCGGCGCGAATCTTTTCTACCGGTGGCGCTCGGGTTGGACGCCCACCAAGTCAGCCTGGTGAACGCCGCAATGCCCCTTGGAGCTGTGGGTGGTGCTATCTTGCTCATCCCTTCGAATGAGTATCTTGGACGACGCAAGGCGATCATCCTGTCGACGATTCTATACACTGTAGGCGCGGCGCTGCAGGCAGGCGCATTCAGCTACGGTTCGATCGTCGCCGGCCGCGTTGTGATGGGACTGGGCGTTGGTATCGAGACAGGAACAGTGCCCGTCTATGTTGCCGAGACGGTCGAAAGTCGTTTGAGGGGAAACCTGGTCTCCCTGTATCAGTTCAATATCGCCTTGGGGGAGGTATTTGGCTATGTCGTTGCGGCCATCTTTCTCCACGTCCGCGGCAACTGGCGCTTCATGCTAGGCTCCTCCATCCTGTTCTCCACGGCCATGTTCTTGGGGTAGGGACTGTTCCACCAAACATTCAATTTCTCCTCTTTTGCTAAATCTTGTCTAGAATGTTGATTCTCCCGGAGAGTCCCAGGCATTTGATGCACAAGAACAAGACCCTTCAGGCTTTCCGAGTCTGGAAGCGCCTTCGCGACATCACGTCTCCTGAGAGCCGGCAAGAATTCTTTTTGATGAAGGAAGCCGTTGGCACTGTGGCCAGTCAGATGCAGGAGAAGAAAAACACCGCCCGCTTCGTCTGGCTTGACTTCGTAACGTCAGACTCTCCCGCGCCTTTGCGATGTTGCACTCTCATCGACGATCAGCTGACAGCCTCGTAGCGTCCCACGAGCCCGTCGTGCAATCATATACGCAAACATCATGATCTTGCTGGGTATTCAAAACCGTTCTGTGGTCAATCATGATGGGCGAGCTGACTCTGATCGCAGGTCAATTTGTCGGTATCAACGGCATCATGTATTATATGGGAGTCCTCATGACGCAGATCGGCTTCAGTGAGGCGAACAGCACATACATGTCCCTTGTTGGAGGCGTGTCTCTCTTTCTCGGCACAATTCCAGCAATCTTTTATATGGAACGTTTCGGCCGTCGATTCTGGGCTTTGACTATGCTCCCGGGGTTCCTCATTGGGCTCGTGATCACCGGAATCAGCTACCTCTTCAGTCCAGTCAAGCAGGTTCAGGCAGCGGAGGGCTTGTATCTCACTGGTCTGATCGTCTACATGGCCTTCTACGGACCATATGCGTGCCTGACGTGGGTTATCCCTTCAGAGGTCTACCCTACGTATCTGCGGAGTTATGGCATGGCAACGTCGGACGGAATGGTTTTCCTCGGCTCCTTCATCATTACCTACAACTTCACCAGCATGCAGGAGGCCATGACCAAGACGGGCTTGACATTGGGCTTCTTTGGCGGGATTGCGCTGCTCGGATGGTTCTATCAACTTCTCTTCATGCCCGAGACCCGAAATCTGAAGCTGGAGGAAATAGATGCTGTCTTTTCGCTGCCCACTCGCGAGCTGGTGAGGCGCAATTGGAAGAGCAGCGTCCAGACGGCTTCGAACATGGTACACTGCCGGCGTGCATCTGGCACTGTGGACAGTGGTGGTCGGCTGGGCGGACAAAATGATTAGGGGATGAGCAATGCATCAATTAGAGCACACAGGTTAGAACATTGTGGGGCTCACTAAGATACAGTATAGTGAGCATGGCGTCAGATGATGTTTGTTCCTGCATTTATTCACTTACACAGCCGTTGCCGAGAAATCGGAGACGCGGGTCGGCGTTTGATCGGCCATTGCATCAGCTCCTGCACAATTAAGCTCGCAACGTTATGCACGACGAAGGAAACAAGCTTCGTGCTCCTCCCGCAGATCTACCCTCGATCCATGACTCGGGGTGGCTGAGGAGCAATTCGTCGCGACAGCAGGCCATGTTCGCCAGGCGCCATGATTCGGGATTCGCATTCAAATGCGAAGCGTCGGCGCGCGCCAGGCTCGCTTCGCACCCACCTCCCTCCCTTTGATGGTGTGAGAGACCGGCCTCCACCATGTGCCGCCTGGGTCACAAGAAGTCGCGAAAGGGTTGCATCAATTGCAAGCGTCGCCGCGTCAAGGTATGTATTGTCTCCTCTCCTGGTTCGGTTTTGCTAGCGGCTGATCACGGCTCCTTCAGTGCGACGAGCAGGCTCCTTGCCGCAATTGTGTGAGGCGAGGCGAGGACTGCAGCCTTCTGGTCCCCTCTCCGAGCAATGTGAGTCTTTTTCTGGAAGCCGTGCTTCGCTTCCTTAGATCTCTTGCAAGATCTGTAGGCTGATGCCTCGGACCCGTGCGCAGGAAAGTGAGAAAAACTCCGCTTTGCCTAACACGCCTCAAGAATGGATGGACGACTTGTCCTTGATGCGACATTTTGTTCGAGAGACAGCCCTTCAGCCTTTCGGGACCAGCGATGAGATTCAGTTCCTGTATCAGGAGAACATCACAGATGAAGCTCTCAAATATCCCTTGGTACTAAACCCTCCCCATGTTCAACACACTGAGCTACATGCTGATATTACTTGACAGTTCGTACAATCAGACGAATACTTTGGATCCCCACTGACCATTACGACCAGCTTAATGCATGGCATTCTAGCTCTGTCGGCTCTCCATTTGATGCACACCAAGCCGACTACATCCGACAGATACTTGCAGCTCTGCGATAACCACCAAACGAAGGCGATCGAGGTGTTTCGATCCATGCTATCGAACGACCTGAGCGCTGAGATGTGCGTGCCTATCTTCGCGCTAGCAACGACGCTGTCAATTTCGTAGGCTCCTCCCCATCTCGGCTCAAGAACGTGACTAAATCTGCCCAGCTCAATCGCAAAATCGTGTGCTATGGCATTGGCCATGTCAGAACCACGATGTGTCGACATCGACCAGCTGCTCGAGATGTTCATGCTCACTCGAGGTGTCAAGGACATCGTGATGGTGTACGGCGAAGTCATAGCCAAAAGTTCCTTGGCCCCAATGCTTCACGGATACGAAGTTCCACATGATGCCGAGATTGTGCTACCAGAAGCCATTTATAGCCGGCTGAACGATTTGACGGCACTGGTCGAGAGCACTTGCCACAAAGAACAACTGGAGCCGTGCAGAGACGCCGTAACACGCATGGAGAAAATGTACCGGGTCGTGGCGTATCACGAAGCTAAAGACAATCTCATGACTGGTAAGACCTTCACACATATTCCTACTGAGATCATACGGTAACCAGCCAAATCTAGGTCATCTCTATTCATGGATGACGTCCGTGTCCAACGAATTCGTGGCTTTGATTCGCGAACACTTTCCAGCAGCGCTGGTCATTCTCGCCGATTTCGTGGCTGCGTCGTTGGTCTTGGAGTCTGCCTGGTACATGAAGAATTGGGGACACTATTGCCTGCGCGGTATCAGCATGGCTCTGAAGCAGGACGATTATCTGAAGTGGCTTGAATGGCCCAAAGCTCAGTCTCACGACAACATGGTAAGCTAACATCGTCTGTTTGGGTTAGGATTGTGTTGGCTAACAATGTTCTGTGTAGGCAATTCTGAAAGAGAGCAGGACTCCTGGAACTGCAGCGAGAGAAGGATAAACGGCTGTATGAGTATGTATGACTTGATACTTTGATACCCAGGTGGCTTTGTGTAACTTTCTATACACTAGTCTGAACCTCGCCTGGAACTCTTGTTTTGTCTCACAACCCTCCGAAACTACAACCTCTCTGTGCATCGGAAGGATAATCTGAAATCCACTTTTGTTCGCTAGTAGGGGTTTGAACAAATCGGACGTGTCGAAACGCTGGCAAGCTTAAGTCGATTATCCGTCCGATGCACAGAGAGGCTGTAACTCCTGCAGCCCAGATGTAAGTCATTCGCGAATGGATTGACGCCATGGCAACATTCACAGATGGGAAGTAGTCGGTCACATATACGCGCCCATTCTAGGCACAGGCAAGGCAATGCCTTCAGCCCGGCGGTAACGTCAACGTCCTCCCTCCGTCTCTGCATCTTCCAAGGTATTCGATGTCAAGTCCGATCAATTGGTCGTACTAGCAAGAGAGCACCAGTGTTGGTGCAGCCAAGACCATTTAAGGCAACGATGCTCGTCGTATTCGGAACGACGAACTCGACGTTGGTCGGATTGAACAGGAACACACCTTATAGCCCAGGAGTCACACCAATGCAGCAATATTCAAGGCCATATCATCAAAATGCTCTACCTGTCACTTGCAGCTTTGCTGGCTGGTGGGATAACGTGTCCCGTACAAAAAGAATCTCAATGCCCACTGCAGGTCGATCGATTCGAATATGCTCCTCGTCCGCCTGCTCCAGAATTGATTGGGATTACGAGACTTCCATTACCTCCTGTCGTGGAGGATCAAGTCCTTTGCGATGTGACTGTCAACCCCAGAAGAACCGGTTGTACTGGTAAAGCCACCAATCTTCAGGTCAGTTGAACAAATATGCCGTGAAGGCCTATGGCATAAGATTCAGATCTCTGACAATGAAAATTAGGGAGGGACTTTCTTACCGGACGACAACCATGTCCTAGCCAAGATCCGCTTCGCCGGAGCACCTGCGGCCAAAGACCCAGCAAGCATTTACACGGGCGAACAAGTGATCGTCGTCAAGACAGACAACTCAACATTTCCCAACAGTGATCCTTGGAAGTGTCTGACCTGCGGCATACCCAAAGAGAACAACCACGCGACACCGGTTCAGTCTCCAGACTACGGCTATCCTCAAGCATTCGCCAATGGCAAACGTGTCATGGCCGGGTTCTACATCATCGACTGCGGCAGTCTACGAGTTCGGAGGGGTTCCATGTGTCGATCGATGTATTGAGAAATTTGTTTGAGGCGCGAATGGGACGTTGATTACGATCGCCGAGAGGTTGACGGTCAAGCAGCCGCAGCATGGGACTTGAGGAGGGCCAAGACACGGCGTTCGTGGCGGATGTAGCCATCGACCTGTATATACCAATTTGGCCTCTTCTGCGATGATGGGGCGCGAGCAAGATCATACTGAATTTGCCTCGAAAACAGAAATGGTTATGAAGCGACAACTCTTTGAGGCTCATGGCCTCCTCAAGTATAGAAAACGTAAATTATGTAACGAGTAATACTATGTACAGGTTGTCTCTAGAATACAATAAAGATGTTGTAGGTTAGAATAGATCTCGAGATTTGTCTGGAGACTTCAAAGTATTGTATATATACATCTATATAGCAAAGCTTCCAGTCAAGCTAGGACTCAGAAAGAAGCTGTTGGTGTCATAGGCTAGCTACAGGTACTGAGAAGAGCGTTTTGCATCGGTCGAGTCGGGTGTCGAATAATATCCGCCACGCCTACAGCATGCCCACGCGATCGAAAGAAGTCTGATAGTAGCAGTGCCGTGACCACATCACCACCACAATTGAACATGGAAACGTCCTCGTCATCACTCTTGTCTTGGGGCAGCAGACCCACTTGCCTCCATGCATCACTCACAGTTTGTCGGGCCTCGTCCTTGACGCATGGACTGTTGGTTTGGGGCACGTGGTTCATGTCTCCGGGAACACAGCTGTTGGCGGCGTCGTCGCCTGCCGTCTGGTAGGATTCCAAGTTGGGCGAGTCCATACGAACGACACGCTGCTCAAGGACCCTCACAAGAGCTTCGGCGAGCCACTCCGCCTGCGCGGCCGACACCACGGTAGGGGTGTACCGCAGCTCCAGGTCCACGTCTGCAGCGCCCGGCTGGGCAATGACCCATACATCACTTGCATCTGCTGGCCTCCCGAGTCCGGAAAGGCGGCAGCTCGCTCCTCCCATCTCGAAATGCGTGGATCCATCGTCGAGGATCATAGCGTCATGATTCTGGTACACCAGAAGCGAGCTGAACCGCGTCCAGGATGGCCAGGCGGTGCAGTCACGAATGATGGAGCGGAAGCCCAGGTGCTGATGGGGTATCGAGGCGCGCTGCTGCTGATCGAGCTGCTGCACCAGAGCACGGAACGACGCAGCGACGCCGATCGCGGCCCGCACCGGGAGGATGTTGACGCAGGGGCCGAGCACTTGGTCCGTGGGCGAGTCTCTGTTCGCCGTGACCTGACCAAACACGACGTCGTCGCCACCGACAGCATGTGCGAGCACAGTCGCCCAGGCTGCCTTGAGCACGCTGGCCTCGGCGGCGGACGGTAGAAGCAGCGCGCGACGACCGACGGTCCGGCGCACGCGGGCACTTTGGGTGTGCAGGCGGCATGGGCCTTGCGGCGGGGCCAGCCAGGTCATGGCCGAACGGCGGAGCGTGGCTTGCCAGAAGCGGCGAGCCGCGGCAGCGTCGGGGGCGGCCGTCTGATGCGTGAGCCAGTCGTGGAAGTGCAATCCGGCGGCCAGCGGTCCGTTGCAGTATGCCGCGGCGACGTCTTGCACGATCATGTCGAGGTACAGGGCGTCGTAGAGGGCGTGGTGGATGTTCAGGCGGAGGCGGTGACACTGACTGCCGTGGCGCGAGAGCCGGTCCAGATGAAAGCCGGCGAAGCGGCGTCGCCAGAGCTCTCGGCGAGGACTGCGGCTGGTGGTGGCCGGGTCCGTGGCCGTATCGATGTTTCCCAGCACCACCTGGTACAGCGAATCGCCCACGGGCACAAAGGCGGTGCGCAGCGTTGCGTGCCGTGCCACGACCAGCTCGCACGCGCGGCGAAGACGAGCCGCATCCAAACCATCTGCACAGTCGACGTAGATCTCGTTGCTGAAGCCGTCGTCTGCCACCTCGCCGACGGCCAGCATCCACGCTTGCGCGTCGGTGGCCAAGGCCACGCTCTCGATGTCGGCCTCGCGCAAGCCGGGCGTACGCTGCACGACCTGACGGACAAGATGCTTGTGCGTCGGCTCGACAGGAGCTCCCTGCCCGTTCCCCGCCGTCGCTGCAACAGAGGCTGCCGCGGCTGCCAGCTCTCCCAGCACTGGCATCCTGAAGATGTCCGGCACCGTGAGCCCAAGGCCCTGCTTTCGCGCGGCCGCAATGAGACGCATGGATCTGACGGAATTCCCTCCGCGAGCAAACCAATCGTCGTCCTTCCCAATGGCGTCCACGGGAATGGACAAAACCTCGCTCCACGCGCGTTTCAGGGCCAGCTCGTTGCACGTGAAGCCGTCGACGCTCGGGTCGCCCATGGCTTGTGTAACCAGGCCCTGCTTGCCGTCCTTGTCGCCGCCGCCGCTTGCGTGGTAGCGTTGCAACTGGGCAAGCGGTATGCCTGCGCCGATGGCACGCAGGGCCTTCCTGTCCGTCTTGCCCGAGGATGTCGCAGGGAGGCGCCTCAACGGAACATAGATATCGGGAATCATATACGAGGGAAGTGCCGCGGTCAAGGCCTCTTTCAGCCAGTGCGCCTGCCCCGGGACAGCTTCGAGCAGGACCTCATCCGCGCGGCTGGCCGACCGAGACGCCGCCGTGAAAGCCATCAAAGCAGGATCCCGCTGCCCATCTCCGTGTCGCACCACCTCCACGGCCAACTGCGAGCCCTGCTCGAGGTGTCGCCTCAGATGGTACTCAACTTCCCCAAGCTCGATCCGTTGCCCACGTAGCTTGACCTGGTTGTCCTTCCTCCCCACAAAAATGACAGATTCATCAGGTTCCTGCGCAAAGATGTCACCAGTCTTGTACAGGCGTTGCTGTCGACCAACGCCGGGAAACTCTTTCATCCAACATGGTGGATCTATGAACACTGCCGACGTCACTTCCGGTTTGCCCAAGTACCCTCGAGCTACGATGGGCCCTTGAATTAGTAGCTCCCCGGGACACCCGAGTGGCACGAGTTTCTCGTGGTCCGAAGGCTGCACGATCCAGTACACGCACCCGTTCGGAGCGCCGACGTTCATGAAGTTTCGACAGCCGGGCCGCACGATGGCACAGCTCGATTCGATGGTGGCTTCGGAGGGGGCATAGGCGTTGACCAGGCAGACACGATCTGCCCATCTCTCCACAATCTCTCTCTGCATTGGCTCGCCTATCAAGGCTAAAGTCTGCAGCGTGGGCACATCTTCCGGCGAGAGTAGCATCGCCAGAGAAGGAGTCAGACAAATGAAGTTCGAGCGAGTTCTGTTGATGGCTTTGGCGATACCGATGGCGTCCGCTCGCTCCGCTTCCGAGGGAAGGAAAAGGCAGCCTCCGGAGAGGAGCGTCATGAAGATGTCACCGAGAGCTACGTCAAAGATGAAGTTGACGAACTGCAGCGTTTTGGTGCCATCTGTCAGTCCGAGCCGAGCGCGGTATGTGTTGGAACTAGTCGCGATGCTAGAATGGTTTACGACGATGCCTTTTGGCTCACCAGTGCTTCCAGAGGTGTAAACGATGTAGGACGCATCGGACGGTTGGACCCGAGGAAGCGGAAAATCCAAAGGTCTATGCAGGAGACTGCGGAGATATTCCATATCGATGGTGACAACGGTGCTCTTTGAGGCGCCCAATTTCTTGCGCCACGCGGGCGAAGACAGAATAATGGGACCTTCAATATCGGAAAGAATGCTTTCGACACGACGCATCGGGTGATTAATATCCATGGGTGCGAAAGCACCACCACTTTTCATCACGCTGAGCATCGTCACCACGGCGGCTGAAGATTTTTCGAAGAAGAATGGCACATAAGTATCGGCGCGCACCCCGTACTCGAGGAGCTGAACTCCCAGGCAATCGGAAAGGCGATCGAGTTCCGCATAGGTAAGGTCACCATCCCAAGCGCTCACGGCAAGTCTGTTGGGCAGATCGTGAGCCTGCTGCCGGATGTCCTCGTGGATGCAGGAGTCTGTGGCCGCGAGGTCGACAGCACCCCATTTCCGCATCATCGTTCGCTCATAAGCACTGAGCGGATCCAGCTGGCATACCGGTGTCCTCAAGTCGATGCCGCTTGCTAGCTGGAGAAGTGCATGCTCATATTGGTGGAGGATCACATCAGCCCGCACAGCGTCGAGAAACCGTGGGTCGAAAGCCAACTCCATTTGAATTGTATTATCCGCCTGGATGAGACAGGTAATCGCCAACCTTGCGCCATAGGTGCTTAGGTAGCTGGCAGCGGGTACGGTGCGGGAGCCCAGCAAGTCCACTGCAGTGGCGCTCCGGGAATTCCTATCGTCCACTTGGATGGAAAGGACGGTGTGGAACTCGCACGCGACATCTTCACCCAATGTTGCCGATTTGATGCCCTTGACATCTACCAGGGCAAATTTCGCCATGACTGATCTACATTTCTGTGCATGTTGAAGCATCGTTTCCGCCGTCGACGCGAGAGTCGTTCGCATCGTATAGGGGACGATGGCGATGCCACTGCCGGAATTGAGGCTACCCACTGCTGCATCGCCATCATTCACCTCCGTGGTCACACCGAAGGTTACTTGGTCATGGCCGGTCAGCCGGGAGACGCAAAGAGCCCAAGAAACTTGTAGAACGGCAGACGTCCAGTCATCATCTTTTCGTCTCGGGAGTGTCACTTCCAGACTTCGCGAGCGATCCATGAATGGCTGAAGGTTTGAACCATGAGGGGGAGATGGTGGAAACTCCGGAGCTTCTGCACTGCCGAGTAAGTGCGACTGCCAATACGACCGTATCTCCTTAGGCATAACATTCCGTGCTGATGGCTCACGGAGGCGTGCTGCCTTGGCAGCTTTCGGTAGAGATGGTTGACCGTAGTATGCAGAGTATAAAGTCTCAGACAGCATCCGGAGGTTATGGTCGTTACAGACGGCCCGATGGATGGTTGCGACGAAGTGCTCTTCTCCATTCGATTCTCTCACTCCTGCAAGTCGGAACAATGGCCCACCGAGGCGCGCCGCCACACTGCTGTCCCACATTGTGTATTCGGAAACACTGTCAACTTCCCGGCAAGTCAAAAGTGGCTTGGCAACGACTTGGAAGAGCTGGTCGTTCACCTCTACGATCCGGCTCCTCAGAAAAGGAAAAGTCGACTCCGCGATCTCCCACGCCCGATATAACTTGTCGTACCGTATTTCCGGGTTGACAGTGAGGACATGCTGTAACATTGCCCCACGAGGATTAGAGAGCGATGATCGGAAACAGTGGTCCTGAAACGGAGAGCAGGGGCGAATCTCCTCCACGCAGCTCGGTGGAAGTTCGCATTGAACGGCGGCTGCCTGTTTGGTTTTGTCCATGTCTTGATGTGGGCGAGTCGAAGGAGACTGAAACTCGTCCAACAAAACAACATCCATGCTTGACAATGGCTGCTCTGGACAAGAGAGGATATTCTCAATGACCACGGCAAGATAATTCGCAATCTCGGCTGCGAGATCTGACCGGAGCTTTCCAGGGTGGCACGAAAGGCGAGTGAGAAACTCATCTTTCGAATATGCCACCGCGACGGTGATGGGATACTGCGAGGCATCAGATCAGTTCGGACGAGCAACAAGACTACTTGATAGGAAACGTACCTCCGTGGGATCATCACCTTTGACAAGCTCGATCTTGACGCCAGACCCATCATGTACAAGGTCCTTCGGCCAAGCATGCTGGATCGACATGATAGTATTGAAAAGTGGAGAGATCCGCAGATCAAGGTGTTCGTGGATCTCACTCAACTTACATCCCACCTTTTCGGATCCTTGGGTAGTGTCTTCGCGTGCTTGGGCCATCAGCTCGATGGCATTAACGGACGGAGAATTCATGTCGAACCGGCAGACAAGCATTGTCAAGAGTGGCCCTAACATCTCGTGGGCATTCGGCAACGCATCTCGACCGGAATGCAGGCAACCAAAACAAATTTGATTTGTGGCCTCGTTGCAGTAACGTCTCAACACCAAGGCCCAGGCCACCTGCATGAAGCTGCTTACAGTCAACCCGTGCTTCTTGCAAAAGGAATGCAGCCGTTCAGCGTCCGTGAAAGGAACATCGACCTGCAATGTTGCAGGCTGTGCTGCAACACGGATATCTTCGGTGGGGATCAGACAAGGGCGAGCATGGGCAAGTCGCGAGAACCAGTATCGTACGGCTGCATCCTTTCGCGACTGGACCAGTGCGATGTAGTCTGAGAAATCTGGGCCGCTTGGGATCTGCGTGCCTTGCTTGTACGCGCGCGAGAGCTGCTCGACGATAAGATGCATGGTTATTGCGTCGATTATGGTATGGTCCATGTCGAAGACAGCGTACACCGCCGAATCGGAAGGCTTGTTGACCAGGGCCAGTCGGTGAGGTGGCGTTGGTCGGAGAGTCTTTTTAGGCTTGGGATATTCCCTCAGGAAGTCGGAGATGTCTCGATGGCTTCCAATTTCTTGTTCTACGATAACAGGCTTGACCTCGTGTAAGACGATCTGCAGGAAAGCAGTATCGTCGCATAGACCAGGGGCAAAAACTGTCCTGAGGATGGGATGGGCCTTGCAAACCGACTGCCAGGCGTGCGCCAGTAGTAGCCGGTCGACGGTTTGTGGAGGGTTGGCGGTGATCTTGAACGCAAATCTGTCACAATATTCTCCGCCGTTGCCTTTGAGCTGAGCGAACAAAATGCCTTCTTGGACGGCGGAACACGGATAGATCGATTGCACGTTGGCGACGGCCATGTCCATATCACGCAGTCGTCCATGGATCCTGTCCAGGTCGTCGAAAGTGGTGAGTGGCAGAAGAGGCAGATCGCTGAATGTGAACTGTGTCGCTTTCATTGGAAGTACCTCCGCAATGGCTACCAGATGTCGCTCCATGGACTTGACCCAAGCGGCGATGCGGCTTTGATGGGCCAGTTGACTGCTATATTCCGTCCAGAAGCATAGGCGTCTATCTTCGATGAAGGCGAACACACTCAAAAGACCGACTTGCTCAACCTCGCTAGCAATGTTCTGAATCTGAACGTTGCCCGGCGGCTGTCTCCATCTGATCGTTTCATCGCCGCCTGCCTGTCGTAGATTGGCAGCAAAGTTGAATAGCAATTCTATATCAGCTCTCCGCAAAGGATCTGGACCAGCGTGCTGATTTGCGAACCACTGCGAGTTCTCGAGCGACTTGCGATGACTGTCTTTGGTAGCAATCACAGCCTGATCGAGGGGAGCTCGATCATCAAAGTCCACAAACACAGGCAAGATAGTCGTGAACCAGCCCACCGTGCGAGAGAGGTCTACTGCGGTATGATCCGAGCCGCCTCTGCCATGGCCTTCCGTGTACAGAGCGGGGTTGCCTCGCTCGGCAAATGTCTTCCGGAAGGCCAATGCCGCCGCAGCGAGCATTAGCTCAGCTGGTCTGGTATTGAAAGGCTTGTTACAAGCATCTCCCATCAACCGCGTGGTCGAGTGTTCGTCCAAGGTGAATCGCATCTGAACCATGTCCCCTCTGCGCGGAGGCCGGTCCTGCACGTTCCAGAATTCGAGGTCCGCTTTGCCGCGCACCAGCTGAAGATTACATTTCGCCTTGTCGTCATCGACCTGATCGTTCACCCACGGGATGAACGGCGCCGCCGGCTGAAGAGACTCGGCAGGGCTTTTGAGAGTGGTTTCGAGATCCTCGAAGATGATCCTCCAACTCACCAAGTCGCAGACCAGATGATGAGCTACAAGGAATAGGCACCACCGCTCAGGCTGGCGGGGATCGTTGAACAGATCCACGGCGAACACTGGGCCACTTGTTATATTCAACGAGCTTTGTGTACCGGAGATCAGCTGGTCAACCTCAGTGTCGGTCGTGACGAGATGCGTTCGAAAGCGCCACGCATCTGCAAGAGCCCCGGGGCATACACATTGCTCCCAGGCACCTTCTGGGTTTTCCCGAGAGAAACGGGCACAGAGCATGTTGTGTGCGGCCACTACCTTTCCGAGGGCCGACTCCATTTCGCTTGCAGTGGCGTGGGCGGTCAGTTCCAAGAGCCATGACTGATTGAAGTGGTTGTTCGCAGCAGGCCCATCATCGTCGGTGAACAGCATTTGAACAGGAGACAAGGGCGCCTTTGCCGCGGTGGCTTCGTTCGTTGCCACGCTCGGCACGGACGGGTGTGCTTCTTTGCATTCTGCGGCGGCACCCGTCAGGCTCGTACTTCGCATAAGTGTCGCCACCGATATCTGCAGACCACGTTTTCGACATCGTGTTGCGACTTGCATGGCCATGATGGAATCACCTCCGAGGTGTAAGAAAGAGCATTCTCGTCCTATCTCATCTTCGGGCATTGCCAGGACGCTAGACCATACAGCGCGCAGAATCTCTTCCGCAGGAGATGCAGGAGAAGATGTTGAAGAATCAGCCAGGACCTCGGCGGATAGCATGCTCTCACCGGCAACATCTTTACCTTGCAGCCACTCGCAGATGGTCGTTCGATCGATCTTGTTCGAGGCTGCCCGGGGGATTTCCTGCACTGGGATCCACGCTGTTGGGACCATATATGCAGGGACCCTCGCTCTGACGTGGGCGGAGATGCTGCCGATCAGCGTCGACACAAGTTCCTGAAGGTTATGAGGATGCTTTTCCAGCGTTGCTCTTCCAGGGAGCTGTGGGTGGGACAGGGTGAGGACCGCAACCACTTCTGTCCGGCCAGATGGTGCCCTGTGCGTGGTCACGACGATGTTGCGCACGCCAACGCACGTCTCCAGGACAGTCTCGACTTCTCCGGGCTCGAAGCGCTGGCCTCGAAGTTTGATCTGGTGATCCTGTCTTCCCAGAAAGCAGATACTGCCGTCAGCGTTGTACTTGCCCAAGTCTCCGGTACGATAGAAGCGTCGAGCGAGCGTCATGGCGCTCGAGCGTCTTGGTGCCCAAGTCGGAGGATCAACAAAAGCTGCGGCTGTTTTGCCATGATCTTGCAGGTAGCCACGTGCGACAGTGGCCCCTTCGACGACAAGCTCGCCGACAGCGCCGACTGGGACTAGTCTGTTCACGTTCTCCGGGTCGGTGATCCAGATTGCGCAGCCGACTGGCGTGCCTATAGTCTCTGGGTATGGGGATGCTGGGCTCAGTTCAGCAAAAGCAGCAAAGATAGAGGTCTCGCAAGGGCCCCATCCATTGATGAAGCGGAGCTTGGAACCCCAAGTACTGGCGGCGTCTTGTGGGATACGCTCGCCTCCGGAAACGAGTGTCTTGACTGATGGCACATCGCCCGGCGCAAGATTGCGGATTCCGGTCGGAGTCTGAAAGACCCAATCCACGCTCGACGCACGGATGTAGTCCGCTAGGCCAGATTCCCGGGAGGTGTTGGAGGGGATACACAAGCAGCCTCCGAAGAGAAGAGCTCCGAAGATCTCGGCAATGCTTGCATCCCACACCTGAGCAGTAAACTGTAGCAGCCGCAAACCGCGCTGCCAGCCAACACGCGGCCCAATGGACGTCAGAGCTGTGGCGAGGGCACGATGCTCCAGAACCACCCCCTTGGGAACGCCAGTACTGCCAGAGGTGAAGATGATGTATGCGGCGTTGCCGGGCGTGGCGGCGGGCGCGAGATCTTGGTGGCGACTCTGGTTGATGCCGCCGTCGCCTCCACCGTCTGATGTGGCCACCGGTGGCTCCCCCATCATCTCCTCGGACACAACGACCACGGCTGGGCCTAGGCCTGCAGCCGTGCGGGTAAGAGCAGGCGATGTCAGGACAACGGCGGACTTCGTGCGCGACAGGATAGCCTCGTGGCGTGCACGCGGGTGGGTAGGGTCCAGCGGTACACATACGCCGCCTGCGATCAAAACGCCTAGTGTCGCCACCACCGACCACAGCGATCGCTCAAACAGGCAGGGGACCATACTTTCCCTCTGGACTCCGCGCTGGCGCAGCGTGTGGGCCTGCAGTTGTGACCCGCAAGGTTAGCTACTCATTCTCTCCAAGTCGTGCCATGGTCCTACGCTACTTCAGAAGGTCGGAGTACTCACCAAGCGGCGAGACTGGGCATGCAGCTCGTGATAGACCATCTTGCCATCCCATGCATCGATTGCCACCTCGTCCGGCTGCGCAAGTACAGTGCGGCCTACCATGTCATGCAAACACTCTTCCATGGGCTCGGCCACGGCAGCATTCCACCTGAGCGTCTGCAAGCGGTCGTGGGCGCTGAGCAGCACTATGTCTCCCACCCGGCTCTTGGGGCCAGCTTTTGCCAGTGTCCGCAAAATATGCTCCAGCTGCGTCAACACACGACCGATTGTCGCCGAACTCATGACGATGTCGTCGAACTCCGCATCCACTACTATCTCGTCGTCCCCAATAGTGCACGTGAGACATAGCGCAAAAGCTCGATGAACATCGTCCTCGCCATCGAAACGGATCATCGCTGAATTCGAGCTTGACTCAGCCGTGTGCCGAATGTTGAGCAATGTTTGGAATTCCGCCGCTTTTCTAGCCGCGTCGCTGGCCTTCCTTATGTTGGCCATTCCAAATTGGAGAAATGCGCCACTGGCCTGTATCTTGCGCCTAGCTTGTTGCCTCTTTCTGACCATGTCTTCTACACTGTCCGACCCATCTACGGCAACCTGGACAGGAACAGTTGCGATGGTAGGTCCTGAGGTTGTCTCAAGCCCGCCTAAAGATGGAGGACGTCCAGAGTACACTGTCCCGTATGCCACACTATCACCTCTTTGGTACACGTGTGCGGTCAATGCCCAGGCGCATTCGACATACGCCGGGAGCAAGGAAAGCACCACCTGCTGGCGAGGGATCCGGATCTTGCGGTTGATGTGGTTGTTTGCGTCCACTGTATGGCTTTTAGCTACCTCGGGGAAGATGCTGGGGCTACTCGTAAACTGGGCTGCCCAGAAATTTCTCGCCTTTGATTCCTCGATCGAGTTGACGTGCACGACAAAGTCCTTGAACGGCGCCCGCGGCCTTGGGCATTGCCCCTGGCAGATCTGCGCGACATCCGCAATCAGAGCTAGAGCGGAGGTGTGGTCGGATATGGAGTGATGCATTGTCAAGACCCATTTCTCGCCGCCTTTGGTGATGGCCGATCGAACCAGCGGCATTCCAAGCCCCATCGGACGAGACCTGTCCAGCCCTAAATACTGTTCCAGGCTCAGATTTGTCTGTTGCGTGTCCGTCGAGGTTTCATCTTTCAGTACCACCTGAACGATGCCCAAGTCGCAGTCTACTATGCGTGTGCGGAGGGCTGCGTTAAGGGCGATAACTTCGCGGACGGCATGGCACAGGCGGTCAATGTCCAATCCGGCCTTCAGAGAGAGTACAAAGCGTTGTACATAGGTCGCATCCCGTTTGTTTGAGTCTGCCGCAATTCCCATTTGGAAAGGGGTGCACCTGTACACATCCTCGATGTGCTCCCTGGGAATGCTACAGAGAGATGCTATCTCCTGCAGAGTGGTGCAGTCCAAGCCATCAAGCGCAGTTTTCCACGAAGACGGCATGATTGCGGCTTCCATGATGTCGAGGGATAGGTTCCTCAAGGTTGAGTGTCTCGTGTATGGCTGCTCTATGCCGCGCACGAACAGCTACTGAGGAGTCACTGTGACCCTGCTCGTCGAGTGTCAATCCGAGGGGGGGGGGTGTCATTGGAAGGCCGAAACAAACGTTTACATGGAAATCCGTCCTCCCCGGTCGAGAAGTAGGTATGTTGGGCGGAGCTCTGTTTGCGAAGCGGGACATACCCACGGGCTCTCTGATGCTTCACGTTCTTTATGAGTCCGGATGGAGGGATGGACGTCCCCGTGTTGAGCTTATTGAAAACGGACGGCACTGCTGCAGGTCTAATGCAGTGAACGACTACTTCATCGCTTTCGTTTAGGCATGCCGTTCAACGCCTGCAGCCTATACCCGTCCTTTCACAGCTGATGACCTGCAACCTGCGTCTCACCCACGTCACTAGATTCTATAATTCCACTCGCTTCTGACGGCGACAAATGACGGCGGCAGCTGGACTTCACCGCCTGTACCAAGTTCACGGCGCGCAGCAAACAATCCGATGCATTGATAATCCGCTCGCCCTGGCCTGAAAACTTGGCAAACACTGCTTTGGGAATAGTATTACCCTCACTTGTGCGCATCAGGCCGCAAGGATATGCCTGATGTCTTGGGATAAAAGTTCGATGCTCCCATCGATCCTGTGGAGAGACAGACTACCACCTCCATCATACTCCCTTCCTTCCGTACAGCCCTCACAGATGTCTGGGCCACATGACCACCAGCACCTCGACAGCGAGCCCATCGCAATCGTTGGGTATGCCTATCGAGCTCCTGGGCTGGGTCGCAGCGGCCTCTGGGAGTATCTGGCAGAGGCCAATTCGGCCTTCTCCCCAGTGCCTCCAGATCGATTCCAGCATGATGGGTACTACCACCCGAACTCCGAGAAACCCGGTTGTATCTCGTCCAAGGGTGGGCACTTCCTCCCCGACGACATATACGCCTTTGATGCTCCCTTCTTTAACATGACCGCCGACGAGGCGCTTTCTATGGATCCACAGCATCGTCTCCTGCTCGAGTGTGCCTTTGAGGCATCCGAGAATGCTGGCTGGAAACTCTCTGACATTGCAGGTTCCAGGTGAGCATGTTCGGCCTGAATATACACTGCTAGAAGCTCGCTCTCTGGTCGACACTGGATCTACAATGACGTTGAGATTGCTAATCTTCGATCATCTCTCTGTAGGATAGGAGTGTTCGCCGCAAACGAGAAGTCCGAATATGGCCAAAGGCTAGTTGACGACCTCCCCACGATCTCAAAGTACACGGCCACTGGTACTGCCTCCTGCATGTTCGCAAATCGGCTTTCATACTTTTTTGATTTGCACGGCCCGAGCGTGGCTGTGGACGCAGCATGTTCCAGTAGCTCGTACGCACTCCACTTGGCCTGCAAGAGTATCCGCTCGCGAGAGTGCAATGCGGCTTTTGTGGGTGGAGCATCCCTTATTGTCAGCCCCAACATGTGGGTTCTGTTGGATACGATGGGGTAAGCAAACACCCCTTCGTCAATCTCCCTTGGTATCGTACTGCTCGCTGAAAATGTGACTCGTTCAGCGCCTTGTCGCCGGACGGGAAGTCGTTCTCATATGACCGCAAAGCAAATGGATTCGGTAGAGGTGAGGGCGGTGCATGCCTTGTTGTGAAGAGGCTATCGGATGCCATTGCAGCCAATGATCCGATCAGAGCCGTTATCCGTAACACTGCAAGCAATCACTCTGGACGGACAATCGGCATCAGTACACCGTCCCAGCAAGCGCAGGAGGAGCTTCTCGCTCGTGTGCATCAAGAAATTGGCTTACCTCCTAACGAAACAACTTTTATTGAGGTACATCCTCCCGCGACTGATTTGTTTGGATAGCTACTGACGTGAGTCCAGGGCCATGGAACAGGCACACAAGTTGGGTATGAGATTCACGATGGGCGGACACACGTTCGAACGCAGTTAATTTTGCAAAAGCGATCCGATCGACGCTGGCGCCATAGCAAACATCGTTGCAAGGACAAGACCACCTTCCCAGCCGGTGTTCATCGGTTCTCTCAAGTCGAACTTTGGGTACGTGAACAGACAGGGACATGCTGTTCTCTTGAAGCGGTGAAGAAATTGATGGACTCGCTTCTGACGGCCCATCTCTAGACACTTGGAAGGCGCCAGCGGGGTCCTATCCGTCGTCAAAGCAGTAATGCTGATTGAGCGCCAATTCCTCCTACCTAATGCCTGGTTTGAGGAGCTTCATCCCAAAATTCGAGAGTACGAGAAGCTGAGGGTATGTACACCGAGTCTTGTCTCGTCTTGTCCCACAGGTCTAATGAATTTCAGGTCCCACAAACGGTGACACCTTGGCCAGTTGGCATGAAGCGACGTGTTTGCGTGACAAACTTCGGTAAGATTGCCGAACTTCCCACGTTCTCATAAATAGAATGTGGCCCATATCGATGCTGCCGTGCTGATGCGAAAGAAGGATTCGGAGGCAGTAATGCCGCCGCCCTCCTCGAGGATTTTGAAGGCTGCATTCCGACTGACGGGCCCCTTGGCAACGGCATCTGCGCCAAGGGAGCGGCAACAAACAGTTTCGCCGCAGACAGACACAATGCCACTGGAGAAGTCCTCGATGGACATGTAACGAATGTAACTTGCTCGAATGGCCCAGAGCCTACCAAGCCCACAGCGGACCTGACAGCAGAGAAAACTCGGCTTGCAGATGGAATTCATGCCCACCCTTCGCGGCTTTTCGTCTTTTCGTCGAGGACCGAACTTACTCTTGCTTCATATTTAACATCATTTCATGACTACCTACAGACCGTACTACCGCTTCCGGACCTCCACGACCTGAGTTATACTCTTGGACAGCGAAGGACCTACTTCCCGAACAGGGTGTCGATCGCGGCCCGCTCGGTGACAGATCTCCGGGAACAACTTGCAAACTCGCGTGCGTTGAAGGCAGAAAAAGCAAGGGACCACAAAATCGCCTTCGTCTTCACTGGCCAAGGTGCTCAGTAAGCTTGTAATGCCCAGGCCATGCCGAAGCACTTCACTGACCTCCTTGCGAGATATCCCCGAATGGGAGTGGAACTTTCCCGCCACCCGATCTTCTACCAGACCCTGCAAGAAGCAGATGTATGCCTTACTGAGTTTGGAGCCTTGTGGTCGCTTATAGGTGAGTGGTGATAGACCTTGCACGGTGAAGCACACTAAATCAAGCCAGACGAGTTGGCGAAGGGGGAATCCGAGACTCGAATTCACGATACGGAGGTCAGCCAGCCGGCATGCACCGCCATCCAAATCGGACTGGTACATCTCCTTCGTCAGTGGGGGATCCGGCCAGCAGCCGTGGTTGGTCACTCGAGTGGAGAGATTGCAGCCGCCTACACTGCAGGATTCATTACGTTCAAGGCGGCAATGGCCATTTCTTACCACAGGGGACAGGCCGCTGCCCGGATCCATCAGGAGCACCCAGACCAAGGGGCGATGCTGGCACTCGGTATCGGCGCTGAGGGCGCCGTAGCATTGATTGAGAGCGCGTCTCAATCGACGGGCGGAGCGGCCGCGGTTCTCGCCGCAGTCAACAGTCCCCAGAGCGTGACGGTGTCGGGAAATGTTCAAGCCATTGCCGCCGTAGAGAGGGTTGCACAGGAGCAGGGCCTGTTCGTGCGAAGATTGAAGGTTGCTGTCGCCTACCACTCCCAGTACATGGAAGCTGTAGCTGCCTCCTATTCGGCAGCAATCACAGCATACTCACCAAGCACGTCTCATTCAACGGTCGCACTCATATCTACCGTTACGGGCGTTCAGCAGCATGCTGAGACATTCAGTGCATCTTATTGGGTCCGAAATCTGGTCCAACCAGTGCAATTCCTGGCTGCCATCAATACCCTTCTGAGCACTTTGGGGTCGAGCTCAAATACTCCTACGGTGCTTGTTGAGATCGGCCCTCACGCCGCGCTCAAAGGTCCTATTAGCCAGATCCTGCAGTCACCCTCAAACCAGATCCCTGGAACGATCCCGAAGCCGACATACGTCTCAGCGCTCGTACGAGGATCTTCCCCCGACCGTACAGTCGTGGAGCTTGCCGGGAGATTACTCGTCCTGGGCTGTAGCGTTGACATCGCCCAGGTCAATGGGACCAACGATAAAAACGCTCACGTAGTGACCAATCTACCATTGTATGCCTGGGATAGGACGATTCGATACCAGCACACTTCACCTGTGGCCACGCAAAAAGCGCATCCCGGTCAAGCCTACGATCATCTCCTGGGTTGGAAGTGCCCATCAGTGGGCAATGAGCAGGTGTTCCGGCAAGTCTTCACACTCGATGAGATGCCGTTTCTTCGAGACCACAATATCGCCGGCGAGGTATTGTTTCCTTTCACTGGATACCTCTCACTTGGTATAGCTGCTGTACGAGCACTGACCTCCTCAGACACTCCTCCACGCAGCGTAGTGGCCAAGGAGTTGTACGTCAAACGGGGCCTCCCTATCAAAGAGGAGCAGAGAGTTGACATTGCAACCAAGCTGAGACCGGCTGAAACCGGTATCGAGGTGGCGTCTTCTTCTGTGTGGGCCTTCGATGTTGTCTCGTGGTCCACCGGCATTGGTTGGACGATACACTGTTCCGGTCAGATTGAAGCGTCTACCCAGCCAACAGCTTGCACCAGTTGGACCATGCGCCAGACGGAGCAAGCTCTGACAGACCCCCGGCTCCGTGAAGCGGACGCTGAGCAAGAGTACAAGCTTCTCGACCAAACGGGGGTCAGATACGGGCCGCAATTCAGGACCATGCGAAGGCTGTGGGCCACTACTGGTCTCGTGGTCCACGAGACGGAGTTGAGAGACATGCCGGAATTCATGCAAGATACATCGCCCATTACTGTCGATGCGCCTACGCTGGACTCTTTCCTCCACTCCATAGGGAGCATCCAAGGGGCCGGAGTTGCTCGGCGAGTATTCGTTCCCACTTACTTCAAACATATTCGAGTTTCCAACGAAGTGCCCGCCAGGCAGAATCAACGTTTCACCATCGTCACGAGGCTGCAGGAGCTGGATCTTCGCACCGGTACCATGCGGGTTATGGTGAGCGTATTCACGAAGCCCCAAGCGCCAAACGAGACTCGCATCCCGATACTCGAGATTGAGTCCTTTACTTTGAAGTCGATCACCGAGCCGAACGCTGAGAAGCTGCTGCGGCAGCTACCAAAAGGGTTCATTGAACGGCTTGTGCCTTCCGCAGCCTTTCTCGCAGAAGATGACGTCGTGAGATTAGTAGGTGAGCAACCCTTCGGACAGGAGGACATTGATCACAGGCAACAGTTGAACGAAGTCGGCGCCTACTTCATGGCTTGTGCTATCTTGACTCTGTCGAAGGACCAACAAGACCGGCTGCCACCTCATCTGGCTAGCTTCGTACTCTGGGCGCAAGCTCTGGTCGCACAGCCTTCGACACAAGAGATGCTGAAGTCGAGAGATCCAGGGTCGTTGGTCAGAGAGGTCCGAAACGCCAACGCCAAGGGCGAAATGCTCGTCGCCATCGGCGAACAGCTTCCTGCCATTCTGAACCTCGAGCTGGAGCCGCTCGAGATCATGCTCAAAGACGGCCTCCTCTCGCGTAATTACGAGCAGGATACTAGTGCAGTCCGCTGCAATGCTGCGTTGGCCAGGTATGCTCGAGTTCTCTCCGATTCTAACCCAAACCTGCGTGTGCTGGAGATCGGCGCTGGAACTGGCAGCGCGACCCTCGGGATCCTAGAGTCGATGTCGCACGAGCTGCAGGACACACCATCATTCCAGAGCTACACTTTCACCGATATATCCCCTGGGTTCTTCGAAAACGCGAAAGTCAAGCTAGCGCGTTGGTCAAATTGGATCCGATATGAGAAACTGGACATCGGCGAAGACCCGCTTTCTCAAGGCTTCGAGTCAGAGACATACGATCTGGTCGTGGCCTCGAACGTGCTGCACGCTACTGCCGACATGAACAAAACGATCTGCAATGTATGCACGTTGCTCAAGCCTGGCGGCAAGTTACTGCTGATGGAGAACGTCGCGCATCAGCCCTGCAATATGCCCTACGCTCTACTGCCAGGCTGGTGGGTGGCTCACGACGAATATCGTGCGGGTTCGGGGCCGCTCTTATCCGATGGATCGTGGGAGCGACTTCTCTCTAACAATGGGTTCTCCGGCATCGATGGAAGCATTGCGGATTATCCGGGTACGGCAGTACATTTGATGAAGGCTCTATGGGCGACGAAGGTGCAGACGCTTGCACGAAACAGCGACGCCGATGACCATTTCGAAGTCGCCATTACAGGTCAGCTGATTGGCAATGAAACACTTGAACTGATTGAGGCATTGGTGGAGCAGGCTGATCAATCCATGAACGGTGCAACACTCTATACAATGATGTCGGAACTACAGGATCCGGACAAGTCCCTTTGTATCTTCATTGACAGCCCACAAGCCAGTGTCCTTCAAGATGTCAGTGAGCCTGATTTTGAAAGCCTAAAGGGGTTGCTCACTGACGTGAAAGCGCTTGTTTGGGTCATCCTGGAGAAAGCTCGACCAGAAGCGTATACAATCAAGGGCCTCCTGCGAACTCTCCGCCTCGAAGATGCTTCGAGAAGTCTGTTGCTGGTGGAAAACGTGCCGAGCACGACGGACGGTGCTACCGCGGTCATGTCGCTTGCACACCGCTTGGCATCGACGCAGGATCATAAACGTTCGCTCATGGACCAGGATTTCGTGTGGGATAACGAAAAGCTGCTCGTTCCACGTCTGACCCCGTCAGTGGCGGCGAGAAACACGCTGGCCTCAGAGTCTGGTCTTATGGTCAAGGAAAAGCAGCCTATGTGGAACGAAAGCAAGGACGCCTTCGAGATGACGGTTGATGTAGCCGGCAGTCCAGACTCCATCTACTTCCGTCGAAGTGATACACTTCAAATTACTGGCGACAACGAAGTCATAGTCCGAGTAGAAGCCGTCGGTGTCAATTTCCGCGATCTTCTCCTGGTCTTGGGCTCAATGCCTTGGAGTGGCCCTGGCCTCGAAGGCGCCGGCAGAGTACACGCCGTGGCGCCGCAAGTCAAGAATCTGAAAGTAGGCGATCGGGTCTTCTACATCTCTAGCGAGAACGGGTACGCCAACTACGTGCGGCTCCCTTTTACTAGCATCCACAGGATCCCAGACCACATCAGCGCTGTCGACGCAGCGACTATGCCAATAGCCTACAGTACAGCACGCGTATGCTTCCAGCGAGCACGCCTGCAAAAAGGAGACACTGTTCTCATCCACGCGGCATCAGGGGCAGTCGGACAAGCCTGCGTCACAATGGCACAGCATTTGGGAGCGTCTCGGGTATTCGTTACCGCAGGCACAGCGGAGAAGAGAGCATTCTTGGGCGACAAATTCAGCATCCCGAAGGACGACATCTTCTCCAGCAGAACGGCGAACTTCAAAGACGGGATACTGTCCGCCACGAACGGCAAAGGAGTGGATGTGATTATCAACTCACTCAGTGGCCGTCTGCTGCAGGACACATTCGCGCTGACTGCCGATTTTGGCCGCTTCATTGAAATCGGACGGAAAGACTTTCTGCAGAACAGTCATCTTGCCATGCGTGCGTTTGATCATAACGTGACCTTCGGCGGAGTAGACCTTTATAAGCTGTTTACGCGAAAGCCGGAGGTGTTGCAGGATTGTCTCGCGGAGATTTCTCAATTACTCCTAACTGGCGGCATTGGACCTATCCGACCGGTCACCGAGATATCCGTAACCAATCTGTCTACGGCACTGAGAAGGTTGCAGTCAGGGCAGAACATGGGCAAGATTGTGACGACGATGGATCAGGACGCGATGGTGCTTGCACAGGTCGCTTCTGGTCTGTTGCCAAGACGACAGCTCCTGCATCCAGATGGAACCTACCTGATTACCGGCGGGACAGGTGGAATCGGTCGAGCTTTGGCTTCCTGGATGGTGGATAATGGGGCGCGGAATGTTGTCCTGCTTGGCCGCAGCGGCTCTTCGCACCCCGAGGTTGCACGGCTCCTTGGTCAGATTCGATCATCGTCTCCGAACGTGTGCATACGAGCCATTGCCTGTGATGTCGGTGTGCGCGGAGATGTTGAGACTGCGATGGCGGCTGTATCCGACCTGCCTCGTGTCAAGGGAGTGGTACATGGTGCCTTATTCCTTCGGGTGAGTACATTTCGATTTTCACTACCAGCTGGGATACATACTGACAGCGGCATCGTTCCAGGACGCCATGTTTGTCAATTCCAGCTTCGACGACTGGACGAGTATCACGGCTCCAAAAATCCAGGGTGCTTGGAATTTGCACGACATTCTCCCCAAGGACCTTGACTTCTTCATCTCGTTGGCTTCTATCGATGGCGCGATAGGCCACGTTGGGCAAGCGATTTATGCTGGAACTTCGGTAAGTCTGCTACGGCGACAACGGAATCATTGTAGTCAGCTAACTATGTCTCCGGGATAGACTTTCTTGGACGCCTTCTCGCAGTATCGCAACAGCCTCGGATTGCCCGCGGTCTCCATCGGTCTTCCTGTCGTCGAGGGCATTGGCTACGTCGCTGACCGTGATATTGGCGATGCACTCAAACAGTCGATAGGGTTGACGCTGGCAGAGACGCATGTGTACACTGCCGTGAAGGGCGCCATCGTAGGTCCCTCGTCGGGTCTATGCGCGAACGCACGCTCGCTCGTAGCGACATCAAGTCCCGTCATAAACACCAACGGGTCGCTGCTACCGTGGGAGCGCTTTGATATGCTCGCAGCACTTCGAACCGCGCCACTGTCCCAAGGAGACTCGCCCAGCACCACTCCCACCCATTCCGACCAATCTACGCTGCTGGTGAAGATGAGTAATAGTGGTGATGCTATGCAGACGCTTCTCATTGCCCTGATGGATAAGGTCGCCTCGATGACCATGACGGATCGCGACGAAGTTCGACCGGATCGTGGTTTGGTGGATTACGGGCTCGATTCACTCGTGAGCGTTGAGCTACGTAACTGGATCCGTCGTGAGACTGGCGTTGAACTGGCGTTGACGGCCATTGTAGGAGCTGAGAATTTGCGAGCACTAGCAGAGCGGACACTGGCGCAGATGAAAGTGCAGTAGATAGACTGGCTGCTCTCTCGCCTCTTGTGCACTCGCCAGCTACGTAACGCTTGCCCGGCTATCGCACGACAAAAGGCGCGTGATCATGATGACTGAGCGTTATAGCGCTTGGAGCAGAGGAGCCGAGACCCATCAGCGCGAAGACCCATAGGTCCGGCAGCCTGGCGACGTTGGAACATGCATGCAAGTACAGTAGAAGGAAGGAACGGACAAGAGCTCCGGCAGTAGCGTAAAAGCTAGATACGAGACTGGTAAACACAGAAATATGAAACTACCTCCGCTAAAGATCGACAATCTTGCTTTGCTGGCCTTGCAGTCAATCGTCTTGCTAGCCCTCCTCTCCTTTCTAATCACGTTTCTTCACCCAGCCTGTCCGCTTTCCATCTTGCCTCAAATCATCCAGAACAACATCAGCGCTTGCCCTCTTCCACCGACATGTTGGTCGCTTATCAACACACCGCCGTCTTGGTCGCTCTTCTCCTCATACCCGTACTTTGTCTGCTACTCTCCCGCCGACGCCCCTACCCTGGCATTCCCATTGCGCATTTCGAACGTAGAGGTCTCCAAAAATGGATGCCCGCCAAGTTCGCCTTTATGCAGCGGCCTGGAGAGCTCCTGTCCAAGGCCTCGGAACAGCATCCCAACCGTTGCTTCCAAGTAGCCGCAGCCTCCGGTTACAAGATTATCGTGCCAAACAGATTCGCTAACGAGCTGCGGAATCATCCAGACCTAGATTTCAATGAGGCTACGGCAAAGGACTTCTTCGCACATTACCAGGGTTTCAATGGAGCAGGTGTGTTTGTTGGCGCGAAGGACAATATTGTCTTGGATACGGTGCGGTACGCTGAGCCTCGAAGGTCGACATGTGGTAGTGAATTGTGCAATTGACCTGTTACATCCACTGCATTAGGATCAAGCTCAACCAAAACCTCGATCTTATCACAGACAGCCTGGTTGACGAGACGGGGGAAGCTTTCCGGAATGTGTTTGGTTCAGGATCGAACGAAAGCCCGCGCATTACTCACATCAAACAGCATATGTTGCACATCGTGGCCCGTCTCTCCTCGCGTGTGTTCTTGGGAAAAGCCTTCTCTCGGCACGCAGAGTGGCTCCGCATAGCAGAGCAATACACGGTGGACATCTTCAGCGCCTCGATGCTGTTGCATATGATCCCGGCTCCACTGCAACCTTTGGTATGCTGCTTCATACCTGCTTACTGGAGACTACGTGGGCATTTGCGTGGAGCGCGCCGGCTGATTGAACCGGAACTCTACCGGAGACAACCGTCCCTTGAATGCGCCGAGAAGCCTGCAAGGATGGAGGACTCGCTGTCATGGATGGAAGATGTCGCCCAAGGCCGTTCATTTGACTACGCAGCCGGGCAACTTGGTCTAAGTGTGGCAGCCATACACACGACATCGGAAATGGCGACCAAGGCTGTTCTGCAGCTGTGCGAGAATCCGGAGGTAGTGGCTCCGTTGCGCGAGGAAATCATTAACGTCTTGGGCCGGGAGTCGTGGTCGAAAAACGCTGTGGCGAAGATGCATTTGCTGGATAGCTTCTTGGAAGAGGTTCAGCGTATTCATCGGGGCGGAATCGGTAAGTCTTGCTGGTCGAGAGCGGACTCTCTGTGGATTGGGCGCTGACGATGGATGTGTGATCAGCATCGATGCACCGCCTTGTTAAGAGAGACGTGGTACTTTCCGATGGCTTTGTGATACCCAGAGGTGCAACTGTTCTGGTCCGCGAGTGCCTCGACTACGGCGAGCCTGACTGGAGCATTTTCAATCTACAGCGGCATATGAACATGCATCCCAGAGTCCGCTTCACATCCACATCACCCGCAAACATGGGCTTCGGTCACGGAAAGCATGCCTGTCCAGGTAAGCCTATTGGTCCACACCTGTTCGATCCAGCTAAAGTCGTTTCGTCAAATAGGCAGGTTCTTCGCGGCTCTTGAGCTCAAGATTGTTTTGTGCTTCTTCTTACTGCATTACCAAGTAGCGTTCCTGCCTGGAGAAGGTCGGGTGGCTGAGATCGAATTTGAGCATCAGCTTGTTACGCCTCCAGACATACGCTTGGAGCTCCGCGAGCGACAGCCAGAAATTGCTCTATTGTAGAGCGCAGGCGTTAACGTCTAGCAAAGCCAACTGAATTTCTACTACTTCTGGATATTCAAGTCTCTACCTTGACTGTCTCTGATACCTAGCCTAGATCGATTCGATTCGATGTCAGTGGAAACTTTCTATTATCAAATTTTGAAGCACTATAAATTGCAAGCAGCTCCCTACGTCATCCAATCACGCTTCTCACAGCCTGTACGTTCGATCGGAATTGATTCGGTTCGGGCAACTCTAACGAGAAAAAATAGTCTTAGCTCAGCGGTAGAGCGCGTCACTAGTAATGACGAGGTCGTTGGTTCGTACTGTTAACAACTGTTCTCGATAGACATCCGCTAACGTGTTTGAAGGTTCGATTCCAGCAGGAGGCATCATTCTTTTGCACCCTAGAGGTGGTGTGTAATCGATTCTGGGAGGTCTTGGGGTGATAGGTTGGTTTTTGGGGGGAGGTGTATGGAAGTGAATTGGTTTTGATTTTTGGTGTTTGTGTGGGATGGGGAGGGGATAGGCTCGAATCAACCCATTATGAAGGCCATCCCAGGCATGTCTTTACTTTTTGTAAATTCGCCTGAATCGATCCCAGCAAGGGACAGCGTATTATTTGGCTTTTACCCTCGTCTTGATGTTGAGGGGTGGTTGGAGAATCGATGGCGTTGATTTGGGCTGTGAGCGGGACTTTTTGGGGTTCCTGCGGCACGCTTTTTTGCTGTTTCTGTTGCTTCTGGGCTCGATGAGAGTGCTCTGGAATAGCTTGCGAGGTGTGGGGGATCATTGGTGGTGGTGTGATTGAGATAGGGGTCGATTTTGGTCGATGAATCCCGTCGACGGAATCGATGCAATTCAACAATGCAATGACTACGAACGTCGTATCTACACGCTCTGGCTGCCACTATGCTGCTCAGCGTCGTCAGACATTCCAATGTCAATACACATTTAGTTTGCCGCAACTAAACAGCAGCTACTGCAGGTACAGGACCTATAGGTGTTGAGCCACAGCACTATTGGGTATGATGGCTCTGCTGGCCCGCTCGCAATGGAAGCAAAGCCACTTCAGAGCTCGTGTGGACGTTCTCAGACATAGCATTAATTGCTAAAGACGTTCCAAGGCACATGACCGTGAAAATGGTGCTTGTGTTGACACCGGACAAGACTTGGTTACCAATGGTCTTTAGTATGCACCGAAGGGAACGACAGTGTCGATTATCGACGGTTTAGAGGAGAGGAATCGATCTTTTGAACGTGCTTTTGAGTTCGAGCTACGCTTCTGTCATCGACGAACCCGTGAGATTCGAGACCTGCTCTACGGACGACATGTCTTAACGCTTTTTGATCGCTGCGACGTCGTCTCCAAAGCGACGACCGCTGACACATGTATTTATTCCTCGTCTTCCTCTTCCGCACCGTCGACCTCTTCGAGATCATCCTCGGCCGGGACGGCGCCAGCTACCTCCTTCTTTGCAGCAGCGGCTGGGGCACCGGACTTGGCTGTCTCGTCAGCGCCCTCGTCGTCCTCGCCATCTTTAGCTGGAGCTTCGTCGTCCTCTCCGTTTGCGGCATCGTCGTCGTCGTCCTCGCCTTCGACATCTTCTTCGTCGTCACCGGCGGGCGCTGGCTCTTCAGTTCGTCGTTTCTTGGCCTTGGGAGCTGGGGCGATCGTTAGCGAGGTGATAATTAAGCGATTGTCAGCTCATGGACTTACGCGGAGCAGCATCTTCCTCTTCCTCATCCTCTTCGTCGTCATCCTCGGCGTCTTCGTCATCATAGTCGTCTTCTTCGTACCTAGCGTTCGTTGTCAGCAGCATTCCAATGCTTCATCGACCAATTGCGACGGTAGCACGTCGACGACGACGATCGACTAACCACCGATCTCGACAAATCGATCAATGCCAATTCGCCGCCGTCGCGCGACCGCAACGACGACAAAACCGCACACTCGCGACAACGCGTTGTGCCCCTGAGTGACGTCAAATTGAGAGCGATACTTACTCCTCTTCCTCTTCATCATCGTCCTCCGGAAGCTCCTGGAGCTCCTCCTCCTCCTCCTCGGCCTCCTGCTTGCGCTTGCGGGTAGCCGTAGACATGGCGGTGGGTATAGAGAGAGATAGACTGGTAGAGAGAAAGGTGTATAGGAGAGCGAGAAGAGGGGAGAAAGTGAGGGAGAGCTTACGAGGAGACGGGAGACTCGAGCAGCTGGACTTGGGGAGCTCGGGGATCCGCTGAATCGCTTGCTGCGTTGCGAGGCGGCTGGGCCAGGACGGCTGGGGAGGTCGTGGAAGCTTGGGCCGCACGCGTCATTGGGTGAGCCAAATCCCTCCTTGGACGAGCACGACGAGCCTCAATCACGTGCAATCGTCTCATCGACCGGCACGTGTCTCGTAAACTGGTGGCACAGTCTTGTCTTGTGGCACGGAAAGGGGGATGCGTTTCCGACGAGTCAGCAACTGATACTGAGAGTATGATATGAAGATCAGTGACCTGTCAAACTCCTGGATGGACTGCATGATGAGTGAGTGGCACAGGATCAGACCGCTCCCACGTGTGAAAATCTCGTACTGCTGCTGCGATACCATCAACGAGCCCCAAGGATGTTAGAGATGGCTATGAGCAGCGTTCACTCACCGAGTCGAGGGTTCAGCATAGCCTTGCGCTCCGGTATGGATGCTCATAGCCCGCGCAGACGTGAAAGTCGCTTTGATGTCTGCTCTAGGGAAAAAAATTTGATCAAAATTCGGCAGCGGCCATTGTGTTTCCCTACCGGCTCCGTAAGCGACTAGCATTATTCTGAGACACGGCAACAACATGTCCATCTTGGTGTACAATTCAAAACCAACAATTGATAATCAGACAACATTTCTGGTCTTGTGAGTCTCGTATCGTGTAATGGCCAAGACCACGTAGCAGGGGTAGTACAGAGATGAAAGGTAGGGAAAGAGCGCATCTCAAAGTCGTAGCTTCTTTCTCTGCATCATCGATAGACTTTAGTTCATCAATACAGCATCAGAAACTATCAAAGGATGCATCTCCTCGTGTTGGGGGCTACAGGTGAAGACTTGATGCTTTCCACCGTAAGCAAAAAAGCACATCATCTGACGGAGACGAACAGGCCCCTCAGGCATCGCCTTCGTAACAGAAGCACTCCAAGCCGGCCACGAACTCACAATCTACGCCCGCAATCCCTCCAAACTGCCCCAAGATGTCTCCAGCAACAGCAATGTTAAAATCATCAAAGGCACCTTCGACGACATGGACTCCACCCGCGAAGCCATTCGTACTGGCGCCACAGTCCTAGTCTCTTTCGCAGGACCAGGTGTACCGAATAAAGGAACGGTGCGTACATCTCTACCATCACGGATTGTTCTATGTACTGATGATTATGTTCCAGCCCGTAACCGAATTCTACGAGAAACTCTTCCCCATGATCCTCCCCGACCCAGAAACGAAAATCAAACGGACCCTCTGCTGCACGACACCCTCCTACAAGATCCCCGACGACAAGCCTTCGTGGAAGTGGTGGTTCTGTGTCCTAGCGATCTGGTTGATTGGAGGAAGTGCTTACGATGAGGTGAATGGGATCGGGCGTGTGGTTTCTGCATTGCCATTGAGTGAGATTGAGTGGACATTGTTTAGGTGAGGACGATCCCGTTGAAGTAATGGAGGACGGGTGCTAATGCGATGGTGAAAGGGTCCCGGCTTTGACGAATAGCGAGGCCAAACCTGTGCGTGCTGGAAATGTTGGTGAGGGGAAAGACGGTATCATCCTGAGCCGCAAGAGTATCGCGGTGTGGGTTCTGCAGGAGTTGCAGGAGAAGAAATGGGTAGGCAAGGCGCCTGCGCTATGCAATCCTGGCTGGATATGAGGTCATTGCGAAGGCTTCGCTACTCTGAAGAGCGATTTGAACTGATCTCTACTCTATAACATGAATTCACCTTTATGAGGTCACCGCTTCGGTGTCCGCTGGCTGTGATATCTCTCGGGTCTTCATCGGAAGACTGCCAGCTTTACGATTGCCCACGATCTTCGCGTTCACACCATGCTGGGGGCGACCAAGTTCAGCGGCAATAGCTTTGGCAGTCGTACCCTCGAGATACAATTCTTTCAGTCTCGTCTCTTCTTCAGGAGTCCAGGAAAAATATCTCTGTGGCTCGTTCGACTTTCCGATTTCGCGCCCTTTGAGTATGTGGACCTTTGCCTGTACTGACGCCTTGGTCCGGCCCACTTCCTCGGCGATCTGGACAACGCTCTTCCCTTCATCAAGAAGCCTCTTAACATTGGCTTCCTCCTTACGAGTCCAGGCGCTTTGGCGGTTGCGTCCATTGTGGGTCAGCCAGTACCTAACAACATTGGTTTTCTGATTTAGAGCAAGGGCGATTTGCGGCGCAGTCATCCCAGAGCTTGCCAATTTGCGCATTTCCTCGCCCAGGTCCGGGGAAACCCTTTCATCCACGCCGAGGCCTTGCAACACGCTGTCTGCCGCCTCAGCATCAATCTCTCTGTGACCTCCCCTGACTAGACCATGTACATTGAGCTTCCACCTGACCTGATGAGCCGTGCGATCGAGTCTCTCTGCGATGGCTTGAGTCGTCCTGCCCTCCTTGTACAAATTGAGCATCTCTTCAATATCTCTGCGAGTCCAGGCCCTGCGGCCGTTGTTCGTTCTGACAGCCTTGGAAGGCGTGTCTTTCGTGCGGAGTTCAAACTCCCAGCGCGACTGCAAGGTTCGAACAGACTTCGAGGGAAAGTGCTTGGCGATCTCGCTCCACCTGAGTTTCTCGAGCACGAGTTGCGCCAAAAGCAGATCTTCTTCCGGCGTAAAGCGTGTCTCTCGTTGCGGGTCGAGGAAATGCGCAGGGTCACGAATGAACTGGCGGATCCTGGCCGGTCCATGGCCCTTTCCAATGCTCTCATCGATTTGCTTAGCAGTTAGGCCTTCGTCGTGCAACTGCACGGCCCTGCGTACGTCTTCCGGAACCAATGGAATACCTTTACGGTGAGCCCTTCTTAAATCTCGCGCTTCTTTTGCCAAAGGTCCGTCCCCATGAGCGAGGGTATTCATGTGGCCAATAATACCCAGGGTAGTTCTGCCTTCCAGATGGAACTTCATTTGGGACCATTTGACCCCTCTCTTGCGCAACGCAATCAGCTCTTTCTCTTCTTCCGGTGTCCAAGCCTTGGCTCCAAATCGACGGGAGACGAGGCTCGGGCTTTGGTAAAAACCTCGTCGACCGAACGAGATGTAATCTTTGGGGAGGTGGGTGGACTCGGCCAATATCGCTGGTACATCGTTTCGGTATAGGTGTCTGGCCCGCGAGCCCACGAGGGCTGCTCTATGGCAAGCAATCTGGAACCATGGCATTGAGCGCTACCTTGAGCTAGCTGTAGCCTTTCTTTCACGGTGAAGAAGTTGCATGTCATGCAGGATAAACATTCAACTTCCAAGTCGCGTGAGGAGGACGATTCGACGTTTCTTCAACATCGATGGCGCTAGCATGTGAGAGGCTAGCGGCGGGCGGGATGACATCACGCTACACGCCTTCACATGTTCCTGCATCTGCCATACGTAAACGCCTTTCTTTGTTCGGCGCGCGTACTCAAGCGTTCTCATCTATGATGAAACAGTTGCGGAGCCAACCCCTACCGTCATTAATTTTTGAGAGTACCTGCGTTTCATAAAAATGGACGTCGACGGTTCAACAATCGCCGACTTCCTTCCTATTCCGGATACCATGGCTCCAGTAACAGACCCGGACAAGACTGAGTCAGCCAACTCTCTCACTGAGAGGCCAACCTCGAGTCATGCGTTGGCTATGGCAGATCACGACGAGAAGGGCGCTGCCCAGGAAGTTCACGATGAGGAAGTCAAGGACCTAGGCTGGACGGTCGACAACGAGAAGATTCCCAACCCGTTGGTGGGTGGCATGCCTAATGAGGACCTGTGGGTGTTGGTCCGGAGGTTTAACAAGGTCAGTAAGCATGCCTACATTCAGCACCAGGAAGAAACGATTCGCGCCACATCTTCTATGACCGTTGAATCATGTCCAATACTATCTGAATATGCTGACATGTCCTAGCAAATGTACCACGTCAAAGAGTACCCCCATCCATTACCCGGGAAGCTTGATCTCAACATCGCCGACGAGGAAGAGTTCTCCCCAGACAAGTTGCGGGCCAACATCGAACGATTGTACATGACCGTGATCATCGGCCTTATGGGATTCGCGAAACACATCGTGCGACTACGATCATGGCGGGAAACTAGGAGAACAAGCGCATTCTGTGCCGTCTACTTTCTGGCTTGGCTACTCGACTTCCTAGCCCCAACCTTTCTGATCATGATAATCACCTTGATCGTCTACCCACCAAGTCGAGAGATGCTCTTCCCACCAGCTCCACTGGCTCTCGTCTCCGCTAAGACTGGAGGCGTGCAGAAGCCACAAGCTGGCGTGCTTGGATCAACAGATTCTGCGACAGGTGCCCCTGAGAACTACAAAGGAGAAGCCGTAGAACAGGAGGCCACCAATCTCGTCAACAGCGTCGCCACTGTAGCACTTTCAAGCGTCAGTGGCAAACACCCGCAGAACGAGCCCCCTGGAAATGAAAACGAGAAGGCGGGTGAGAATGTTCCAGATCCTACTGCTATGGCCGTGAACGCGAGTAAGGCTCGCTCGTCAGCTTCGGGTGGTACTCACAAAGTGGACAAGACGAAAGTTCCCATGGAGACTGCGATTTGGAACAAGATGAGGCCTGTTATGCACGGCATCGCAGATGTTTCTGATACTTGGGAACGATTTGGCAATGTGTTCTCGCCAACTGCACCTTTCCCTCAGGATCTGTACCGACTTCGAATCGCCGCGTTGCTCGTCCCAGCGCTGGGTGCATCCATCTTCATCACTTCTTACATGCTCGTCAAGGGGATTACGTTTGGGGTCGGATTCGGATTCTTTGGTGACCCAATCATCTGGCGTGGACTGGACTGGCTCAACACCAACTTCCCCAAGTGGCAGAAACTGCTCGAACTGCGAAACACTGTCCTCAAAGGCGTCCCCACCAACGCACAGCTTACCGTCACCCTCCTACGCATTGGCGAAGCAAACAAGGCACCCCTACCACCACCACCGCACCCAGGCCTGGCACCCCCAGACGACGAACCCGTGGAGCTGACAGAAGAACAGCTGAGCGCAGCAGGCGGAGACAACCCCCTCAACGCCACAGACGAAGAACTCAAAGCCGCCATCGCCCCCGACCCCACCGTCGCCCACGAAACCGCCGGCGCCGACGTCGAAGCCTCGAAAAAAGACCACCACGGCAAAGGCGGGTCCCGCCTCCTCGGGATCCTCAAAGGCAGCGTCCGAGGCACCGTCGACACGGTCCTCGGCGCCGACCACCTCAAAGCCCGCATCGGCAGCGAACCCTCGAAGCAACGCCTCGGCGTCATCCCCAGCAAATCCGACAACAAACTCAGCGGGCCCGTCGACTTCCGCTGCCGCTTCCACGGCAAGAAGGGCCACGCGTACATCACGACCAAAGCGACGATCCCCTGCGTGGGCTTCAGCCTGGACAAATCCATCGCGAGCAAAGACGGCATCCTCAACGACGAGCTGCACCCCGTGTGGACGGTCGCGGTGGCGGATATCAAGGAGCTGAAGAAAGTCGGCGGGCTGGGGTGGAAGAGTAAGCTTGTCGTCGGGTGGGCGTTGGATCGCGAGGTGGCGGATGGGTTGGAGATTGTGGATAAGCAGGGGAATTCTTGGGTTATCACGGCGATGGTTTTGAGGGATGAGCTGTTTAATCGGTTGGTTGCTATGGGTGGGCAGAAGTGGGAGGCTTGGTAGAGGAATATATCGACAGATGTACGGGTGTGGGATATGATAACAGGACCTATGCTGGAAACGAGTAATGAATAGATGGGGTTTTCGGTGGCATTGTTGGGGGTTTTCGTTGGTGGAGTGGATGGATACCCCTGAGTTGTTTCGAAATCCAGGAGCACAGAGACTGGGACGAAGTGAATGACATGGCATCAAACAGTAGTACATTTTCTCTCGATTGCTCATCCTCTATTCGTCGTCTGTGGTATCATCGCCTCTCCAAAACCAAAATACCTCCCCCTTTCCTAAGTCCTTCCTTTCCCACCACCGTCCATCATTCTGCTACAACCCCATCAAAACGCCTCAGCCCAGAAAAACCACAACACCACACCACGGCACACCACAGCACCCTAACAACTCGCTCCATTCCCTCAATCACACCGCATCACAACTCACTTCCTCCCCGTAAAATCCGTCTCCAACTCACTCCCCGCCGCCACCGCAGCCTCACTCCCACCACACGTACACGAATCCCTCACCCTCTTCCCACACCCACACGCCTCGCCTGCCTCAACCTTCGCATTCTCGGTCTCCTTCCGACTGCAGGTACACTCGCCTGCTGGTCTTTGATCTACAACACACACGAAACGTTAGCACACACACCCGACTTCACTCCCAGCCCCTCATCGACGTTACAGATGGGTTTGTAAGGGAAGGCAGGACTTACTACACGAACATCTCACGCCCTCGACGCGGTTCTCGACAGAGGCCTTGGCGCAGGTGCAGTTCAGGGCGGATTCTTTGCCGCAGGAGCAGGTAGCTTGGGCGGCGCAGGCGCAGGTGGTGGTGGTGGTGTCTTTGCCGGCGCCGGCGCGGCAGCAGGCTGAGGGGAGGGTGGTGGTTGCTGTAGACATTTTTTGTTTGGGGTTGCGGTTGGTTGTTGAGATTGGTGAGGTGCTTGGTGATGTTCAAAGTTGAAGTTCGAAGATGGTGTTGGTGTTCGATAACGAGCAGGTGAGTGGTAGAGTTGTATGTTGTTTTTGGTTGATACTTGCGTCTGAAGAAAAGAAGCAAAAGTCTCAGAAGGAAGCCAGCACCTTCTTTATAAACCCTCCAACACAAACATCTGATAGCCAGCACTAGAAGAGTCTCACATGCCACAACTGATTACCTCCACTCTGATTGGCCCGTCCCCTAACCTTTTTCTTTCAAACTAGCGTCGCTGCTGACTTCTATCGCGACCCAGACCCGTACAATCTGGTCATCTGTGACGGGCTTGATCCGATTGATTCGAAAAAGGACGGAAAATGAGATGAATGGGTTGACGAGTGAGTGAGTGAGAGAGTGAGAGAACCAGTGAGTGAGTGTTTACAATTGTCATCTGTGCGGATTTGTGCCATTGATCCTTGACATTTTCTACTGGGTCCTTCATGATTGCCTGCCCGTTGCCTTTTTCAACAACTCCGTGGTGTGCTCTGCATGCAGTATGCAAGTCTCCTCGCCAAACCAAGCCAATCTCATTCCTCTTTCAACGCCCAAAAAACTTCTCAGTCTGTTCCTTATGATTCCCATGTTCTCAAACGCCATGCCATGTTCAGTAGTCGTACCCCCCAATCAATTATAATGCAATCTCCTCACCGGACTCCCCCTCCCCTCAATCTGCGCAAACCCTCCACTAGGCGCAGGCTCCAGTCCCATGGGCGGTTGATGCCAGGGCGTGCCATAGTACGCCTCACCGCTGAACGTCCGTTGTGGAGTGGGCGGTGGCGGTTGTTGGTAGTAGGCGGGATGGTACTGGGCGCCGGCGTTGGCCGTCTTGTCTCTGAAGAAGCCGAAGGCGAAGTTGGTGGTCGCGAAGCAGCCGAAGACGATGAAGGCTGTGAAGATCTAGGAGTTACAAACGTCAGCATGTGTATCAATTGAAGAGATGTCTCAAACTCACCATCGCCTTCCACGAAATTGGCTCCACGAACGAATTGAAAATCTCCGCAAACGTATGCGCCGAGACCTTCGCGCGTCCGACTTTCGAAGGATCCTGATTCATGCACTTGGTCCAGTTGTCGCAGACCGTCTCCAGAGCAGGAACCCGCGTCGTTCGGTCGCAGTTGTTCTTCCTGAAATTCTCCGCGCAGATGGCCATCTCCGCCATGATATCCACCATCGCTTCATGACTCTTCTTATCCACATCTCCTTGAACGGCGGCCCAGAAGCAGTAGATGACGTATGCGCATCCGGCGAGGAGGAACACGTTGAAGGCGAGTTGTGCGTAGAAGGAGAGGATGTGGGGGACGGTCGGATGCTGGGCGATGAATGTGAAGAGTGATGAGAGCCAGTGTGGCTTCTTCTCATTCGACTCGGTCGCTTCGCCTTGCTGTGCTTTGCGCGGGCTCTTGGACAGCATCTCGCTCTCGTCTCCAGAATCCGACACACTATGCCGTCTCCGTCGAGAAACGTGTCGCTGCAGCTCGCGGTCCCGTCGCTTCTTTACCCTCTTGTCCGTGTTGTGAATGTGATCCGCCCGCGGCACCTCCCCTCGTCCAGGACTGTAAAACTTGTTCTTGATCTTCCCAAAGAAACTCTCTCTCCTCGCCGACGGCTGCGGCCGCTCTTTCTCCTTCGTCGGGCTGCCCCTCGCCGGCAAACCACTCAAATCCACACCGTCGTACTTGGTCACCGCCTTGGAAGTGCTCAACAAGCTCCGTCCCATCGTATCAGGCGTTGCATCGTTATCAGTATGTTCCGGGCTCTTCGGCGTCTCCCCAGCAGACGAGTCGTCAAAATCACTTTGCATCTTGCGCGGCGTGCTGTACAAGCTATTAAAGGCCGGCACCGGTGGCAGGGGCTTGGTGGGCGAGGTTCGGAGGCTGGGAGTGGATTGTTTCTGCGGCGAGTCGAAAGCGCTGTGGTTCCCTAGCAACACAGACACATCCCTGTCAACAAACGCCGTCCTCTTCCCTAGCATGTGCGATTTCAACTTACTTCTCTTTCCTCCGGGCGTCGCAGTCGCAGGCACAGGAAACCTCTGCGGGTTCTGGCTGAGTTGCGCAAATGGCGAGCGGGAGTCCATAGGGCCATGTTTATTCTGCCACTCGTAGTCCATGCCCATCTCGTTCCCGCGTTGCGACATGATTGCGGGTGTCTGTACAAAATCTCGAGAGGCTGTACAGCGAGTGTGTGTGTGTGTGTGTGTGTGTGCGTAGATCTGTTGGAGAGAAAGGCTGTGGTGTCGAGGTGGAATGCGATGGCGGGTGTGATGCAGTCGAGGTTGGCAGGGATTCGCCCGCGTTTTCCCAAGTGTTTTAGCGCCAAACAGAGGCGTTGCCGGAGCGAAGACACGTGAAGTGTCCCGCTCGGGCCACATTTTCTAGTGAATGCTTTCACACATCGATCTACTGATTAGGGGAGTGTAGATGAGACGAGAAGCAGCTCCAAGTACTCCCCTCCGACGTGTTAGAGACTTGGAAAAGTCTTACGCCATGTCTTCACTCCAGACATCTACTTCCACCGTTGGACATACGCTCAACTCAGACAGTAACAAGAAACCATTCACTGAACTCATTCAGTTCAAATATCAGCATCGCTGTTTCTACACTTCTACTGTCTGGTTATCTCTAACCCAAAAACAACACCCTTTCCCGACAGTACGCCGCCCGCAAAGAATAACTACAATATAAGTGTCTATGCCCGCTCTGTACAGTACATTTGGAATTCAACATGCGCTGAAAAGGACAGCATCGTCCTCTAGAACGCGGAGATTGCGACGGCAATCACTTGAGCATCGCTGTGGCTGATGCTGACGGTGGTCGACTTGACACCGGCTTTGGTTGCGGCCGCTTTGGCGTTGCCGTGGAGCTGGGAGGATGTTAGCTACTAGTTCTTGGATGAAGTTGGAGGTTGACACTTACTGTAACAACTGGTGCTCCTGTCTCACTGTTCGTGATCTCAATCTGTTTCAGTGGTGCCCCACCTCCTTGGCTCGACACCTTCAAGCTCTTGAAGACAGCCTCCTTTGCGCTCCACTTGCCGGCAAAGCTGGCCTGTGGCGATGGTGCCTTTCGACAATATGCAATCTCAGCTTCGGTGAAGTTGCGATCGATGAAGGTGTCGTTGTGGATGTCAATAGCATCAACATTCTCGATGTCAACACCCGGGTTGGAGTTGGCCGAAGCATTGACCTTCATCAACGTCTCAACCATCTCGGTGGTGCTCTTGTCTTGCACCTTCTTTGGCACCGACTTTGGGTACGTGAACTCCGACGTCTTTTTGTCGGTCGTGACACGGGCCTCTGGGTTGAGGAACACCTGGCTCTGCTGAGCGTCCTCGTAAGGCGACTTGCTCTTCGCGCGGAACATGGTGTTGTTAATGAGACCGTCGTGGTAGTATCGGTATGCCTTCTTCTGGCGAGCCTCAACCTTCTGCTTGTAGGTCTGGAACTGTGCATGATCAAGGGTGGCGAACAGGTACTTGGGGTGGATACCGATCGCTTGTGCGCCCTTTTGACCGAAACCGAAAGAGGTGACCGAGAACGCCTTGATGCCATCGGTCTGAATGCTCTGGCTGGGGTAGACGATGTAATCGAACTTTTCCATAACCTTGTCGACATTGTCGGCGTTCCTGTTACCCGGTACAAGACCAGAGTTGAGAACTTGTAGACAGCCGTTGAACATCCAAGCACCTGCAGCACCCTTTGGATGACCGGTGAGGTACTTCTGGAAGATACCCATGAGGGCATTGCCCTTCTTGCGGCCAAGATGCTTCATCTGCTGGCAAATGACGTCAGACTCGTTCTTGTCGTTGGCGACGGTGGATGTGCCGTGGAATGAAGCAACATCAAGATCGTCAATCGTTAGACCCCAGGTGGCGAGGGCACCACGGAGAGGAGCAATACGAGGATCCTGCTTCCAGAAGTGATTGCCCAGTTGTCTGAGCGCTTCCTTTTCTTGTCTCTTGGCCTCACGCTCGATATGGCCCGCACGATCCTCCATGTACTCGGTTTCGTCGAACTCGCCGCTCTGCAGCTTCATGGCCGATACCTCCTCATGCAAGTACATGAGCTCGGACTCTTGCCAGTTCTTGATCGACTTCTTGCGGAGGTCCAGTTGCCTCTTTCGGTACTTGATGTCGAGTAGTGGCGAGGGGAACTTGGATGGCTGCTCACGGGCAGTGGTGAGCACACCCTGGCCTGGTGCTGGAACTGAACGACCGATCTTGTCAGTGGCAGTAGCGGTGAAGCCAAGGACACCGTAGATCGGGACACCCATGTCGAGAGCGAGTTGTGCGTCCATGATCACTTGCATACCACAACCCTGAGACTCCATAAAGCCATTACGGGTAGTGGTCGTTGGTCGAGACATCTCCTTGGGTGTACGCCCGTGAGCAAACTCGTCTTCAGCGTTGCTGGTGGCCTTCATGTTGGCGAATTCGTATGATCCTTCCTCTTGGAAGTCATCGAAACCACCGACGAAACACATGCGTGCCTTGCCCTCAACAATGCAGTCGTAACCGATGTCAATAGACTCAACTGCAGTGGCACAAGCACCGACAGGAGTGCGGATTGGACCGGTCGAAGAGATCAGCAACATGTTGATCCATGCGCTCATAGTGTTGATGAAGGACTCCTGCAAGATGTCCTTCTGGAGAGGCTTGTCAAGGAAGCGATCCTTGTACATGCCACGAAGAGCAGTCGTACCACCAATACCAGAACCGATACAGTTGCCAACCTCGGAGATGTGCACGTACTTGTAAAACTCGTAGGGGTCGGTGATACCTGAGCACAGGAGACACTCTGCGGTCGAGACAAGGACGTAGAGGGTGACTGGGTCGACCTGGGAGATGATGTCGTCCGGCACACCATAGCGCTTAGCGTCCCATCCAGTAGGCACTTGTCCAGCGACAAGACGGTCGAAGCGGAGGGCCTTTGGAATGAGGAGCGTTGCGTTCTTCTTGAGACGAACCTGGAACTCGCCAGACTCTAGCTCGAAGATCTCGACCTTGTCGCCATGCTCACGCTTAAACTCCTCGGCGGTCTCCTTCGATGCCTCGAATGGATCGAGATCCTCTTCAATCTGGATCTCCTGGAGGAGCTGCTTCTTGTTCGGGTCGTAGCCATTGAAGAGCTCTGGCTCGATGAGACGGATACCAGAGTGGTCGATGATGTGCTTCTCATACTTGGCCTTGACATCCTTGTCATCAACAGGCTCGCCAGACTTGGCGTCGACCCAACCAGAGTAGCTCTTTCCCTTCAGTGGGCCGTTGAAGTTCTTGATTAGGCCCATAATCCAGGCCATCTCAACGCAGCCTTCGAGCGAGAACTGGCCGTAAGCTTCCATCTCCCATCGTGTCCTTGAGTTGCCCCATGGACCGACTTCAGAGAAACCGGTAACGACAACCACCTTCTCAAGATCAACCATGCCCTTGAGGTCGCTGTTGAGTGGCTCGACTTCGCTCTTCCAGTCTGGAAGCTTGGGGAAGTCAAACTTCAAGTTAGCACGCTTGTCGACCTTGACAGTCTTGTAGAATGCCTCGCTATCCTCGCCATTGATGATCTTGTTCTCAACAGCGGTCTCCCGAGTGACAGCCTTGCGGATTTCGGCAGTCTCAGTGATCTCCTTTCGAAGTCGGGTCATGAGGTCCTTCAGGTTAGGCAAGAACTGAAGTCCACCGTTGAGATCAGCGAACACAGGCTCTTGCTGGCAAAGGTTGACAATGGATGGAGCCATGAGACCAAGCAGGTTGAAAGCCATCTCTTGTTGCGAGAAGGTGCGAACGCCGTACTTCTCGACACCTTCAGCAACGACGTTGTTGCCACCCATGAGGCCAGTACCACGAGTCCAGCCAATGACAGCACCGCAGATAGTGAGGAAGTTGCCCCAGCTCTCAGAGTGCCATCTGTTGAACAGGGTCTCGAGAGCAAGCTTGGACTCAGAGTACAGACCATCGTTACCGAAAGTACCGTGGTTGGGTGACAGTGGTAGAATGACCTGCGCTGGACGAGTCTCGAAGCCACGGGTTGCCTTCTGGGCCTTGACAGACCCGAGCATTCGAAGGAGGTTCGTAAGCATAATACGGTGGGCCAACTCGGACTTGCTGTCGATGCTGTCAATCTCACGCCCGTTCTCTGGAATAGCAGCGAATGGAACGATGTAGTCAAGGTCCCAGCCGAGGCCCATCTTCTCATCGTAAATGTAGTCGATGAGCGCGTTGACATCTTGAACACTGCCCTGGTTGAATGGAACAACGACCAGCTGAGATCCACGAGCGCCATACCGAGCGTACATGGACTGGTAGTACTCCGTCACTTCGCGGGAGTAGCGAGAGGTTGTGACAATGACCTTGGCACCACCGCTGATGAGACCTTGGAGGACATCAGCACCGATGGAGCCAGCGCCAGCACCAGTCATGAGGACGTTCTTGTTCTGGAAGGTGACACCACCCCTGGCAGCCTGCTCGAGACCGTCCAGGTAGATGCTGGTGAGCTTCTTGCTGTATTCCCAGCCGTGCTCTTCCTTGCGCTTGAGGTGCAAGAACGGGACAGTCTCGATCTTGCCCTGCTTGACAGCACCGTTGACACGGCTGCCGTTGCGGCCGTTCTTCTTGGCGTGGCCGTTCATCTTGCCATTCTCAGTCGGCATGATCTGTCCTTCGTTCATGGAGAGCGAACGGACGATGTTGCTGTACAGCTGCTTGATCTCAAGCTGGGAGGACTTCGACAGCTTGTGTTGCTGTCGAATGAGCTTGTACACTCGTTGCAGGTCGTTTTGAACCTTCGTGCGGTTGCCGTACTCAGAAATCTTGCCACCGTCGGCCATCTCGCGCACGTAGTGTTCAAGCTTGCGCACGCTTGCTCGAGGAACCTCCTCATACTTCATGTCACCTCGTGGAGAGATAGTGAGATGCGGTGCGGTGGGGACTGCAACGTCCTTGTAGACGGGTGCTTCTCCAAGAACCTCTCGGCAGTTCTCAATGAGCTGCTCGCCGAGTTCTTTCGCAAGCTGGTATGTCTCTCCTCTTTCTGTGGGGCAGTGATCGATGTGGTACTGCATAAATTCGAGCAAGGTGGGGTTGGAGCGGTTCATGATGAGAATGCAGCGAGACACAATCTCGCGATCGACAGCTGTGAGGCGACCAAAGATAATGTCGTAGTACATGGTGAGAGCATCTTGTCGTGCCCAGTTCCAGGATGAGTCGTAGACACGGGCCTTGAGAGGGCTAAAGGATGGTTCAATGCCAGCAGCGTAGAACTCGCCATGTTCGGTGTTCCAAAGATCCAGCTGGGCTTGGAGAGCCGCCTCATTCTGCTTTCCAACAAGCGCGGCCTTGTCACCAGCTCTTAGATCCATCTTGAGGTAGCGGGCGAACAGCTCGAGTTGCTGCTTGAAGAGGGCACGTTGGTCCTTGGTAAGGGCGTCGATCGCTGCTGGGTCCATCATCATGCCACCACCGCTGCCACCGCCTTCACCAGGTGCAGGGCCAGTGGACAAGCTAATGCCAGCTTGGGTTGCGTATTTCTGTGAGACGTCGTCAAGCCACGCCTTGCCATCGTTCTCGGATCCAAGACGTGATGCCGGCTCCATGGTCAAACCGAGCAGAAGAACACCATCCTGTCTGCCGGAACCCAGTCCCCACTTTGTCTCCAAGTGCTTTCGCACCGCGGTAATGTTGAACCCACCAGGCATTTTTGAGGACACCATTCGGGCGATGAGGGAGGTCGATTGCTTTCCGAGCTGGCCATTGAAGGTGGCTTGCATAGAGGCACCTAGTTCGTCGAGAGGAGTGTCTTCGGGCTTTTCTGGTGTTGAGCCGAATTCTTTTCCAAGATCACCAAGGATCTCATTTTGGAGAGTGGACTTGCCTGTAATCATGTGTTAGCAAGACGGTGTGAAGGGGTGAGGTCTGATAGTGAACTGACCTCCAACCAAGTCCTTGATGGCTTTGCTAAGGGGAATATCAGCGAGAGGCTTCTTGAGCTTCTGTGCAACAAGTGCCCGTAGCACATCAACTGCACCAACTGGTGCGTCCGGTACAGAAGCTGCAGGTCCAGAACTCGCCGCAGGTGCAGGTGCTGCAGCCGCAGGAGCTGCAGCGGCTGCTGCTGGAGCGCCAGATGAAGCTGCCGGGGCGCTGTCACCACTCGGGGCTGGCGCAGGCTCGTCTTCGATTGGGTCGACGTCGTAGTAGATGTCTTTGGCGTCCTTGTTGTAGCACAAGATCTGACGTTGCACTGATCGTGCAGCATCATATGCTTCGTACTTGGCAGCCAGAGTCCGCTTTGCCATTCCACCCAGGGTGTCTGCTGGGCCGACTTCCACTATCCGCTCCGTCGTCTTCTCGCCGAGGATGACATCCTGGGTCTCGATCCATCTCACGGGCGATGCGAATTGGTATGCCAGAAGCTCGACAAGCAAGGTATGGGCGAGATCTTGCTCGACCTCGGGACGCATGTTGGCGGGTGCGGTCCGGTGATTGCGTGTGCGGTGTTTTAAGAGGAGCGCAGGCGTATTATGAGGTAAAGAGCGTCGGCATCAACTGGGAGCGCAGGCCAGTGATGGGGAGTGTAGGTGTATGGGAGTGGTGTCGGGAGGATGTGCGGAAGGTCGAAGAGTGCAATGGCCAGAATTTTCGGGGCGAGGCCGTGATATCCAGCAGAGTGTCGCGCGGATGGAAGGGCTGGTGGATGGGGCAATCCTGCGATAAGACGTGCTGTGCGGATGGGAGTGAGGTCAGGCCCAACACGCCGTCTCCAGGTGGTGCCAGGTGGTGAGCTGCGGGAGAGTCTGGGGGCGAATGCGTTGAGGTGAGGGTCAACAGGTTGGGTGTTTCTGCTGGCCTCGTTGTGCTGAGTAGCAGAGAGCTTCACGCTTGCTTGCCGTGCGTGCTTCCCCACACGAAAAAGCTCAAAAGTGCTGGGCCGGCGCGACTGCAGGCCCATGCGACCGAGACGTCACTTTGGCCTTGTTTCTCCCAGCAACAACTACAATCAAGCGATTCCCTTGGATTGATGCTGATTGAAATGGTCTGGCTGAGACCATGATATGGATCCTAGGGCAGAGAACAGGTGTCCTCACCATTGAATCGTCCCACCCCGTCCATCAATCCCAGGCGTCGAGATTCCGTCGAGATGCAGGTTGACGCCGCCATGCGCTAAACGGCGGTTAAGCACTTCCCACCACCGACAATCCCCGTCTCAACCGGCCCAGCGCCACAGATAGACTCGGAGCACCACGAGCTCACGCAGAGTGAATGATATGCATTGGGGTTGCTGGACCTTCTGAATCTTATCCTCCAGCCTGCCCTCGCTCTCCTCCTCACTTTCCCACTTGTCGCCGTCGCCATTGCTTCACTACACCCTCTGCACCGCACCATTGCACGAGCGTCACCGCCGCGGGAGTGCTGGAAGTGTCTGAGCTTGCGACTTGCCCACATTCGCCGCCTGACCAGCCCGAAATTGGAGCTTGGATGAAAAACAGCTGTCAAATGAGATTTTCCCCGTCTTGATTTGCTCAGCGTCACCACAACGTGAGTGCGAGAACGACAGGCACCGCAATACCCAATATTCTCCCATACGTGTCCACTGCTCGGTTCACTCATCAGTACGGCCGGCCAGTTGCACGAGGCACAGACTCGCTCTGGCTGAGCTCTGAAGTGAACAAGAAGCAAGCACACGACTTTCAATCTCTGCGCGGGCCATGCGCTAGAGCTTGCTGCAGACATCCATCATGAGCACACCAACGCAGGAACTGACGCCCAATGTGCAGTTCGACTCAGCCGAATCGCCCTCAAACACCAAACGCAAGATGTATCAGTCCGGCTCGCAGACTGGTGTTTCCACGCCACGATCACAAGCAGTCTCTCGCCCTCTCACCCTCACCCATGGCTCGCTTGAATACAACTTCTTAATACCGACAGCCCTCCACTTCAACGCCACGCAACTCAAAGACGCCTTCCTCCAGACTCTCCCAGAACCCACAGACGAGCTTGCTCAGGATGACGAGCCGTCATCAGTCACTGAGCTTGTGGCTCGCTACATTGGCTTTGTAGCCAAGGAGGTGGAAGAGGGCGAGGATCCGGAACTCTTCACTGAGGTTCTGAAGCTCGTCCTGCAGGAATTCGAGCGGGCTTTCTTGCGAGGCAATGAGGTCCACGCCATTGCTGCAAATCTGCCCGGCATCGTGGAGAAGAAACTTGTCACCGTACAAGCATACTACGCAGCCCGAGCAGCAGTCAAGCGACCCATCAGAGCTCACGAATCTGCTCTTTTGCGCGAAGCTGCTGACGAGAATGCCTACATCTACGCCGTCTTCGGCGGACAGGGCAACATTGAGGAATACTTTGATGAGCTGCGGGAGATCTATAACACCTATCCTTCGCTTGTCCGAGATTTTCTCAACGTCGCTGCGCAACACCTTCAATACCTCTCTCGCGACCAACGAGCCTTCAAGAGCTACGCCAAAGGCCTTGATATCCTGCGATGGCTGGACAACAAGGACACGCAACCAGACACAGACTATCTCGTCTCTGCCCCGGTCAGTTTCCCTTTGATCGGTCTCACTCAGCTTGCACACTACGTAGTGACCTGCAGAGTACTTGGCACTCACCCAGGCCACGTACGAGACCGACTGGCTGGAGCGACCGGACATTCGCAAGGTGTGGTCACTGCTGCAGCCATCGCCGCTTCGTCGAATTGGGAGACCTTCGACAAGCAGGCGAGAAATGCCCTGACCATTTTGTTCTGGATCGGAGCTCGAAGTCAACAAGCTTACCCACGAACCTCTCTCGCGCCCAATGTCTTGCAAGACTCCATCGACGCCGGCGAGGGTGCCCCTACACCTATGCTCACGGTTCGAGACTTGCCTCGCGAGACAGTGGACAAGCTCATTGCCACCACCAACCAACATCTTCCTGAAGACCGTCACATTGGCATCTCGCTCGTGAACAGCGCAAGGAACTTTGTCGTCACCGGTCCACCTATGTCACTATACGGCCTGAACCTGCAGCTACGCAAGATCAAGGCACCCACTGGACTCGACCAGACTCGTATCCCACACACTGAGCGCAAGGTGCGCTTCACCAATCGATTCCTCCCAATCACCGCTCCCTTCCACAGCCCATACCTAGTCGAGGCTATTAAGCACCTGCAAACAGATCTTGCAGAGATCGACTTTACCTCTGATGAGCTTGGAATTCCCGTTTTCGACACCTTCACGGGCGAGGACTTGCGAGAGAACAAGGGTGCCAACATCACCGCAGCTTTGGTAAAGATGATCTGTCAAGAGCAAGTGCTTTGGGAGAAGGCCACCGTCATGCCAAACGCCACCCACATCCTCGACTTTGGCCCAGGTGGCATCTCGGGTCTCGGTGTTCTCACCAACCGAAACAAGGACGGCACTGGTGTGCGAGTCATCCTGGCCGGCACCATGGATGGCACCAACACAGAAGTTGGCTACAAGCCAGAAATCTTCGACCGTGATGCTGAGCATGCGGTGAAGTATGCCGTGGACTGGCTGAAAGAGTACGGACCAAAGCTTGCGAAAGACTCGGTCGGTCAGACGTTCGTGGACACCAAGATGAGCAGAACGCTGGGACTTCCACCGGTCATGGTTGCTGGTATGACACCTTGCACTGTGCCCTGGGACTTTGTTGCATCGACTATGAAAGCCGGCTACGAGATTGAGCTTGCTGGCGGTGGATACTACAACGACAAGAGCATGACTGAGGCTATCTCTAAGATCGAGAAAGCCATTCCAGCTGGTCGTGGTATCACAATCAACTTGATCTATGTCAACCCGCGAGCCATGGCTTGGCAAATCCCGATGATTGGCAGACTCCGCGCTGAAGGTGTGCCGATTGAAGGTCTCACAATTGGTGCTGGTGTTCCATCGATCGAGGTTGCAAACGAGTACATCGAGACGCTGGGTATCAAGCACATTGGATTTAAGCCTGGATCTATGGAGGCTATCCAGGCCGTCATCAACATTGCCAAGGCCAACCCAACTTTCCCAGTCATACTCCAATGGACCGGTGGCCGTGGTGGCGGGCATCACTCTTTCGAAGATTTCCATCAGCCTATCCTGTCCATGTACGGCAGGATTAGACGATGCGAGAACATTGTTCTTCTGGCTGGATCTGGTTTTGGTGGCGCTGAAGACACCTATCCATACCTCAACGGGCAATGGGCGAAGAAGTTCGGCTACCCGCCAATGCCATTTGACGGTGTTCTGTTCGGCAGCCGTGTTATGGTCGCCAAAGAAGCATACACGTCCAAGATGGCCAAGCAAGCTATTGTGGATGCACCTGGTCTTGAGGACCACGAGTGGGAGAGGACGTACAAAGGCCCAGCTGGCGGCGTCATCACCGTGCGATCTGAGATGGGTGAGCCCATTCACAAGCTCGCCACTCGCGGCATCATGTTCTGGGCCGAGATGGATCAAAAGATCTTCAGCTTGGACAAGGCGAAGCGTATACCAGAACTGAAGAAGATGCGCGAGTACATTATCAAGAAGCTGAACGATGACTTCCAGAAGCCGTGGTTTGGTCGCAACAAGGCCGGCCAGAGCGTCGATCTCGAAGACATGACGTACGGCGAAGTTCTTCGCCGGATGGTCGAGCTCATGTATGTCAAGCACCAGAACAGGTGGATTGACAAGTCGTTGGCTCGCCTGACTGGCGACTTCATTCGTCGTATCGAGGAGCGCTTTGCACCGGCTGATGGCACTGGATCAATCGTCCAGAACTACAGCGAGCTCGACGATCCTTTCAACACTGTCAAGAAGGTGTTGGAGACGTATCCAGAGTGCGACGTCCAACTCATCAACGCCCAGGACTGCCAGCACTTTTTGTTACTCTGCCAGCGCCGTGGCCAGAAGCCGGTGCCTTTCGTGCCTTGCTTGGACGACACCTTCGAGTTCTTCTTCAAGAAGGACTCGCTGTGGCAGTCCGAGGACTTGGATGCCGTTGTCGACCAAGATGTTGGCCGTGTTGCTATCTTGCAAGGCCCAATGTCTGTCAAGTATTCAAAGGTGGTCGACGAGCCAATCAAGGACATCTTGGACGCCGTGCACCAAGGTCACATCAAGAGCCTGACCCAGGACCTTTACAATGGCAACGAGAACAAAATCCCTCGAGTCGAGTATTTCGGTGGCAAGCTCATCGAAGCCAGTGATGACACCAACCTCGAGGGTCTCACAGTCAATGAGACTGAGCACAAGATTCTGTATCGCCTGTCGGCTGTCTCGAGCACCACCCTACCACCAGTCGACAACTGGATGCAGCTCCTGGCCGGCAAAGCCCACAACTGGCGACATGCGCTCTTTACTGCAGATGTCTTTGTCCAAGGCCAACGATACCAGACAAACCCGATGCGCCGCATTTTCGCACCCACGCCCGGCATGGTTGTGGAGATTGTTCATCCAAACGACCCCAAGCGCACAGCCATTACCATCAAGGAGCCCTCGCAAGGCAACCAATACGTGCAGACTGTCGAGGTCAGCAGGCCAGCGGAGAACGAGATCGTTGTCAAGATGATCGAGGACCGCACGGCATCGGGCCGCCCAGTCGCACTCCCCCTGCGCTTCACCTACCACCCAGAGACCGGTTACGCTCCTATTCGCGAGGTCATGGAAGCACGCAATGACAAGATCAAGGAATTCTACTACCGCATCTGGTTCGGCGACGAAGCTGTCCCATTCGATACGCCAGTCACGTCTCGTTTTGATGGTGGCCGCGCAACTGTAACGAGTGAGGCCATCAACGACTTCGTCCATGCCGTTGGCAACACTGGCGAGGCTTTCGTCGATCGTCCTGGCAAGGAGGTTTTCGCACCCATGGACTTTGCCATCGTTGTCGGCTGGAAGGCCATTACCAAGCCAATCTTCCCTCGCAAGATTGATGGTGATTTGCTTAAGCTTGTCCATCTCTCCAACGGCTTCCGCATGATTCCAGGTGCTGCTCCCCTCAAGAAGGGCGATATTCTGGATACCACCGCGGAAGTCAACGCCGTCATCAACCAAGAATCTGGCAAGATGGTAGAGGTTTGTGGCACGATTAATCGCGATGGCGAGCCAGTAATGGAAGTCACCAGCCAGTTCCTGTACCGTGGCGCCTACACTGACTTCGAGAATACCTTCCAGCGCAAGGTCGAGACGCCCATTCAAGTGCATCTCGGATCAACCAAGGATGTCGCAGTCTTGCAGTCCAAGGAGTGGTTCAAGCTGGAAAATACAGATGTGGACCTTCTCGGCCAAACTCTCGTGTTCAAGCTGCAGAGTCTGGTGAGGTTCAAGAACAGGACCATCTTCTCCTCTGTCGAGACGCTTGGTAATGTCGAGCTTGAGCTGCCCACCAAGGAGATTATCAAGATCGCCGCTGTCGAGTACGAAGCTGGAGCGTCTTATGGCAACCCAGTACTGGACTACCTAACCCGCAACGGTTCTGCTCTGGACCAGCCTGTCAACTTCGAGAACCCCATCCCACTTAGCGGCAAGACTCCTCTTGTTCTGAAGGCCCCATCGTCAAACGAGACTTACGCGCGTGTCTCGGGTGACTACAACCCCATCCACGTTTCTCGCGTCTTCTCGCAATATGCTGGCCTACCTGGCACCATCACCCACGGCATGTACTCCAGCGCAGCTGTTCGCAGCCTCGTGGAGACTTGGGCAGCTGAGAATAATGTCGGCCGTGTGCGTAGCTTCCATGCTTCGCTTGTTGGCATGGTTCTGCCTGACGACACTATTGAAGTGAAGCTTCAACACGTCGGCATGGTCGCTGGTCGCAAGATCATCAAGATCGAGGCACAAAAGGCAGAGACCGAAGAGAAGGTCTTGCTCGCAGAAGCTGAGGTCGAGCAGCCAGTTTCATCCTATGTCTTCACTGGCCAAGGTTCGCAAGAGCAAGGAATGGGTATGGATTTGTACAACTCCAGCGAGGTCGCGAAGGAAGTGTGGGATCGTGCCGACAAGCACTTCATGGACAACTATGGTAAGCAGATTCAAGATCTCTCGATGACGGATGGGCTAACACTTTCCCAGGCTTCGCAATCACCCACATCGTCAAGAACAACCCCAAGGAGTTCACTGTGCACTTTGGTGGTGCTCGTGGAAAGGCTATTCGCAAGAACTACATGGACATGACTTTCGAGACTGTCACTGCCGATGGCAGCATCCGTTCGGAGAAGATCTTCAAGGAGATCAGCGAGGAGACCACTTCCTACACCTACCGCTCGCCTACTGGTCTCTTGTCCGCCACGCAATTCACCCAGCCAGCTCTGACGCTGATGGAGAAGGCGTCCTTCGAGGACATGCGTGCCAAGGGCCTCGTGCAGCGTGACAGCAGCTTCGCTGGTCACTCTCTCGGCGAGTACAGTGCACTCGCCGCCCTCGCAGAAGTCATGCCAATCGAGAGCTTGGTGTCTGTCGTCTTCTACCGTGGTTTGACGATGCAAGTCGCCGTCGAGCGTGACGAGGCCGGCCGGTCCAACTACTCCATGTGCGCTGTCAACCCATCGCGTATTAGCAAGACCTTCAACGAGCAAGCTCTGCAGTACGTTGTCGAGAACATCGCCGAGACCACCGACTGGCTGCTGGAAATCGTCAACCTGAACGTCCACAACCAGCAGTACGTCTGCGCCGGTGATCTCCGCGCCTTGGACACCCTCACCAACGTCTGCAACTACCTCAAGACGCAGAAAATCGACATCCAACAGCTCATGCAAACCATGAGCCTCGAAGATGTCAAATCCCACCTCGTCCAAATCATCAAGGAGTGCGCCAAGCAAACCGAAGCCAAACCCAAACCCCTCGAACTCGAGCGCGGCTTCGCCACGATCCCCCTCAAGGGCATCGACGTCCCCTTCCACAGCACCTTCCTGCGCTCCGGCGTCAAGCCCTTCCGCTCCTTCCTCCTCAAGAAGATCCACAAGACCAGCATCGACCCGGGCAAGCTGGTCGGCAAGTACATCCCCAACGTCACGGCGAAGCCCTTTGAGCTCACCAAGGAGTACTTTGAGGACGTCTACCGTCTGACCAAGTCCCCGCGGATCGGGAATATTCTCGACAATTGGGACAAGTATGAGAGTGATGAGCCCGGGATTCAGAGGCCGAGGGCGGGCAGTATGGCGGTGCCTTCGTCGTAGATGGCGGGGCACGATGATTGATTGATATTGAATCGAGAAGAGCATGGCGTTTAATGAACGGATGATTGGGGAGTTTGTGTTTTGACGAGAAACTTGTAGATCATGCATCATAAATCTGTTATTGCTATCGCTGTCCACCAGGCGACTGGGGAAAGGGAAGGGAAAGGAAAGGAAAGGGAAAGAAGAAATAGAACTGTAGTCTAGAAAGAAAATCAAGATGTTATTAAGATCAAACCTCGTTCCACTTGACTTGTTTTTGTTGTTGTACAGCATGTTGGTTGGGTCATGCACATGCAAATGCAACGAATGCGAGGGTATGCAGCGTTGTTAGGGAGGCACGTGTGAGTCTTAGTATGCAGGGCGGTGCTCGAGGAGGACTTCCCTCGTTCTGGGATGTGACAGATTTTGAGAGGCCAGGGCAGGGAATAAGCTTGTTCGATATGTGGGAAAGGCGTGGGAAACACATGGGATAGAACAGTCGTTCACGGGGAGGGAGGGACCTGCAATAATATTCGTGAGATAGAGGATGAGATGCAAGAGGATCAGGATGCGGTCTTCATTCGAAAACCTCTCTCCTGTCACGGAGGGAGGGGTGCTGGAGAGACTGTCGTTTACTGTACGTACGTTGCTTTATCGAACTTGGCTTGGCTGGAGGGTGTTGAGGTTGTCTGATGAGGGGTCTTCTGTTCAATTAAATGTCTTGCTCACCTGGACTGGACTGGACTGGAATGCAAATTTCGGGATTCTGTAGGGTATTTTGCCAGGGAGTGCAAGGCTAGAGTGCTGCACTGTCTTTTGGCCTTGGCGCGATTGAGTGGGTTCAAATACGTCGATGAAGGCCAATGTTTGAGGGAACTGTCAATTCGAATACGCTCGTAAGCCTTCGTGTTGGCGTGATTATTGTGCTGCTGCTCGATTGCTACCCTCAATCTTCCGTTCAAGTTCTTTTCGGCTGAACCTCGCTCGAACATTTCCCCTGATTCCTGGGAACCTCCTAGCTGGGCTTTTTGGACAAGGGTTTGTGAAATGTGTTGTCTTACAAAAGTATACTGGGATCATTGCATTTCGTACCGGAAGACAGTCCGGGGCCCTGGAATGCCATTGGGCTCGTTCGTTCTTTGACAGCTCAGGGATGGAAGGTGTTCCTGAGAGTCAAAGTGTTTCGTGGGTGCAGTTTGTCTGGCAACGCCATATGAGATGGATGCTGTTCGCAGCACTCGCCAGACTCGGGTTTTGGCGGTATAGTAAGATGCTAAGCCTCCGGCTCTTTCGTAGCGTTGGATCGAAGTCGTCTGCCGGCAGGACTAACAAGCGCCAGAAATCTCGACCTTGTTCCCCGTGTTAGTCGGGCGACAGCCGATGGCACTGCTAACTTCGACGCCGAGACACAGACCTCGAGTCTAATGTCTGCATTTGAGACTCTCATTTGCCGACCCCAGAGTGTTGTCTCCTAACAGGCCTTCTCGCACAGCGTGATAGGTGTAGCTAGAGAGGTATTCCTTGTCCGGGTCGACGGTCGCCCTTGAACCATCGAGCAAGTTCCATTTCGTGGAGTGGACTGTGCTCGAGTCTTGTGCGGGTGACTTTAACATTGGGTGTGCCGAGTTCGTCGTCGTCACAATCACTCCTTTCTCCAGCCAGTCGTCGTGCTTTTCGAGATTCAAAACCTCAGAACCGTTGATCGTTTGATTCTTGCCGCTCGTTTACCATCCCACATATCAATATGAAGTCTTCTGTTGCTCTTTTGTTCGCCGCCTCCGGCCTGGCATTGGCTCAGCTTAACGAGCTACCAAGATGTGCTGTAAGTGCGAGAATTGCTGTTCAAGGATGATCATCAACTGACAATGGCGATAGATGTCGTGCTTCACCCAAGCAGTCGGCGCTTCCAGCTGTCAGGCGACTGACTTCAGCTGCCAATGCACGACTGGTCGACAGGCTGTTCAGCAGGCTCTCATTCCCTGCTTGTGCCAGTCTGACTGCACTCCTGACGACATCACCAGTGAGTAGCCCCGATTTCAATGATGAGCACCGAGCAAAGCAACTGACACGGCTTCCTTCAGCTGCTCTCACAGCAGGCGAGAAGATCTGCGCTGCAGCTCTCTCCTCCGCCAGCCAGTCCTACGCCGCGCCTACTGCCATGCCCTCGAACGTCTGCGCCGCCTTGGCCTCTGCCATGCCAACTGGATCCGCAACTGGCTCCAGGAACAGCAGCGCGCCGGCCACCGCATCCGCAACTGGCACCGCCACCCCAACCGGCTACTCGAACAGCACCGTCACCGGTACTGCCAGCGAGTCGGGTGCCACTGAGACGTCTGAGAGCACTGGTGGATCCGAGAACAACGAGGTCTCCGCCAAAAGCACTTCTGAGGAGACTGGTACTTCGGAGACTGGCACTGCTTCGGCATCGCTGGCCTCCTCTACCGGCGCTGCATCGAGGATGGGTCTTGAGGGCGCGCTTGTCGGACTTGCCGGTCTGGCTGTGCTGGCTCTCTAGGGAGTCAATTCCGGGAGGGTTGACTGCAAAAATTGGTGGAGGACGATCTCTGGTGGATGTTTCCGATAGTCACTTAGACATTCTCAAATGTTGTTGGTAGTTAGCGGCAGAGGCGATGCAGTAATGTCTGTTCATCCGATCGCTTCCTCCCATTTCTTACTCCATGCTGTAAACTCGTCCTCCTTACCCTCCCAGCTCAGTCTTGCTATCGTGCAGGCAGATTTAGCCTCATCGACACACTTTGCGAGCTCGCTCTTGGCGCCATTGTCGTCCAAGTCGTAGAAGCTGCCCGCAAGGTCGTCTACACCAGATTGTGCCGTCTTCAAGTGAAGTAGGATTGCATCCAATGCCTCAACATGAGCTTGCTCCGAAGCCTTGAACGTTTTCAGACGCCTCTTCACCAACGCCGTGTGAAGTAGAACAATCTTCTTAAGCTTCCCTTCTGCTTCCTCCACCAGCTGCCGTAACTCAGGTCTGTCCTTGGGCATGCTGTTCGCTGCATTGAAGATGTCGTCGAGGCTTTCCGCATCGCCATCGACACCTTCGTCATCGCTGTCGAGCAGCTCATCCGCCTGACCCTCGTTGTCTGGATCGCTGCCTTCTCTCCATTCCTGCAGCTCTTCAATCGCATCCTTGATCGAGTCTCTGTATTGCTCCGCCTTTTTCACTGCCAGTCCAGCAATCCCAACCTTCTCCAACTCGATCAGCGCATCGCAGGACTCCCAGACGACACCAGTCGAGCTAAGACTGTCACGTCTTGCAGGTGCACTGTTTCCATCCGCGATCGACTTGAGCTCCGCAAGCAGGTTCTCCATTTCCTTGAATGTCCTCAATATCCTGACTCCAATCTCCTTCCCCATCAAAGAGCCCCATGTCGACTTCTCTTGCTCGCAGACTTGCACCGCGCTCATAATCGCGGGAAGACATGTTCCACTGAGATCGAGTAGGATTTTGGTGATTGCAGAGGGTGTGAAAGGTTTGTTGATCGCCAGAAGCGAGACTTTGGTGGTGTGTGCCTTCAGTAGGGTGGCGGAATCGCGTAGTACTTGGAGAGGGTTGGGTGGGTTCGCGATAGTCGTTGCGGATGTCATGTTGGATGGGCTCAAAGAGGACGGAAACTGCTTCAGCAGGGCCAGAGTTGATGCGATCAACTCATTCAGCGCTCGTGTATCCGCCGCCGGAGGCGCCATCTCGTTGTGGTATGTCTTCAAGAGCTAAGATGGTGTTCGAAATTTTGTCCGATCACATGAAAGGTGGGATGGCGTCGCGGCAAAGTTCGAGCCCGAACTTTGAACCTCACCTCCTGCCCAAACAACATCTCCAACAAGAACCAACCACCACTCTATGGCATGGCCAAATCAAAACAAACGAGCGCGTCCGCGCAAAAGGCAGATGGCCTAGCATCCAAAACACTCATCTTTGACAACGGCGCCCACAGCATCAAAGCCGGCTTCAGCACACCAGGAACCGACCCTCAACTCGACGACTGCCATTTAATCGCCAACTGCATAGCGCGTTCTCAGCGCGACAAACTCACCTACGTCGGCGCTGAACTCGATGATTGCGGTGATTTTGGCGAACTACAGATCCGACGGCCTGTGGAGAAAGGCTATATCGTCAACTGGGAAGGCGAAAAAGCCGTCTGGGAAAGGACCTTTCTAGACAAGAGAAGTCCATTGAAATGCGATCCGCACGAAACGAATCTGATCTTGACAGAGGCGCCGAATGCACCTGTGGCGCTGCAGAGGAATGCGGACGAGATGGTTTTTGAGGAGTTTGAGTTTCAGAGTCTGTTCAGGACGGTTTCGCCGGCGTTGAATGCGTATGCGCCTTCACCATTTGCAGATTCTACGCAACCATCTTATGGTGTTCCGCTGGAATGTCTACTGCTTGTTGATGCGGGGCATTCTCACACAACTGTCACGCCTTTGTATCACGGAAAGCCACTCCACTCAACATGTCGAAGACTGGAGATCGGGGGCAAGACGTTAACGAATCATCTCAAAGCCATGCTGAGTCGGACGATGGACATGCACCGGGAAGACTGGATTTGCCAGGAAATCAAAGAAGATGTCTGCTACGTGGTAGAGGACTCCACATCGTTCACTACGAATCTTGAGAAAGTATGGAAAGGAGGACAAAGAGATCCCAGAGAGATCGATGCAAGCATTGTGGTCGACTATGTCTTGCCAGACTACGAGCTGCTCAAGCGTGGATTTGCACGGCCTCACGATCCTAGCAAGAGCGCAAAGATGCGAAGATTGGGGATTGGAGGTGCCAGTGAGATGGTCTTGCCGGTTGGGAATGAGCGCTTTACTGTGCCCGAAATCATATTCACTCCAAGTGATCTGGGCATGCAGCAAGAAGGCATTACCGGCACCATCTTGCAAAGTCTCAACGCCTTACCAAAAGGTCTGTGGCAGCCTTTCCTTGCGAATGTCGAAGTCGTTGGTGGAACGAGCAAACTCCCCGGATTTGTGGATCGACTGGAGGCCGAGTTGAGAAGTCAGATGGACGACAGCTACCTCGTTCGAGTGGCACAGCCTCAAGACCCGCTCAAGAACGCATGGCTCGGCGGTGCACGCATAGCGCAGAATGAGGATCTCATGAAGTCGCTCATAGTGACTCGTCAAGAGTATCTTGAGCATGGCGATTCCTGGACTAGACGCAGATTTGCAGGCAAAGTTGCAAGATGAATGATTCGTTCAGCTTGGCTCAGCACCCGCCATTGTTGTGTCATTGCTAGCCCGTATCGCTTGCAAGACCTCTTGCGCCAAGTCCGTGAAGCGCTCTTGGTTGCGAGGGCAATCTTTGCCAAGCGCTTTGAGTAGCTTGACGCTGTCTTGCTTGATCTGGGACATCTCATGCCGGCACAGTATCTCGAGCGCAGCCAACGCTTCCTCGTGGGCACCAATCTCTTCGCGCACCTTTCTTGAGGGACGAGACAGCTGGATCAAGAGACCACAAATCGAGTGCAAGATCGCAGCTACTGAGGGACCGTTCCCACTACGAATGATCCTGCGGAACAACGGAGCATGAAGCTCCTCCTCGCCAACCAAATATGAGTACTCTGGCGTGCTGCCCCAGAGCAAGTTACCAAGGGTCTCGCACGCTGCTGTGTATAGCGATCCGTCGATACCTCGTTTTGCGTCGAACTCGTCATCTGCATGGTCTCGGATGCATTCTATCAAGCGATCAACGAGCCCAGTAACCTCCATTGCCGTATGGTCGCCATCCTGGTGATCGTTTGGAACACTGCGCAACACTTCATTGGCATGGGCTTGTGCAAAATCTGCACGCGCTGCAAAGTCTGACATGCACCATATCAGACTGGTGCTCAGAGGCGCAAGGACTTTCAGATCTTCGGCGTCTTGCTCCACCTCAGGATCTAGCGAAGTACCCCTGTCCTCAACCAGTTCCAGGATCGTCCAAATACCCATGAACACCTGCAACTCCACGATCTGCTGCTGCACTGTCGTGTCGCGAAGGAAGGCAAGGACAGATTCAACCAGAGAGCCGAAGTTGTCGAGATCGCTCTGATCTGCATACAATCTCGGTAGCCTCAGCAAAGCAGCCACTTGGTGATCAGGAAGCGGCTCATCCAACGTCGGTTCAAGCGCAGCTTTATGCCCCGTAATCCAAAGCAACAAATCCACCGCAAAAGTATACTCCTCACTTTCAACCACAGCATCCAGATTCAAAAACCTCACCAATTCCAAATGTACTTTCTCCCGATAGCATTGCTGCTGAGAACCCTCGTGATCCGAACAGATATTGTACAGAACTTTCGTCGTCAGAATCCCAGTCTCCTCGTCGTCTGATCGTAGGCATTGTATCGCCCAGCTGAAACCTAGAGAGGTGATCGCATCCCGACCAGAGTTGTTATCTGCGCATGCGTTCCCGAGACAGCGCAGGGCTCGGTCCACGGTAGGTAGTGACTCGGAGAGGTTGCATTCGATGATTTCTATGAGGCTTTTCAGGGTTTGAGGATCTGCCAGTCGCTCCCGGATTTCGACGTGGGTTTTGCTGGCATCCGAGAGGAGTGTGACTGCTTCTGTGGTTTTTGTGTTGAGAGATAGTGCTTGGAAGGCCTTTTCGATGGAGTCGTCGTTTTCGTTGGCCATGTCCGGGACGCTGTCGCTTGCTATTCTCCAGGGCCAGCCTTCATGGACTAGAGAGTTTCCCGTTGCTTGGGAGTCTTCAGAGGCAAGTCACCAATGCCGTGTCGTGCCAGTTCATCGCTTGTTAAGAAGTGATGTCTCGTCGGGAGAGACTGCCGGACATGTGGTCTCGTATGTCGGGACGAGCCGCACATAGCGCAAAAGTCGAATTGACTTCACGTCACGTCTCGAAGACGCGATGCTTGTGCCATCCGCAAGTACTCAGAGCATCAGCGATGAGGAGTGCGAGGCCTGTGGGCTACAAGCATGCCATACGCCAAAACCAACCATCACTTGGCAGCAGCGGTACAGCCAGATGAGGAAGCAAACCTGCTCCTCGGCTGTGATATTACCCGAAGGAGCAGCAATTGTTGCTCCAGGGCCGTAAGAACCGCAACGGCATGCTCTCTCGATCAGTGGGTGAGTCGAATCTGCTTCAATTATCTTTCAGGTTGTCGTTGTCTTTCATAATTTGATGCTCTCGAAATTCAATTCGCGGCATGTCACACAGCAACGACCCCAACCATGTCGGCTTCATCGGTCTCGGGAGCATGGGATTCGGGATGGCCTCACGACTCATCCATTGTGGCTTCCAAGTAATAGGATATGACATTCAAGAGAAGACCAGGATCAAATTCAGCGAAGCGGGAGGAAGCACCGCAGACAGCCCGAGAGCGGTCGTGGAGCTCAGCCAATGTCAAGTTCTTGTCGTCATGGTTGCTACAGCAGAGCAAGCTTTCGACGTCTTGTTTGATAAGGACAGTGGAGCAGCTGTAAGACTGCCTCGAGATGCCATCGTCCTGCTTTGCATCACAGCAGCGCCCGACGATGCAACTCGGATCAGTCACTCCATGTCGAAAGACCTCGATCGCGGCGACGTTATGGTTCTAGATTGCCCAGTCTCAGGCGGTGCCAACCGAGCAGCAGACGGATCACTTTCCATCCTCTATTCTGGCGGCGACGAGATCCCAGATCATGCAATCCGAGTCGTCGAGGCTTTGAGTGCACATCGCTTTCACGTCCCTGGTCCTGCCGGCAGTGCGTTCGCCCTCAAAATGATCCATCAAATTCTCGTCGGAGTCCACATTGTAGCAGCGGTCGAGACGACTGGCTTGGCGATGTTGGCAGGGATGGATCTGGAGTCGCTAGAGAGGGAAGTCATGGCGAGCAGCGCTGCATCTTGGCTCTACGGTGAGCGCGTGCCACACCTGAGAGACATGGATCGGCCGCCGTACTCATCTCTCGCCATCATACTGAAAGATTTGGTATGTACTTGAGGTAGGGGGTTCGAATACTAGCTGACCTTGAGGAAAAGCATCTTGTCATCTCGGCTGCTAGGAAGGCTCGCTGTCCGCTGCCTCTCTCTACGGTCACTCAGCAGACATTTCTCGCAGCGAAAGGATCTGGGCTTGGAACGCACGATGACTGTGCTCCCGTTCAGTTGTATCTCGGCAACAGAAAGCCACCGGTTGCGTCGGATACGACTTCCACCATATCAGCAAAGACAATCCAAGATCTGCTTATTGGCACTCATCTCGCTGCAGCCTTGGAAGCGTTCTCCTTGGTTGACGCTTTGGGGCTTGACCGCAACATCTTCTACAAATTCGTGCTCACGGCAGCGGGAGCGAGCAAGGTTTTTGCTGCTTTCGGAGCAATTGATACTAACGATTTTCCCCCGAACAAATTCGAAGTCGCTCAGCAAATAATCAGCAATTTGGTAAGTGCAGTTCATTTGATCGATAAGTGCAAGGCTGTCGGCTGATCAGAACAACTTGACACTGCAGATCCGTGCGTTGGATGCCGTGGAAAATTTGCAGTGCCCTACTCCTCTCTGTAGCCAGGCATTGAACAGTTTGCTGGCGACGTTACCAGGGCATCGGCAGGCCTCACCAGAATGAACTTGATTGATTTCAGCAAAGAACCAATACGTCGCCGCTCAAGTGAACCTCGTTGCAAGGGGGATTTCCATTCTTGCAGATTGATGAAGAATGACATAACGACAGAATATCAAATCGGCCAGATGCTGCAAATCTGAAAATTACCCAACCCAGCATGCACAAAATGGCAGAAGCCTGTGGCGTTTGCATGCCCATGTCCCGACTAATCGCACCTTCCCGAGCTGAGTGCAGAGCTTGAAAGGGGTGGTTTGTGACGGTAGACTTTAGAGTCGCGATTCCAGACATGACCTACTCAACTGAATTGCCCCCGCTCTCGAACGACACTTCTTGCCATCAGCGAACATGGACTCGGCGTAGGGTACATTACATGCGGCATATCCAACCACGTAACGGCGAAATACTTACCCGAATGACAAGAGTGCACCTGGAAGCTACACATGGCGAATGTATCCTCACTATTCGAATTTCGTTGCTACGGCTCTCCGCCATTAATTCCTCCTAGAGCACACGATGTCCATCTCGCCATGCAACAAGCTTTCATCCTCCTGCACAGCGCAACACGTCTCCACCCCCCCAAGCCGTGCCACCCACCTCTCCCCACCTCTCACTCCTCATCCCCAACCCGCCCCGCCTCCTTCGCCTTCCGATCCTGACTCCTCGTCTTCGCCCTCGCCTTCGACCCCAGCTTCCGACTAACCACCTTAGGAGTAACCCCCGCCTCGAGATCCTCAAAAGCCTTCTCCTTCTTCTCCGCCTTGGCGTCCTTCTTGGCCTGCTTCTTCTCCTCACGCTCGAGGACTTTTGGTCGTGGTGGTTTCTCTTCCTTCTTGTCGGTTTTCTTGTCCTTTGTCTTTTTGGTGACGGCTTGGCGGACGCGAGAGCTGTCGCCTGAGCTGGGGCCGGTGGCTTTGCTTCCTTTTGGGGGCATGGTTGGTTGGGGTTTTGTTTATTTTGGGGATGATGATAGGATGGAGGCTTTGCTGATGGGATGGGTGAGTAGAATTCCAATGGATGTTCAGGGTAGTTATACTGCGTGTGGACTCGTGCAACATGATCCTCGTGAATGGACACAGGGCCATTCGCTCGCCGGATCCGGGAACAAAGAACTTCTTCACTAACGCCTTTCGCCGTCCATCGCAGAAGGGGCTTCGCACGAAGGCTTCTGTGGATGGTTAGTTTCTCAGACTGCGTGGGCAGTCCAAGAATAGGGTATGAACCACCACTCAACATTGCATTCAAGCTTCCAGAGGACGGTCTCAAGTCCACCGAATATACTGTAGGTGTTACACTTAGGATTTAAGACGCCATGGATATTACTTTGATGAGATAGCATCTCGCTTGAACATATTCAAATGCTGCGAGCCATTCTTGTAGCCTTATTAAAAGCAATTCCAGCCCATCAACGCACCTGTTCTTTCTCCCGGAAGTTACAACCTGCACTAGACACTATTCGCACAGAAGTTCGCATATCATTGCTGATCTTAGGCAGATGTTATGCTAGCAATGTTTCCACGTGTTGCAGATTGGGAGAAAACATTCATAGCAGTAGCAAGAGAATAACCAAAGGAACGTAGTATCTGTTAAACTCATTGCCCATGAATTGGGGGAGAACGTCACGAGCGAGAAATGATCACTCTGATGCTTTCAAAATCGTGCTCAACAACGAATCATGCGGTAGGCAGAAAAGGCACGATAGTGGCACTTCGCATGTGAAGACAACCCGAGTGAAAGTCACACCAGACCCCTGACCACACAAGCCTTCCGCCCCGACCCGCCCGTTGCACCAAACCAAATCCAGCCCCCCATCTCCAACACCACCTCCTTGCAACGTGTGAACAGCAGCCAGCCCACAACCCAAGCGCAAAGAAACCCTTCCCTTCAAGTCACTCCTTTAAAACCAACCCACCACTCACAGACAGTCAAAAATGACGCGCGCCCAACAAACGCTCTCTATAGGCCTCTTGGTCGCTTCCGTACGCCTCCAATATCACACGAACAAAACCAAAAACTTTGAGTGCTGATGCGACAACTCCATAGCTCTACACAGTCTGCTTCCTAGGCCTCCTGCCCTTCCCCGCGAAAATCCAGGAAGAGGTTGTTCCTTACGTACGTTCCATCACCACCTTTCCACACCCAGCTCAAATCCTCCATCTATACTATACTAACAGTTTTGAATGTACGTCTAGCTCCCCTTCTGGGCCCTCATCTCCTTCGGCGCATTCCTCCTGTTCAAACTCGGCTGGGGCGTGCTGACGTTTAACGATTGTCCCGAGGCGCATGAGGAGTTGACGCAGCAGATTGAGCAGGCGCGGAAGGAGTTGAAGATGAAGGGGGTTTCGGTGGATTAGAAAAGTGCTGGGATCTATTGAACATTATGGGGGCTGGCGTTTGTGAGGGGAGGGCATTTTGGATCAGGTTCGGGATATGTGATTTTTGTGGTTGGCTGGGAAGAGTGAGAGCGAGAGCAAGAGAGGTGTATGTCATATCGTGGAGGGTGGTTATAAGAGTAGATGAGACCGAGCTGGGAGGGTCAACCCCTCGGCATAAGATCTTTGCGAGGAAGAAGATATAGGACTGGGCCTTGAAGAAGAGACTACCCAGATCGCATATCCATCCACCTTGTCCTCACCACGTCCTGTGCTTCGACTCAAACCACCTCGGCCGATGTTCCTCACAAATAGGACAATTATCATGCTCATCAGGATGCCTCTCCTCCTCATCCGGCTGCGGTCGCAACCTCGCCATCGAAGTAGGCGGACTCGCATCGGCAATAGGTCTCATCACCACAAGTCTCGATCTGTGAATGGTAGGTGTCGGCGCTCGCGGGTACCTTGCCGCCATCTTCGATTTCGTGAGGTCAAAGGAGTCGCGGGAGTTGAGGAGTTCTTGGTTGATAGGCCCCTCTTCTTCGTGCCGTTTGATGTGGCCGTGGGTAATTTCGACCGAGTCGCGGTGGGAGCGGAATCGGATGTCGTCGGTGCCGAGGCTGGAGAGGTTCCTGGCGATGCTTGGGGAGGCGGGGAGGCTGCTTCGACGGGGTGGTGCCAGAAAGAGGTTCTCTGGAGTGTTCGAGCGTGTCGGCAGTGCGGTCTGCGACTTTGGACGTATTCTCAGTTCGATGGGGGATTCTTCGGTGGAATCATCCGAGAGTTCTGGCGCTGGGCTTTGAGGTTCGGATTGCTTCGCGGAGGACTGACCACTTTGACGGGCTGTATTTGGTGGTGCTAGCGGTGCTTCAGAAAGTGGGCTGTGGTCGGATTGTCGATTGACTACACGACACCGCTCGTCGCTCAGGTCAATGAGTGGTGACCATGGAGGCCTGTCGTCCGACTCATCACCGAATTCCCTCTCCCACGACCAGACGGTGAGTTTGGTTTTGACACGCTCCATTCTTGGTGAAGGGGGCACAACATGATCTTCGATATCGTCCGCGGGTGCAACTCCGACAGAGTCATCTACCAACACTGTCGCTACACTGCTGGAAGCCGAATTTGCTGGCTCCTCCCAAACCATCCGAACGGTGCCATGGTCCGATTGCACTGTATGGGCTGTCTGCTTGCCTTCGAATTCGGAGGGCGACTCGTATACTGAGAATTTAGAAGTGAGTAAACCTTCTGAGCTTTTATAAGAGTCAGCAACACGAACCTGTGTTCAACCTCGGCGGCTCGAAGATGCGGATGCTGCAAGCAGTGATTGCTGGACACGCAGGTGCAGCTTTTGGTGATAGAAGAGCAGGGACTCGAAGACGGCCTTTGAGTCGCAACATCTCACTCATCGAACTGATGCGCCGCATTCCGTATGCTCGACCGGAGGCCAGTGTTCTTGCGTAGGTCTCGGACGATCGACGTTTCGGTTCGATTTTCAGGGTATTGCTCGAGGTAGAGGGTTCTTCATCGCCTTCATCTGTCTGGGCGTCGGATTCATCAATGCGAGGCAGCTCATTGACTTCACCAGACCACTCGCACAGCATATTCGCGTGCTCACGGTAGTTCTCGTGTTCGTGGCCAGGTGACTGCGGAGTAGCGGCCCGGACGATTGTAAACCTGATCTGATCTCCTCGACCGTCTTCTAGCTCCGTGCCATCGTGATCAAGATCCAGAATGCTTTGTCCGCTGTCATGGCTTTCATCGCTGGGCGTAGAAACATCTCCTTGCGTATCAAGGAGGTCTTGACCCGCTGAATCCAGCTCCTCCTCGGTCTGTTGTGCTCCAGTCTGGCCTAAATCAGCGTCGTCGTTCTATGGCGAGTTGTGGAACAATCCTTCCTCTTCATGGAGGGACGTCCTCTCTTCGGCCGCGGGAGTGGCGCTCAATCGGCGTAGATAGAGGACGGGGATGTTGCTTTCGTATCCATACCAAGGGTCCGTTGCCGACCGGCGGGGAATGGCTTCAACTTCAAGGTGTTGGTCATCGAAGTGTGCATGCTTCTCTTCAGAGCCTGGCGAGCTTGCCGACGAAGTGTTGGCCATGGCACTCTTGAGAGGCCTGTCGGCCGGGAGGGAAGTCGATCGACATGCTCGAAGGAGAGGAGTTTGCGATCCTTCTTCTAGAGTCGAACCCCGGGAACGATGAATCTCTGGTTCGTAGAATGTGTTGTTGGGCGTAGGAGCTTTGGACGTGCTCATCATCTGCGCGGTCTGCCACCCGAACCCAGTTATAGTGCGCAATGCGAAGAGGAAGACTTTAAGAAGGCTATCGATTTACGCACCGCTCAGCGCCAGGTCTTTGAGTATTGGCGGAACCCAGCTCTTGTGGAATTGCCGCCTCTCCTTTTCGACGTGAAAGTCCGTGCAGCCCAGAAAGCAAGGAACGCTGCTCCGACAATGATGAAGAGTTCGTAGAACATCAGGAAGTTCGGGGGATTAGGAATGCGGGGACGACATGGCGAAGAGAGAGGTGTGTTCAATTTTGGGATATAAAAGAAGAATGGCGAACTGTCTTCCACTGATCTGGTATTGGGTTCTGCTCATCGCCCCTCACCTCTCACGTACGACACTTAGTTGTAGGCAAGCACGGGAGTCGGCCGACTTCGACTGCTGCATTCACTGCAGATGCTGGCTTTTCCGGACAGGTCTTCGCTCTAGAGACCGGATTCAACGATAGTACGCGTGCCATTTTCGTTGACGGATGTTGTGAAGATGCCCTAGGCCCAGTCGTATATCGCTGCTGAATCGAGAGCATCGCCGCAAACGAACAAGTCTTGCGTCTCTTCCGGATTCATCAGTTCTCGTTGAAGAGCACAGTGCACTGAGTTGTGAGGTAGAGTAAACAAAGTCGCAGTCGAAAGTTGGTGGTGGAGCTGGTGAGATCGACGGACCCTGAGACGTGCAGCAACAGCTTGGCGAACAAGTTGCCAGATCATCAACAACTCTCCCTCTCCTCCCCCCTCCTCTCCCCAATCCCTTCTACAGACAAAGATGAGACGAGTGGTAGCGGCGCTGGTAGCCTTGGAATATGCCGCCCAAGCAACAACGGCATCTCGCCCACGAGGCGTAGGCCCCGAATGTACGCATTTACCTCCAATCAATCCCCAAACTTGGGACACCCTGGCAGCCATTGAGCCTCGTACTGACCCTTAGCCCGCCAGTCGCCAAGTTCTACGAAGACTCCTCCTCTTTCACTTGTATATCGAACCCGAAAGTCAGCATTCCCTTCTCCCGCGTCAACGACGACTACTGCGATTGCCCGGACGGCTCAGACGAACCCGGCACCGCAGCCTGCGCGCACCTCTCGCCCCTCTCACCACACACACCCGCAGACAGCGCGGCGTCGTCTGCTGTAAATACCACCGCAGCCCTACCCGGGTTCTACTGCAAGAACAAGGGCCACATCTCCAGCTACGTCCCCTTCACGAACGTCAACGACGGAATCTGCGATTACGATCTGTGCTGTGACGGGAGCGAAGAGTGGGAAGGCATAGCAGGGAAGTGCAAAGACAAGTGCGATGAGATCGGCAAGGAATGGCGGAAACACGACGAGGCGAGGCAGAAAGCCGCGGGCAATGCGCTTAGGAAGCGGAATGAGCTCGTGAAGGAGGCGGCGCGGTTGAGGCAGCAGGTGAAGGATCGGATTCAGACGCTGGGGACGGAGATTGAGGGGTCGGAGTTGAAAGTGAAGGATTTGGAGAAAGAGTTGAGTGAGACGCAGAGGAGGGAGGCGGGGAAGGTGGTCAGTGGTGGAGGGGCGTCGAAGGGTGGGAAGTTGGGGCAGTTGGTGGAGATTGGGAGGCGGAGGACGGAGGAGTTGAGGACGCAGTTGGGGTCGGTGAGGGGGGATTTGTTGGCGAGTAGGACGCGGTTGGAGAAGTTGGAGGAGGTGTTGAGTAAATTCCATGAGGAGTACAATCCCAACTTCAACGATGAGGGTGTCAAGAGAGCTGTCAAGGCGTGGGAGGATTACATTGCCAGTTATGGTGTTGGCTCGACGCCCAACTCTGCCAACGAGCGTGATTTGGAGGAGATCATGAAGGAGGACAAGGAGAATGGTCTCGATTGGGATAACTATGCCGAGGAAGAGGAAGACGAGACGGCAGTTTGTGAGTACACCAAGTCCAAGCATCATGGAAACCACTAACATCACACAGTATACTCCTTCACCAACTACCTCCCACCCACCCTCCGCGACTGGGTCGACTCCAAACTGCGCGACCTCCGCCAAACGCTCATCGACAACGGCATCCTGGCCTCTTCCCCCAGCGGCAACGCGAACGAAAGCAAAAAAGTCACCGACGCGCGCAACCGCCTCGACGCCGCGAAAAAGACCCTCGAAGACCACCGCAAAGACCTGCAAGACAACACCGACGACCTCGCCAAGGACTTCGGCCCGGACGACGTCTTCCGCGCGCTCAAGGGCGTCTGCGTCGAGACGGATTCGGGCGAGTACACGTACGAGCTGTGTTTCCTGGAGAAGACGAATCAGAAACCCAAGAAAGGCGGCGGACACACGAACATGGGGTCCTTCGTGCGCATGGAGAAGGTCGTCGTGGACGAGGAATTGCCCAGCAACGGGAAGGGTTTGGGCAGTGGGGAGCGGTACGCGATGAAGCATGAGAACGGCCAGCATTGCTGGAATGGGCCCAACCGTAGCACGACGGTGATTTTGGCGTGTAGTGAGGAGAATGAGATTTGGAAGATTATGGAGGAGGAGAAGTGTGTTTATCGTATGGAGGTGGGGACGCCGGCGGTTTGTGAGAGGAGGAAGAAGGCGGCGGACAGCAAGGGGAAGGATGAGTTATAGTGGAGTGGAGGAGAGAGTGAGAGATGGGGTGGTTTTGGAAGATACCTACCTATACACATTTTGATAAATCCAAAATAAATGTGGTAACTACTGCAATAACGTCCGTCCCGATGTGGCGAGACACACCCTGTAACGAGACAGAGAGCCACGTGTGGCTAGTGCTCCCAATGCACGGTCTCATCTGCGCCACATTGATTTCTTGGCTGGGAGCGGGCCGTGACGGATGCTGCCAAGACAAACCAACGACGTCCTTTCCCTGACGCTGCTCTGCTTCGGGGAACGGGCGCATCTACGTCAGGAAATGAGCGCTGCGCTCTAGCCTGGGCGCGGTGGGGTTGTATAACTTCCCAAGCCGCCCCACTACGCGTCTTCTTTCTCTCTTCTTTATCCTCTCTAGACCGAATCTCCTTCCCTCTCTCTCTATACGCCGCGGGTACCGACCTATATATCTCTAGAGCTATCCGCTAGTTAGGAGTATACTACTACCCTTTAAAGACCTCGCTAACTAGCTAAACTACTATACTTCTTTATAATATACTACTAGTTTTAACTACTCTAGCTTTAAAGTATTAGACTAATATATATCTACTCTAGATTATAACTAGACGGTATCGGAGGTTAAGTAGAGGTAGATATTAAGGAGTATAAGTTTAGATTAGTAAAATATAATACTTTATTCTATATATAGAGCCCGCCTACTTTTAAAAAGAAAGATATAGCTACTCTATAGATCTTTACTACTATATAACGCGTTTATCTAATAACCTATAAAGGTAAACTAATATAAGATAGGGATAAAAGTAGGTACTAATAAAAGGTAGTAATATTATTATTATTATCTAAGTCCGCGGCCGGGTAGACCGGGCTTAACTATCTAGTATCTTAGTAAGCGTACTCTATACTCTCGACTAGTATTCCTAAAGTACTTTAGCCTACGATATACCCCTTTAGATTTTACTCTACTTTAGATAATATCTATATATCTTAAGGATATTCCTCTTCTAAAGCGTAACCTAGATCTATCCGTATAGAAAGATCGACTAGGCCTAACTACTTTATAAAGTAATTGTTTTTCTCTATTAATAGGGGTTTTATAAAGCTATCTAAAAGTATATCTTTAGTCTAAACCTAGCTTACCGTAACTTTACTATCTTTGTAGATTTACTTTAGCTAGAGATTATAGATATCGACGTACTTTAGTTTAGATATTAGCTAAGGTCTCTCTTTCTAGATTAGTTCTACTATTTACTAGTTATTATAGAGAATACGAGGCTATTACTCCGGATTAAACTATATCTACTCGAATAGCCTATATAGACCTATTATCTCCCTCGCTATATATAATAGTAATAAGAGCTCTACTTTAGTCGTCGACGTAGTTA